GCTGAGAGGGGGGAGGAGGAGGGGGGGGACACGAACTGTTGCGGGCCGCGCCTCGAGGAGGAGGGCGGACTGGTGGAGCCAGTCTTCTGATTTGGTGTAGTAGGGCATCTTTTCGGTAAGGTCTTCCCTAATCCAGATTTTGCGTTTTTTTCTCCTTTTTCGGTAGTGGGCACGATATACGTCCAGCGAGGCGATGAGGGCAACAGGTCGAGGTCAAGGGCAAGGTTGAGCTTCAGGTCGCGTGTGAGATGGCGGTGGGCGCGGCGGATGGATCCTGGGGGAATCGAGGGTGTTCGAATTGCGATCCTTCAGTCAGATCGAGGATACACAAGAAATTGCGAGCTGTCAGCCACTGGATTGCCTCTTTGTGGTGCGCCCGAGTCTTTCGTTGGACCAGACAGTTGATGATATTGCGTTGAAGTTTTGGCCGCGGTCGGTTCCCGTTGTGGATTTTAGTGGGGTCCGTCATCCCAATGCGGGGAGCTTTCATCGCCTAGTTTTACCATGATCATCAGTCGGCACGCAGCAGCTTTTGCTTCCACTGGAAATTCTGAAGCAGTGCGAAATCAAGAGTGTCAAATAGGTATGCAGGTTATTTCATATTTATTTATTCAGGCAAATTATTTCAGCCCAGCTACACCATAACGCCGCAGTATGCAATGTGGTATCTCGAACCATCCTGGTACCGTAAACCCAACCAGCCCGCTTACCCATGAGATAGTTTGAAACTCCTATAACCCCTTCTTGAATAGCATTTTTTTCTTCGACCTGGAGATTTCTACTCCAACTCTGCGTCCCTTTGAATCCTGTCTCCTGTCTATGCATTCGGGTCCGGAAGCCAAAACATCAAGTCCTGGTCAGCGGAGGCCAGCATGTTGAAGCGGGGATTGTGGGCAAGAACAGCTGCCTCGCGCTGCTCTTCCAAAACATGTGCCGGCTCGAGAACCTTGTCGTCTGGGTTGGGAGCCATCAAGGTGTCCCACACGAGGAGATCCGACCTGGCGCCGCTGAACACATAGCGGGCGTCCGGTGCAAAACAGCACTCGCCGCTGCTCTCGACGCCGCCGGCGTCCACCTGTCCCGGCGCTAGCCGTCTGGTACTGCCGCCGGGCTTCTTGAGGTACGCTTTGACGGATCCGTCGAATGCGTCCAGCAGGAAGTGGCCTCCACCACGTGATCCCAAGAGGATGTGCTTCCCGTCGTTGGAAAACTCGAGCTTTGTCCAGCCGCGGGCAGCCGCATCCGGGTAGCCGGGGATGCGGTTGCTCAGCACATCGATGGTGGTAACCGGGCCCTTCTCGTAGTTGCGATAATCGTAGATCAAGATGTAGCCGCTCAGCGGCGATGCGATCGCGAACGAGTTCCCGGACGGGTCCCAGGCGGCCAGATGCGGTGTGTTGAGGAACAGCTTTCCAACCCACTGCTTGGTGCTAATGTTCCATATGAGCACCGTATCGTCAAGACTGCACGAGATGAAGTTGTCGGAGCCGGGGTGAAGGGCAAGGCTGGTGACACTGCCTTCGTGGCCCTCGAAGTAGCGAATGAACGAGTTGTCGTGTGTGGCCAGGTAACGAATCGCATCTGGGCAGTCGCCAACGTCAGCTACCTAGCTTTCTTCATCCCAATTAAGATGTACTGATGTACCCATGACACTTACCATTCTGCTGGGTACTAGCATAGATGATGCTCGTGCTCGTGTGGGTAAATTTGGCAAGCTTCACGCCGTATTTCTTACTCAACAAGCTCTTTTCGTGACGGCCTTCCTTCACATTGTAGATCTGGATTGTCTCATCGCTCTCCGAGGTCATGCACAGCTCCCCCGGGTCATCAAAGTCAACCGAAAGAATGTGCGGCTTGGGTTTGCCCTCCTTTATGTCGTCGCGTTTGAACAGCTACACATGGTCAGCGACCCTGCATAATCAAAATCCACAGCGTCAAAGCAACGCAAAGTGAAAACATACCTTAGTAGGCCGGTACAACGAGACGATCTCGCTGACGGGTGAAGTGCTCGGCACACCACCGCCGAGTGAGCGGATCACGTTAAGTGACGAGGGTGCGTCGTCCAGGTCCATTGGTGTGGACGTCATGCTGGGCGATCTATCCGGGTGCTGAATTGGCGGGCCAATTGATGTGGAGGAGGGGTAATGAAATGGGAACGCGAACTTGAAGAAAGGAAACTGAGCGCTTCTTGCAAGGAACCGCGCCGAGGGCCGTTTCTGCCGGGCGGTGAGAGGGACCCCTGCCAAGGTGACCCACTGTAACCATAGATCAAGTTCCGATTCACGGAGGACGGCCTGTGCAGAAGCTCCGCGATGACTCGGAATTCCGCTCCCATGGACACAGTCAGCCTGAGAAAGCGAAAGCAAAGAGAGTCCCGGTTGGGAAAGAATTTGGGGCTGCGCCGTCACGTTTTCCGGGAACCGGCATTCCCCATTCCCCACGAACTCGCTCGACCCTTGCAGCTCGAAAAATCCTACCCTTTGCGTTTGGGGCTGCAAGGGCCGGAACATTGATCGGCGCTGCGACACAGCATAGTAAGCGAGTCAGTGCCAGAAGTGAAGGACGGATATAAACGGCCTTGCCATTTGCGGTAGCGTCGCAAGTAGCCTTTGCCTGAATTAGTTTTGGCTTTTGTGTGTTCTTTTGACGTATACTTGGTCTTTTTTTCAACTCCCTCTTTTTATATCTAGTTTTTACGGAGTGTCAATGAGAACTTGACAAGCTCTTCCGAACAACTCCCCCATTTTTCTCCCTTTCCCGGTTGCCTATCCTTGAGGACCGCCGAGCCGAGTCCGAACCCGCCGTTGGGCGCAAGGGCCGATTCCGGCAGACCCGCGAGACACGAAGCAGAACATCACAACGACGACGTTACGAAGTCTGCACAGATGTCGACAACAGCTGGGTACGTGCCGCGCGCATTGCGCATTCCTGGAGAGAGGGGGGATAGAGGCGAGAAAAAGTAGAAAATATGGAGGATCAAAAAAAATCCAAAAAAGGCGCGAGAACGGGACCCAAGGTACTCCGCGTACGGCGAACATCTCTCTGACATTTGGCATCGTTCCTCTCTTTCCAGCGCCTTCCTCGCAGGCGGCATCGCCGCATGCGGCGCCGTCACAGCAACCCACCCCTTCGAGACAGTCAAAATCCGCATGCAACTCCAAGGCGAGCTCCAAGACAAAGGCCACCAACCGCACCACTACCGCGGGCCCGTCCACGGCGTATCAGTCATCGTGCGCAGTGAAGGCCTCCGCGGCATCTACCGCGGCATCGGCTGCGCATACGTCTACCAGGTCCTGCTCAACGGCTGCCGTCTCGGCTTCTACGAGCCCATGCGCCACGGCCTATCGACCCTCCTCTTCAAGGACGGCAAGACCCAGAGCTTGGGCGTCAACATGTTCTGTGGCGCGGCCTCGGGCGTCATGGGCGCCGCGGCGGGTAGTCCGTTCTTCCTTGTCAAGACCCGTCTGCAGAGCTTCTCGCCGTTTCGACCGGTCGGCACGCAGCACCGGTACAACAATGCGTGGGACGGCATGCGGCAAATCTATAGCGGCGAGGGCGTGCGCGGGCTGTACCGCGGGGTTGGGGCTGCTATGATCCGGACTGGGTTTGGGAGCTCTGTGCAGCTGCCAACGTACTTCTTTGCGAAGCGCCGGCTGATGCGCCATCTCGGTATGGAGGAGGGCGCGCCGCTGCATTTGGCTAGTAGTACGGCTAGTGGGTTTGTCGTGTGCTGTGTGATGCATCCGCCAGGTACGCAACCTCCCCCCTCCCCTTTTCCCGCCCACCCTGCATGAGAAAGACGGAGAGAATGCGAAGAGACTAACAACCTCGCCTCCTTTCCTACCCGGCACACAACAGACACGATCATGTCCCGGATGTACAACCAAAACGGCAATCTTTACGCCGGCGTGTTCGACTGCCTGTCGAAGACGATCAAGACGGAGGGCCTGTTCGCCATTTACAAGGGTTTCCTGCCGCATCTCGCGCGTATCTTGCCGCACACAATCCTGACGCTGACGCTGGCCGAACAAACGAACAAGCTGGTGAAGAAGCTGGAGAATCGGTTCTTGCCGGGTAGCGTGTTGAAGACGGTATGATCTGATCTAGTGGGGGGAGGGTGGATTTTTCTCGAGAAAAAAAAGAACAAGACAGATTTTGTCTTCTTTTTGTGATTTTGGCGTTGGTTAGAGATCTATTGCATGGCCCGGGGGACAAAGACGGTGGTTGGTGGCTGCCTTTTCCGCGTTTGATACCAGTTCGCGTGGGGGTTAGGGGAGCAGAAGAGAGGAGATATAAAAAGGAAGACAGAGAGAAAGAGTGGGTTTGAGATGGTGGTGGCCGTAGACAGCAAAAAAAGAAGCTGAAGCCATGGCTCAGGGATCAGGATTGCGTGAGTCGATCATAGAGATGCAACCCAAGTCTAACTGCCCTGCCCCATTTTATGATGTATCACCAAGCTTGTCCCGGCTCAACTCTAAAGATCATGGGCCAGTCACCCAGCAGTCGACCTCTCACACCCATAACACAACCTCCCCCACCTCGCCGAAACCGCCTCCGACCCCCCTTGAATCCCAAGCTCCCCCCTCCACCTCTCATCTCCATCCCCATCCAGCGGCATCCCACACAGCCCACACTCCTCCTCCTCTTCTTCTGCTTCTTCTCCCCCCTTCGATCCGCCCTCTACCCCAACCCCGCGCACCAACTTCCCAGTCGTCCGCGCCACATTGGCCACAACAGACGGGTAATTCTCCTCAACCTCGGCGAAATACCGCGTCATGACATCTTCGATGCTGAGGTCCCGGTGGGAGATGACGGCTGGGCGGGGTTTTGCTGCTGATGCTACGCTATCGGTTTCACCCGTGGTAGCGCTGGGGTTAAGGCTGAAGCTATCTGGGTCGGAAGGATGCAGGAGTGCAGTCAGTGGTGGGTTGTTGACGAGGCTGGCGTAGAGGAGGAGTTCCTTGCGGAGGGCGTCGCGCAGGGGGTGGTGAATGAGGATGGGAGTCTTGAGGTTGGGGTTTCCTGGTTTATCATCCCCGTTCCCGTTCCCGTTCCCGTTCCTGTTGTCCAAGCCCGACCGCCCCGGGACAGGCCCATCTGCGACAAGCCATGGTACGGCAAACCCGCGGCCTTTGGCTGCCTCGGCTAGGGTCAGTGCCGCTAGGGCGGTTGTGCTGTGGCCTAGGAGTAGGGCCTGGCAGTTGTGGGCGTGGGTTTGGGCGAGGAGGGTGCGGCGGGTGAGGTGGGTGGTTATGTCGGAGGCGGAGGCTCGGCTTGTTCCTGCTGTTGCGGGTGCTGGTGCTGTTGTTGTCGTGGTTGATGATGGATCTGGAGTGGATGAGGGTGACTCTAGCGTTGAGGAGAGAGGAACGCAGTAGAATTCGAAGCGCGGGTATCGCTCTCGGTACCGGGCTAAGACATCATTGTCCATCGTCCCGGCAGCCGCAATAGTACCAGTAGCATTGGAACTAGACGTGTCTACATGGACAACAACCAGTTCAAATGGGGCGCCTCGTCCCTTGGCGAGGATGAAGTCGACGTTCTCGTTTAGCAGGTGCAGGAGCACGGTGGACGATAGACCGAGAGAGAGGCCTAGGAGGTAGCGCCGTATCCCGGTGCGCGGTCCATTCCCAGTTGTGGAAGGTGGTGGTGGTGGTGGCCGGACGTCTTTGCCGAGAATGCCTATTTGTTTGATAAATTTGCCGGCGACGAACTTGAGGAAGCAGTCTCTGGAGCGTGTTAGTTCCGTGGGTGAACGAACGGTTGTTTTTATGAACGAAAAATAACGGGAGGGCAAAGCTATCTTCTTAAGAATGAATAACCGAAGGAAAACAAAACTGGGAAAGTAACAAATAGTCAGCTTACTTGCAAACGGGTTGCGACCTGCTTTCCAGAGTTGCTTCCTGGGTCCGGCACTTGACACAGGGCCGTGTGAGTGACCCCGCGGCGGGGGTTGGCTCAACCATGGATGTCGTCAACGGTAAATGTCTGTAATCGAAGATTTTCCTGGTGATATCGAGCTTCAGTACTCCAGTGGTTTATTTGACGAGTAAAGAAGTGAGATGTAATCCTTGACAAGGCGTTGAGTTATGTTGTAGGTTTGACTCATGGTGAGAGTGAAGATTCTCCTTGAAGTTTTATCGAGGTGGGTATAAGGTAGGGTTAGGGTTGCTTATGAGAAGTCTCAACGACCAAACCGAGATACCCGTCCAACAATTGTAGTGAAACACACAGGTTTTTACTTTCGGCTTCCCCAATCATCGTTTCTTCTAATACCAATCACATATACAGGTACCCTTCAGTTTGTTGTTGTGCCGAGACAGTGGATTTATCTTAGCAGAAAAACCAAAGAAAGAAACAAATAAAATCAAAAAGCTCATTGCCCAATTTCTCCCCTAAGGTTGTGGACAGCTACGAAAATCGCGAGATTTTACTTGTAAGTTGTGACCGGCCCGGGAGTTGAACCCGGACCGCGGTATAACGGACATATTTATTGATACCCGCGCCCCCCAAAATGCGCCATCCGCGGTTGTGCATTTGCTGGATGGGGGGGCTGTTGGAAACTGGTAGCGGAAGGGTGGGTTATAAAGGGTCGTCGGGTTGGGGAGAGGGAAGGAAGGTACGCGGAGTTGACTTTTGCAGAAGGTAAAGGGCCTTCTCGCTGTTATATTTACTACACTCCCTCAATAAGGTATCTTGAATCTTCCCCCTTTCCCTCTACACAACCCTTACACAAACCTCTCATACGCCGGCCGCTGTACATACACCCCTCCAGGCCCCCTTCCATTACCACCACCACCACTACCACCTCCTCCTCTCTCTCCTCCAACCTTCCCCCCACCCCCATCAACCCCCTTCCCAGCCAAATAAGCATCAAACCCCACATCCTTCGCAGCCAACAACGTATTCACCAGCGCCCCCACAAGCGTTAACACCACCACAGCAGCAAACAGGTTCGACGCCGTCGTGCCCACGCTAACAACCAACGGCACCCCGCCGGTATCGACCGTGACGGCGAGTAGCCGAGTCGCGGCCGCCACGATGGACTGGTATGCTGCGAAACTTGTCACGGCGCCTGCTGCGGCGGCCCAGTCGAGGCTGCGCGCCCAGAGGGCGGCTTGGGCGTGTCGCTCGCGGCGGGTTAGGAGAGAGGGGTTGGTGGTATTTGTGTTGTTGTTACTTGTGTTATTACTGCCGGCACCGGCGCTGTTGAAATAAAGCTGGACGATATTGGCAATGGTGGCGGCAATTAAGAGGAGAAGCAGAGGCAACCCGCTAAGGACGACAAAGCTTGACTGGAGGCCGAGGGCGAGGCCGGCTAGGGCAAAGTTGCCGCCGCCTTTGGAGAGGGGAATTTCGGCGGCGAGCTGGCTTTGGCGTTTGTTTTGGAAGGCGCTGATGCTGCCGGTGCAGTTGAACGGGGCTGGGCCGAAGCAGACGCCTGTTGTTGCCCTCGCAGGGGATGTTAGTGAGTTAAACTAGAACGCGGATATTATATGGAGTTGGAAGTCTGAACAAAAGAGGGAAAGACATACCCAAGAACCCAATGCGTAGGTCAACCTGGACGCTCTGCCCGCCGATCGTGACGTTGCCGTCGGACCGCGCGACGACCGGGGAGATGCCGCTGAGCGAGTCGGTGATGCATCCCAGCGAGAGGATTACTGGGCGGGTTAGTGGAAGGACAATGGGAGGAAGGCTAAGGGAACTGTACAGTAGAGAATAAAGTTGATGAGAGGAAATGCAAAAATAAGAACGACCCGCGGCGCCTTGAGAATCCCTATTCGAGAATACATTGTTAGTCTGGTCATACAGGGGGGATGATTGAACAGTCAGGGGAGAGGTCAACCCACAGCTAGGCGTGACCATAGGTGCTATCCCTCGTTGGCGAGGACGGCGGGTACGACGACGAAGACAAGCCTAGTAGAGTTTGCAACTTAAAAGATCGACAGCGATATTCTACGGCGGCCAGCGAGCAATCATCATCGCTCTTCCGTAGACTGAGCTGGGGTGGAGGTTATGGGCCGGTCTCCATGGAGTCGGTTTGGCATCACCAGGACATGAATCCAACAGAAGGAGGCCAAGGAGTTGCCAGGGAAGGAGACGGTATCGACATGCGAGGGAGGAGGCTTGTGGTTATACCTGACCTCAAGCGATAGGTTTGAGGTTTGGGGTCTGGAAAAGCGGCACACTGATACCACACCAAACAAACTCTCTGCTCTCCGCGATACAAGGCGAACTCCAATCCGTCCCGGTACTTCGGGATTTCAGCGGGCCGGGCGCACGTAGCCGCTGGTGAGAAAAAAAGGGGGGTGTAGTGTGTGGATTGTTCAACTCCGCTCTCGCTTCTTTCGTGTTTCTTCCCTGCCGTCTTACCCGCCGAGCAGGCTCACTCGTAGGGGAAAAATCAAGCACCGGAGCAAACGCCCATTTCACATCCCCCTCCAAAAGTTCGATGTGAGGGTTAGGTGTTTCAAGAATGCCGTTTTGGCCCCGCGGGATGTTCCAATGGGGTTGTGCGCCACGGTTTCAGACGATATCTGAACCCAGCGTCGCATTGACCTTAACTTCACCCCTTTCCGCCCCCAAACAAGCAAGCGCCCACCGCACTCTCCAAACACACAACTCTCCTTCTCTTCCCCGTCCCATGGTCCCCCAACGCATAGATCATAGATCAGCGGCTAGCGAACAGGCAAGCCAGATCGCCAGCCTCAAACCAAGCACGATCCCTCTCCCACGCCCGCACCACAAGATCTTTACCCACAACCGCCACCTGCTGCACCTGCTCCGGCGAGCCCCAGCCGGCGACCCGCGTGCCCCACGAGAGCAGATGTGTCCCGACGTGGCGGGCGGTGCGGAAGGCGAACTCGTCGTTTACGGGGCCGTAGCCGGCCGTGAACCCTTCGATGATCCATTTGCCTTCCTCGATGCGCTTGTATAGCCAGAGCTCGTACAGCTCGGCGATCATCTGGCCGAGGTCTAATGGGGCCAGGCTGAACTGGAACACTTCCCAGTCTACGACGAAGACGGATGTTTGGGATCCTGCTTCCTGCTGTAATGGCTGGTCGGGTAAAAGCGTGCTATTCATCCCCATTCATTAGCGTTTTTTTCTCTCGAGTCCATATCGTGTCTCAATATGATATGGATGTGATAAGGATTGCGGGACAGAAAAGAGAAAGGACGTCAAGCAGGCAACCTACTTTCCTGTCCAAAAATCTCCGTGCGTGACCTGAAGATCCGATCCGTCCAATTCTTTCTCCGCCGCTTCCATCGATTTCTGCAGCGTCTCCTTAGCATCCGCCAACACGGACGGGTAGTTATCGACAGTAGCCAGCGCCGTAGCATAGTTGGAAGTGTGCTTAATCCGCCGCATAGCGTCGTTCAACTTCGCAATTTCTCGAAACCCAGCCTGTTCCGGGAGTTTCGCCCACTCATGGAACTGGTGCAGCCACGCACCCAAGCTCCTTCCAAGCTCAATGCTGAGCGGCTTCCGGGACGGGTCCGGCGAGGCAAAGTTCTTGAGAGCGTAGTCCTTCAGGCTGAGCGCCTGGGGGAGAAGCTCCTGCACCTGGGTACTGGTCTTCGGGTTGAAGTAGTGCAGCTTGGGTGTGTGGACGGCAAATGCGCCTTTAGTCGGCGGGAGCCCGGCCATGGCCTTGAGACAGTCTGTTTCCGCTTGCTATGCGTACGATGTCAATAACCGGCCAGAGGAAGAACATGAAAAGAGGGCACTGACACAGCGGCTTAACGGAATCTTGTACTGTGGGAAAGATGCAATGAACTCTTCGCCGTGCTTCACGGCAATCTCCTTGGTCCCATCTGAAAGAGGCTTGATGAGGGTCCCCTTGTAGATGAAGTTTGCCGACCCTCCAGAGAGCGTCTTCAGCGACGAGCACGCATACTCGGTGGTGCTGAGCTCATCGAGAACTTGCTCCGTGAGCTTTTCCACTTGGGCAGTCGTCGTCATGGTGGGATGCTAGCGTCGGGTGCCGCGAAGATGGTTGTGGTGGTGAAGTAAGGAAGGCCGTTTGTTAGTTACTGGGGAACTGTTTACTTCATATGAATTTGTGTAAGTGAGAAAACCCTGTTGACCGGCCTGTTGTTGAGTTGAAAAGTGACCTGGGCTCCAGCTGCTTTTTATCTTTCCCTTTCTCGTATTCTCCGTATTCCAATTGCAGCAGTACACTATACCGACCAAAGGTACTAACTTTACAGGCCACTTTCTTCCACAATTGTCACCGACTCTCAATGGGTTGTAACCAAGTCTAGAGCTTGGCGATGTTGCTGGAACTCAACCGATGCAGAGCGGGCCAATCGTCAATCGAAGTTTCCCCTCTTCAAAGACGCTCTGACTCTTCGCCGAAGCCGCCCAGAGCCATCTCCACTGCCCAGCATTCTTTATAGCACAACATCCGCGGGCCGAAGTGACACGGGCGGTGGAAACCTCAATATCGCTACTCATTAAAATAACAAGAAGGAAGGGTGAAAGACCAATGAGCAAGTGTGGTACTTGGAAGCTCGAGTACCCAACATGTTCCGAGGGCCGAGATGAGGTCATAAAAAGTGTGGGGTTCTAAAGGCCCCTGCCCCTCCACAATTAAATTTACCGAAGACGACAACCTCGAAGAGCCTCCAGTTTCTGTGTGTCCAACACATGATAAAGATCCCGTGCTGTTCAAATCCGCCTCACACAGAAAATGTATGATATTTTTAACTCCAAATCCAGTGTCACGGGAAGAGGGAACTGGCACCTCCAAGACCAAAATAAATACCAGGGGAAAATAAAAACAAGCAATCGGGCCCAATCTTAGCCATTGACGCCAAGCCGCCCATTTTCCCCACAGCCCGAGCCCTTGCTGGAAAAGCACCAGCAAGGTCTCAAAGCTCTCGGCCAGTGGGGAAGCAGCTTGCAAGCTCCCGTCTCTGGGCCTCAAACTTCCAGCGCTGAAACGGGCCGGCCTTCTGCACCACAGCAGCCGCCAAGCTGACAACACTTCCGAGGTGGTTCCAATCCACCCACCTCCCCAACAACTCGCACCTTCACGTCCCACACCAACCACAGCCAACGGTCAGCCGCGCTCGCCGCATGAACACCGTCTCAAGTTGTTTGAACTGCTGCCCAATGGCTTGCCTCACCCCTTCTAGCCGAAACGACCTAGACTCGTCCCGGCGAAACGATTAAGCCCGCGTCTGCTGCAGCCAAGTCGATTCGAGTTTGATCGGGAGTGCGATCTCGGCTCTCGTTGCAGCATCCCGTTCCATCACCGCACTTCAGGCAGCCTATGATTTGCCACAAAGTCAACTCCCGCGTGCCCCTCCGTCGCCTCGGCGCTAGTTAGCGTTCTCACCCAACATTTTGGCGATTTGGACACTTTACCAATCGACCATATTGCGTGGCATCAACGCAAGCAAACCGAACTCGTCTCTGACAATTGCTGCTGCCTCGCGACCAAGTGAAGTGGCGCCTAGAACGTTGCTCAGTCTGCCCTGGGCTGACGCATCAGTAACGCTATCCATTACCAGCTGTGACCGCAACCCATACGGGGTCGGCGGCGCATACGCAACACGCGCTCTGTCTCTTGGTCATCCGGCGCAGACATAGCCTTCGTGTCTGCCTATGGACAACTCGCTTGGCCGCTTCCTTTTTCTTTACGTTTCCGCTCCGGCAAAAGCTATCTGAGTTGGAGGAAGCTCTCTTCTCTTTGCAACGTTTTGTCATTTCCGACTCGCGATACCCACATGCATACAACACCCGCCGTCCTGTTTCAGATCACGCAAACGATCGTCAAGCCTTACCTTTGGCCCCATTTCGCATCCTAGCAGGTATCTTCCTTTCGCCTCACGGCCAACTCGACCCGATCAGACAACACTCCCGCGCCATCATCGTGGCCGGTTCTCGCCCCCGCCCGCCCGGTTGCATGGGCACCCCATCATGGCCCAAGTACACACTCAACTGGCGGCCCTGACGATAGGTGCCGATCCACACGCCGACGAGCCAGCCTCCTCGCAAGCAATTCCAGTCCCGCAGCGGGCCACAGCGCCCGAATCAAAGAGTCGAACCCGCCTCGCTCTCGACGCGTACTCGCCTGTCAACCAAAACGGTAGCTTCGAGTTTGATAGGGTAATCAAGAGTGGTTATGTGCAGAAGCGCACAACAAAGACAAAGGTGGGTTGTCATTCTTTTTAGACGGGGTTGGGGAATTGCGCATTCTGACGCGGGCGAGATATAGACATGGCGAACGATCTACCTCGTGCTTCGGCCAAATACACTCTCCATATACAAATCGGACAAGGAGGAGAAACTGCGGAGCAAGGTCTACCTGTCAGACCTGACCGCGGTCACGCTATTAAAAGATCCCAAGAACAAGCGGCCGAACGTGTTCGGGTTATTTTCTCCCGCAAAGAACTTCCATTTCCAGGCGGCGACGCTTCAGGACGCCCAGGAGTGGGTCGAGTTGATACGGCAGGATGCGAGGATAGAAGAAGAGGAGGAAGAGATGTTTCTGGCGAGCCCGTCCGTCCGCCAACCCCGCCCATTCTTTCAGGGCATCGAACCCGACAACGTCGACCCACAACGCACCCTAGCATCCCCCGAACACTTCTTGTCGAGCTCGCCCGAACCGTTTGAGCCCCCGATCCGAAATATTGCCAAGCCGTCCGTCCGGCGGGCGTCGCACATGGACTCGTCTGGCCTTTCGGGGGCCGAGTTAGCGAGCCATTCAGACTTCTCAGACTCTGATCTCCACCGAGTCCCGGGCGCTTCTTTCGAGAGCCTGGCCGTTCAACAGCCATTGGGGGCCTCTCCGGGGCCATCGAGAACTAGTCTCGGGGCTCTAGCCGGCAATCGAGTTAGCGGAACGCATCAGGATACAGACCACCCAGATCGTGTGATTTGGCAAGGCTGGATGTGGTTCCACCGCAGCAAGGGCGGCGTACGGCAATGGAAGAAATCATGGGGCGTGTTGCGGCCCAGGAACTTCATCCTCTACAAGGACGATGCTGAGTCGTCCGTTCTGTTCCTGCTCTACATGGGGTCCATTGTCAACGTGGTTGAAACGGACTCCAAGAGCCGCACCAAGAAGCACTGCTTGCAGATCATCACGGACGAGAAGAGCTACCGTTTCTCCACCCACGACGAGGAAGCGCTCGTGCGGTGTTTGGGGGCGTTCAAGAGCCTGCTAGCCAAGCGGCGGGAACGAGAAGCCAAGGCGGCAGTGGTCCCCAATACCGCAACGACGGCAACGACAGCCGCAACAGCAGCGCCCACGACGACAACAACATCCGGAACCACCACGGCAACAACCACGGCCACGACAACCGGAGCCATCCCTATTCCATCAAACGCATAAAACGGCAATCCTTGCCGAACCTCGCTTCCCGTTGGCTTTTATTTAAATAACACACCAGCCCGACAAAACCAATATTACTCTTTTTAATACCCTTTTTTACGTGGTGGAATCTTGTGCAAGTTATTTCGGATACCCCCTTCCTTTCGGTCAAACCCATTTTTGGACCAACATGTTTCGGAGGAGAAAAGCATTGGAAGAGGAGAGAAAGAGAGAAAACGAGAAGCCATGTTTTTGGAGGCGCTGTTTTCTCTAGTCATCTCACGACAAAGCGAGTTTCGCTGGCGACCGACCTGTCAACTTTGCTCGGCGCGTGCGCGAAGAGAGTCATGGCGTCCTTATTCAGGTTCATTTTCTTGACGACTGACAATGAAGTATATGATGAATAAGGCCTGTAATTAGAAATCTTATTTACCCTTTCTTTTAATTTTTTCTAGTTTACTCCGCCCTCTTGTCTTACATCAACTCCTGCGGGACGGACAGCAGCAAGGTTCTGCCTGGCTAGTAGTTGGCTTAATACATAACAGAATTTGTAACTTTCTCCTGGACGTGCTAGGATGTTCCCATTACTTGGCTACTGAATCGATGTCTTTCGTCCACAAATAGCAGTAAATGATACTTTGCGCTACCTTAAACACTCCCCCCAGCCAGCCAGCTTGTTGGCCAGAAAAAGAGAGACAAGTCGGCCAATAAGTATCCCCCTATTAAGGAAAGACCCCCTTTATTTGTTGTCTTGTGTCTTGTGTTGCGTTACCCACGGGACGGGTGAGCGGGCGAGTTGGACAGTCGCATGGTCACACGCAGAGAGAGACACACAAGTCATTTTTAGAGGAGGGGATCTCAGCTAGGTAGGTAGGTAGCTTCGGAAAGGAGAATATTTCCCGACCGGGTACGGTATGGGTACGGGTGGATGGGTGGTACTGTGATCAGTTACACAGACCGCTCCGCGGCAGGGAGACGGCGCTCAAGAAATGATAATGGTAGTGGAAAAGGGGTTTAAGCATGTGTTTGTGTTATTGGTTTGCTTGGGAGGAGATTAACAAAAAGTCGGGTTGAAATGTGACGAGAAAAGGGGTTGTTGTTAAGTTAAGCCCAGTATCACAGGTGACGCTATCGGCATGATGGATCTGAGAGCGTGCGAAAGACTCTGCCAAAGCCCACTAATCAAGGAGTAAACTCTCACCAGGGAGTCGACTTTCTTCCCAACACCATTTTTTACGCAGTAGTGTAGTGTAAACTACCCTTTCCTCTTTTCCCAACTTCATCCCCCCGCCAAGCTCTTTTCCATTTTCACAGACGAATGAACCATCGGAATGACACCGGCATTTGATGCTCGGGTCATCCGCCCCCCCCTTTCAAACCACACCCACCTTCCCCGCTGCTCCCAAGCGGCATTTGCTTGCATCCTCCCCGATCTAGGTTAAGGTTAACTTTCTACGCCGCAAAATGATGGGCATCCCATCCCCCTCCTTTCCCATCAGGGCAATCGCCTAAGGGGCCATCAAAAGACCGACCGGCCCGCTCCCGGCTTTGCGATTCGATTCGCTCATTCTTCTGATTGGGGTTGGGCTGGGCTCATTCGGGCCGCTTCCAATCACAGGGCGCGGGCACGGGTTTAGGGCGGGTGGGTTGGATGGCGGTACTACACTACTTTACTACTTGGAGTAACTGGTCAAGCTGCAGTGGTGTACTTACACGGGAGGATGTCTTGATGGATGTGGAAATGGGCATGGGAATGGTAGGGTGGTTGAGGAGAGCGGGGGATTGATTGATTGATTGATCGTATTTCAACCACGGAAGTCGCCTGCATCTTGCTTTATCGGTTTGTTCCTGGTCTCTTGACACTAGTGTAAGTCCCTTTTGGGGCGTTTTTCTCCGGGCGGGCGACTACGGCTGGGCTGAAGGATTGGGTCTCGGGCGACTTGAGCAAAGGGGGAAGGTTACTCGCGGATAATAACTACGGGTTGAATACCGAGCATTCACGTTGCCGTTGCCACCTTTTCTCCCCCTCCGACCCGTGGCGCCTCATTTTCGTTTTCTCAGCCTTGGTTTGCTCTACGCCTTGATAGCTTGGCGATTTACTGTCGGTATTGCCCACGCCACTCGTTAGATTGGAGGTTCTCGTCCGTGTGCGGCTGCTGTGGCTGGCTGGGCAGTTTAAGGGGGATGAGATATCGTTGGCCGCGGGAAAATCCCGTTCTTTAGAGTGAAGCAATAGTTATTCCCAGCTTTGTCCACATGGAAGCTCCGCGTGTGGTCGTATACAACTCACAGGTCGCCACATTCCCGTAAAGTCTTGGCCCAAGTGAACCACCACCACCACCCACTCCAACCCCTATTTGGGAGTGATCGGCCGGGTGTGGGAGGGGTTCGGGGGCGGCCTTGGTGGGATCATTGGCAGGTCGGTGGGAGGGGCCTTGACTTACACACCTGAGTACATGCCTCCTCCTCATGTGGGTGAGGAGCTGGCTGTATTTAAGTCATGACCTCGGCAGGGCTTAGGGCTGTTGCGCCTGACCGGGCATGTGGTGGGATTCGGAGATGTGACCTTGGTCCCACGACTCGGACGACTTTGGGATCTCTCTCTTATTCTACAGTTGCCGTTATTGTCCTTCTCTGGCGGCGACGATAAGGTTGAGGTGCTGCCCGCTCATCTACCCCGACCTCCTTTTGCTTTTTCTTGTCGTGGTTTGTGTCTGTCGTTTTGGACATTGTTGCATCCTGTACATATAATTGCATCCTACAACAGAACATACAGCGGACGGACGTAGCTCGCGGCATAGCGCCCAACCCCCCAGCTCGATCACCATGGCTCTCCTCCGACCATGGCTCGCCCTCCTCGGCAACCTCACCCCCTCCTCCTCACCGCAACCGCCCCATCCCCCGCAACAGCAGCAGCGGCAGCAGCCCCCCTCCCGGCTCTCCCCCTCCACTCCTCCAGCCGCTGGATCCTCGACGCCAACAACAACCGCGTCAAGCTCCGCTGCGTCAACTGGGCCGGCCACATGGAAACCAACATCCCCGAGGGGCTCCAGCACCAGCCTCTCGACCACATCCTCGACTGGATCGCCGCCCAGGGATTCAACTGTGTCCGTCTGACCTACTCCATCGACCACGCCCTCAACCCGGACCAGCCCGTGGCCGCTTCGTTCGAGGCCGCTGCGACGGCGGCCGGGATCCAGCCCGCTGATATGTCCGCGCTGTATGCGAGGGTCGTGGAGAAGAACCCTTGGATCGCGGGGAATTCTTCCTCCCTAGCGACTAGAGATGCCGCAGAGAACGGGACGACGACGACAACAACAACAACAACAACAACAACAACAACAACAACAACCCGCGACGTCTTCGCCGCAGTAATCGACGGTCTCTACACCCGCAACATCATGACCCTACTCGACAACCACGTCTCCCGTGCCTCCTGGTGCTGCGACCTGACCGACGGCAACGGCTGGTGGGACACCGCCTTCGGCTACAACGAATTCAACAGCCGCTTCTTCCACACCCAAGACTGGCTGGACGGGCTGCGCGCCATGGCCACCTGGGCATACACGCAAAACCACCCCGGGGTAGTGGCCATGTCGCTGCGGAACGAACTGCGCGAGTTTTTACTGCAGGATCTGAACGGCCGCGCGGATTGGTATACGTACGTGCAGCAGGCGGGGGGGATCGTGCATGCGGCGCATCCGGATGTGTTGGTGGTTGTGGGCGGGGTGCAGAGTTCGACGGATTTGTTGCATGTGCGTACTGCTACGGGGGGGAAGATGCTGGATACAAGCGGGTGGTCGGGGAAGCATGTGTGGGAGATGCATGCGTATAGTTTTACGGTGACGTTTCCGGATGTGTTTCAGAGTTGTGATGTGGTGAAGGCGCAGTATGGGGCTATGGACGGGTTTGTGTTGACGCAGGGGGAGGAGTATACGGGGCCGTTGATTTTGAGTGAGTTTGGGGTGGGGATGGAGGGGGGGGATCCGGCGAGGGATGGGTTGAGTGAGAAGGATGATCGGTATTTGAGTTGTATTGTGTCGTATATGGAGAGTAATGATGCCGAGTGGGCGGTGTGGGCTGTTCAGGGGAGTTATTATGTTCGGGATGGCAAGACGGATTATGATGAGAGTTGGGGGTTGCTTAAGAGTGACTGGTCTGACTGGCGGAATCCGGCTTTTGCTGGGAGGTTGGGGGCTATGTGGAACATCACGCAGCAGCCGTGAGAGGCGTCCTCTCTTCATTAGGGAGGGCGTGCGGGTGGTCGGTTGGACCGGGAACGAAGGGATGGAGGACGACTGTATATTGTTAATGCTCTGTTTGTTGTTTTCTTGTATATGATTTTGCATTTTGGACATAATTAGGGAGGAGGTTCATGGTTTTGGGATATAAGACGTCTTGCCGCGGCCTGCTCCCGTGTAAAATTCGTCACATAGATGATCTGATGTATTCGATAAACTCGATCCCTCATGATATAGTCTAACGCCGACCTGGTATCTTACTGACCTAAAATCATTGTTTGATATTGCTTCCGAACGCCAACCCCCTGAACACCCGCCATTCCCGGTCCGCACATCCCTCACCCTTCAAGGTTGAAAAAGGCATCATCAAACTCCCCTGTCCCGACATTGTTGTCGCCCGAGCCAAAATAGAGGTCGTTAAAGTTGCTGTTATCCCCGTTCCCGAGGTCGTACTCGAGGTCCATGTTGTCCATGTCTCCTTGGCCCAAGTCAAACAGCCCGTCAATCTTCTCGTCCACGTTGGTGAGGTCGTCGGTAAGGTCGTTGGGGGTTTTGTTCACTTTCACGCTAGAGAGATCCAGGCCCATGTTGGCTACGTCCGCCGGCCCGGCGGCCGGGGAGGGCTCCATCTTAGGCACTGGGGCTACCCCAGTTCCGGGGTTGACGGTCGTCGTGATAGGCCCCGGTAGCGGCTGCTGTTGAGTTTGTTGCTGCTGTTGCTGCTGTTGCTGCGATGCACGTCGTTGTGCCTGGGTCATCGCCTGCTTCTGCAGCGGCGTGTCACCAGCCGTAGGCGCTAGTGAGAAGGTCATGTCGGTAAATAGGTTCCCACTGGCGGGGGCTACACCCGTAACATTGCCTGCGCCTGGTGCGGATGCTTGTCTGCTCATTGCTGCACCCGCGCCTGTGCCTGCACTTGGTGCTTTGAGCTGGGCCGCTGCGTTGAGAGGTGTCTGGGGCGCTGTCACTACCCCTCCTGGGCGGTGTGGTTGAGGAGGCGGCGCTGCTTTGGGCTCGTTCTTTGGTGGAGCGCTGGCCGGCCGGGATGCAGCGGCCGGTCGGGCCAGGTTCTTGACCTCCTTGGGCTTGTGGGCCATCTTGGGGCTGGGCGTCGCCGCGGTCTTGAGCGTCGTATCTTCAAACTCCATGTTCGGAAACGGAGCTACCGGCTTGTTCGCCTGCTTCAAGGAGGGCGATGGCCCGTGGCTAGCCAGCGCAGTTTTGGCCGTCAGCTTTGGCGACTCCAGATCGACGACCATGGGGGCCGGTGGAGCGACCGGCTTCTGCTGTGGTGGCGGTGGCGGTGGTTGACGTTTGGCCTTGATGACCTTGAGGTCTCGCTCAAGCACCGCTTTGGACAGGAGCTAAACAGAGTTAGTGAGAGGGCGCGCCACGCTCGGCAATGCTGCCGCTGCTGGGCTGTTTTTGCTTACAAGATCACACTCAAGGTCGTCGAGCAGGGCGTTGAACTTCTCGAAAGACTCGGGGATTCGCGTCTCAATGGTCGCTGCCGCAGCAGCAGGATTCCCCCGACCATCTCGACTCGCCGCCCGGAAGGCTTTGGCTGTGGTGACTAGCTTTGTGACAGTTAGCATTTCATCGTCGTCATCATTGCCAACATCACCCCCCACACAGGGCTTTTTCACTAACCACCTCATTGACCACGTTTGGCAGTTTGTCAATCGGCCGGTCGAGTGGCCGCCGGCCTGCCATCTCGAATGCTTCCCGGTGAGCCGGATCCTAAGAAGCAGAAAGTGTTCGAAAACGGACGTTGGGAATCTCTCCCTTTGTCGCGTGGACCGTGTCAGGGCTTAAGTGAGAGCCGACAACGGCGTTATTCGTGAATGAATCGGACCCGTGTTCCGCTCGACTCTTGACCGTGAGACTTAGGAATCACGGTACGACAGGTCAATTACGACGGCGAGCATTACAGACGGCGATGAATTGATGCTGATTTTTGTTATCTCGACGGCGCAGCCTGGCTGGCGTTCAGGGTGGTTTGCCAACTCTTTTAACGTTATGCCGCTGCCAGCCAATCAGCAGCACAAGCTTCCCCAGGCGGCCCGTGCACGAGTGCGCGCGCAGCCCACCCCAGATCGATGGACCCGACCTCGACCCCACCAGCCCTGCAGGGCGCCAGGCCATCGTCAAAGATGAAATCTTTGGGAGGTTCGAGGGTTCAGGCCATATTCTTTGTTTGCTGTCCTTTTTGCTGGTCTCTTGTGTGGCGAATGGGGAATTTCCTGTAGCGCGTGTGCGTGTGTCTTATTTTAGAATTCTGCAACTGAAACCCATGTCAAGTTTTTTCGTCCTTGCTTCGCATTTTGGTACGAGAGCCGGAATATCCAATGGACTCGGGCGCCGGAGTTCAAGTTATGATGAAAATCTAGGTCAGACAGATTCCTCTTCGGTGTAGGGCATCGTCCAATGCAACCCATCCACACATACCTAATGAGACGGCCCTAGATGGTCCAAAAAAGGGGGGTTGAAGCAAGACCCTCCGTTTTTCTCTGACCCTCGCAGCTCAAAGAGCTGTGGTGCTGTGTCCTGCGTCGACTAGCGCCAAGCACATCTCACTCAGGCCAGACAGTCATGAACTGCCCGCCACTTGCCATCCCTGGCCCTCGACTCCCCAGCCTGGCCAAACGGATCAGATCATGCATGGACGGGTCAGGTGCGAATTGGCTAGACGCGCCCAGGAAGAAGGTGCAAACGGGATTGATGTGCTTGGAACTGAACGCTTGGTGAGGGGCTCCCGCTGGGGCCACTCTGAGGGCCGTTCCCCCCCTCCTGTCCTTTCTCAAGAGAAAAGCGCGAAGTGGTGTTCGCCAATCTTGAGTCAATGGTACGATCAAAAATCCTTCCCCGCCTCGCGATAGCTGTCGTCTTCTCCTTCTCCCATCCCGTTTCCTAGCTTCCTCCGCCCCAGCAAGGAGTTTTCTTCGTCACGTCTCGTCTTGGATCGGCCGGCGCTGTTTGATTTCGGAGGCTCTCCTCCTTTTTTTAACGGCCGGGTCTTTTCCCTCTCCTTTCGTGGTTTCTCCCTGCTCCATCTCCTTGTCCCTCCTCGTTGTCGTCCTCGTTGTCTCTTAACCTCGGTTTTCCATCCTCGTCGTCAATTCGGCCTTTTCTGTGTCTCATTCCTCGACTTCTGCTACGCTTTCCCGGATCCTATCCAGGCCTAGGTGTCCATACTCACACGCTGCACGCCCTGACGCCTACCCTCCGTCTCCAATTCACGTTCCTGTGCGGAGCTCTCTTGCGGCCAGCCAAAGCTGCATGTCGCTTTTGGCCAACAAAAGCACCACAAGCTATTGATTGTTCAAGCCGGCCACAACTAAACGCCTTGAGTCGGCCTTCCCCGTTGAGGAGCTTTTCAACACTTCACGGTTTCGAGAAACGAGCTAAAGGAGGTCGAACTTCTTGACTTTCCGCCATCCTTGGGCTTCTTGTTCCTGTCCCCATTCTCACACACCCCCCGCAGCAGGTGTTGAGCCCCTCTCGAAAAAAAAACACCGCCAGATATCCCGCCCTGGAGAACTTTTTCTCTTTGCATCCTCACTCTTCCAAGTGAGAACGCTTCTGTCGTCTGGATCAGTCCTGTTCACCGAGACAGGCATCCTGGTCATATTTCCACCGTTCTTCTGCAGTTGCATCTCCTTAGTGGGGTTTTCCCTGCCAAGAAAAGGCCCTTGAGCAATCCCTCCTGTTCCCACTGCATTCAATTCGCCTAGCAACCGACTTGCGCTTTCCTCTCGCAACCAACTTCTCGCCACAACCGATCGAGCAAGATGGCTGACAACGGGCCGCCCACGACCTCTGGTCAGCTTCCCCCTCCCCCGCAGCCCAATGCGGGCGCGCCTGGCTACGAGAACGGCCAGAACGCCGGAGGCAATCCGTCGCACATGCCTCCCCCGCCTCTGCATATCCCGCAGAACACCAACCCCATTCCGACGGCGATCACTTCACCGATGGGCGCTGGCGGCGATAAGAGCGGTATGATGTCTCCCGGTGGTGGTGGTGGCCCTTTTGGCCGTCGCGCTGCCCCTGAGCCGAACAAGCGCGCCTTGTACGTTGGCGGTCTCGACCCCCGCGTTACTGAGGACGTGCTGCGTCAAATCTTCGAGACCACCGGCCATGTTCAGAGTGTCAAGATCATTCCCGACAAGAATGTGAGTTTAAGTCCTAGGGTGGCCGGGAAACAAAAATGGGCAGGGACCATTTTGTGCGATTCGGTCACTGGATTGGTGCATTTGGGTCGCGTCCTCGATCGTGCTTTGTTAAAAAATTCGTTGGCTAACTGTTTTGGAAACGTTTACAGGCTAAGGGGTACAACTACGGCTTTGTTGAGTACGACGACCCTGGCGCCGCCGAGCGTGCCATGCAGACTCTGAATGGCCGGCGAGTCCATCAATCCGTACGTCTTTACTCTCTCCGAGCTTCGACCACCCTCGTCATCCCATCAGCCCCAGCTGTTTCCATCTCATTGTATCGAGCACCTGAAAAAAGGTGAATACAGAATTAGCGTGCTAATATTCATCTCGTTTTAGGAGATTCGTGTCAACTGGGCCTATCAGTCCAACAACACGAACAAGGAGGATACCTCGAACCATTTCCACATTTTTGTGGGCGACCTTTCCAATGAGGTCAACGACGAGGTCCTGCTGCAGGCTTTCTCCGCCTTCGGCTCCGTTTCGGAGGCTCGCGTCATGTGGGATATGAAGACTGGTCGCTCCCGTGGCTACGGCTTCGTTGCTTTCCGCGACCGCCCGGAGGCCGAGAAGGCTCTGAGCTCCATGGACGGCGAATGGCTCGGCTCCCGTGCCATCCGTTGCAACTGGGCTAACCAGAAGGGCCAGCCGTCCATGGCTCAGCAGCAGGCCATGCAGCAGATGGGCATGACCCCGACCACCCCGTATGGCCACCATCACTTTCCCACCCACGGGGTCCATAGCTACGATATGATCGTCAGCCAGACCCCGGCGTGGCAGACCACTTGCTACGTGGGCAACCTGACCCCGTACACCACCCAGACCGACATCGTCCCTCTGTTCCAGAACTTTGGCTTTGTTGTTGAGTCTCGCTTCCAAGCCGATCGTGGCTTCGCTTTCGTCAAGATGGACACCCATGAGAACGCCGCGATGGCCATCTGCCAGCTGAACGGCTACAACGTCAACGGTCGCCCACTCAAGTGCAGCGTATGTCCCGCATCTTGTTACTTTCCCTCTTTACAGCCGACTAACTGTGACACAGTGGGGTAAGGACAAGACTCCGAACCAGCCTCAGGGCTTCGATCCCAGCCAGCAGTACAGCCCCCAGAGCGCTCAGACTCCTGGCTATCCCGGTACACCCTCCACTTACTTCAACCAATACGGCGGTGGTATGTGTCTCTGCGAGAGATACTCGTTTAGGATTGTTTGCTAACCTTTCTTCTCGCACTTAGGTTCCTTCGGTCCCGGTCAGCAGCCCGGATATGCCGGTCCACAGGCCCAATCTCCCGCCGGCTATGGCGGTCAGCCCATGGGCGGCTACAACGGCCCCCCGAGCGCCGGCGGCTACGGCCGTGGCGGCCAGCAGTCCAACGCGCAGTGGAACCAGGCTCCTCAGGGCCAGAGCTTCAACAACGGCTTTTCTGGTTACCAAGGTTAGAAGCCTAGGCGCAACCTGGTCAGCTCGCTGTAGCACCGCCGCTCATACCTCTCACATTATCTGGTCCTGTGACCATCACTGATACGGGAACTTTACAATTTTCTTCCAAACGTCGAAACGCCCTTTTATGATCTTAGGAACCTTTCAGGCGGTCATTCGAGTTGATTTTCGGGGAATCTGGTCGGGAAATGAGCGTGCTTTGTCTTACTTCTTTCCGTTCCGTGTATTATCTCCGTTTCTTCTCTCTTTACAGATTGCGCTTCTCGTTATCGTCGCCGTCGCCGCTGTCGTCGTCTTCGCCTTCGATTTTTGCCCTCTGTTTTTCCTCTCTCCTATTGCAGTGATATCCCCGCGGATATAATCCGGTCGGCTCCTGCGTTACCTTTTATTTCTTTCGCTATCTCCTCAGCAATCTTCTCACGTATCTCTCCTGATATCAAGCTTCTTGACGTCTCAAAAATGATTGATTCTATGGCATGTGTTTCGCCTTACTTATTTCCCTTCTCACGCCGTGATGGATACGATACGAGACGATACCACTTGCTTGATTTCTGGCGAAACGTTCCTATCTCTGTTTACCCGGTCGCCTTTTGCTATGTTCCGTGGCTCAGCCATCCCCTGTTTGCTTTTCCGCGGTTTCTACCGCTAGCTCGTCTTGAGCTGCATCTTCTAAGCCGGAGCCGTAGGTCGTCTTGAATACTCTCCACGCACCTTCTGCGCTTCCTTCAACTTAGTCATCAAGGGGTGGGCAAAAGAGAGAGGCAGAGCGGAAAATAGGCGTTATCCCGTTTGGCGGGCTAAATTCGAGTGCGATCTAATCCCTTTCCAATCTCTATAAGGATTCTTGTTGGTCATTTTGGTAGAAGCAGGAGCCAGCTTGGCGGCATGTTCACACCTTCAGATGAGTGCGCAAAACATCTGTGTCGCTCGTGCACATGCATTCCCACACTGGGGAAAGGGTTGGCGACTTTGAAGAAAACGGCTGGAAAAACTGATCGCCGGTTTGGAACAAATGAATATCAACCCGGTTAGTTGGTTGGGAAGACAAAATCAGTGCCCTTTTTTCTTGGATAGCGGTGAAATAATTGCAAAAGGAAACCTCCTTCGGCTGTTGGTTGTCTGCCATTTGTCTTGCCATTCCTCTAGTGAATGCTATTCCCGTCGCCTCCGATAAGCAGACCTATGCATAACCTCAAAATTCGGGAAAAGCCTACCTAGGTCGTGGCCAGGAACAAATGACTAAAATTCCTACCTAGGTATGTACCTGCGCAATGTACAGCCGTTAGAAGGGAGTGCAACATAAGTAGATCCAGTGTCCATCATGCAGGGCGAAGGCCCGGGGGTCGAGTGGTTGAGGGCGAGAGGAATGGACGGAGGGTTGGGCATCAATTCGCCACGCTTTTCGGCGCCTGGAAGAAAGCTGTGTAGTGGTGCCGTCGGCTGTCACGCTGTTTTACTTCAAGAAGTTGGCCGTCATCAGAGACAATGACGGAACTACCGTGATGTGCCTAACTTGCAGAATAGTTGATGCCGACCACCTCCAGCTTTGCCGACCTTCCTCGCGGGCTAGGTGTGCTTGCGTGCTCGCCGTTCCTTGGCCGTTTTCGAATCTACCTTTCCACGCAGGTATGTGTTTTCTAAGAGGCCCCAGCTTCGGGTTAAAGAAGACAATGACGATTGCATGAAAGAGATCAGAGGAGTTCCAGGGAAGCTCGAAACCGGAGCTCGGCAAATGGAGGGACGGAAGTCTGGAATTGGGAACGGGAAGGGGCGCTGAAGTTTGGCGAGTTCGAGAACATCAGTCAACTCGGGCTCCTCATATGGATCAGGAGGGAGTAGGCAAGGAGCCACTTTTTCTACCTTTCTCTTCTTTTTTTGGGCTCTGATTTCTGGGCAGTGGTAAAGTCTCCTAGACGGGGTTCTGTCGTCTGTAACTTACGGTATACACATATCCGAAGCGCAGCTTGGTGGTTGACAGTTTCGAAATGAGCAAGCAGCACTGGACTGCTTTGAAAGTTTGAAACTTGGTGTTCCCTGTGTGGGCTTTGGTCTGTTGCGCTAACTCGGTGCTAAGCGGGGCTCGGGCCGGGCCAGCAGACCCCCATCGCCCATGCCATTGTCATCCGTGACTCTTCCGGCTCATCAACAAATCTAGTCAGTCATTAGTCTTCCGGCACCATTGGTGTCTCTAGAATTTTTGCTTCCGGTGTCTGAAACCATTCGTGCAATCCCGGATTTGTCCAACTCCACGGCTGGCTAGAAGAGCTGATCGACCGTACCGCAGCAGCTAAGGTCCCTTCGTTCCCCTCCTCCGGCCCCTCTGCAGCCATTGAGCACCGGGTCTTCCCCGCCCCCATCAAATTCTCCTTCTCAGACACAGCAGCTCCTGCCAAACGCGTCGCACCCAAGCGCCGCTTCCCAATCCACCCCTGCTCGAGGGCCTGGCTCGGCCTGGCTGCCTGCCTGAGAACGCCCACTGGAAGAGCAGAGCAAAGTGGGGTGGGCCGTCCGCCGGCTGCCCGTGGCTGACCCGCTTTCTTGGCCCAGAGAGCAGTGGTCGAGTTCCAAGTGCTTGCTGTGTGCTTGCACCGAGTGTGTTCAGCAAGCGGGTCCCCGCCCTCCGCACGAAGATCGAAAGAGAAGAGAGGAGCGAGCCCAAGGACGGGGCAGCAGAGGACCCGACCCCAAAGTTGCGTGCGTTTACACACACCCACCATCCCCGATCCCCAAAACAACAAACAACCGCCCACAATCAGTGAGCGCCCGCCGTCCGTTCCCCCCGTTGCCCCCCAGCACCAGCAGCCATGGAGCAATGGCAGGCGTACAACGACCCTGCCAGCGCCGGTGGCCAGCGACGGTACAATGGAAGCGCCGGCAGCCAGATGTCGGGGCAGTTGTCAGGGCAGATATCGAGCCAAATGTCGCCGCGCGACTTTGGCTCCAATTCGGGCGGCCAGAACCCGGCGCAAGCACCGCCTGCCGGCTTCAAGTACGATAATTACCAAGGCGGCCTCAACCCGCACCAGACAACATCATCCGCCACCTCGCCCATGGCAAGCCCGCACCTGCGCGACGGTAACGGCGATGTGTCGATGCAAGACTCCCACGATGCGTATTCCAACGCCAAATACCCGATGCGACCCCTTCACCAACATCACCTCTCGAGCAGCGGCCGCACTGCCAACCTCCAGCAGGAACCTTCGGCTGCCGCCCAAAGGTACTCCCCCATGGAGGTGATGTCGCCCACCTCCCCCTACGGGCCCAAGTCGGGCGCCTCGAGCCAGTTCTCGTCGCAGCAACCCTCGCAGCGCCAGTCGCCCACCCGCTCGTCCGACTACGCGGTCCCGTCCCAACAACAAAGCCCCTACTACGGCGGCGGCAACGCTCGCCAAGTAGCGGCACCTCAACTTCCGCCCATCAGCCCGTACGGAACCGGCTCGCATCAAGATTCATACTCACCGTCGTCGGCCGCTATGGATGGCTCGTATGCGGACCCCAAGTCGCCCAAGCGTGCCCCGCCTCAATCGGCCGCTCCTGTCCAGCACGACAGGGGCCCGGTCCCTGAGTTCAAGCGGATTCGCGGGCCCACAGACCTCAAGCCCAAGGTCAACGACCAGCCTCCGTTCCGGCGTGCGAACCCAGAAGGCGGCTTCATTAGCGTGAGTCCTCCATTTGTTGTGCTCTGGTGGTTCATCGCAGCTCAACCCCCCGCGTGTGTGTCCTTGGGGATAGTTTCGAATCTCGCTAACCTGCTTTCCCCTGTGAGACAGCCCCTCCAAGCGCTTACCGTGCAGCTCCCCGCCACTTACCGCATTTGCAACCCCGGTTTCAAATATGAATCGTCCCGCAACCCCCGCCGTGTCTTGACGAAGCCTAGTAAGGGGATGAAGAACGATGGTTACGACAACGAGGATAGTGATTACATCCTTTATGTCAACGACATTCTTGGATCGGAGGAGGCGGGCCATAAGTACGGTTTTCAATTGACGGGCGAACCAAAAAAAGATGCAGAAGCTAACGACTGGACGTCTCAGGAACCGGTATCTGATCCTTGACGTTCTTGGCCAAGGTACATTCGGTCAGGTAGTGAAGTGCCAGAACATGAAGACTCAAGAGGTAGTTGCCGTCAAGGTCATCAAGAACCGCACTGCGTACTTTAATCAAAGTATGATGGAGGTTTCGGTCTTGGATTTGGTACGCCACCTTGGTCCACATCCTGAAGTTTTGGAAACTAACAATTTGCGTGTAGCTCAACACCAAGCTGGACAAGAACGACGATCACCACGTCCTACGGCTCAAAGACACCTTCATCCACCGGCAGCATCTATGCCTAGTGTTCGAGCTGTTGAGCGTGAACTTGTATGAGCTGATCAAGCAGAATCAATTCCGCGGCCTCAGCACAACGCTTGTCCGAGTGTTTGCCCAGCAACTGTTGAACGGCTTGACCTTGCTGAACAAGGCACGGTTGATCCACTGCGACTTGAAACCAGAGAACATTCTGCTTAAAAATCTCGAGAGCCCGATCATCAAGATTATCGATTTCGGATCCGCTTGCGACGAGCGACAGACAGTCTACACCTACATCCAATCCCGTTTCTACCGTTCACCCGAGGTCCTGCTCGGCCTTCCGTACTCCTCCGCCATCGACATGTGGTCTCTCGGGTGCATCGTCGTCGAACTCTTCCTTGGTCTCCCCCTTTTCCCGGGCTCCTCTGAATACAACCAAGTCTCGCGGATCGTCGAGATGCTCGGAAACCCTCCAAATTGGATGATCGAGATGGGGAAACAGTCTGGGGATTTTTTTGAGAAGAGGCAGGACGAGTACGGCCGGAGGACGTACCACCTGAAGAGCATGGAGCAATATTCGAGGGAACGCGGCGTCAAGGAGCAGCCTAGCAAGAAGTACTTCCAGGCGAATACCCTGCCTGAAATCATCAAGTCGTACCCGATGCCGCGGAAGAACATGAAGCCATCGGAAGTCGATCGTGGTAAGTTCCCTTCGTTTTCTTTCTTTTTATACTCCATCGTGACGCTTGCGGCTTGTTGCTGACTGGTTTTGATAGAAATGAACAACCGCGTTGCGTTCATCGACTTCGTTAGGGGTCTGCTTATGATCAACCCCCTCGAGCGATGGTCCCCGCAGCAGGCTAAGCTCCATCCTTTTATCACACAACAAAAGTACACCGGCCAATTCGTGCCACCGATGAACCTCAAATCCAGCGCCCTCAATCGGTCACCGGCCCCAGGTACACAACAACAAATACAGGCCGAGGCTTTGAGTAAGCAACGGGCACAAGCCGCACAAGCTCAGGCCGCTGCAACCACGGCCGCTCAGGGTGGTTACGGGTCCATGGGTGCTGTCCAGTACCAACAACAAGGCCACCCACCACAGCCTCAACAGCAGCAACAACAACAACAGCAGCAGCAACAGCAGCAACAGCAAATGTACGGGAGTGCCAACAACATGTACACCCCGACCGGCTCGCACACTGGGGCGCCGCCACCATACAGCGGCCAGCAAGGGAATGGTGGTGCCGGATACAACCAGCTGGGCCTGGCGCAAGCACCCGTGCAGATGCCACCAGCGAACTACGCCCAGTCGAGCTTGTACGCACAGCAGCAGCAGAACCGGTCACGACAGCGCGCATCGACCATGGAACAACAACAGAGCGGCATTCCCGCCGCCATCCAGCGCGTGGCGAGCCACCTTGACCCCAACCAGCCGATTCGCTTGCAGCCCAGTCCTGCGTACTACCCACCGCCGCCCGAGGGCCTGGCCGGTATGGACCACCAAACCTCCAACCGACAGCCGAGAAGGGGAAGCAGAGCGCAGCAGGGCGGCGGCAGGGGAGGAAGCAACCGGGACTTTATTCGGAATCTGGAGGAGGGTGCGCTCGGGGAAGGTTTCGTGGGAGGTGGGCAAGGACAGTGGCATTAAGGGAGGGTCAGTGGGGTGCATCATGCGGTTAGGGACCGCGAAGCATGAGGATAGCGGGCATTGGGAGAATGGAGGCAGGCGGTTACTGCTAGTTGGATATGGAGTCAAGCCACCCGAAAGGGGCGATGCGAAGGGAAACGGAAAGGGGGCAAAGGAGGGCGAGGCGAGGCGAGGCGAAACGGGCCTGACGACGAGCATGATGGTGGTTTATGGGTTCCAGAGGTCCCTCACTTGTCCAGTTGGCTGCAAATTGCAATTGCAATTGCTTTTCTTTTTCTTTGTCCCCGCCTTGTTGCTCTCCGTTCTCGCTCACTCTCATCTGTGTGGCCGCGTTTGTGTCTGGACTAGCTTGGGGTTGGTCGGTCCCCTTTGTTGTTTTGTTTGTTAGCTTCGCAGTATTTACCCGTTTATTTTTTTCTTCAGGGCTGGCCGACAGAGTGTCACTATGGCTATGGAGGCTTCGGTTTCGAATTGCATTGTTATGCCGTGTATTGTCGTCTCCGTGACATTAACTATTGGTTGCTTGTTGTTCTATGGTGCTAGCCTGCTGATTCCTCCTTTTTCGTGGAGTGAGAGATCGGGAATGGGCGAAACCATGTCAGTCCCGACCTAAGAGGAAGAAGTGGAGAGGGTTATGACGGTGGTCGTTTTACAAGACTCACTGACATGCCAGATAGAATACTAACAGGCTGCGGCAAAGTGCGTTGTAGACTTATCGAGAAAAGAAACCTTACCTTTTCTGATATCACAATGAGAGAATAAGCAGAATAAGAGCATCAAGAGTAACTATTGTACTTAGCTCTCAATAAGAGGAACCTTAGGAGACAACGTGTGGGATACAGTGCGACCTTCAGCGTCTGCTCAAAGTTCGGACTGTGCGGTCGGCGCTTTTAAGCTGTGGGATCCCCTCGACGCGCGCCAAAAAACGCGGCTGCTCAGCTCACACGAAGCAGCGCAGGGAATTAAGATTCGTCCAACCACAAGACCGAACTTCTGAAGAACAAACCCTCCGCATTATCATCGCCACCACGCGCTCAAGCCGACCTCGCCCATTTCACTAAAGATTTAGTTTATCTAAGCTTTTGATTTACGGGCAGTACAGTGATTGGATTTTACTCCGAATACAAACCTTCGATCCCACTCGTTCGTTACCTCTTTGTTTGCACCATGGCCGCGACCGACAAGAATGGCGGCAAGGCTGCGCCAAACTTGGAGAAGATGATCCATGATGGTATGTGAAAGTCCCCGGCGCCGCGCGCCAAGCTCGATAGTAATTACACGATACCAACTGCTTTCTACTAGCTCGCGATCGCAAGAAGAACGAGGCGCTTGCCGCCAAGATTTTCAACAAGGACCGTCCGTCGCCTGCTTCCAACAAGTCGTCACCGTCGCCCGCTGGTAGCCTCGCTGGGAGTCTGGCCAGCCGCGCTGGTGTGAAGAAGGTAGGGACACGACCATTAAAATATTAGGTCGTCCGGATCTTCCCTTGCTAACCCCCGACCGATAACAGCAGCGCGCAGAGCCCGCCAGCCGCCTGCGGCACAGCACCGGCAATATCGATGGGGAATGGACACACGATCTGCACCGCGAGATACCACGGGGTCCCCGGGCTCAACAAAACACGAACGGCAACGGTGCTGGCAGCAAGAAGGCCAACGGGAGCGGCGCCGGGTCGCTCGCCGCGCGCATCACCGATCCCAATGCCCCCTACACCGGACCGGCTAGCCACCACCGCCAGACACGTCGCGCCGCAAGGGTTGCGCAAGCCTTGATAAGGACGGAATTGCAGTCCTCGCGCGGTGGCGGTCAACAGCAGCAGAAGCAGCAAGCGGCCAACGGCAATACACCCATCCCGACGGGTCCCAAGGCGATGACACAGAAAGCCACGGCGGCTAGCTCGTTCAACAAGGGCATGACGATCCGCGGGCTGGCGGGGCCGTTTGTAGTGATGGCGCAGAACTTTGCGCCGGGGACGACGGCGGCGGATATTGAGAGCGCGGTGACGCCTGTGGGCGGGATTGTTACCGACTGCCGTATTATCAAGCACCACCCGCTGGTGATTGCGGAGATTGTGTTTGAGAGCAAGGAGGGCGCGGATAACGTGGTCAATACGTTTAATAATCAGACGGTATGTTTTTGGGCTCTTTTTTTTTCGGTGCCACCAAAGTTCGAAGGCTCGTTGTCAACTAACCCATTTTCTTTCTGCATCCAGGCCGATGGTCGTGTCCTCAGCGTCTACCTCAAACCCGGCAACACCCCCTCCACACCCGCCACCACAACAAGGCGCGCCTCCTACGATAATCATCAAGATGCAGTCGTCGACGGCTCGTACGGCTTCGACGACCCGATGGATACCGACCGCGCCGAGTCAAAGACATCAACGGGGAATGGCAAGGCACCGCCTACCGGCCCTGCTGCTGGGAGTGGCGGGTTGTACAGCGATAGTCTTATGAAGACGAATCGCTGGGGGAGGGGTTTTGGCAGTGGGGCTGGGCGATCGGGGAGATAAGGGGTCCTTAATCGCTTAGTGTTGTTTTGTGTGTTGTACTGGGGTTCCATGATAATGGGTAATATGGTGGATGTGTTTCTGGGATGGGAACCTAGAAGCAGGCATCTATCTATCTGAAAATGGGGATCTGGGGTGAGAGAGGTGGGAGATGGAGATTTGCCGGGGGTTCTGGCTGGCTGGCTGGATGGATGAAACACATCGATTGGCTTTTTGAGGTTTAGTCCACTTCACACATGAGCACCACAGATAGATACACTGCACACACGCACGCATGCCTTTTAATGCCGGAATGATGGAATGGAAGCAATGGGTTCGTTTGTCATGGTGGCGGTTAGGCATGGCGTATCTAGTGTTTTCAGGTGACCCTTTGCTCCTTTTCTCCATTCTGTTGGGCCACTAGGGGGTTTCTCCTGGAAGTGAAAGAAACCCCGATGTAAGGTCCATTGCTTTCTCCTTTTCGATGTCAACCTGCTGACTTGCTTTGATAGATCCACCATACACAGCCGAGGTGATAGTCACCGTGTCAGTAGTCACCGTGTCAGGTATGTCTTGGGGCGTGTACTCGCCTGTACGATACCTGGCCGGGTCGCGACTGCTGTTGTTGAGATACACGGGGGGCGCCTTCTCAATAACCTACATCGATTGACTCTCCTTCCATTAGCACCAATATGGAAGAGGGCACCTTCCCCAGCTCTATGTCGTCATCCTTCTTTTGTCGTTCTCTTTGTTTCTTGTGGATGGCCTTGCCGGAACAACCATCCGTCTTTCATGGGGTGGAAAGTTGGCCCAGGAGTTATTTTGGTATCATTACTTGGGAGACTCATGTCTTCCCCCTTCTATCTTCTTTGCACACCGTCTTATCACGTTGTATCGAATTCAATATTATAACCACTTTGCTCCCCCAAACATGTCGACGACCCCCAGCTCCGGCGGTCAAAACGACCAGGCGAGCCTCATCACGCCGGTCACCACCGGCACAAGCAGCCCACGCGGCTCGATCGTGGACTCGCTCCGCCGCAAGACCTCGCGTTTTCTCCTCCGCCGGGATACCCCCATTGTCTTGACCGCAACCGTGGACAACAGCATTGCTCAAGATGTCGCAGCCCGGCCACTTATCAAAACCAAACGCGGTTGGTTTCAGTCGGTGGGCAGCCGTTTCCACAGTCAGGGCCGCCACGCCGCCCTGGGATCGTCAGGGAGCTCCCAGTATCTTCAAATCGAGATGGCGGAGTCCCCTTCCTCCTCGCCCCCCACGGATCCCGTGTCGACTCCAGAGATCTCGCCGGCTCTGACACCCCCAAAACGCCATCGCTTGAAAGGGCGGTTCCAGTTAAACACTCTGCCGGCGAGGTTTCGTCGGCGGAAGGTTGATGTGTTCAGCCGCTCGCCATCGTTATCGGACGAGGACAAGGAGAACTTCCTGGACCAGTCCGCGCCTGTCCGGCCGGGTTATGCGGTGAATACGGGTAGTTGGAGCTCGTTCCGATTTGGGGTGCATAAGGCTGTCCGAGGTGAGAGAGGTGGTTTACTTGCGATGTGGAAGTGGAGTTGCGATGCTAACTAGGGGTGGCACCAGAGATCGTAGACGGTGATTTCCGCTTCTACGAAGACCGCAACGATAGGAGTGAGTCGAGACGCCCTAGCCTGCAACAAGCCGTTGTGGTCATTATGCTAATGTACACAAGACTTGTCACACTCCCGTCCATCACCGAGGCCTGCTCTACGGACTCTGTGGACTATCATGTCCGCCGATTCTTCCGAGTGAGTGGCATATTCTTGCGTCTTGTCTTGTTTACCGCGCCTTCCCTCCCTCTTGTCGCAACCCGCCCACCCTCTATAAACCAGTTCCGCGTACACCGTTTTCACCGCCCCCCACAACAATAGCCCAGTGGGGTGGCTGTGGGCGCTTTGGGTACACCACAAAACCTTGGGCTCCGGGTTCGAACACTGGAGTTGTCACGGAGTAAAACCTTAAAAAGGGTTTTCGTAGCCGCCTACTGTACCTCGCCTCCGTTTCCGGGGGGGCATAGGAGAGGTAGGCGGTGAGCTTTTTGATTCCCATTCTTTTTTATTTTATTTTCTTGAACTTACTTGCCCATCTATTTTTGTTATTTCTTTGACTTTCATCATAGGGGACGTTGCTAATATGACGCTGTCATGTTCAGAGGCAACACTACTCACCCCAGATCAGTTCCGCCAACCCCGGCCCCCTCGATACATGAGTTGGCGAACAGTCCCAAGAGATACCAGCTGTCTTCCCCGACTTGGTCTCCCGAAGGGTCACCACCTTCAACGCCGGAACAGGTTGCCATGACGCTTTCTCGCAGGTCTTCCTCGGTTCACTCCGCCCGCTCGGCCTCCCGCGGTAGCGATGCGGCATCCCAGAAAAGCTCACCTGGGGCATTGACTCGTTCTGGGTCAACAGCAGAATCATCGCCCCCCCTGACACCTCCTCGCCCGAGCTTAGAGAGCCGCAGGGATGGGAGTTTGGATTCTGTGAGGATTGTGGACCAAGGAGATGGAGGAGACGAGGAGGCTCTTTTGAGGGCACTAACTCCAACCCGGGATATTGAAGATGAGGAAAACGAGCTGGGCGACTTTCGATGGCCGAGCGAGACTCGGAGACTAAACGGGTACGGGAGGAACGGAGATGTGGTCCTGTTGGGTGAGAGAGGGGGCAGGCCGAGGGTTGTGTTGCACCCTGCGAGTGTCTTTTGATAAGGGGCGGATAACAGGTGATGGTTAGGGTAGACTGCATACTATAATCAGTATTGATAGATGCGACGAACAAGACCCTGAGATGACTTCCGTCCGAGTAGCTTGGAGTATGGTCATTGGTTGAGGAGAGATGGTTAGGACACTGTAGAAATATGCAAAAGACATACACACAAACGGGTGACTCTAATGAAGTGGTGATTGCGCCTTTGCCCATGGGGTGAGGTGGAAGCGTGTTAACTGCTTATACAAAACTCGTAAGATGCCGTCCGTTTTTTATGCGTACAGTGTTGTTCTACATGATAATGTTACATTTTAGCCTTTGTGTCTTCCTAAATCCAATCCCTGCTTTGCATCGTTCGTCATCGTCATGATCTCTATATCCCTCGTCCCATCACCCTTATGATAGGTACCCCATCTTTCTCAGTTACTCTCACTCACTCCCTCTCTGTAGTTTCTCTCTATTTCTATTCCCTACCCACGTCGTCCCCATCCAGATCCAGATCGAGAAGAAGAAGAAGGATTCCGTCTATTCTGCCGCTGGCCCCAGGTCCCCGTGGCAATCTTTTTGTTGTACCGCCGTTGATAGGGCAGGGTAAATTCTTCGAGGACTGTGATGTTTTGGCGGTCTGCTCTTTTGAGGGCGGAGGAGAGGTCTGTGTTTTGTTTTGGGGTTGGTCTTGCGGTGTTGGGCGTGGGTGTGGAGTCTTCTTCGTAGGGGCTTCGGGGTTGGGGCCGGCCTTCTGCTTGGGCTTTGGCCGCGCGGATGTCGATGATGCGGTCGATTTGGTCGAGTTGGTTGGGGAGGGGTTCGCCGAGACGGCCGTCGCCTGTGGGGGGTTGAGGGGGGTTGGAGGGGGGGACGGGGACTCGGTAGGGGTGCAGGTGCGGTTGGGAGTGCGTGCGCCGGAGTTGGTCGTATTCTGCGAGGGCGGCGTCGATTTCGTCTTCGCCTTCGCCTTCTTCTTCTTCTGCTGGGATTTGTTCTTGAGAGGGGATGCCGGATTCAGAGGTAGCAGCGGCATCGGCAGCGGCCCGCTCGGCGCGTTTCTTGGCCACGCGCTCGATGCGCTCGTGCTTTTGCTCGGGTTGTTCGCGGTCTGGGTGCATAGTCATGAGCCAGCGTTCGAGGAGGCGCTGGAGGATGATGCGGCGGAGACGCCAGGTCTTGAGCAGCCGGCGGTTGGTAGCGTGCTGCTCCTGTTGTTCCTTGGCGAGCCGGCGTTGTTCGGCCGCGACGGCTTGCGGATCTTTTGGGGGTTGGTTCGCGTTGGCGGCTGCGGAGGCTTCGGCTGCTGCTTGGGCTGCGGCGAGCATCTGGGCGGGTGTCATCGAGTTGGCAGCGTTGAGCGCGGCGGCTGCTTCGGCGGCCCGTTGGGCGCTGGCGCGGGAAGCTGTGGCGTCGATGTCGTTGGTGACGCGGTCGATGGCGGAGATCATGCGGCGTGCGGTGGCCATGATCTCTTGCATCTCGCCGCGCTTGCGGCTCATCTCTTCCTCGGGGGAGTGGGATTGCGGTACCCCGCCGAAGATGCGGGCTTCGGCGTCGTATTTGCGGGCGGGCGAGGGGTACGACACGGAGCCCGTTAGGATCCGGAAGGGTTCCCACATGCGATCGAGGGCGGCGACTAGCTGGTCGAGGTGGGCGGGGGCCGCGGGCGGGACGGTATTGGGGTCTTCGTAGGGGCGCACGGCTGAAGGGTCAGGCCGTTCCGAGAGTGTCTCGCGCTTGTCGGGGTTCTCTTCGGCGGTGTCGTAGAAGTGCCGGGTGTTGCCGCGGGCGACCTGGAGAAACAGGCGCATGGCTGTGGCGTCGGCGTAGCGTAGATGGCGGGTCATGTGGTCGAAGATGCGGCAGGCGTTGGCGAAGGCGTTCTTGTTGAGGTTGTCGTAGATGCAGGCCTGGAAGCCGCGGCGGAAGGTGGTCGGGAGCAGGATGTTGGTGGGCATGTTGACGATGATATCGGCGACCTGGGCGCTCGCATGGCCCAGCGTGCAGGTCCGGAGGTACAGGATCTGGGTGTGCGGGTCGGGCTGGACCTTGAGCACGTCGGAGAAGAAGTTGTAGTACTTGACCGCGCTGGCCGTCTTGCGTAGGTTGCCGAGCGCCGTCAGGATGACCGACAGCGCCAGGTTACCGGGCTGGGCGAATTGGAAGGCCGAGTTGCGCTGGCCGGCCATCATTCTTTTCTCTCGTGGGGAGATCTTTTTGAGGTCAACAACGGGAGCGGGGGAGTTACTACTATTTGTGTCCGACCAATCCGCCTGGCCCTGAACCTGGCCCTCGCCTTCACTCGCTGAGGCTGGCTCGGCCGAGCTGGCCGATTCCCCTGGCACCTTGGGCTGGGCCGGCAGTGTCGGGTTGTGAAGGTCGAATCTTGGAATCTGCATCGTCTCCTCGACCAGTTCCAACACACTCTCGTTGTCCTTGTAGTCGCCCAAGGTGAGCACCCGGGCCATGGAAAACACCACCTGCTCGTCCAGTATCATCTGGCCTCTCTTCCACGCCTTCTCCGCGTTGTACCACACATGCCGTGCTCTTTCGATGCACTTTTTGACCTCCCGCTTGACTTCGGCGTCGACCAAACCTAAATTGCTCTTGGAGATGGTCTCCGCTTCCACGCGAAGGGCGTTGATGATGATGGTGTACGTGTAGGCATCCGGCATGCGCAGGCCGTGGTCGCTCGTGTTGAGGATGGTGAACATGCTGTCGATGTCCTTGGCGCGGGCGCAGACGTTGAGCACGGCGTTCATGTGGATCGTGTTGGGCTTCAGCGAGCCGCGAGTGAACATGGCGTTGTAGATCCGCGTCGCCTCGGAGACGGCGAGCTTGGGATGCGTGGACATGGCGCAGCCGCGGAAGAGGACGGTGTACGTCTTGACGTTGGGTTCCTGGGCGCGCTTCTTCATCTGTGGGTGGGGGTTTAGTTAGAAGGCTTGCAATGTAGCGCTAGGGAGGTGTAGGCTTATGACGGTCACTCACCTCGTTGAAGAGATCCACAGCAGCGTGCAGACGGCCGTTCTTCATCTGGTAGTCGATCAGATGGTTCCAGCTGACCTCGGTCTGGTAGTCGCGACTCGCCATGCGCGCTATCGTGAGGGCCATGTCGAAGTTGTTCTTGTCCAGGAACTGGTTGACGTGCTGGGCGACATGGTACGGATCCGAGACGAGAGAGAGCTGTTTCTTAGCAGAAGCTTGGAGCTTCTTCTCGTACTTTGCCCTCGCGAGCTCGCCGGCTTGCTGGCTGACCTGCTCGTACTCTGCGTCCCCGTCGTATCTGTCCGGTCGTCGGTCCGTCGGGGCGGGTCTTCTCGCAGCTCTTGGAGGGCGGCCGATCCGGAAGTCTTCTAAATCATCGGCGTATAAGTCATTCGGGGAGCCCTTCGGGTCTAAGCTGGCCATGTAGGACCGCCGGCTTGCGATCGAGCCCGCGACAGTTTGTTGTAGCGGATTTGGGGCTAGACGAGGCCGCAATCGAGCAGCAGCGGCGCCGGCGCCGGTAAGGCTGCGCAGGCAGCCCCTGCAGACAAACATGACAGGACCGGTGAGATCTCAACAGTACCAGCCACAAGACGTTCCCTGTTTCGAATCTTTTATCCGGCAAAAGAAGTGGTGCAGTTGCGAGGGGAAATCTAAACCCCAGCCGTGTCCTCCCAACTACCACCAATTCAAATATTCCAAGCGAAACAGCCTGCCTCCGGGGTAGGTCCCGTCGTGATTGACGGCGTGGTGGACTCGTGGACTCGTGGTGTCGAAAGAATCTGGAAAATTTCCAAGTTCGGATTGAAGTGGGATGGGAATCTTTCGCTCTTTCCCACTTCGCGATGCTTGGCACTTTTTTCTTCCATGCCTGCCGGAAACATGCTTGGCATTCAATGTGGGGTCTTGGCAGACGATTTCTTGGCATCCAGAGAAGGTTTCCACTTTAATTAATTGTGCAGGGGTACGCGTTGCGGGACGCGAGACACGCGAAAAGCGCGCCCGCTGTGAACTGGCAATTAACGAATGAGACCCATGCTGAGTGCCCACACAGCAACCCCAACAATCAATCCACTTCCCAAGCCGTGTTTCCTCCCATCTTGACTCTCCAGGAGACTCGAAAGGTTGCTGAAGTTGTATCTCCTCGCCACAAACTTCCCGAATCATACACAGTCGAGGACGAACCAAGGAAAGCAGCAAAAGAGCTGCAACGGGACGGCCCAATTAAAAAAGACAGAAACGAAAACCGAAAACGACACCAACATGCCTCGGGCCACGAAACGGGAGCGGTTCGCCGAGCTGCGCGCCCTCCGGCAGTCGGGCAAGAAGAAGTTCGACACATACGAGGTCGAAGACGCGGCAGACCTGTACGAAGAAGTCGACGAGAACCAGTACAAGAAGATCGTGCGGGACCGCCTGAACGAGGACGACTTTGTGGTGGACGACAACGGCGAGGGCTACGCCGACGATGGCCGCGAGGAATGGGACCGCATGCGGACGTATGAGTCGGAGAGCGATGAAGCCCTGCCGGCGCGGGGGAAGGAGAGCAAGTGTACGTGTCTTTTGCCTTTGCGTTTGCCTATTGTTGTAGCTGCTTGGGTTGTGGCGCTCACCGCTAACCGATGTTTATGCTTGTATAGCCAAGAAGCAACGCGATGATGAACAGGCGAAGCGAGATGCCAACGACCGGAACATTTCGGAATACTTCACAAAGGGTGCCGCCAAGGTGCAGCCCAAGCCAAAAGTCAGTAGCCAGCACCGAGCTCTGTGGATCTTCTTACTCACACCCCGTAGATCATTAAGACGGAAGAGGATGATGAGTTCATGGAAAACCTTCTAGACGCGGTGGATGTTAATGTCCCAGTGCCGTCGAGGACAACCAAGAAGAGGGATAGATCCGTGGAGAGAAAGAAGCCCCGAGCTGTGTCTCCCGTGCGGGATACCCTGCAGCCGGTCACAAAAAGGACCAAGATGCTCGACGGCACGGCGTCGTCCCCCATGCCCAGCGACCCACCCCTACCGGAGGTGGAGGACGATTTCGTGCCACCGCCCATCGAAGAAGAGAACGAACCCCCCGTGCCCATGGACGTTGCGATGAGCGACCCAGCCCCGTCCTCGCCCGCGGCCAAGGCTGCGGAGCGCAAGACGCGGCCAAAAACGGAGAAGAGCGAATACGATGACTTTGACGACGACGACGACGACGACATGATGGAGGTCTTCCACACAGGCACGGTTGCGAACACAAACGTTGTCAACATGTCGGCATCGCGGCAGATCAAGAAGGTTATCAAGGCCGAGCCGGAGCCTGTGCTCGCGAGCTCGTCACCGGTCAAGGCCCCCGAGGCCGCCGCCGTCGACGCATCGGCGTGGAACGGAATCCACGATAAGCTCAACGTGCTGAGCAGCTCACAGTCGGAGACGCGCAGCCTGGGCAAGATCGACTACAAGGACGCGGTAGAAGAGGACGGGAGCGTGCACATGTACTGGACGGACTACACCGAGGCGAACGGGAGCCTGTGTCTGTTCGGCAAGGTGCTAAACAAGAAGACGGGCCAGCACGTCAGCTGCTTCGTCAAAGTGGACAACATCCTCCGGAAGCTGTACTTCCTTCCGCGTAAGCACCGGGTGCGGCACGGGGTCGAGACGGACGAGCCGGTGGAGATGATGGACGTGTATGACGAGGTGGACGGGATCATGACGGCGATGAAGGTGGGCATGCACAAGATCAAGGCGTGCCGGCGCAAGTATGCCTTCGAGCTGCCCGGGATCCCCACCGAGGGCGAGTACCTGAAGCTGTTCTACCCCTACACTAAGCCGGCGATCGAGATTGGGGCGAAGGGGGAGACCTTCTTGCACGCGTTCGGCGCCAACACGTCGCTGTTCGAGCAGTTTGTGCTCTGGAAACGCATCAAGGGACCCTGCTGGCTGAAGATCGCCGACGCCGACTTTGGCGCGCTCAAGAACGCCTCGCACTGCCGGCTCGAGGTGCTAGCCGAGCACCCGGGCATGGTCAACCTATTGAACGAGAACACCGGCGGAGAAGGCACCGATGCACCGCCGCTGACGCTGATGAGCCTGGCGCTGCGCACCGTGTTCAACGCCAAGGACAACAAGCAAGAGATTCTGGCCATCTCCGCGCGTATCTACGAGAACGTCTCCCTCAACGACACCACCCCGGCCGACAAGCTACCCTCGCGGACGTTCACGCTCATCCGCCCGCAGGGCACCGCGTTCCCGTTGGGATTTGAAAAGCTGGTGCGGGACCGCCAACAGAAGTACAAGAGGGGCTTGATCAAGCTGATGAAGCAAGAGTCCGACATGCTGTCCTTCTTCCTGGCGCAGATCGACCTGGTCGACCCAGATATCCTGCTGGGCCACCAGCTCGAGGGTGTCGACTACAGCATCCTGCTGAACCGACTATACGAGAAGAAGACACACCAGTGGTCGCGGCTCGGCCGCCTACGCAAGACCACCTGGCCGCCGTCGATGGGCAAAGTCGGCGGCAATGTCTTTGCCGAGCGCCAGATCATGGCTGGGCGGCTGATGTGCGATCTGGCTAATGAAGCCGGCAAGTCGGTCATGTTCAAGTGCCAGTCGTGGAGCCTGACCGAGATGTGCAACCTGTACCTGGCATCGGAAGACGACAGTGGCAGCCCCAGCAACCTGCGTCGCGAAGTCGACAACGAAGCTGCGCTCAAGACTTGGGCGGTCACTAAAGAGGGGCTGATGGACTACATCTCCCACGCCGAGACCGACACGTACTTTGTGTCAGCCCTAGCCCTGCGCACGCAGATTCTCCCGCTGACGTTGGTGCTGACCAACCTGGCGGGTAACTCCTGGGCGCGCACGCTGACGGGTACACGCGCCGAGCGCAACGAGTACATTTTGCTGCACGAGTTTCATAAACGAAAGTATATCTGCCCGGATAAGCAACCCTTCCGGGGGGGTAAGAGGGAGGATGAGGATGAGGTTGGGGCTGATGAGAATGGGAAAACCAAAAAGAAGGACAAGTACAAGGGTGGCTTGGTGTTTGAGCCGGAGAGGGGGTTGTATGACAAGTTTGTGCTGGTCATGGACTTCAACTCGCTGTATCCGTCGATTATTCAGGAGTACAACATTTGTTTTACGACTGTTGATCGGACGTGCTCGGTAAGTCTCTTTCGCTTTTATTCATTTGTTTTGTTGGAGAGAGAGAAACTTACTAACAGGATCTAGACCGACGACGAACAAGAAGAAGGCGTTCCACCGGTCCCTAAAGACCACGAACAGGGCGTGCTGCCGGCACTCATCTCGCAGCTGGTGAGCCGCCGACGGCAGGTCAAAGGCCTGATGAAGGACAAAGGGGCGACCCCCGAGCAGATCGCGACGTGGGACATCAAGCAGCTGGCGCTCAAGCTGACGGCCAACTCCATGTACGGGTGCTTGGGGTACACCAAGTCGCGGTTCTACGCGCGCCCCTTGGCCGTGCTCACGACCTTCAAGGGCCGTGAGATTCTGCGCAGCACCAAGGACCTAGCCGAGAGCATGAAGCTGCAGGTCATCTACGGCGACACCGATTCCGTCATGATCAACGCCAACGTCGACAACGTGGCCGACGCCTTCAAGGTCGGTCGCCAGTTCAAGGCCGAGGTCAACCAGCAGTACCGCCGCCTTGAGATCGACATTGACAACGTCTTCCGCCGCATCCTGCTGCAGGCCAAGAAGAAGTACGCCGCCATCAACCTGGTCGAGACTCCTGGCGGTGTCTTTGTCGAGAAGATGGAGATCAAAGGTCTCGACATGCGCCGTCGCGAGTACTGCCCGCTCTCCCGCGAGGTGTCCAAGCGCATCCTAGACGAGATCCTGTCAGGCGACGACACCGAGGTGTCGGTCCAGCGCATCCACGAGTACCTGCGTGAGGTATCCGTCCAGATGCGCTCCCAAGCCATCCCCCCGCAAAAGTACATCATCCTCACCCAGCTCGGCAAAGCCCCCCGCGAGTACCCCAACGCCGACAGCATGCCTCAGGTCCAGGTCGCCCTGCGCGAGCTCGCCCGCGGCAAGACCATGCGCAAGGGTGACGTCGTGTCGTACATCATCACCGGCGACAGCAAGACCACCTCCGAACCCGCCCCCAAACGCGCCTACACCCCACAAGACGTGCTTAAGCCCGACTCCGGCCTCATCCCAGACATCGACTGGTACCTCGGGAAACAAATCTTCCCCCCCGTCGAACGTCTCTGCGCCAACATCATCGGCACCTCCACCGCGCAACTCGCCGACAACCTCGGGCTGGACGCCCGCCGCTACGCCAACAACTCCTCCTCCTACAACGGAGCCAACTCCGGCACCACCGGCGCCGGCCACGAATTCCACCCCCTCGAATCCCGCACCCCGGACGCCATCCGCTTCCAACACTGCGCCCCTCTCACCCTGCGCTGCCGTTCCTGCAAAGTCTCCTCCCCCTTCCCCGGCCTCCTCGCCAACCTCCAAGGCAGCGAAGCCGAAGCCTCCGACGCCAACCAACCCAAACACCTCCAACACGTAACCCCCTCCGGAATCCTCTGCCCAGCCTGCGACACCATCTACCCCACCCTCTCCCTCGTCGCCCAAGTCGAATCCGCCGTCCGCGCCCACACAAACAGGTATTACGAAGGCTGGCTGGTCTGCGACGACGCAAGCTGCGGACACCGTACCCGCCAACTCAGCGTCTACGGCGGAGCACGCTGCTTATCACCCCGTACCTCCTCCGGAGACCACTGCACGGGTAGAATGCACTACGAGTTCCCCGCGCGGGAGATGTACAACCAGCTGAAGTACTTCGCTTCGCTGTTTGATGTTGATCGGGTGAAGAAGCAGGTGGTGGGCGGGGAGGAAGCGGTGGGTTGGGGGGGGAGTGCGGAAGTGGTGATTCCTGCTGGAGAGGTTAGGGATGAGGTGTTGGCTGTGGCGGAAAAGAATAGAGTAAGGTTTGGGACGGTGAAGGGGGTGGTGGAGAGGTATTTGGAGAAATGTGGGTGGGGGTGTGTGGCTATGGGGCCGTTGTTTGCGCAGTTGGGGTTGATGGGGTAGTATGCCTTGGGATGCCTTGGGTAAATGGGATGGGATATGCGAAGGTAAAGGGATAATTAAGGAGTGGACTGGTTCAACGAATAAAGGGATGGGTTGGGTCTTGACAGATTATGTTTCTTGATAATGGGCGGATGTGCAATGAGTAATGCGTTTCTTTTATTGACATGTGTAGTAGTAGTTTGGACTTTGTTTTTGAGTTGACTTTGGTGCTATGACTTAAGATTAGCATGTACGGATCGGTATAAGTACTAAAAAGACATCATCATTCTTCCATTCCACAGCTGGCGAAGCCGAGTAGCAGCAGGAACACTTGTCTGTACTTGGCATACAACGAAACTGCAGTGCACCCACACTCACTCTATCCGTTAGACTCAAAATTCATCTACTTCGAGTTGACACAATCACCAGTCTCGGTCCTACAGAATCGGCCACTCAGTCCGAACCCTCCACCACAACACAATCACAAATCCTCAGTCACAACCACACCCACGCCCACAGTTGTACACAGTACCAACAAAAGTAACAAACAGTCTGTATCATAACACAGTATCATAACACCCGCACTCCATGATTAATACTGATAAAATCACATGACGCGTCACGCGATCCGCGCTTCCTCGTACAATACAACAACAGAACACAAGTACACCACAACCTCCCCACCTCTTATCCACCCCCCCCCCTCCTTATCTCTGAACCTCCCATCCCAGAGTGACCAACCAACCAACCATCCCATCCTAAGTAAAGTAAAGTGAAGTAAAGTGAAGTACCCAGCCGGAACGCCGCATAACCCACCCCACTGACTGACTGCATAAACTACCTTAGGTAATGTAATGTACCGTAAACACCACCGTCTCCATCACTATCACCAGAATCATCGCCAGAAAGAATCCGAACCAGAACGAGAACTACAACGAGAACCACCCAAGCTGCCTAGCCTTGCCCAGTCTTGTTTAACCAGAGTCCCTAGTCAACCTACTCATCCAGGGCCACTCCATCAGGGGCATCTCCCGCCCCAGCAGCCTCACCAGCCGATGCACCGACGCCATCCGTCGGTGCAGCAGGGGGGGCGGCTGTCGCTGCGGCTGTGGTTGATGATGTGGATGATGCCGCTGCAGCGGCAGGGGCAGAAGATACAGTTGGGTCGCCGAGGGCGCGCAGGTCTGGGTGGTCGGCGAGTTCTTTTTCGAATTGGGATTTGAGGAAGGCCTGGGTCATACAGTTAGTACACACGTTGATTGTTGCGTGAGAGGGGGAAAAAAAACGCACCTCGATGAGATTCACATCCTGGCAAATCCCGCTGCTCTCCTCGTTGAACGTCCGGCAATTGGCCACCATCAGGTCCAAATCCCGCCGCATATCCGCCAGACTGCTGTACTCCTCCTTCTTGATGCGCTTCTGGATATCGTTCATGCAGATCGGGTTGGCAATGATGAGGTAGTAATCCGCCCACTCGCGCTTAGGCGGCAGCTTGACAAAGGGTCCGATGACTAGCCGTTTCGGCGGGCCATCATCATCGTCGTCATCGTCTTCCGCGTTCGGCGGCTGCTCGTCGTCCACCTCAAAATTCATCAGCCCGTCGAACACGCGCCGCAAGCTCTTTTGCAGCTCCCCGCGCAGGTCGGGAGCAATGCCCGAGCCGCCGTTGGCATTCGCGCCGTTCAGGCTGACCGCCTTGGGACGTCCCTGCGGTCCCCGGCGTTTCTTGGTCGGCGGCTCGTCGTCGCCGTCGTCAGCCTTGCGCTTCTCTTGGTTCTTGCTGCCGGGTTTCCGCCCGCGCTTCTTGACGGGAGTCTCGACTTCTTCAGTGCTGGCGCGACTGGCCACGGGGGAGTTCTCGGCCGACGCGCCGGCACCAGCCAAGCCCTTACGCTTTAGCTTGTTGACCTCGCGCCGCTCCTTGCGCGCCGCCTTGCGTGCCGCGGCGGCCTCCGGTGAGTCGTCGTCGTCGTCCACGGCCATCAGCCATTGCTCTTCTGTCAGACCGTCGTCGTACTTAACCTTGGTCCGCTCGCGAGCACCGCGGCCGAGGATGATCTCTTCTTCTTCCTGCACCGGGTTGCCTTCGTTGAGGTAGATGTCCGGCAGTTCGTCCTCCGCCATCAGACGCGGCACGCCCTTGCAGCCGGGCCCTGTGCCGTAGGTCGGGTCCTTGAGTCGCTCTTCGTCTAGTTTCTGGAAGGTGATGAGCTCGTCGTCGCTCCGCGCCAGGATCATGTTGAGCTCTTCGTCATCCATCTCCTCTTGCTCGCCCGACTCCGCCATGTCAGCGGTTTCCAGCAGCGTCCGGAGCATGGCATCACGATCGGTTTCCGACGACTTGTTGTCGAACCGACCGGCCTGGATGACCTTGCCGTCCATGTCCAGCTTGAACCGCGCACGCTCGAGGATCTTCTCTTCCACCGACGCCGAGCTGATCAGCCGCAGAATGCGCACCTCGTTCTTTTGCCCGATACGATGCGCACGATCCTGGGCCTGCAAATCCTGGTGAGGATTCCAATCCGAGTCGTAGATGATGACGGTGTCGGCTGTCTGCAAATTCAGACCGAGACCACCGGCACGCGTCGAGAGCAGGAACATAAAGTACGGCGAATCCGGCCGGTTGAACTCTCGAAGGAGATCGGACCGGTCTTCCGACTTGGTCGTACCGTCGAGACGGAGGAACTGCACGCCGCGGAACCGGAGGAAGTCTTCCATAATGTCCATGATAGCCGTCATCTGGAAGAACATCAACACACGATGCCCCGTCGCCTTGTACTTGGGCAGGATCCTGTCGAGCAGCTCGAACTTGCCCGCCGTTCTCCACAACAAATCGTTGCTGATGTTGGCCGGGTTCATCTGGTTCTCGACCTCGTCGAACACGAACGGATGGTTGCACAGCTTCCGCAGCTGCATGATCATGTTGCTCAACCCACGAGCACCCGTCTTGCCGCCGCTGCCATCGCTGACCGCAATCTTCTGATGCGTGACCATCTGCTTGTACAAGCGGGCCTGCAGAGCAGAGAACTTGCACTTGATGACCTTCTCCGTCTTGTCGGGAAGATCCTTCTCGACATCCTTCTTGAGACGGCGCAGCAAGAACGGGCGCAACACCTTGTGCAGACGACGAATGACGAGAATCTGCTCTTCTTCCGTGAGCTCCATCTTGTCTTGTCCACCCGTGTTGGCGAACGGCGTGTTGAACCACTCATCGAACGTCTTGACCGACTTGAAAATGTTGGGCAGCACAAAGTTGAGCATGGCCCACAATTCCGCCAGGTTGTTTTGCAGCGGGGTACCGGTAAGAATAAGGCGGAAGCGTGTGTTGTAGTACTGCTGGATCGTGGCGCTCAGCTTCGAGTTTGCGTTCTTCATACGGTGACCTTCGTCGATAATCATGTGGAACCACTTGATCTTGCTCAGAAGCGGGCGGTCCTTGATAATGTACTCGTACGTCGTAAGCAGAACCTGGAACCGACCCTGGCGGATCTTCTCCTGCTGCAGCTTGCGAGTGTTTGGCGGTCCCTTGTAAACGACCTTGGAGACCGAAGGCGCCCACTTGTCGAACTCGAGGTTCCAGTTGGTCAGCGTACTAAGCGGCACGATAACCAGGTACGGGCCCTGTTGCTGCTTCTTCTCAATCAGGTACGTAATCAGACTGATGGTCTGAATCGTCTTGCCGAGACCCATTTCATCGGCGAGAATACCGTTGAGGTTGTTGTTGTACAGCGACAACATCCACTGCAGACCCTTGAGCTGGTACTCCTTGAGCGTACCACCAACCAAGATGCTCGCCTGCGCCGTGACATCTTCCTTGACGCGATGAGCGACGGCGTAGTAGTCAATCTTGCGACTGCTCTCGCCATCATCGTCCTCATCGGGCTCGCTCTCCTCGGGCAACTCCTCGGCGTCGTCGCCGTAGTTCTCGGCGGCCTGACGCTGCTGGGCACGCACGGAAGACGCAAGCTGGTGCAGGAAGCCATCGGTCTGGCGCAGCAAGTGGGTAATACGTGTATCCTTGGCCTGGTCGAGCAACTTGAGGTAGGCTTCTTCGTCGTTGGCCTTAAGCGCTTGAAGACGTTGCTTGGCCGTCCGCTCGATGCGCTTCTGTTCTTCCTTCTCGATGTTGAAATGGTGGGCATACATGTGGCGGCTGAGTCTCTGCGTCTTCGCCCGCTGTGCTTGGGCGGTGTTGAGAACCTCGTTGCGGTGGTGCTGCACCGCGTGCAAGAAGTCGACGTGCTTCTTGCGCTCCCGGTTCTCGCGCGCGTCGCGCTGCTGCTTCTCAAGTTTCTCCGTGACCCGGGCCTCGCGCACGTTCTGCTTCTTCATGCGGCGGTATGAAGCCCGGTTAGTCGTCATGGCCAGGTTGTCGTAGTGCATCATCTGCCTCCCAATCTTATCCCTCAGCGCGCGCTGCTTAGAGTACAGCGCCAGCTTCTTCATCTCAATGATCGCCTTCCTCTTGGCGCTATCATCCGCGACAAGGACATCCTGGGACGCGTCCCAATGCGCCAAGTTGCCAGGTAGCGACTTCAGCTCCGAGTATCTCGCGCTCATACGGTTGAAGACAATCTTCTCGCGGTCCGCGCGCAACTGCTCAAAGTCAATGCCGGTCGGGAAGATGCCGGGAATGAGCAAACGGTTCTTGCGACGGCCGTGTTCCATGTACGAGATAGACTTGCGCACGAGGCCGCCATCATACGGAGACTTGATCGTCTTGAATGTGTTGGCCTGGGCAGTCGATGCAGAGTCGCCCTGAGCGTCGGCCCCGGCCGCGCCGGCCTTCCCGCCGTCTTGTACCGGAGTAGCGTCCGAGGGAGCATTCGTTGTCGGGGACTGTGTCTCCTGTTTTGTCAAGGAGGCACGGCGGCGCGCCCTGTGTTCGAAGATGGCTTTTTGCATCTGAATTGGAACGCCAGCATTCTTTCCGAGCATCCTGAACGCCTTGATCTGGGTCCAAAGCAGGTTGAGCTGGGCTTGTGAAAAATGACTCGTTTGACCTTGCGTCGGTGTAGCCGCGGGTGTGCTGGTATTTGGCGCGCTCGAGCTCGCTGGAAGAGCAGATGCGCCCAGAGACGTCGAAGCCGGGGGTGCCGTCGCCTGTGTGCTGCTGGCCTGAGAGGCGCTAGAAGATGGGGCGCCATTAACGGCGCCATTAGCTCCATTTTGCATAGGTCGTTGCTGTTTCTGCTGCTGCTGTTGTTGATGAAGTTGCATCTGTTGCTGCACATGCATCTGTTGTCTTTGACGCTGAAGGGCAGCAAGGATGTTCTGTGTCTTGATAAACTCGGGATCATTGCTCGGTACACCTTGCTTCTTCATCTGTTGGAACTTCTATAGGGAGAAATTAGCCAACGCGGATCCCGGAGCGATAACAGCACCGTCGGATGCCGTCTGTTGCGAATGCAAATATCTAAGGGCGACAAACCATAAAGATCTCCTGAGCCTGCTGCTGGGTCATGCCCGCGGGGATGGCCGACCCCGTGTGCTGAGCCGCGGGCGGCATCTGGACACTAGCCATGATGACAACAGCGAAGTGGTCCGGGGGTGCAACCAGTGTCTCAATTGATGGTTACGACGATGTCAATGGCTGGGTAGCATATCTCTGCTAGCAATAGGCTCTATCGTCGCGCAAATCGAGGGTTATATGTGGTGGAACCCAGGTCTTGATGTCGACAAGGTTATACGGTAGGGGGGTTATTCGACGCGGCGACTGGGTGCAAAATGTTGGAGCCTGTCGCGTTCGGCGAAAACACAAAACGCTGGCAATTCGGTGTTGGCAGTGGCGATTATGCAGAGACGCGCGGGGTATGAAGCGAGACGCGGTCGTCGTCGATGTTTTGTCGCGTTGGCGCAGAAAAAAAAAGTGGATGGGGTTCGGTGGTGGACGAGATGGAACAGTCGCGCCTGGGGTTGGCGACGTGCTGCTCGAGTGGGGGAAAAGGGAGGGAAACAGGTAAAAAGAAGGGAAAGAGAGCGGATCGGCGACTTGAAAAAAAAGAATGAGTGCCGAAGGCGACCGGGCTCGAATGGTGGCCTGGTCGAATGCGTGTGGGGAAGCGCGTTTGGGGGTCGGAGTTTTCGTGATGGCCTCGATGGGGTCGCGGGCAGATTGGTGATTTTTTTGATGCGCGCCGTCACCCTTTGATGGATGGAGGTTGAGGCAGAGCGAGCCGACAAGATTGAATGGCGCGGCGATGCTGGTCCAAGCTGTGCTGCAGACTGCGTGCGAAATTTGTAGCACGGCTGAGCTAAGTGGGGCGCTGCCTGGTTCCTTCCTTTGAGAGGGGCCAAGGGGGCCAAAGCGAGCCATCCGACACGGAGGCGGCAAAACTACGGAGCCTGGGAGGCAGCGGCCACGCGTAAACCAGCCAATGAGGCGCAGCTTGCCACTGGCCGGCCGGTGCCGAAGAACCGCGCAAACGCGCTCGCAACAAGTCGACTCGGAACGTCCCATTGCACAGCAAACTTCCAAAAATCCGAATTTGGACACAAAGTTCAGCAAAGCCTCGCTTGACGCAACTTTTGATAGATTGTTGCAAAACTGGATTTTGTATTGCTGACTCCCTTGGGAAGTGGGGGCAGGTAAGACAATGCAGGAAATCCGAAATCTGATTAACTGGATCCGCGCCAATGGTCTAGTGGTTAGGATTCAACCCTTCCAAGGTTGAGGGGGGGGTTCGATTCCCTCTTGGCGCAAAGTTGAAAGTTTCCTTTTTAAGATTTTTGTAATTGGCGACGATCATTTTTGGTGTTTACATTTTGGTCTCTTCTGTTTTTTATTGAAGGAAAGGCCTCGCCATGCAACGGAAGAAGGCCAACGCGGCCAGAACAACTTCACAACCACCACTTCAAACTCGATCAAATTTGACAAGGACCGTTGGGCTACCAAGGACATCCTCCGCCTCTATTCTGGAAGCGATATTACACCAATTGGTATAGTATCTAGCCTATAGGGTTAAATGGCCGTATTGTACGCCACGTGATTCGATGGCCTTCTTGCAACGCGATGCCCGCGCGCGATTCGATGGGGTAGGTCATCGATAAGAAGAGTCAATGACAAACGTGCCACCGCACCGCTATGGAAGCGTCCACAGACTATTTCCTAACGGAAACTGCGTAGACCCGGGCCACATGCTACATATGCACAGGCGTCAATGCGCAACGGCCACATCATGGCGTAGGCCGGGACCGTCAGCGACACCAGGCTGTGATCCGGAGATAAGCTGCAAGATGGCAATCACGGAAAAGTTTGATATATCTCACGAGTTGCACTCAAACTCAGGGTTTCGTCCAAACCCCAAAGCGAGACCTAGCACTGGCTAGCAGCAATGGGTCACATGCTAAACAGTCCCAAGTCGACCCACGGCTGGGGTTCATGGGGATTCATGAGTACTATGTAAGCCGACCGACTACGACCCCGGCCCTACCTCCAAACGGAGACAAATTCAGGAAGTTATATGTCGTAATTACATGATTCGTAGTCGAGGATATTGAATCTGGTCGAATTCCGTTTTCGAAAGGGGAAGCCAAATGTGGGAGGTGTGTCGGTATTAGGGCCTCGACATCACCCAGGACGGACAGATATCACAATGGCATCACGAGACCGCTGCAAGCTGAGCATAAACTTAGTGCCCTGCTCTGAGGCACACGCGCCGCGGTGATGGAGGGTGATTCCGTGCAATCTAGTGTTCCTCGGAATGGACAGGCATTGTTCTCAGGACCTGGTCAGTCAACTGAAGCTGCTCGTGAAAACTCGCTATCATTCGCAGAAGTTCGTCCTTCATTTCCTCCGGTGAAGCGTAACCCAGCATCACAGATGCGGAAGGTGGTTCAGGGATCGGATGGGAAAGGGGATCAAGTGTCTGACTGGGGTTAGGGCCCAAATCCAAGGTTGTCGTGTTTGGGGGTGAAGGGCCGTCGTGGGTTCTGGGTGGAGAGCTTGGGTATTCGTAAAGATCCTCGTTCAGGTAGACGGACGGCTCCCTAGTGCTTGGCGCGAAATTGGTGTCGACCGCATGCCGCTCGAGATCAAATGGCGTTTTCAGGTCTGAGCTCGTCGATGCGGCGTCCGAACCCGCCGTGGATGGACGGCTGGCATCTATCGTGTCGATTGCAAGACTCGCATCGAGGTCAATCAGACTCACGACCGAAAGACGATGAATGTCGCTTGTCGGTGTCATTCGACCCAAATCTTGAGTGTTTACGGATACGTGATCATATTGCCGATAGACTGACGTTGGATCCTGTACAACCTCAATGGGCTGGGGGTTGTAGCTGGGCTCGGGCGGTGCGATATCAGGGGCTGCCGTCGCAGGTGTCATGGACGGGAATGTCCAATCCTGGGTCCGCCGCCGATCAACGCCCTCGACAAAGGCTGTTGCTGACCTCGCGCCCGGTTTTATCGTATCCATGTCAGCGAACTGAGACAACTCGCCTCCATCTAACGACATGTCAAGGTCGATCAGCGATTCTCGGATGGTCGGTTGCTCCGGGTTGTTCCGTAGGGGAAGATCCGTAATCGGTGATGGGAGGGTCGTGGCGTAGAAAGCTCGAGCATTGTCATTATAGTTGGAGATGGTGTGCGGGTCGAATACTTTCTCGAGGGGCACCTTGAACGTTTTGATGTTGGGAGGTCGACGTCGACGGACTTGTCGCTGATCTTGTCGTTGATCTTGCCAGCCGGGAAGGTCAACGTCCGGGCCGTAGACATCAAAGACAGCCTGAGCATCCCCATCGTTGAAGTCGAAGCTTTCCTCGGTTGCGCTGAAATTCCATTCATCGTCAGGGACAACGGAAGGTGACAAGTCGTTGGCTGGTCCCTGGGCGCCGCCAGCGGAAAACAGTGAACGCCTATTTCCGCCCTGTATCTCCCAGACTTTGTAGGCGTTCACAAGCTTTGAGAGAGAAATGGTCGGGTAGTCGTCCTCGGAGTTGTGGATGTACGGATGCAGCTGAACCCGTTCAATCTGAGGGCGCTGGGACGGATCCTCCACCATGCAAGACGCGACAAGGTCCTTTAGTTGAGCCGAATACTGATCGCCTGTGAGACGAGGGCAATGTTGCTTCAGGTATGAACCGAACTGTGAGATTTCAACGATTGGGCCCGCATTTGGTGGCAGCCCAGTAGCCATCTCGTAAGCCATCGAACCAAAGGCCCTGTGCGGAAGATTGTCAGTTGCTGCTGGCCAAATCTGTAGCGCTCGAGTGGAACTGATGTCCCGGGGGCTAAACATGCTTGAATAGGTACAGTAGGCATAGCATACCAAATGTCAACCTCGGAACCGTATGAAACAGTAGAGTCAAAAAGCTCGGGGGCCATCCAGTGCAACGTTCCGGTCACAGTGCTCCTCTTGTCGAACTTTGTTTCAAGAATCCCCGCAACGCCAAAGTCGCAGAGTTGAACACCTCCAGCTTCGGTGATGAGAACATTGGCGCACTTGATGTCCCGATGGATGACACCTTGCTTATGGACCCAGTAGACGGCTTCAGCAACTTCCCGCAAGATGGGAATAATCCATTTCTCGGTCAGCCCGCCAGTCGGCCTCATCAGTGTGGACACGCTGCCTCCGGCACAGTATTCGGTGATGATCCATATGGTAGGGCCAACAAGCAGGGTATCGATGACTGTGTTAATGTTCTTCGCGCCGCTCTCACCAAGAAGCTTGAGTGTGTGGACCTCCTTGAGAATGTCGCTGAACGTGTCTGCCCTGCCAGGTTCGAGGCTATCTCCATCGTCTATGCTGACGATCTTAACGGCGACGGCCTGCCAGGACGTAGTGCTAGTGGCTTTGTACACACGACCGAAACTTCCCTTGCCGATCAATTCCAAGAGCTCATATGGCGGAGGGTCTTTGCCAGCCTGGGCGCATTCTTCGGCGACCGTATTTTGAACGGCGCTGGCCTCCTGGGTCGCTTGTTGTTTGGTCGCCGAATACTCGCCAAGAAAACCCCGCTTCAGTGTTGACATGGCGATATGAGATCTTGCGGGATCCGGATGGAGGGTTACAATTCAGCGTCGTCAATCCGGGGGAGATGCGTAGCAAACCCTGTCAAACGAACGTTGTAAGTTTAGATGGCAACAAGAACTAGGTAGGCCAAGTAGAGAAGAGGCCGTTGGCCTCACTTTGATGTCCCATGCACCGTATACTGACCTTGCCCGCTTGTGTGGTCCCTCGAACTTACATAGTGTACAGTACGATCCTTGGATGACTGTTAGTGCGAAACCTGACACCACTTCTATCCAGCCAATAATAAGCTGATTCCCATGCCATCAGCAAATCGGGTGCTCCCTGCCGGGCCCCACAGGAAGTCCCGAGCTAACAATTAAACAGGGATTGAACTGTGGTAAGACTAACCTAAACGCCATGCTACAGTAACTATACCGACATCACAAACCATTCATCATCACCTCTTGACCCTCTTCGCGTCTCTCTCCCCATCTTTCGCACCACCCTCCCCCTCCCCATCACTCAAATCCGCATACTGCGTCACCGGCTGCGTCTTGGCCCACGCACCCGTAAACACCGGATCCTTCTTAGCCACATCAGCGTATTTCAACAACGCCTCACGCGGATCCTCATGCAACATGCGACTAAGCGGAATATTCTCCTCAATATGTTTCTCATCCGGCTGCGAGCGCATAAACGGCGTGATCTGCTGCACCTTTGGCCGATACGGGTCGCGCGAAGTTTTGCCCGACGCAGATACCCCCCCACTGGCGTTCCCGCCGCCGCGGCGTTTGTGTTGATGGGCGCCGGGCGTGATGATGGCGTCGCCGGAGAGGCCGAGCTGGCTCTGGTCCATGGTGAAGGAGGGGTCGTCGTCGACGTGGCGGGTCTTGGGGGCGCGCGACATGACCTCGAGGGCGCCGCGGGTGGAAAGGGACGGGTTGTAGAGGACGTGGGTCTCGGCGTTGGCGGAACCGGTGAGGATTTGATTGAGCTTGGGGTGCCAGGCGACGGTGATGAGGGGGATGCCTGGGGTGATGGGGGTGACGTGTTCTGGGCGCAGGTTGGCCGGGTTGAGGATGTGCAGGTGGCCCGAGGCGGACCCGGTGATGATGTAGCGGGAGTCGGGGGAGTATTTGATGTTGGTCATGGGGTATCGGTCGGAGGTTGGCGGGTGGTCGATTTTAACGAGGGGCTGCTTGAATTTTCGCGTGTCCCACAGCTTGATCAGGCCGTCACCGCCCCGGGTTACCACCATTCGTCCGTCTGCGCTGATGTCGATGCCACCAGTCCAGGTATCTGGGCTGTGGGCCTCTCGAACCTCCGCCGCGGGTCTCGTAAAGGGGCCGTTACCGCTGTACATGACGAGTGACCCATCCAAAGCAGCCGACACCAGCACCGGACTGTTCCCTTGTGCCGAAGATCCCCAAGCAACAGCCGTCATCCTAGTCCTGCCAGCAGACCCGGGAGCCTTCGACTTGAAGACGATAACATCCTTTTGACTCCTCTTGTTATTGATATCCCATATCCTTAGTGTGCTATCCGAGCCGGCCGTCACACACAGATTCGGATCCGCGGGGTGCCACGTCCCTGTGGTAACCTCCCCAACATGCCCCTTGGTATTGTTCATATCACGCAGGTACATGTCGCCCTTGACAAACTCGGTCACAACAGCCCCGTCTCGCGACATGATCTTCGCCTGTGGGTGGGCCGTAACACAGAGGAAGACGCTGCCGGAGTGGCGGCTGAACTCGACGTGCTGGATCGGATGGGAGTCGGAAGGGGCGGCTGATTTCTTGGTTTCCCAAGGATCGATGCTCTTGAAGGCGCGCAGGGTGGTTGGCGTCATAGCAGCGAAGTCGTGGAAATTTACATTGCCGTCGAGCGAGCCGCTGAGCATACGGGACCCGGCTGGGTCCAGGGCGATGCTGGTGACGGCGCGCTCGTGAGTCTTGAGGATCATCTCGTGGGTGACGGGGAATTTGTCGGCCTCGTCCCCGTTGTCGGAATCGGAGTCTGAGTCATCATCGGAATCGCTGTCGTCGCTGTCGTGGGCGGGCCGTTTTTGCTGCTGCTTCGGTGGCTCTGGCTTCTCGACTACCCTCCTCGACTGTTCAATCTGGGCCGCGATGTTTGCCTCTTTGGTTGTCTTGCCAAAGGATTTGGGAATGAAGGCGCGCATGGGGTCATCGGGGGCCAGGTCGGGTTCCGCGACCCGGTAGTCGTCACTGTCGCTATCGCTCATGTTTAGGAGATGCCGCAATGCCGAATTGGGTTATAATGTGAAGTGGGAAAGGTAAATGGAAAAGTTGAAAATCACAGTTCGAGTTTCTTGACGTTCTGCGCTGTGGCTTACAGGGGTTTCTTGCCTGCCCCGCTGACGTGCAGCTGCCTTGGCGGGCTGGATTGAGGACCTTGCTGGCCACCAGTTCGAGCAAGGACGTCTTCTTCACTCAGACTTAGTTATCTCCATTCGTAAGTTCCGTTTTCTTTTTCGTTGTCGTTTCCGTTCTCTTTTAAAGACGGAAGAAAATACGTGGGGGGGGGGGGAGATATGAAATATCAGCACCCGCATCCAGCTAGTTAATCTACTAACTTACTTCATAATTACCTAGGTGTCGTTCAAATCAAACCAAGTGGCCGCCTTTAGAACATGTCCATTCAGGAGATAGAGATGCGGCAGATTCATCAGGTCATCCCAAATCTTCCATGTTTTCTAGGCTTTTAGCCATGGGTATCCCCAAGACTACCATCATCACACCTCAAAGACGCAGACACCGAAAACCAGTTTCACTGCTCATCATTTTATATTTATATATTAGCTATCATCGACACACATATCAACTACATCACCCTAACCACAGCCCCGGCTCATAACACTCCCCCTCAAGCCGCCGCGCTAACAGTCGCCTGCTGCCCCCCCTCCTGCGCAGCCTTCAGCTCCGCCAACCGCTTCAACTCCTCCTGCTTCATCTTCTCCTGCATCTGCAACCGTGCCGGCACCACCTTCTCCCTGGGCCCCGTCGCCTTCCAACCACTCAACCTCTCCGTCCCCAACGCCTTCAGCGTAAACTTCTCCACCAAACTATACTCCTCCGGATTCTCCCGATCAAACCTATGCTCATCCTTCAACGACACAGCCGGATTCGTAATAATCCGCACGCGCCGCAGCGCATTACTCGACGGCGCGTGCAACATAAGCGGGTGCATAAGATACACATCCCCCACGGACCCCGTAGCCTCGACAAAGTTCTCGCAGCTCTTGGCCACGTTGCAGAAGAAACTCAGGTCCTTCTCCTGGCCCATCTGGAACTTGGGCTGGCCGCGGGGCACCATGCGCGGGGAGACACCCTCCGGGTGGTCGTGCAGGTGCTTGGCGATTTTGGGAATGGCTTCGGGGCAGATGATGGTGGCGCCGCCGTTGGCGACGATGTCGGTGAAGAGGGGGGTTACGAGGAGGGCTTGCTCCCGGCTGTCGAGGTAGTGCACGAAGAAATCGCCGTCCTAGCGAGCACATTAGCTATTTCTCTCTTTCTCTCTGCCCCCACCTCTCCTTTAGCCTTAACTCGGGCCACAGTTAAAAGAACATACCACATGCCACTCGGGCAAATCCTGCGGCGGCACCGGTTTCCCGCCATGCTTCTCATCGCCGAGATTCACAATCAACGAATCGCGCCACTCGCGCGAGGCCGGGTCGATGCGGTCCTCGCCGCCGCATAGCTCGCAGATGGCGGCCCAGGCGCGGGGCGCAAACTCGGCCGGGTCGTACTTGCGGTGGCCCGGCATGTTGGTGCGCAGCCGGGTCCAGGTGCTCTGGTCGTTGGGGTCCATGTCGAGACGGGTCCAGACGTTGGAGGTCATGTCCTCGGCTTGGGCTTGCGTGAAGGCATTGGGGATTCTAGGGAGGGGGTTAGTATGAGACTATGAGAAGATGTATGAGATGATAGGATGTGAGACCCCGAGATGAGACAGGCGGGCCTGTTGCATCATCCACCGGGGTGTATTATAATAAAGACAATTAAGAGATGGTTGATGAAAGAAATAAAGTATATTGGTAGCGAGGCTTGGCTTACTTGACCCACCCGTGGGTAAGGAAGTGTTCCCTCTCCTCGGGTGTAAGAACTGACGTCGAAGACATGGTGATTGATTGGGTGTGTCAACTACAGAGTATGTAGGTAGGTCTAGATAGACAAGCAAATGCTTCACAGGAATATTGAGAAGATACAAAGTGGTGAGTTATCCTCGTGAGTTTCTCGACTGTTTGCCTCTGTGCAATTTACACTTCCTACCTTTCCCAGTATCAAAGGAGGGCATCAAGACACCCTTTTATAGGCCACTCCGAACGCTAACTGGGCCATGGTCAGGCTTCAACGAAAAACCCGCTTAGCCCGCCCCAGCACCCGCCCCAGCGACCAGCGCCCACATAAAACCCGTCCTCGTGATCGTCCCACAAAGCCCTGGGGAGGAAACGCTGTGTAATAGCACAACAAGGAGCAAGGACAAACGACAGGCGCAGCGTATCTCCGACGTGCGGGGGAACTTGAACGAAACCCGGAATGGGGAATGGGGAACTTCAAAAGGGGGGGGCGGGCACCAAGTGGTTTAACCAGCGTTACCCCATTGGCGCGCCGGATGCGCTACCCGGGGATAACGGGTTGGCCGTGGGGTTGCCCGATGGGGTTGTAGCCGTCTTGGCCGTCCACGCCGTGGACGCTGCCCTGGGTTTTGTCCGTCATCTTTTGGACCCGTGGGCCCGGTCTGGACACCGCCTTCGTGGTTTTTGGAGGAAGTGAAGTTCCAGGTGAGGCCCACCCGCCATGTGAGTTCCCGGAAACCCCGGGTTGGTGGTTGGATGGTAAGGCCGGAGGTCGGCCGGCAGGGAGTCATGGTTTCGGGTTCTTGGTTCTGGTTAAATAGGCCGTTTTGGCGCGATGGAAGGCCGGATCCGGGATTCTGGGTTGGAGGTCGGTAAATCTACGGGATGAGACTATTGTGGAATCCACCGAGGGGACTTTGAATAAGAGGGCAATGAAAAGGAAGAGGCAAATATAAAAAAAGAAACACAAATTCGAGATTTCAAGACACACGCAGTCAAAGCCTAGTACAATCGACGCCAACCTAAGTCACCGCACATCGCCATTGAAGACAACCCCCTACCCAAGCCGTGAGCTCCAGCCTCGACTCGGAGCGCCTTCTCGAAGTTCTTGTGGAAGCACTCCGTCGTCATTCTTCTTCGCGCCGAGAAACACGGAGCCAGGAGCGGGGGCGGGGCAAGTGGAGACCGCTGATACCCGGTGGATTTAGCCCCACTCTTTTTTCAATTGCTGCGCTTCCAGCCCTTCTACACGCTTTCCAATGCTTCCATTCTCCAACCTGCATTTCCAAGCTTCTCGTGTTTCTCGACCGGATATTACCCGACCCTGTCGACCTTGCCGACCATCCGATCCGATTTCGCGCCGGTTTCTTACAAACCGGAAACCGTCAAATCATCCAGACCGCCCATCCGTTTTGTGGCTCATCAATCATGTCAGCAGACCCAGTCCACGACGAGGACTACGCCTCCGAGGAGGACTCCGATTTCGCGCCGGATGATGCCCCCGCGGAAGAATCCTCCGTGTCGGAGGATGAGGATGAGGGTGAAGGTGGTGAGGGGTCGACGGGCGCCGGGAAACAAGGTCAGGCGAAAAGGAAACGACCGGTAGTGGGAGGGGACGACACAGCGACTGAGGATGCTGGGTTAGAAAATTCTGGAGATGAGGCGATCATAGAAAGGGGGAAAAGGCGGCAGAAGAAGTCGAAGAGGAAAGATACGGAGGCGGAGGATGATGAAGGGGGAGAAGGGGGGTTGATTAAGACGCGGCGGATGCGCGCAGCCGAGTATGTTCTTTACTTCTTTTTGCTTTTGTTTTTGACCTTCGGCGATGGGCCGTTTCCGCTAACGGTCTACAACAGAAAGGAAGAAAGACGAACAGCAGTCGCCAGCGGACCAGTGACGATTGATGTCGATGCCCTCTGGGCGCAGATGACGAGCGGGCCCGTCGGACAGCCATCACGAGCAACCGACCCAACAGTAGCCACAACAACGCAGACGAATACAGATGGCCCAGCCCCCTCCTCACAACCACAACCGCCAACCGAAACCCCCGAAACATCCGACCTAATCCGCATAAAACGAACTTACAACTTCGCCGGCAAAGTCCACACCGAAGAAAAGCTCGTAGCGCGCGACTCGGCCGAAGCAAAACTCTACCTAGCCGAACACGGCGACGACCCAGCCACCCTCGAGACCGACGACGACACCGCCCAAAAACGCATGCCCCGCAAAGCCTTCCGCTCCATCTTCGAACCCGTCGCCGTAGACGGCACCGCCATTGGCGGCAGTTCCAACCAACGCACCGACCTAAACCTATCCCTCTCCGAACGGCTGCGGGCGCGCGAGCAGGCGCACGCGGCAGAAGCGGCCAAGAAGCTCAACACGGTGGAGAAGAGCCGGATGGACTGGGCCGGGTTTGTGGACCGCGAGGGCATACAGGACGAGCTGGCGCTGGCGGGCAAGTCGAAGCACTCGTTTGCGGCGCGACAGGACTTTTTGGCGAGGAGCGAGGCGCTTAGGGAGGATGAGGCGAGGCGGTTGCGGATGGCGGGGAGGGCTTAATACTTGTGTTTATAATTGTACACTCGGGAGAGGAGGGTATAAAAGGGTCTGGCTAGACTGGAACGGCGTTTGGGATGGGATACCCATTGACGTGGAATTTACAGATTTACTTGCCTGCTAGTTAATGTCTGCTAAGTTATACTCTCCCGTCCACCACATTGTCCAGTCCAACACCTCAAAGCTTTCCCTTCTGCGCGCCCGGCGGCAATAGCGTCACGTCCGTATACGGTAGTCCCAGAAACTCGTACACAAAGTGGAATCTAAATCTGTCAGCATCTCACTCTACCCCCTACAAACAAAAAAAAAATCACCGATCACTCCCAAAAAACGGCTCTCCCTCCCCCTTCCCATTAACAACCCACAACCACGGCGCCCCAAAAGCCCCCTTATCCAACGCCTCCTGCGTCGTCCGTTTCAACACCCCCTTCATCTCCTCCGTCCCCGCAGCCTCCACAATCTCCTTCACCTGTCCCTCCCCAAACAACTTCTTCCCCACCTTCCCATTCCCATCCCCCTCAGCCCCCCCTAACACCCCCGCGACAGCCTCCAACCGCGTCAAATCCGCATTCGGCGGTGCCCAAAACGCCCGAAACAGCGCGTGAAAAGCAGCGAGGAAAACAGGTTCGGGGTAGTGGGATTTGATGTAGTGGAGGCAGCGGAGAGGGGCGACAGTCATGCCTGTTTTCATGAGGTCGGGCGGGAAAGAGATGGAGGGGGGGTTCGGGGTGTGGCGGGCGATGGAGCGGCGGGCGTCGTGGACGCCGTAGAGGGCTTTGGCGGGGAGGGTCCAGGGGGGTTTGTTACCTGGGGGTGGTTAGTATGTATGGATTTTAGGTTGGTTTGAGAGGATACTGTTTACCTGAGCCGACGTTGATGGCGCCGAGGAAGACGGGGTGGAGTCTAGATGTGGTGTTAGTTAGTGAATGTTTTGTTCGTGAATGGATGGACGTTTTGTTTATTTTTTAACTAATTTCTTTTCACTTATTTCATTATTTTATGAGGAGGGCGACATACTCAACCGTTACATTGTGGGAAGCTAGCAGCTCGCGATTCCTCTGTAAATCCAGAAAAATCAAGTAGCTATACAGAGACGCTGTGGTGGTGTGCTTATTAGCGTTGACGGACTACCAGTCCCTAAACGTGAGAACACACACCAATGTCCAAATAGCAGTCGATTTTACCGCCCATTGTCACCAAACTTGATCAGAAATCGTAATTCAAGGACGGATGATGTGATTTCTGAATTTGGTCAATCAATCAGTGAGAAGGTGATGAAAGAGGACGTTAGGTCAGCTCAGGAGAGTCCGTCGAGAATCCGGGGAAACAACCTCGGCAGCTAAGCAGCCCCACTTCGGCACGGCCCCGGTCTCTTCCCCCATGCTCCGGTTCCTATCCCGGCTGATCAGTAATCGCCGGTACTACATGGCTTGGAGCTCGGTAACTGACTATTGTAAAGTCATCAACAACGTCAGGTCGTTTTATTAGATTAAGTATATGGAGTTGGAATATACCTAAATAATTAACTCTCATTTTCAACTCGTCCCGTGATTCATCTTTGCCTTGTCTTCTCTCCTCTCTCTGTCTCTCACTTCTACTTATTCCCAATTCACCATGACGTCCAACTCCCGGCAAGTCGCCCTGGTGGTGGGCGCATCCCGGGGCATCGGCCGCCAGATCGCCATTGACTTGGCCAAGGCGGGCTATACTGGTGAGCATACTTAACCAACCTATTGCAGCCCGATATAAACCTGTTTCCTATAAGATAAAAACACAAATAAATATAAACCCATACTAACACACCCAGTCGTCGTCGCCGCAAAATCCACCACCCCCCCCTCCGACCTCGCCAACATCTCCCCCTTCCCCCCAGACCCCAACTCCCCCCAATCCACCATCACCACCGTCGCCCGCGAAATCACCCTCGCCGGCGGCCACGCCACAGCCCTCCCCGTCGACACCACCAACCCAGCCAGCATCCAGCAGCTTGTGGCTAAGACTATCGATGTGAGCCCCCCTTTCCTCTTCACTCACTCTTCTCTTAAGTAGGTGAGCAATGGAAAAAAGGGAAAAAAAGCTAAGATTAGAATATCAGCTGCACACCCGCCTCGACATCCTCATCTACAACGCCGGCGCCATCTGGTGGGCTCCCGTGGCTAGCACACCGCTGAAGCGTTTCCAGCTCATGCAGAGGGTTAATGTTGAGGGGTTGTATGCGGTTTTGCAGGCTGCGTTGCCGTATTTGAAGGGGGTTTATGAGCAGCAGCAGCAGAAGGGTTATCAGAAGGAGCAACAAGGGGGCCCGAGGATTGTGGTGGTGTGTCCGCCGATATATAGTCGTTTTTTCCGGGGCAAGACGGCATATGCGGTGGGGAAGGTCGGGATGAGTGTGTTGGTGAAGGGGTTGGGGATGGATTTTGTGAGGGAGGGAGTTTTGGGGGATGGGGGTGTTGGTGGAATGGCGATTACGGGGATTTGGCCGGCTGTGGTGAGTTCTTTTTTTTTCTTTCTCTTTTTTTCTTCCTCTTTTTCTCCCTTTTTTTCTTCGTTTCTTTTTTCGTTTCTTTAGGTCATCGGCCTACTCTTTAGCAGTCTTCACTAACATCCCAGGCCATCGAATCCGGCGCCACAGGCCGATTCACACGCAACGACCCCTCCTATGCCCGCGACCTGCGCAAAGCCACCATCTTCTCTGACGCCGTCCTCACCATGATCCGCGCCCCGGCCTCTGTTGTCAACGGCCAGCTCGAGTTGGACGAAGATTTCCTGCGCAGCCACGCCGGCGTTACCGACTTCTCTGGGTATTCCGTCGTGCCGGGCTCAACACCCCGGCGTATCATGCCGGCTGAGTTGCCGGATTTGACGGTACGGGAGCAGGATGATGAGGGGATGAGGACGGATAGTTCTAAGTTGTGATTTGGGAAGGGGTGTTGTGATTATGGGTTGAGCTTTGTTACCGTTGACTACGGATATGGGGCCTTATTGAGTCAATAATACCCGGGGAAGATGGGTCGCTGGTCCGGGTTCTCGTCAGAACCGATGATATGTTTTGATGCTGCGATTTTCGAACTCGGAAAGATAAAAAAAAGAATAAAATACCACAAAGAATCAAGGTATAACGTCGCGGACTCTATATTGATTAGAATTGGAACTACTAGATTTCGCCAAAGTTCCTGCGATGCACGCAATTCTCGGGCTAATGTGCTAATTTTGCTGGCCTCTTGGCTGTGCTAGCAAACGTATTTATACCCAGCACGCCAGGCTTTGGAATATTACCAAAACCCGACCTTGCTCCGGACTGAACCGCAGTCATTCTTTTGGTGGTTTCCGGACTGTCTGAGCATTGCCTGGCTCCGCGGCCGTGAAGTATCGCGAGAACGCGCTCATCCCTATTTCGCTCGCAGGTACGTGGCCGTGTTGGCTGTGGTCGGTATCCGGGTCAAGTGTTTCGATCACCGGAAACTTCACTTTTTGGGGAGCCCAGGACGTCGCGTTGTCGGCCTCCAACCGCTTGAACAATGCTCTATCACTAGAAGGCCGTTGCAACCAATTGTGAGAAAAAGCCTGGCGAGCAGTTGGGCGTTTCTCGTTATCATAGACAAGACAGCCGCAGATGAAGCTTTGGCCGGCGTTGGAGATCAAACCTCGCGGGCCAAGTTCCGAGAAGAGCATGCTAAGATAATTGTCGATATGTCCCTGGCTTTTAAACGTACCGGGTTCAAGGTCTGGAAACTGCCTGTTTCCGAGTACTAGCTGCATTGTGAGCATGCCGATGGCCCAGATGTCGACAGAGGTGTCATGGCCACGTCCCGGAGCGTCACATTCCCTAGATTTCTTTAGAATGGTTACCGAAACGATGGTTATTTCAATACGCACGGTGGACGAAAAAAAGGAGTTCCAACATTAGACTCCAATCTCCTGGAACCGGGTAGTCCCGAGGCCCCAAAGTCGGAGAGCATGATACGGTAGGGCGCCGAAGGTGTCACGCCGCATAGGATATTCTCCGGTTTGATGTCTCGATGAGCCACCCCTTTGCTATGAATGTAAACAACGGCAAGGAGCACTTGTCGGATGATCGATTTGATCACCCATTCGTCTAGTGTGTTGTATCTCATCAAGAGCGAGAAGAGATCCCCTCCTGTGGCTAGTTCTGTGATGACATATCTGTCAATGGTTAACAAGTTTTCTTGCTCCAAGCATCCGACTAGATCATACATGGTTTGCTCTGTTTCAAAGGTTGCCTTGATGGGGAGAATATTTGGCTAATGCTATTAGCTTATGCTGTAGTTTCCAGAGATATTGATCTTTCCTACATGGTCTAGTGTGCTTAGCAGGGTTGCTTCCTGGCGAATTCTGGTCACTTCTTTGGCTGTTGGTGAGAACCTGCTGATGTCATGAACTTTGCACGCGACATGTTTTCTAGTGTCGACCTCAGAAGCTAGAAAGACCAAAGAGTAGCCACCGTTGCCAATAGTACGGCTGCTGACGATGTAACGGTCTTCAAAAAGCTAAGAATGGTTAGAGCACGGAATATGGACGATGGGGGCTTTGCCTTACCTTGACTTCTTGGCGTTGGAGACGACTGAGTGTGTACGACGAGCGAATATTGGTCGATTCGGCATACTGCAGCCTCAGATGGGGATGTGTGCCGACAGTGATGATGTCTCCTTCTTCCAGTAGTTTTGACGGAGAGAGGGTCACCCCCTTTCCGATGATTCGACCGTTTACAGAAGTACCATTCGCTGACCCCCGGTCACGAACAAACACAAGAGGCGGATGACCGCGTGGGTAATCGTCATCCGCAACGACGGAGAAGATCTCTAGTTGGCATCTTGAGACAATGGGGTCATCAAACGCGATGTGATTTCTAGCCCCATCGCGACCAACAAGAACGGTATTGTTTGGAAACACTGGAAAACAACCTGAACTTGACGATTAGAGATACTTGAATGTCGAAACCAAACGAGGAGCCTTCAGAACTGTGACACAAATCAATGCTCAATTCATGAGCTGAAGCCCTACCTGTGGCCGGCGGCGTTTTACTTCGATCTTCCCATGTCACCTTTCCTACTTCAGCCAGCGGCATTGGGGTAGATTTACGTGAATAACGAGAGATAATTTGTAATTGGTGTTGTCACTGCATGCATCGAATTACGGTCGAAAATGTTGTGGTGATTGTCTATTGCCCGGCATGAAAGTGTCAAATTAAGAAAAATTTCCTTTTCCACATACACGGGACAATTTTGGAAAGTGTGGCTGTTGAAATGCCCGCAAGTTGAGGCACTTGACTTGGGGAAGGCACACCCCAGGGTTAAGTAGCGAGAATTAAGAAGCTTGACCATCCTTGAAGGGCACTATCATGGATACCATTGAGAGACAAACGAAGGAACAGGAAAAGCCACAGAAAAATCGAAGCCTTACTATGTCGGAATGTCTTGCCTGACCCCTCGCGGAAGCGTACTCTTTGGCACTCAGATGACCTTGAGCTTGCTTGAGCTCCTGATATTTGGATGGAGTGTTGATCTGGGCCCCACCGCGTCATAGGAGCTTGGGCCAACCACTGTGCTGCCACTGTGTCACCTGACCTAGTTACCCCACAGGGCTGCTTGCCCTCTGCCCTAGTTTAAGTCTACTTCCCCTCTCGAAAATCGATCTTGATTCTTTTCTTCAACCATCACGCCAATTCTCATCACGAATCTAAATGTAGGCGCCACCACCCCCAATACCTATCCCGGATCGTACTGACCAAGAACAGTCAAGATGAGAGCGAAGTGGAGAAAGAAGCGCGTTCGCCGCCTCAAGCGCAAGAGAAGAAAGATGAGGGCGAGATCGTGAGTTGCCGCCACCGAGCTTTGACTTGGCCGAATTAGCACTAATAGCTCCCTAGCAAATAAACGCACAACACCCCTCGACCTCAACCAGTCCCCGACATCAACTTGGTCACGCAGCGGATTGAGCATTGCACCAGCACCAATGGTTGCATCGAAGCTTCCCACTGTTTGACGCCGTCCACCACCACGCGGCCCAAGAAGCCTCGGCACTTCGAGAGCTTTCCAAGATCCCGTCTTGTCCTCAGGGCAACACACTTCGACAAATGGCTGGAATGCTGGGAACGGAACGGTTCGGTGGTATCATGAATCATGGTCATGATTGGTTGCCCGTCAACAAAGGTTGAGCTGGAAAAGGCGTTTACCGAGACTCGGGCTAGCTATGCCTCGACATAGAATGCGAATCCGGAATCATGATTTGCAGAAATTGAAGACGCTTAGCTGAACATGACTGTGCCTTAATTTTCCTGTGATTTGTGGTCTGCTCCCGTTTGGTGCGTTTCGGCACAAATTAATTGACATTCTACGGCTTCGCATTGAGCATCGTTTTATCTTGGACCTGGCCAGCTGAAGTACCAGAACATAAACCTCGACTGGGAGCCGGCATTAGCTCCTCAATTTACATAGTTGCTCTTCCTCAAGCTATCACCAATTTACACCTCGAATGTTCGCGTGCGTCCTCATTACAGAATTGGTGGGGGTGGGTCCAAGCTCTGCTCCAAGGCGGTGAACCCGGAGTGGACCCAAATGGGAACAACGACCGGCAGAAAAAAAAGGTTCCCACCCACCTGCCGAATGCTGCGCGCTCTCCGGCGGGCCAAATGAAGCGGATCGAAAAACAGGCATTTCCAGACAGCCAGTTCTAGAAATTGGCTGAACAAATCGCCATGGCAAATTCAGAAAGCAAGAGAAGGAAGAGGGGGGAGGACGAAACCCTTCCGGTGAGGAAGAAGAAGAGCGATTCAAAAACACCAAAGGCGGCCGTCGCACCGTCTTTCGCGGTGACCAAACTGCACAAGCCCCAGGTTTCACCCCCGGTCGTAGGTAAGGCTTTTCGACCCTCGAGTTCAAGTTCTCTCTCAATTTGGAGGCGTCGCTCACATAGTAAACAGCACTTACTCCGGGTGTCTCCCTGCCGAACTCGTTTCCCTTCAATGCATACGAAAAAGATGGACCGCCGGCAGCGAAACGGAGGAAAAGCAGCGGCACGTCTGAGCTGGCGCTGCACTCGACTTCTCACAGAACGGTAGACTACACGGCTCGGGAAGAAAGCGCAAAGAGCGCGGACAAGGCAATTAATCACTTCCTGGCTATCATCGATCCAAAAACGGGGGAGGTTGAGGTGATCCAGGCGAAGAAGATGGTGGTTCGGGGGACGGTGCGGTCGAAGCAGGCGCCGCCCGAGGCGATGAAGGTGTCGAGTGGCAAACTAGTATGTCAAGAATTTTTGTTACAAGGAGACTTTGCGTTTGGAGGTGTTGCTAACGGAGTACAGACACATTCCGAGATGAAGATGGAACTCGGCGAGACATTCGGTACCAAGAAGGCGAAGAAGGCCATCCAGGCCGTAGCAGAGAACGCCATGTTAGCCGCCAAGTCACAAGGCAAACTCGACGAAGACGATCGTGCCCTGGTAGGCATCATCCGCGACTCCAGTCAGCATATGGCCACCCGCGAGGAACTGCAGGCCCAGGTGGACCAGGCCCGGCCGATACCACGCGGCAACTTTGATGCGGAAGAGATCCAGGATGTTTACATCCCGGCGCAAATCATCGGTGCCGAAGTACTCAATGCTGTTCCTGTCTTGGACTGGCAGGAGAAAGTCAAGAAAAACGAGGCCGTGCAGGTCCCCGCGCGATTCGTGGCTAACCGCATCGTCCGGGTGGCGGGCAACGAAATGGATGTGCAGAGGTTAAGGCTACTGCGGTATCTCCTCTGGACGATCACGTTTTTCAGCACAACCCGGCAGGGCAAAGAGCGCGGCACGAGGAGCATAGCGAGGCGGGACGAGCTGCGACAAGCGCTGGCGCCGGCGCCGGAGATGGTGGTTGAGAACATCCGGCGCAAGTTCTCGGACAGCGGGGTGATGCGCAAATCGCACATCGACTTGCTCATGACGCATTGCTGCGTGTTTGCGCTCATCATCGACAATTTTGAGATGAACTCGGTCGACCTGCGGGAGGATCTCAAGTTGGAGCAGAAGCAGCTGAACCAGTATTTGACGGAGATCGGGGCACGGTACAAGTTGAGCAAGGCGGGCGATACGGTGCAGCATCTTGCCAAGCTGTCGATACCGCTGCAATTTCCTAGGATGAGGATGCCACCGAGGCGGAGGTGAGCATTTGGCGGGGGATGCGGGGAATGCGGTTCATCGGTTTAGCAGGAGTGACCCTGATAGAATCGGCGTGCAATTTAAGCGTTGATATTCCTGTGTTCGTCTGCCAATTATTACAAAGACTTGCATGTTTGGCTGAGGAGGGTGTGGCCGTTCGGGGGTTTCGGCTGGGCCGCCGCCTGTCAGGCTGTCAAGACGGGCCGGCACGGAACGGCCACCTGCCAATGGAGAGACACGAATTTTGTCAACACTCATGTTTACTAGCTTCACTTGCCCAACAAGTAGCCATGGAATAACAGGACTTAATACCACTCCAAGAATCCCAAAGACATAATAACTGTTGATAGAAACAACAGAGCCAACTTTTCGCTCAAATTCGGGCCCCAAACCACAATTTAAGGGTAGAAATCCAAGGTTGCAACAACGGCCCCCAGACCCCTCACCAGCTCCTCAACTCACACCGCAGCACGCCCAACTTTGATCCTCCCAGTTTCTTTAGCACAGACCAGACCAAAGAGAACAAACCCGGCCGAAGAGCCATAGGGCTGGGCAGATCGCGACGCCGGGGTGAGCCGCATCGGCGGCCACGTGGGAAACTGGTCCCCCGACCCCCACAGCCCGCGCCGGTCGGATGCAAATCACACACCACACCATGACGACATTAACTTTGAGGTTTGTGAGAACAATGTTCGCGATGCGGCCTGGAAACGCGTTTTCGAGATTGAATGGTTCAATAGAGGTTCAATTGCGCCGGTTAAGTGATTTGTGTTTGCGGGGTGCAAAAATGATGGTCGGAAGCGCCGTGGTTTGGTCACCATCGTCGAGTTATCCAAATTTTGAGTTTTTGCACAATGGCGGGACAATTGGTAAAATTCTATTGTTCGCATCCCGCAACGCGGTCCCGAATTTGGTCTTGGACCATTTTCGCACGCGGTCGTGGATCGCGATTTTTTTTGGAGTGTGGTTCTGCGACAGAAAGGGCGGGCCTGCTGCTGCCTGCAGGGGCGTCAGACCCACTCTAATTCACAGTTTCGCTATTGTGATTGGCGACAATGGGGCCAACCTGGGTGTTGCGCGGTAGGTGCGTGCTCCCGGGAAGAAACGCGCGAAACACCCTTCGCTTTCCCTCCCTTTCGTCGGCTTTGCTCAGCGCCTCCTTTGGTCCTGGGGTTTTACTTTTTCTGTGTGCTCCTTTCTTTGTTCGCTCCGCTCTAGCGCAGCGTGAAAGTTGTTATTTTCATCGAACCGATCGACAAAAAAGTTGAATTAGTTGGTTCGACTTTGGTTGGATTTTTATTGCGGATTATCTGAACGGACCATCGCGGTGGTGCTTCGCTGCGACTCGGCGAAAACTCCCCCACGATCCGATCATCACGACTTTTCTTTGGCAGGCTCCGCTTGGGAGATCAGATAACAGCTCCCACTTGATTCTGGGTTGCATACGGAATTGCCGGGATTGAAATACCCGTCACGGCCGGCAATACGCAAGATCCGCTTTTCGATTGACGACATCATCGAGACTGTGGTGTAAGTCACTTCGTTTTTGTCTCCTGTGAGCAACAGGTGCACTTCTCCAGTGCTCGTTGCCTATCGTCTCTAGACCTATTTTCCGCTAACAAATGTTGACGTAGATTCCGTGTTTTGTCCATGACTACGATATCACCGCGTCTATAAGATCTGCGATTGCTGTACAACACAGCTGTCTACCCACCCATCTTACAACCACTTGTGTCTCACTACCTCACGATGCCTCCCAAGAGGAAACGCGACATTCTCGAGGGATTCGACCCCAACAAGTCGGACTCGGAAGACGAAAACTTCGACCCGGCCGAGGACCACCGGGTGCGACGGAGCGCGAAGAAGCCGCGTGCGCCGCGGCCCAAGCCGTCCGGGCGAAAGAAATCCAACAAGTACCGAGGGTCCGACATCGACGACGACGACGAAGAAGAGCTGTCTGATAGTGATGTGGACAATTCGTTTGGTGAAGAGGACGATGAGGAAGAGGACGAGGACGTGCCCACCGGTCTGTCCGGCAGGAGGATGAGGAAGGCGGCTGTCAACAAGCAGTCGTACAAGGAGAGCAGTGGGGACGAAGATGACGACTTTATCGTCAAGGACTCGGATGCTGGTGAAGAGGCTGAGGCCGAAGCCGAGGAACCCACGCCGACCAAACAAAACAGCCGACCTTCGCGAATTGTGGTTTTGAAAACCAACAGCAGAGGACAGCGCTCTTCTAGGCGAGGAGGCGGGGAGCCGGCACCCGCATCTGCGTCGACCCTCCCGCCGCGCCGTACTAGGGCACGAACGGAGGAAATCGAGGAAGAGTTCATGGAGCTCTCACACTCTGGTCGGCACGCACGGCCGGCGGGGAGTCGGAGCCCGGAAAGCGTGGCTAGGACGACGCGGGCGACTCGCGGGGGCAAGGGGCTCAAGAAGCTGCCGGAGCCGATCGAAGAGGCAACGCAAGAGACGGAGCCGAAGGAGGAGGCGGACCAAGTCATGGGTTCGCCGGATGAGCTCGCCCTTACTAAGCGCGAGGATGAGCCTGATGGCCAGGGCCAGACTGAGGTTGAGGGGGTCAACCCGCCGGAGGATGCCGATGCCGAGGACGCGCCAATGCAGGACCAGGGTGAAGAGGCCGCCCAAGTTGACGCGCTGGCTGACGACGAAGATGACGAAGACGATGCACCGTTCACTAGGCGAACGCGGGCTTCCCGATCCAACGCAGCAGCAGCCCCAGCAGAAACGGTTGAAGAGGCCCAGCCCGAGGTTGAGACCGAAGGCCCAACAACAAGGGGCGGCCGGCGACTTCGACAACGGTCGGGACTCCGCAGCAAGAGCGTGCCGGAGCCGAGTAGCGACTTTGAACCGGGCGAGGAATCGGGCGACGGCGACGCATCCGGATCGGAAGCGGGTTCCAAGCACGGCGATGCGGCGGGTGACAACGAGTCCACGCCTACTCCGCGGGGCCGTGGATCCCGCGCGCAGAGCAGGAGGAGCCGGCGCAACCGACAAGACTCGGGCGACGAAGAGGAGGTGGAGCTGGACAAGGACGAGATGGCGGAGGAACTTCAGGAGCTCCGTGGCAGTAGCTCGCGATCACGACCCCGTCGGGCTGGACGCAGGCAGCAGCAGCGACGCTCGCCGTCGATCCAGTACGAAGAACGGGCGTCGAAAAAGCGGCGTACCAAGCCGGTGGACTACAGCATCCCGGCGATCGACCCGGCAGCGCTGGAAGTGGAAGACGACGAGGAAGCGGCTGCCACGATGACGACGCCGGCGCGGAACCGCAGGGCAGGCGGACGGGGCGCAAGCAACCTCGCGTGGGAGCGCACGCTCAACACGACGTACGGTCCGTTTGGCGGTGGTGGTGGTGTCGGTGCGTTGCTGGGAGGCCCGTGGGGCACGGGCGCTACTGGCGGCGTGGACTCGGACTCTAGCGACGACGAGATGGTGCAGCGATCTGGCGTGGGCGGCGGTCCAGGAGCGGTGGGCATGACGCCGACGACGGCTGCTCCGCCGGTTGGACTGTTCTCGACGACAGCGGGCGGTGGTCAAGGCAACTTAGCGGGAGGTGGTGAACTGGCTCTTGGGACGACGCCGCAGGTGGGCAAAGTCAAGAACCAGAAGGCGTTTGCCGATGCAGACCCGCTCGGGGTGGACCTGACGGTAGACTTCAGCAAGGTCGGAGGTCTGCAGGGCCACATCGACCAGCTCAAGGAGATGGTGCAGCTGCCGTTGCTGTACCCGGAGCTATTCCTCAAGTTCCACGTCACACCACCGCGCGGCGTGCTGTTCCATGGACCCCCGGGCACAGGTAAAACGTTGCTGGCGCGGGCGCTGGCCAACTCGGTCGGAGCTGGCGGACGCAAGATCAGCTTTTACATGCGCAAGGGAGCCGACGCGCTGAGCAAGTGGGTGGGTGAGGCCGAGAAGCAGCTGCGGCTGCTGTTTGAAGAGGCCCGACGCACCCAGCCGAGTATCATCTTCTTCGACGAGATCGACGGCCTGGCACCGGTACGGTCGAGCAAGCAGGAGCAGATCCACGCGAGCATTGTGTCGACGCTGCTGGCCCTGATGGACGGCATGGACGGCCGCGGTCAGGTCATTGTCATTGGCGCGACCAACCGACCGGACAACATCGACCCGGCACTGCGACGACCGGGTCGCTTCGACCGCGAGTTCTACTTCCCGCTGCCGGACCTGGAGGGCCGGCGCTCGATCCTCGATATCCACACGCGCGACTGGGGACTGAGCGACGCGTTCAAGACCGGCCTAGCCGAGAACACCAAAGGGTACGGTGGTGCGGACCTGCGCGCGCTGTGCACGGAAGCGGCCCTCAACGCCATCCAGCGGACATACCCGCAGATCTACGGCGCGAAAGAGAAGCTAATCGTCGACCCGGACCGCATCACGGTGCACGCGACAGATTTCATGCTCTCGGTCAAGAAGATGGTGCCCTCATCCGAACGGGCCACCACGTCTGCGGCCTCCCCGCTGCCCAAGATGGTCGAGCCCCTGCTGCGCAACCAGTACAAAGCCATTCTCAAAGTGTTAGACAACATCCTCCCGCGCCCGCCCAAAACCACGGCACTCCAAGAAGCCATGTACGAGCCGTTCGACGACGCTGACCACGGTTTCGGCCGCGAAGCGATGCATCAGGAATTTGCGCGGTCGCGCGTGTTCCGTCCGCGCCTGCTGATCGCTGGTGTACCGGGTATGGGCCAGGGATATCTAGCCAGCGCCATCCTGCACCACTTGGAGGGGGTGCATGTGCAGACGATGGACTTGGCCGCGCTGTTGGGCGATGGCCGCCCCATGGAGCAGGTGCTGGTCAGCCGGTTTGCGGAGGTGAAACGGCATAAACCGGGCGTGTTGTTTATTCCGAGTGTGGATTTGTGGTGGGATAGCTTGACGCCGGCGGCTATTACAACGTTTACGACCTTGTTGAGGAGTATTGCGCCGTCAGATCCGGTGTTGTTGTTGGCTACTGCGGAATGTACGCCAGAGGGACTGGCGCCGGAGATTTTGAAGGAGCTGTTTGGGTATTCGAAGAAGAATCGGGCTGTGGTTGAGCGGCCGGAGAGGGTATGTGTTTTTTTTTTTTTTGTCTTGCTCTTCTCGTTATTACAGTGATGCTAATATGTGACGAAAGGAAAACCGCGAGGAGTTCTTCACCAGCATCATCTCGCACCTCGGCAAATCACCCCCCGAGTTCCCCGACCCCGCGCATCGCAAGAAGCGCGTGCTGGAAGACCTGCCCGTGGCACCCCCTCCTCCGCCGCGCACGCTCACGCGCGAGGAGATCAAGGCTCAACGCAAGGCCGACCTGCACGCCCTCAACCTGCTCAAGATGCGCCTGCAGCCCATCATGGACCAGATCCACCGCAAGTATCGCAAGTTCCGCCAGCCCGTGATCCCGCTGGCCCAGATTACGTACCTCTTTGACGAGGCCGATCCGCATTTCGTGCGGCCAGATTTACTCGAGGGACAAGGGCCAGATGGGCCGATCGAAGGAGAACACAGCGGGAGCAGGAGGCCGTTCGAGATTGCCAAGGACCGCGAGGGCACCGACGGCATTCGCGAGACGGCCACGGGCAAGTTCTTCTACAACCTTGAGAGCACCACCATCGAGGAGCGCCTGGCCAACGGCTACTACGCCCGCCCGACCGACTTCTACAAGGACATCAACCGGCTGTATCTCGACGCCAAGAATATCGGCGATCGCGACCGCACTCTCAAGGCCAACGAGCTGCGCACCAACGTCGAGGTCGACGTGCACGACATTGCGCAGACCCTCGCGAATCTCGGAATTAGGTTTGAAGAGATTCACCAGCGTCAGCTGCAGCGCGCACGCGAGGCTGAGGAGAAGGCCCGCAAGCGACGGGCCCTGCAACCGGTGGTTGATCTGATCCAGTCGGATCTGCCCGGCGATGGCGATAGCGACTCGCAGGGGCCGGTTGGCGTGGCGTTGCCTTTGGCTCAGGGTGTCTCAACAGCTGCAACAACAACGGCAGCAGCAGCAGCAGCCCGGACGGCCGCCCGGTTCCAGCCGATTATGAGCCCGGAGTCAAATGGACACGCAGCCCCGGCCGACTCACACTCGCACCATGCGACAAACGGCACAACCAGTGAGGATGTGCACATGAGCGGGATCGACGACGATGACACGCAGCCTCTGTCGGGTCCGCAAGCGCACCAGCACCACCCCGTGCAGCCCATACACCCAACAGCACAGTGGCCACCTCTCGGCCCCCGTCCCCCGCTGGGCGACTCCACGCGCGCCACCCAGTTCTCGCAGTTCTCCCAGCGGTCGGCTATCACCTCGCTGCCCCAGGGCATGTCCCCGTCGGCGATTGCTAACGACGCGTCGACGACTAAGACCTCGGATCTGTCGACGCACCGCGAGAACTGGAGTACCCAGCGCACTGAGACCCAGCACACCAACGGTGTCGGCCATTCCCATCCGAACTCTCATCCGAACCAGCACTCGAATTCTCATCCGAACTCGCATCAGCAGCACCACGGAGACGAATCGTCCCTGTTGCTCGACACCCAAGGTAACACGCAAGATCTGACGTTTGCCGGGAATTCGAGTCTGAATCTGAGTTTGAGTCTCAGTCAGAGCCAGAGCCAGAGCCAGAGCCAGAGCCAGTCAAGTTCCAGTGGTAAAGAGTGGGTTCACTCGCAAGCGGATGCTATGGCCCGTGGGATTTTACAACCCAGGGCGGGTGTTTCTGGGCAAGTGCCTGGAAGCATGGCACCGCCGCCGAGTGCGCGTGGCGGAGAGGTACCGTCTTCGCAGCGCCCAGGTGGTGTTGGGATTCTGAACGAGCGAGACGCCGCAAGCGGGAGTGGAAATCCAAGTGGCAGCAGTGGCAGCGCAAGTCACAGCGGCTCCAGCATCCACACTCCTCCCGCATCAGGCTCATCCTCCCATCCCAGCGGCAGCCATGCCAGCCACGCCAGCAACAGCAACAGCAACAGCGACACCAAACCCAACTCCACAACCGCCGTCTCCGCCCTCCGCAACTCAACAGCATCTTCCGCCGGCGCCTCCGCCAACTCGTCCCAACAACCCGTCATCGACAACCGCCGCACCTACGAATTCCTGCAAACCCTTGCCGATCGCACATCGGGCTGCAGTGTTGAGCAGCTGGAACAGATCTATCGCGAGCTGATGGACGAGATCTGGAAGACGAGACATGAGTGGAATCGTATGACGGTGTTGAATACCTTGATTTCGGTGTTTAATGATACCATTGGGGATATTGAGTTGGTGCAGGGGGGGTTGGTGGATAGTCAGAGACGGAGGGGGGGGCCGGATAAGGAGGATGGTGAGGACAGGGATGGGGAGAAAGACGGAGAGGAGGATGGGGAGAATGATGCGGAGGGGAATGGGAAGGGGGTGTTGAGGAGTGTGGAGAGCGGGTTGGGGAGTCGGAGTCAGGGGCTGAGTAGCCACAGTCATGGGCAGAGTCGGAAGGAGGAGGCGTGGGTTTATTTGAGGTAGTTGGACTGGACTGATGGACTAAGTACTGGGGACTGAGAGGGGTGGATGGTACAGTTTGTTGATGGCAGTTTGTTGATGGAAGTGTAGAGCCAGATGTAAGGCAAGACACGGAGTAAGGATGCAGAGTAAGAAACAGAGCAGAGTAAAGAGGATGAAGAATAAGTGTTTAGCAGTGGCAGGTCGGATTATCCAGCGTTGGAGGCCTTTTTTTTTTTTTACCGGGTTTTTTTTAACCGGGTTTTACTGGGGTTTTACGGGTTTAGCTTGCTCTTGTTTCGTAGGTACTTGCTTAGGTACTGTAGTATTCTGTAATTTTGTTACTACGCTAGTCCTGTTTATGCTACCTAGGTACTATGGTGTTCATTTCGCTGTTCTGTTTATGGCCCTGTTCTGTCTACCTCACCGTTCTGTTTATCTCACCGTTCTGTTTATGGCACTGTTCGATGGATGGCACTGTTCCTGCTTCGCTGCTGTTACGGCCACTGATGGACGGAATATCGTTACAGTGCAGATCAGAAATGATGCCCATGTAAGGATGAAAGCGGCATAACCATGTTAGTAGGTGTGCTGTTCTTTATATGGTAGTGTTTCCCGTTGACCGTTTTGGCTGTTGTTGTTGTTACTGCTCCGTGCTGTTACCTCTGCTGTGCTGTTGTTGTCCCGTTATCGCACTGTTCCTGTTCCTGCTATCCTTGTACCATTTTACTATTTCGACCGCTGCTGTAGCCGTTTTACCCTGCTACTGTGTTCGTTTCGATTTTGTGCTGGCTGCCGCAGCTGGACTTTCATAATAGCCTAGATATTTGAGTCTGGACGGACTTAGACTCGAGATGGACTCTGATCAAGAATAAACGTCGGTTTGTAACTGGTGACTGTATTTCGTTGGAAGCGGGCCTTAGGTATAGATGGCTTCCAGATCGGTAGAGTGTTTGGTATCAAGGATGAACTACAGGGTGAACGGGTTACTGAGCAGGTTATAAATTTGAGCAGGCACTAACTTCAACATGTGGATAGCAACATCGTCTATAACAGGAATCCAGCAACAATCTACAACTGCACGCAACACAATTCTAAATACACTCCAACTCAACCCCCTTTCCCACTCTTTAACACATCCCTCTCTAACACCCCACCTCATAACCATAACCTAAGCATTAACCTCCGCAAACCAACTCCTCAACAACCCCGCCAGCGCCCCCGGCAGATCCGCCAGATGGTGCACAATGAGATAGTACGGAAACGGAAACGAATCCAGATAGCGGTGGATGACAGGGACGCCGTCGGGGCCGAAGCGTGCTTCCTTGAGGTCGAGGACGCTGGTGCGTTTTGTTTTTGCCGGTCCTTTCCCTTTACTGGTCGTCGTCGTCGCTCCGTTCGAGGTCATGTTGGTGCTGCTGTCGCTAGCAGAGGACGGTCCGCTCCCACTTGCTTCGCCCGCACTGGCACTGGCACTGGCACTGGCAGTGGCACTCCCACTCGCACTCGCTTCGCTCGTGTTCGCAGTAGTCGTGCTCGCTCCGCTCGCACCAGCATCATCCATAACAATAAAAACAACCATCACCCTCATCTCCAACGCCTCCCTCAACAACGGCCTCAAAAGCGCATGCTCCCGACTCTGCACCAGCCCATCCGACAACACCAACGCCAACTGCCACAACTCCTCCCCCCCACTGCTTCCACTCTGCATAAGTCTCCCCTCCCGAAACCTCTCCACCACCCCCCTCAACAACCGCACCATATCCGTCCCTTCCTGGCGGAAAGTGAATTTTTGTAGGACGCGAGCCCCCGCGTCGGCAGAGGCTGTGAATGGTGGATCAGACAATGAATGCGCGAGAAAGGGCTCACCCGAACCGAACCCCAGCACGCCGATGGACCCAGCCTCAAGAACAGCCAACGCACGCGCAACCATAACAAGGGATTCCAGCGCCAAATGAGCTGGCGTCTCCCCGTCTATTTCCCCAAGGGCCCCCGCCATAGACGCGGAGTCGTCGACACACAGCAAAATCTGGTAGGCGCGCTTACTCGGCACGGCGCGGCGCATCCAGATCTTGTCGCGTTTGTAGCCGGAGGCGATGTAGGGGATGATTTTTTTGATGTTGAGGCGTTTGCCGGTGCGGAAGGTGCCGGAGAGTTTGGTGGCTTGGGTGGGGGTGAGGATCAGGCGGAGGTGGGCGGCGAGGGAGTGGGAGAGGGGTTGGGTTTTGGTTTGGAGGGTGGTCCAGAGGGTGAGGGATTCGGTGTAGTCGCGGAGGGGGGGTGAGGAGAGGTGGGTGTCGTGGAGTTGGGTGGAGGTTGTGTTGATGGCTTCGTCGGCGGTTTCGGAGTCGATGTCGTCGGAGGGGACTGTAGTCTTGTTGTTCTGGTCGGTTTCGTCGTTCTCATCTGTATCGACCCCCCTGCGCGTGGCCACACCAGACCGAGCATCGTCCTTCTTGGAGTCAGTCTGTTCCGTCTCCTGAACCTCCTGCACATCCTGCATCTCCACATCCTCCTCCTCCTCCTCATCCCCATCATCCGGCATGACCTGCCCCCCCTCCTGTTCCATCTCCATATCCACCGCCATGGCATCATCCATCGGCCTAGCCTCATCATTCGTAGCCGTCCCGAGAGCCTGAGTATCCGCCTCAGCGTTCTCATCCTGCAAATGCTGGAACTCGGCGCGGGCCATGTCTTTTGCGTCCAAACTCTGCTTGTCTCGCTCACCGTTGGCATCGGCGGCCTGGATCTCGCGCTGGTTCTGGTACCACCGCTCGAGGGCATCGCCGAGTTTCTTGAACGGGTCGGCGGGTTGGTTGTCTTTTTCTTGTTGGGGCTGGCTGGTGTCCTGGGGCTGGTCGAGACTGGAGAGTGCGCCGTGGGCGCCGGGGGCGTTGTCGTCGTCGGCGGGCTGGGCGGGGGCGCCTTGTTCTTGCTGGCCGGCGGCGTTGTCTGTTTCTGTGGTGTCTGTGTTGTCGGTGTGGTGGTTGTCTTGCTTGTCTTGTAGACCACCGTTGGCTTGGCCGGCGTCGGCGTCGGCAGTTGTGTCGGATGATTTTCCTTCCTTCTCTTTCTGTTTCTCGTCCTCTATATCACCTTCAGCCTCTTGCCCGTCCTCCTGCTCATCAACATCCATCTCCTCCTCCCTATCCCCGGCCGCATCAATCCCCTCCTCCTGCTCAGCCTCATCTTCGTCAATCTCCTCATCCTTTTGATGTTCCTCTCCAACTTCTTCCTTTCTCTCATCTCCATCATTCTCATCTCCTTCATCGTCTCCCTGCTCACTCTCGACCTTGTCCAAATCCACATCCACATCCTTCACATCCTCCATATCCCCCAAATCATCCAACTCATCCAGCTCATCCTCGTCCCCCTTTTCGTCCCCACTCAAATCCATCTCCAAATCCTCCGGCAACGCCAGCGCCTCCTCCTCTTGCACCCCCATATCCTGCCGATTCAGCTCTTCTTTCGCGGCGCCTTCGGGCATTTCCCCTGCTTCGTCTCCTTCCTCCTCATCTCCCTCTTTCTGTTCTTCTTTCTGCTCGTCCTTCTGATCCTCCTTCTGTTGCTGCTCCTCACCCTGCTGCTGCTCCCCCTCCTCCTGTTTCCCCTGCTGCTGCTGTTCCGCGGCGTTCATCTCATCCTCCCTCTGTCCCATCTCCTTCCCCCCCTGCTGTTCTTTTTCCCCCTCCTTCTCCTCTTTATTTTCGTCATCATCCCCCCCATCCCACATCTTCTCATCCACCGCCGTCGGATCCAAATCATCCACCTCCCCCGCCTCCTCATCCATTTCCTCTTCTCCATCCTCCTCCTTATCGCCGTCCTTCCCATCCTTCTCTTTATTTTCTTGATCGTCGTCGTCGTCGTCATCGGGATTAACATCCCCCAAAACCCCCTCCATCTCCTCCCCTTGCATATCCACGGCCTCTTTATTATCTTCATCCATCTCCTTCTGCTCTCTATTCGCCGCATCCTGCGCTAGTTCAGATAAGTCTTCGTCGGGTGCTATGTCATTGCTGATATCCTCTGCGCCTTCACCCTCGCCGAGTCCGGTGCCGGTCTCTAGTTTGCCGGAGTTATTGTTGGTTTCGCTGGAGGTGGGTTGGTCTTGGGGGCCGCAGAAGCCGTGGGTGGCGATGTGGAGGAAGGTGGAGGAGAGTTCGTGGGAGAGGCGGGCGGTGGTCAGGTGGAGGTGGGTGAAATGGGTGAGGTGGTTTTGGGCGAGGTGGGTGTATTGGGATAGGAGGGGGTGCAGGAGGGAGAGTAGTGCCTTTTCTGTTTCTGTGTTGGCTTGCCGAGAGAAAGTCTGCAGCAGTTCCTTCGTGTCCGCGACGATCCGCGGAATCCGCAGGGCATCGACGGCGCGAGACAGGGTATCGCTGTAGGAGACCAGCCAGGCCGGGTCGTCGGTGGTCTGAGGGAGGGTTTTGGCGGCTGCTTGGAAGTGTTGCAGGGCCACGAGCAGTTTGCTGGCGAGGGTTAGGACGGGGGTGCAGAGCGCGTTGATGTCGCTCTCTCTTCCCTCTTTGCCTTGGCTTTCGACTGTGTTTTTGTCGTCTTCGGCTTGGCCATCGACAGGAACATCCACAGCCGTCCACAGCCGAATCTGCCGCAGCACAAACCCCAGATCCGGTCTCTCCTTGACCATCTCGTCGAGGTCTTCTCTGAGTGCATCCAGCCGGGTCTCAGTCTCGATCTCCATGTCAGACAAATCATCCCGCAGCGCAGTAAACACCCCAACCCAATCCTGCAACTTCCCCCTCACACCCGCGTCATCAACCCCCCCTAGCCGAGCATGCACCTCCACCAGCGTGACACCCGTCCTCAAAATCTGCACCAGCCAGCGAACCGTCCTCTTCCTCCCCCTCTCCCTTTCTCTCTCCTGTCCACTCTCAACAAAACCTCCCTTAGCTAGCTTCCCCAACTCATCCACAACTCCCCTCAACCCTCCGATATCTTTTACGCTGCCTGCTAACCACCTTCTCTGACAAACAACCACCCTCAACACCCCCTCAAAATACCCCACACTCCTCTGCACCACCTCCCGACTCACATCCTCACTATGCTCCCTCAGCGCCGCCCTTACCTTCCCCGCGCGCAACAGCGTGCAGTGGAAGAAGTACTCTGCCTGTTTGTATACCTCCTTCCCCTCCTCAGTTTCTGCGTCTGAGAGGAGAGAATCAGAGCCGGAAAAGAAAGAATCCGGGACGTGACCAACAGAAACAAGCACAGCAGCAGTGCTCCCCTGCCCAGCCAATAACCTCCCCCCCAAATTCCTACTAAACCCCATCGCCCTCAGCGCCTTGAGCGTGTCAGCATACAGCGTAACCTTGCGGGTTTTGAGGTGGCGGATGGTGTCTTTTGTTTCGTCGTTCAACACAGAGGGGGTTTCGGTGCGGAGGGCGGTGACGGTCGACACTAAAGAGGTGGTGTAGGTGTCGAGTTCGAAGGGGACGTTGAGGACGGACGGGGGAAGCGCGCCGTGGCGGGCCATGGCGAGGAGGAGGGCGGGTTGGTGGGAGAGGAGGGGCCAGTGGGGGGAGGTGGTTAGAACGGGGAGGTGGGTGAGGAGGGTGAGAGAGTGAGTGTTAATCGCGGGGATGATTTTTGGTGTGAGTTTGGTTTCGGGAGTTAGAGTCAGAGCGAGAGCGACATGGTGAGAAGACTCAGGAACACCCCCCTCGATGATCCCCCCAACAGACTGGTCCAACACCCCCCGAAACTTGCGCACCAGGCCAAACAGCTTGGTGTGACTGCGCTTCGCACTCTCCCGTAGCGCGTCAATGTTCTTGTCCCGCCACTTGTACAGCAGCAGAACATCCTTCATGCTGCGGTCCAGCGGCGCGCGGCCGGCCTTGATGGAGGCGGCGACGGGGGGCTCGAAGCGGGTGTAGAGCGCGAGGAAGCCGTGGATGGCGTTGCGCAGGAGGTCGAGGGCTTTCTCACTTTCTTTCTCCCCCTCATTCTTAGCGTCGTGCTCATTCTTAGCGTCGTGCTCATTCTTAGCGTCGTGCTCGCTCTCACGACGCTCGCTCTCGCTGTCAACAAGACAGTCAAGTTGCCGTGCGAGCTGCCTCAGCAAATCAAGCCGTGCAGCAAACCCCCCCATCGTCGCCTCCCCAAAATACCTCTCCAACACCCCCAACAACTCCACCGCATGCCCCTGCATCATCTCCGCCTCCCGTCCCACCCGCACCAAATCACACGGCTCGCGCACCACGGCCCCATACGCAATACACCACCACCCCCTCGCCTCCTCCCGTGCCCTCTTCGCCTCGGCATCCAACAATCGCGCCCAACACCCCAGTTCCAGTCTCCGCCAGTCACAGATCAGTTCCCGCAGGGCCTCGTACAGCGCCGTGGCCTTGTGTACTTGGGACGCCCAGCCGCCTTCGTGCCATTCGTAGACGTGCGAATACAGGTACTCGACGGCGGGGAGTAAGCGAGCCAGGGGGTCGTCGATGGCGAGGGATAGCACGCGGTCGCAGGCTGACACAACATCGGCGAGGGTCTGGTGGTGGCCGATGTCGTCGATACCTTGGAGCGTGACGAACCGGGCGCGTAAGGAGTGGACTAGGGCTAGCGCGGCGCGGACTTGCGGGCGGTGCGGGTCGGTGTAGAAGTTGTAGGTGTCCGGGCGGATGGGGGCGTGGAAGGAGCGGATGTGTTCGTCGAGGATGAAGAACGTGGCGGGGAGTAACGCCGGGTCAATAACATCGGCCTTGGTATTGGGATTGAGATCCGAGGCGGCGATGCGTCGGGCGGTCTGCGTGCACAGGGCGCGGATGCTCTGCTGGGGATCTTGCGGGGTCGCAAAGATATTCTCGTGGGCCTCGGCCAACAGCACCGCCAAATCCCGACCTCCTTTCTTGTTAGCGGGTTTCTTCTTAACAACCCCGTCTTCGTCCGGCGCGTAGTCCGGAAACAACTGGTCAAACGCCTCCTGATCATACGCCTCCTGGTCCTCAGCGCTACCCTTGAAGCGGAACAGACTGGTCTCGGCCTCGGCAGCCTTGCGGTCGGCTTCGAGTTTGCGCGTCCATTGCTCGTGGAAGATGTCGAGCGAGGCGTGCAGGGCCTGGCGGAGTGATAGCGGTAGCTGGTCTAAACCGTCGACGGCCACGACGGTTTGTACAAACGAGAGAAAGTCCAGCGTGCGCGGTTCGCCTGTTTCGTCCTGGAATGTGCTCGCAAAGACCGTCCCGCCGAGGAACGGGACAACCCTGGCTAGCTGTTGCACTTCTCCCTCTTCACCTTCATCTCTGTTCTTGGCATCCGTCCCCAGACCCAGAGACAACCCCACAACAAGACACCGCAAGAACCCCACCAGCGGCATCACCACGTCCTGGTGCGCCGCAAACCGCCCAGGGCCCGTCAGTCGGCCCATCAGAAGCCGCACATTCTGTTCCAGCAGTTCCAGTTCTTCCCTCTCACTCTGGCTCTCACTTCCCGTCTGATTCTTCCCCTGACTCTGGCTTGAGAAACCAGGTAAAAGAGCCCGCACAAGCACACCCGCGACATCCCCCCCAACAGCCCGTAACACATTCCCAAACTCCCCCTGTAACCTCCTCCCCTCATCCCCGCCATCCTCTGGTCGGTAAATCTCCTGAACATCTGGCTCGTCTCCTAGTGCGCGCTCTTCCTCTTGCAGAATCTGCCCTCGCAGACTAACGCTGACAGTGGATGACTGCCCCATGAAAGCCCGCTCGAAGCTGGCTAACGCAGCCTTCTGCGCTTGCACCGATGCACGCAGCGCGCGGTGCTCGTCGGCAGCTACTTGCGCTCGGTGGTGTGGATCGTGCGGTTTGTCCGGGACGAAGAGGTCGATGCTGCCGAGGGCGAAATGCAACCAGGCGATGGACAGGCTGGGGCGGGTGTGTTTCTGGTAGTCGCGGGTAGTTGAGGTGTGATGCTGAGCGTAGGCTGCGGCTGCGAGAGCCGGGATGAAGTGGTGGTTAATCGTAGCCGTGAGATGGGAGGGGAAAGACGCAGGCGTGGAGATGTGAGCGGGCAAGTTGGTGAGTAAATCCCGGAGCTCAACACCTCCAGTCACCTTTCCCACAAGCAACCCATACACCCTCTCAACCCACGCATCAGCCTCATCAGTAGACCCCTCCGCCGCCGCAACAACAACCTCCCTGATCCCCCTAACCACCAGTTCCCCCAACGCCCTCAACACCCCCCCATCGCCTAAAGTCTCCGTCACGCTAACCAACGCCCCTCCTATCCGCGGCATCTCCACCTCTAGCGAGCGCAGGTCTGCTAACCGCGCCGAGGCTGCCGCGTCCAGACGTCGGAGGAGTGATGGTGTGAGGTGCCAGGGCGGGGGTGTTTCTATGAGTGTGTTTACGTCGTTTGTGTTGTTGGTTGTGTTTGTGTTTGTGTCGGGAGAGTCCCGCACAAGCAGGGCATCAACGACGGAGAGACTGGTCGAGGGAAGACAGCGCAGACGCATCAGGTTGGCGGTGGGGATGCTGGATAGGACTGTCCAGTCTGTGTCCTTCCTCTTTGTCTCTGTCTCTGCAGCATCTCTTATGCCGGTGCGAGAGGCCTGAGAGTGAGAGTTCGCCTCCTGCAAAACCAAAACCCTCCTCAACCCCTCAAAACACCCCGCAAAAAACGGCCCCCCCATATCCCCCCCCATATCCCCCCCCACCTCCCCATCCATAAGAACATACCCCCGTGCCACCACCGCGTCCACCGCCCTCAACGCCCCCAAATCCATAACTTCATTGGTACCCCCCATCCGCCAACGCACCGCATCAAACCGACCCGCCAACCCCTCCAACTCTCCCACCCATTGCAGCGTTTCACGCTTCGCAACCGGCACCGGGCGTAACACCCGCCACAGCGCCTCCATGCTGCGGCCGCTGGCGAGTTGGAAACCGACTACAAAAGCGCGCTGGAGGAGGTCGGATAATCCATTCAGCAGGTCTCTGTCTTGGACTCTGTGATGGTTGGGATCGTTTCCGAGGCAAGCCGGACTGGACTGCAACAGGGCCGCGGCCTGCGTAAGATGTGCCTGGAAGCGGGCCTCGTCAAACGTTGAAGGCGGGGCAGTGAGCGCGGTAAAAGTGCGCTGCCAGAAGAGGAGGAGGCGGTGGAGGAGGGGACGGCGGTGTTGCCATGTCGTCGTCGTCCCTGAGACTGTCGTTGAGACTGACATTTCAGCCCCTGAATCGGACCCTAACCCTGGCCGTGACTCGACCCCTGAGCTGGACCCTAACCCTGAGTCGGAGCTGGTCATTTCCCCTTCTAACCCTAACCCTGCCCCCCCTTCTCGCATTTCATCCCTCATCCTAGTGACGGTATCACGAAGAAAAGCGCCCAAAACAGCCAACACCCCCCCAAGAAAAGCCCAACCGCGTGCTGTCGAGTCCGCAGCAAGCGACGCCACCTTCCCGTGCTCTGCCGCCCACGCCCTTTGCAACCGGTTCAGCCCGGCCGGCTTGGCTACATTGACGTGTGTCGTTTGGGCGTCGAGTGCGGATTGTGCGTGGCGGATGGATAGGTAGAGTTCGTAGGTTGTTCCGAGCCAGATTGCTTGATTCTTCTGGCTCTGCCGGAGGAGGGGGGTGTTGAGGAGGGGGTGAAGGGAGAGGTGCAGGTGGTTGGTGGGTGTGTTGGTGTTGTTCGTGAGGGAGGAGTAAAAAGTGGCAAGGCCTTCTCGTAGCGGCGCCGCGTCGGACGATTGAACAAACCCGAGGACGTGGTTGAGGTGTTGGACAGCGGACGCCGAGTGAAGCAGCGGTGCGCCGGTGAGGCCTTCGCGGGCGGCTGTTAGGTACGCAGCCAGCTTGTTGCTGTCGCTCAGCGAGAGGATGTCAAACGCGAGAGGCGTGAGGTCCCCGGTTCCGTCTTTGTTGCCGTTCTCTCCCCGGTCCAGCATCGAAGCAGCCGTCTGAAACCGCTCCGATCCCCCCTCCACCGACACGAGCTTTTCACTTTGGCCGTACTCCTCCAACACATCCAAATAAACCTCCACCGACCGATTCCGCATCGCCCTCGACAACTCGCCATACCGCGGATCAACCGTCAAAAACACCCTAAACTCCTTATGCGGCCGTATCACCCTCTCTCCGCCATCACCCTCCGCCGACCCACTATGCTCATTAATACTCAACACCCCGCCGGGCCGTTCCAACAACGAATTCAACCGGTCCAGCACCGACGCGCTGCATAGGTTGGCATGGTCTAGCACGAGCCACGCGCCGGACTCTACGGCCCGCACGATCACGCCGTCGAGCCATTCAAAACGGGGGGTGTCTAGGGTTAGGGGGGCACGTAGACGGGTGGAGGTCTCAGCTAATAGCGCGGAGAAGCTCTCGGGGAGGGAGATGTTGGTGTCGGCTTGTACTGCTTCGATGAGCGGGAGGAGATGGGCGTACTGGTTGCTGCTGCTATCGTCATCATCCTCTCTTTGCAGCGCAGCCATTAGATCAAGCGCCACACCGGGTACCTCTCCCGGCAACGCTTGCAACACCAGCTCCTGCAGCTCCTGCTTCAACCTTCCCAAACACCCTTGCAAATCACGGTGCGGATCAGCCTGCTCAAACCCGCCGATCAGGTCCATGGCATCGACATCAGCATTCAGAGGGAACACGACCAGTTCCCGTCCAGCCAGCGCCGCGACGTGCGCGAGCAGCGCCGATTTGCCGCTGCCTGAGGGACCGACTAGAATGCAGGGCAGGTCATGCGCCACGGCGGTCATGACAGATTCAATTTCTCTCAGGCGGGGAATGGGGTTGAAGCCGCTGATGGGGGATGTTGTTGGGTTGGCGAGAGGATTTCGGCGGAGGGTGGCCAGGCCGACTTGGGCGAAGTGCGGGTTCACGTCGTGGTAGAGGGCCTGGGTGTCGGGGCTGCGGCCAAAAACCTCGCGGAAGAGCCGGTCTACCTGGGCTCGGTCGCGGGTGGCCCGGAAGCGCTGCCGGATGATGATGTCGAGGTAGTCGTCGGGTTTGCGAGGCAGTCCTGATCCTGTCAAAAGATCCCCCCAGCGCAGGACATCACGCAGGTTAAACTCCCATGGCGCGCCCAGCGCTCCAAAGGCCCGACGCCGCACAACCTCATCGTCTAGGCGCGCAACAAACTCGATGAGCTGCTGGTGAGTATCCGAACCGAGGGCGGGGAACTGGCGGGCGGTGATGTGCAGCAGGTCGTCACGCGTGAAGACGTCGGCGTAGACGACGGTGAAGCGGTTGACGAAGGAGCTGGGCAAGCCCTTGCGGCCGCCGCCTTGGTGATGCGGGTTTTGGGCGGCGAAGAGCTGAAAGTCGGGGTGGCGGGGGAAGACCTGGTCCAGCTCGGCGATGTAGACCTCGCCACGGTGGTCGAGGCAGGCGTTGAGGCCTTCGAGGACGGATTGTGAGGCCAGGTTCATTTCCTGGTTTCTTATTAGCAAGGATGAAAATAGAGATAGTTAAAAAGGGGTAAGTAAATAAAGTGAAAAGGGGGAAGTAAATAAAGAAACTCACATCCAACAAAACCCACCCCCCCCCCTTCATCGCCTCCAAAAACGGCGCATTCCTCCACACAAAATGCCCCGCCTCCTCACCCTCCACCGGCACATCCGTCCCAAACAAATCCATCAAGTCCGTCTGATCCGACAGATTGATACGTGTCAGCGGCCGCCCACACGCCCGTGCCAGGGCGGTCACCAGCGTGGTCTTGCCCACGCCTGGGTTGCCTTCTAGTAGGATGGGTTTCTTGTTTTTGGTGCTGCTCTGGAGGGCGCGGATGACGCGCATTGCGTTGAGACGGGTGGTGGTGACGCTGAATTCGTGGGCTGGTTCTGCTGCTTTTGTTTCTGGGGCCACGTCTGTGTCTGGTTCAGTTTCGGTAGACTGGATCCGAGGGAGAGAGAAATCCCCAATCGTAAGCCGATCACCAGTAACAGTAACACACGGCTGTGCAAAGTAGGCTTGGCCTAATTCCGGCACGCCGCACAGAACGCTCAACCGGTCAAGACACAGCTGGCGCTGGGCAGCCATCTCGCCGGGGTCGACAGCAACAAGAGCCGAGGGATTCGCACCGAGGGTGTCGATATAAACCATAGCTGCGCCGTGCAACAGGGCGAGTTCAGGGGCCGCGGGGAATAAGGCGGTACTCGTAGTGTTGAGAAAGTCGACCCATGCTAGAATATCACGAACCGAAAGCGCTGTGGCCGACGACGGGCGAAAGGTCTGGCCGAACCAGGCGGCGAACTCGACAATGATGCGGGAAGGGGTTGTCGCTTTCCCCTTCTTTCCCTGCTGCTGCTTTGGCTTATGATTAAAGCTCCGATCCAGCTTAGCCACCACAATATCATGCACATCCTCCACATCCTCAAACGCCGGCACCCACACCTCAGTAAACCGATTCCGCAGCGCCGGCGACAACTCCTTCTTGCCGAAATCTCCACCCGGATTCATCGTTGCAAAGAACTGGAACCCCTCGGCCGCCTGCACGTGCGCATCGGCAACATCTGTCACGCCCTTCTCGGCCAGCAGTAGCGTGCGCTGCGGCTCGAGCACCGAGTTGAGGCGTTCCAGGACCGAGTCGTCGGCGAGGGATATCTCGTCCAGCAGGAAATAGGTACCGGCTTTCATGGCATGCACCAGGCTGCCGTCGCTCCATTCAAAGAGCGCGTTGCTGCGCGTGCTGTCGGCATGGATGGACTCGCGGAGGGCGAGGGGGAGTTGCGCGAGTTGGTCGGGTGTCAAGGTGCGGTACCAGCTCTGCAGGTCTTCCACCGACTCCTCCTCATCCCCCTTTTCGCCCCCGAGAATCCCCCTAGCCTCCCTCAACCCCCTCACCAACGAACCCACCACCGCCCCCCGATTCCTCACCGGCCTCTGCGACCCAATCAGATCCCCCGTCTCCGTATTCTGATGCGCATTCACAATATGCAGCGTCTGTCCCGCAAACTCAGCCAGCAGCTGCACCACCGTCGTCTTTCCACACCCCGTCTCGCCCACCAACAGCACCGGCTCACAGTTCTCGATCGCCCGTGCCACTAGCACGTACAGCCGGCGCATGGCCCGCGTCCAGACCACGCCCTGGCTGTTGCGGGCTTTGGCGGTGCGGAGTGAAGGGGCAGTTTCCCAGTCGTAGAGTTGGTCTGGGTCAATGGTGACCCGGAAGACTTCTTCGATGACGGCTTTGACGGCGGCGCGCTCTTCGGGCTTGCGGACCCGCTCGGCGAGGAGCATGAAGCCGTGCTCGGCGAGTTCTTGTCGAGTCCCACCGTTGGCATTGCCGTCGGTATCATTAGTATTACTGCTGCGCAACGCCCAACGGAACAAATCCCGCAACGTCGCAAAACTATTCTTCTGCTCAAACACCCTGCTCTCCTGCCTCAACCGCGTCAGCTGCTTATACACCGCAACGATCCGCCGGCAATCCGACGGCGCCGTGTGCCGACTGCGCCGCTGCAGAATCGTCTCAAGCTCCGCCTCGGGGATATCATCAAAGTGCAGTTCCAGAAACCGATTCCGAAACGCTCTCGACAGCGTCTTGCGCCCACCATACAACAACCCCGCCGGATTCTGCGTGGCGAACAGACAAAACGACTCCGCCGGCCGCACAATCTCCTGCGTCTCCGGGATCAGCAGCTCACGGTTATCGTCCAGCAGCCGGTTGAGGGCCTCGAGGACGTCGGTCGGGGCCAGGTTAAGCTCGTCCAGCACGATCCAGGCTCCCTCGCGCATGGCCTGCACTAGTACGCCCTCTTGGAAGCGTAGTTTGCCCTCGGCGTCGGAGACATACGTGCCTAGATACTCTTGCAGGTCGGTGTGCTCGTGGTTGTTGATGCGCACGAACTTGTTGCCGGTGTAGTGCGCTAGGTACTCGATCATGCTGGTTTTGCCGGCGGAGGTTGGGCCTTGGATGAGGACTGGGTAGCGCCGCGTGGAGGTGGCTCGGACGAGGTTTAGTAGGTTGCGCTCTACGTATGGCGTGATGATGTAGTCGTCGCGGACCCGGGGCGTTTCACGGCCTTGCAGCAGCCAGTACTGGTGGTCCTGGGCTGTGTTCTTGAACGAGACGTATTCGTGGCCGTCGGTTGGTTTCTTGGGGGGGACGGTCAAAATATTCGGCCGGCTGAGTAGGTGTTGGCGGATCAGCGGCATGACGGTTCGCTCCGACTCGGCGCTCAGCAGCGTGGTGAAGCACATGCAGAACCCTTCGTACAGCGCCCGCTCCAAGCCGTAGAGCGCCGCCACGTCGTTGGCGTACGTCAACACCCGTGTGAGCGTGCGCAGACTGAAGTGCGGCACCTCGTTGGCCTGGTCCACCAGCAGCTTGCCCTCTGCCCGTGTCTTGATCGCCAGGTACAGCTCCGCCACGTCGTCCGCCAGTCGGTCGATGCTGCTGTTATTGCTGCCCCGCAGGTGCAAATACGTCTTGATAATGGTCAGCAGGTCCTTCTTATCGCGGTCTGGACTGCCGACGTAGAGCTCCGTGAACCGCGACCGCAGCCCCAGCGGGAGATCGCGTTTGCCGACGTCCGTGGCCGGGTTCATCGCCGCGAACACCCGGAAGTTGGGGTGTGCCTGGATGCGCTCGATCTCGCCGGTTTCTGACAGCAGCAGGGACGGGCTGCTGCTCTGGAACAGGCCCGCGATGCTCTCCAATGTGTCGGGTGATGCCAGGTTGATCTCGTCCAGCAGCACCCAGTCGCCGTTGCGCGCGGCTTTGACAATCTTGCCCTCGACAAACGCAAACGCGAACCCGGGTCCGGACCCTGTTCCGTTTCCAGCGGAGCTGCTCGCGATTTGCCGGTCGAACTGGTCCAGGCTCTGCGAGAACAGCGCCCAGCGCGGCTTCAGGTCGTACAGCCGTTGCAGCTTGGTCGACTCGGTCCTCCGTCGTTTGGCAGGCTGGCCGCCTTGGTCATTGTCTGCTCTATCCTCATCACGGATCTGATTACTGGCGCTGCTGCTCTCCAGCTTCCCCAGAATCGCCTCAAACATCTTCGGCGCCTTCCTCCACTCCTTCGCCACCTCCTTCCACCGTCCCTTCGCAAAGCGCTTCGCAATCCTCTCCAGATACTCCCTATTCTTCTCCACCGACACCCCCGTCCGCTCCAGCAGATCCTCAAACTCCTCCTTCAACGGCATCGCCAGACTCTGCGCGCTAACCGGCTTGAACCCGCCCAGCAAATCGCCCGCTTCGCTCTGCTGCGACAGGTTGACGGCCACCAGCTGACACCTCAGCGAGTCTGCCAGCTGCTGCACCACCGTCGTCTTGCCAATACCTGTTTCCCCCACTAACAGCAGCGGTTCTCGGTGCTGCACCGCGACAGAGATCTGTTCCAGTAGCCGCTTAGCGTGCACCGTCGTCGCGAACGGGCGTTTGTTCTTCGTGGACTTGTGGACTTTGTTCGCGGCTGCTCCTGCCCGCCGTGGCTTGACAAACGCCGCGCGCCCGATCGCCAGCCGGGCTTCGCTGTCCTCCATATCCGGCACATACCCCGTCAGGTAATGCTGCACGCGCTCCTTCGAGAGATGCATCTCCTGCGCCACAGCGGCAATCAACACCCCGCGGGCCGCGGCGTCGGGCAAGCTGCTAACAAAACAGTCGACAGCCTCCAGAAACATACGGTCCCGCGTCGTGTCGGTGATCGGCTCGTCGCCTGTCTGACACCCCGCGGCCCGCAACACGCTGTCGAGGCGGCTGCACCACTTCAGCAGGTCGCGCATGCCGATCGGCCGGTCGAGCGCCGTGCGACCTAGGGCGAACCGTCGTCCCGGTCCGCTGGTGCAGGCGAGTAAGCGGTCGAAGACGGCGAGGATCCCGGGGGTGTACTTGTGCAGTAGTGGGTGTCGTCCGTCGATGACTTCCTTGAGATCTTCCCGCGGTAGCGCCCGGACATGGACGAGACGCCACAAACGCAGGCCGATTATGTTCGGTAGGCTGTCTCGGTCGTGCGAGCCCAGCTGCTGTGTCCGGACCGTCGCAAACAGGCGGAACCCGGACGACGCCTGAATCCGCTCGCCGCGGCCGGGGATGAGTAGTTCCCCGCGTTCGATAAGCGGGAGTAGCGTGCTCATCACTTCTGTGGGGGCTCGGTCGAGGTCTTCGATCAGAACCCATCGTCCTTCACGGACGGCTGTGGTCAGGACACCCGCGCGCCACTGGAAGGAGCCTGGTTTAGCGTCGGTTGTGTACAGGCCCAACAGCATCTTGGCGTCTGTTTGCTCGTTTAGGTGGAGCGTCACCATCTCCTTCTGCTTGCCGAGTTCTCGGGCGATCTCGTGGACGAGAGACGTCTTGCCGGCCCCGGAAAGGCCATGAAGAAGGATGGGGCCCGGTCTTTGGAGTGTGTTGGATAGGGTCTCGAGGTTTTGGACAGTGGTGGAAGTGAGGGCTAGGGTGCTCGGGGTGTTGGCCGGGCCCAGCGGGCGAGGGAGAACTGTCTTTCCGTATTTGACGACGAGAGAAGTGAGATTTTGTGGTGTGATTTGTGGTTGGTTGTCCTCCAGTGTGAGAGTGTCGTCCGCCTGGAGACTTGTGCGAAGTCGTCGAGTTTCTCGCCCCCTTGCGTTCTCATACAGACTCAGAAAAGTGTAATCCGCTTTCCTCCCATCAAAATCGGCAACAAGACTCGTGTCCTTGGGAATGTGTTTGGCCAGAAGCGCCTCCATCTTCTGGTCCGAGGCCTCGTGGAACTGGGTGAAGATCCGGATGGCGAGATATCGGACAACGACGTCCTGGTGCGCAAAGAGCGTCTGAAGCTGAGACGGCTGTGATAGGGGTGAAAATGTACGCTTGTCAAAGTTGTTAAGCCTCCATGATGCAAGAAGAATGACGGCTAGGTCAGCATCTTGAAATGCCATCAAGTCGAGGGGTTCAAGTGTGGTTCCTCCGCCAGCACCCGATCTCCCCACGCTACCTTGAAAATGAGAGATGAGAAACACAGACAGCGAGGGCGCAAATGGTAAAATCCGAGCAAACGACGACACGACTTTCACATCGAACGTCGGGTGTGACAGCACCCAGCGGGCGCAAATATCGGAAAATACCGACTCGAAGTGGGCGAATATCCTCTCGGTGGCCGCCGGCGCAACCAACGCGGCGCTGGCGATGGCCTCTAACAGTTGATTTGAGCCGTGATCTTGGATTAACACCACCAGCTCGCCCGGCAAAAGCTGCATGGTTGCCGCATCGCCGAGCAGAGAGGCCCTCTGCCGGCTGATATCGACTGTGCCCATCCTCTGCATCGGAGAGGGCATAAATTTTTGTCGGTTTCACGGTGAATTGTTGCAAAATTGCAACTCGACGTATGTTTCCTCTCTCTCTCTCAACTTTTTTTTTCTTCACTGAGAATTACATGGTGGGGCATCCCCAAACGCCGGCATGGGTGTTGCCGAATGAGGAACAACAGGGGTCCATATCCCTGTCATCCAAACGCACGAGCCACTCCGAAGCTTGTCCAGCATTAATCTTCACCCAGCTGCCAACAACTGACCGGCCCCGCCAACCAATCACACCACCCCCCGGTAGACTTTTCGAACCACGGCCAAAAAATTCCCGGCTTTTCGACCACAGCAGCAGCGGGCAACGCATCGCGAACCGTCGAATCTCCCGCCCGCCAGGCCCGACGCCGCCCTGTCCCCCTCCCTTTCCTACCGCCCACACACAACCCCTCGTTCACCATGTCAGTCTCCTGCCGGTACGCAGCCCAGTGCTGCGCCCGCCAACTGCGCACGAGCAGCACCACGACCCCTCTTCGCGCCTCGAGCTCCCTCTTCCAGCAGCAACAACAACGTGTGACGAGGAGGTACAACTCGACCGATGCCGCTGCGGCGGCCCCGATCAACCCCAAGATCTCGGCTATTGTCGACCAGATTAGCCAATTGACTCTGTTGGAGACGGCAGACCTTGTTTCGAACTTGAAGGTGCGGATATATCATCTATGCGGGGGGGACTGAAAGGGAGACCAAAGTGATGGGCCGGAAGAGGAGCTTTGTGCCGAAGCTATATCCCGCCTAACATACTGACATACACACCACCCTAAAACAGACCCGCCTCAACATCCCCGACCTCCCCGTAGGCGGATTCGCCGCGGCCCCCGCGGCAGCCGCCCCGGCAGCAGCAGCAGCCGAAGAAGAGGAGGCAGCCCCCGCAGCGGCCGAGAAGACGCTCTTCACGCTCAAGCTGCAATCGTTCGAGGCGACCGCCAAGCCCAAGGTGATCAAGGAGATCAAGAACCTGCTGGGGCTCAGTCTGGTCGACTCCAAGAAGTTTGTGGAGAGTGCGCCGAAGCAGATGAAGGAGTCTGTGCCGAAGGAGGATGCGGAGAAGATTGTGGCTACGATGAAGGATTTGGGGGCTGTTGTTACGATGGAGTAGGGGAATGGATGAGTGAAAGGATGGAGGTAGAGAATCGGGTTGGTGTGGGGCAATGGAAGAAGACATTGTGGGACCGGATAGAGAGAGAGGCGGCCAGTTGGTTTCGTGTCGTTCGTGAGGAAGGCTGTTGCCTCACCCGCGGTTTGGGGCGTGATAGACAGACGGGCCGGGAAACGACATGTTACGAGACAACGAGCCTGCGGCTTCCCCCGCTGCATGTACAAACACAGCACTGTAACACTATAAGACGAGATATACTCACCGTTCCCTCTTGTCATCCTTGAAGACTTCACTAGATCTGGCTCCTATTCGCCTTTTCCGGCAGAGAACCCGAGAACGTATCATTCTAACCCCTATTCCAAAACGCCGTCCCAAGTTGAAAGCCACAGTACACCGAGACCCAACCCAAACTCCATGCAATGCGCTTCCCACAACCGGCCCCTCTTACAAAAGAACCAAAGACACCCCTGAGCCGCTTCACCTACTTGCTGCATCAGCCTCCCTCTGATGCACACATTTCCGCGCCTCAAACTCGGCCTGCCACTCCAGCCACTCCTCCTCCCCCAGCCGATGATCATCCTCCCCCAAATCACTCGTCTCCTCCCACAACCTCTCCATCTCAGCATCCTCACCGGGCGGCACCGCCCATATGTTCTCCCGCTGCCGCTTGTGCCGCTCCCGGTCCTCTTCCATCCGCTGCTCGATCTGTTTCTTGTCCAGACCTGGCGCGGCCGCGCCACCACCACCTCCTCGCCTGTTGTTGCTGGTGTGGTTGTTGTAAGGGGGGAGAGTGCGTGCTGGGGGCATATCACTGAGGTCGTCGGTGCCGCCGTTGGGGAGTGGGGAGGACATGGCGATGTCTTGGGCGGAGGCGTCGCGTTCTTTGAGGACTTCGTCGATTTGGATTACGGCTTGGGCTTCGAGGAGGGATTTGTTCTGGAGGGCGACGAGGACCTGGAGGTAGGGCGATGGTTAGCTGTGGAACGACGGGCCGAGGTTAACAAAGAGGGGCAGATAGGGGACATAGTTTACCTTCCGCACGACTTGGACGTTAGCCGCTCCCGACCCGTCATCTGGCGCTACCGCGTCAACAACCCTTATTATGTCGCGCTGCATCATGCGCACGTAGTCGTCGTAACCGTCCTTATTCGCCAACTCGAGGAAGTGCTCGATGAAATACATGATATTCGCCCGGGTATTCATGTTGCTCTATTCCGTCCCCCCCTCTGCGTTAGCAAACCGGGCAGCAAACACTAACCCAACCAACCAAGCGTCGAGGGCCCCCATCCAACAAAACCCACCCTTTCTAGTTGCTCGAGAATGCAGGAATGCAAATCCTCGGCCATGTCTCGGTATTTGATGGCATATTGGGCGGCTTTTTGCGCGGAATTAACCGACGCGTTCAGCTGGCGGAGCTGATTCGTGAAGCGCATGCGCACCTCGAAGGGGTCGGCCATGATGGTGGTGTTTCCCGGGTCTTGTGGTTGGTCCTGGGAAGGTTCGAAATCATGTAATTTGTGATGGATATGTTAATGCTATGGATGGCGGTTTGATGTCGTCATTTGGTAGGAATCCTGGCATGGGGGAACTCGAAGAACCGGAGGTGTTGCATGAGGTAACTTAAACGACAAAGCTTCAACATTAGTTAATTCTGCACGAGCTTGGAGTTCAGATCCAAACTGGCAGCTGCATGGTTCTGGAAGCCCATGCTGCAGGGGTCGAGAAACTCTACGAGCGCGCTAACCGTATTAGGTAGGCGGTGAAAATTTGGCAACGTGGGGGAGGGACCCTCAGCGGTTTCCCTGCTCTTTGAATTCGGATAAAAAGTTTTGAGACAGATAAGCATCTACACTGGAGGGTTGAATCGTTGCACTTGATTTGATCCTGTTTGTAAACATTCGTCAATTCCTATTTGGGCCAATTTCAGTCCAGATTTATTTCATCACCTGTGACTCCCATTTCCAGCGACAATTGCGCGAAATCAACCCTGCCTTATCAGTCTGGTTTCACTTACACGGACCATCTTTCACACTCCGAACTTCGGCGTTATCCAACGTCTTCTCAACAACAACAATAACGACAACCGGCTAGCAAATATGAGTGCCCTCTCCATCAACAGTGGCTCCTCGGGCTCCTCGGAGCTCACCATGACCGTTCTCGGTTGTGGTAAGTGAAAGATAGCTCCCCGAAATATTTTGTAGTTCTCAGGAAATATTGAAGAGATTACAAAATGCTAATATGACTGACCAGGCACCATGGGCATCGCCATTCTCTCTGGCATTCTCGCCTCCCTAGACGAGATCCAAGACGCCCACAACAAGCCCAGCGCCTCCGGCACCTCCACCCCCCTCTACGAAACCTCCGTCACCACCCGTCTACCCTCCCGCTTCATCGCCTGCGTCCGCCGCCCAGAGTCAGCCAAGAAACTCAAAGCCACCTTCGCCAACCACCTCAACTCCGTAACCATCGCCCAAAACGCCAACGTCGCCTCCGTCCAAAAAGCCGACATCATCCTCCTCGCCTGCAAGCCCTACATGGTACGCGAGGTCCTCTCCGACCCGGGTCTCGCGACCGCCCTCGAAGGCAAGCTCCTCATCAGCATCCTCGCCGGCGTCCCCGAAACCCAAATCGAATCCACCCTGACCGCCGCCAACGACAACACTCCCGTGCGCTGCCGCGTCGTGCGCGCCATGCCCAACACTGCCTCGCTCATCCGCGAGAGCATGACCGTCATCGGCATCTCCAACCCCCCGCTCGACCCAGACACCATGGGGCTCGTAACCTGGATCTTCAAGCGCATCGGCGAGGTCGCCTACCTGCCGCCGTCGACCATGGACGCGTGCACGTCGCTGTGCGGGTCTGGGCCGGCGTTCTTCGCGCTCATGCTGGAGGCCGCTATCGACGGTGCTGTGGCGATGGGTTTGCCGCGTGCCGAGGCCCAGCGCATGGCGGCGCAGACGATGAAAGGGGCGGCGGGGCTGGTGTTGAATGGGGATCACCCGGCGCTGCTGCGGGATAAGGTTAGCACGCCGGGCGGGTGCACGATTGGCGGGTTGTTGGTATTGGAGGAGGGGAGGGTGAGGGGGACGGTGGCGAGGGCGGTGCGGGAGGCGACTGTGGTTGCGAGTCAGCTGGGACAGGGCGTGCAGGGCGTTAATGGGACGCGGTTCCCGGGGAGTCAGTTGCAGTAGGGGTTGTTGTTCAAGGATGAGGGGTGAATATTACATGGTTATGTGGAGGGTGCATTGTTCGTTTCGTTAAGGGCACTCAGGGCAAGAAATCGGTATAGATGGGGATCAATAGTATGCTGTTTTTCCATTCCGCTATCATCGGGAACCCAACCGCAAGGGAAATCTCCTGGGTAACCACCATCACTCCACCGTGATAAGCCAGAATACCACCGCCCAACGCCGTAGTGTACACGGGTTCCAAGGAAGAAACACATTCCAGGGAAAAAGGAGAAAAAAGAGACAAGGCAACACCTATCATATCGAGACGCCACCTAAATCATTTCCCAGGATTCATCAACCTCACGCATCCTCAAACCTCGCCTTCTTACTCAAGGTAGCCGAGCCCTCCGCCTCATCCACCGCCTTGCGCTTCCCATTAACCGCAGCAGAAGAGCCGTTCGCCTTCGACGTAGAAGCAGACCCAACCGCCTCCTTTTCCTCCTCCAATTGCCGCTCCGCCCGGTCCAACAACCGCTCATAGTCAAACTTGACGTTATCCACCGCATCAGTGAGCTTGACGATACGCTCAGGGATCTCAAACTCCCCCAGCGCGTCCCGGTTGTGCTTGTACACCCTCTTCTTGAGCATCAGCCGCCACAGGCGGAACTCGTGAAGTTGCGCTGCCGTTGCGCGCTCCGGTTTCCCGGCGGCAGTAGCAGAAGAAGAAGCCTTAGACTCAGCTGTCGAGGCCTCAGCGAGCTGGGCAAATGACTCCCGCAGGGACGCGGGTTGCGTCGAGAGGAGGTGCATCTCGAGCACGCGCGCAAACTGGCGCGGCGCAATTTTGGCCTTGATGCGCACCGCCTCGGCGGCGTCCTTATCGACGATGTTGTTGGGTGCGGCGCCGGCCTCGGGGATGGTGATGTCGGTGTTGATGCGCAGCGCCAGGAATTCGGGGAGTGTGCGCAGGTAGTGCAGGTCGGCGATATCGCGGAGGTCGTCGAAGGCTTCATTGGGGTCTTCGACGGTGATCTCGACGGTCTGCGGGTGGTTGATGTACTCCTGGAAGATGTGGCTGTACAGTTTCGACCCAAGCCCCTTGCTCTTGAAAAGGGGGATGATGAGGAACTGAGAGATCCGGCTGCGGCAGGGGAGTTCGGAAAGGTCGAAATCTTGCGCGAGCGTGGCCTTCTCGATGTCGCTTTCGGTGGGAGACTGGGGCGGCGTGAGCGGCCGGAAGTGGAAGAACCGGTACACTGTCGAATAGCCGGCAAAGATATAAGGGTTCCCGCTGTCGTCGCTTGCAGATTCCTGCTTTTGGTAGAGGAAAAAGACAGTCCATCGGTCGGCATCCGGGTCCTCCACATCGATTGGGGTTCCGCCTTCAATAAAGAATGGAACAAGCGTTTGAATGCGGGTGACCAACTGCTTCACTGCGACGTCCGCCAGGTTGCCCTTCCAGATCTCGAATGTGTTGCCGTGGGACGTGAAGCTTGTCGCAAGGGTGCCGGGAGGTGTCCAGTCTTTCCGCGCACTTTTGATCGCTGTTTCGAAGTCGGACTTCTTCTGGAATGCGACATCGGGCAAGACCTCGCGGAGGATGCCATCGAGGTCCGCGGCTTGGGTGTCGCCCACGGCGGTGAATTTCTTGCTGTATTTTATGGATACGTTTGGGCGCATATCGCTCGCATGATACCGGATGTCGATTTCGAGGTTTCGGTAACCAAATATCTCCTGCTCCTCGCCAAATAACTGGTATGTGTGTTTGGGGTTGAAACTGTGGCCGATGGTCTTGAGACCGGTCGCCGAAGGCGACACAAGCGATAAGGACAGCGCCTCATCCGCCGGTTGCGACCCTGCGAAAAGAAAATCAGATATTAATCAATAACTAAACTTTGCGATATTGACCGAACTTACAATTATCGTCGGATGACATATTCTGCGGTAATGGATGTCGAGGTTCTGGGACTAAGTTATGTGTTCGGAAGTGTGCGGTCGCAAAGTTAAGATGCTGGTCGCATTCTGGAAAAGGTTGCAGCTGCATCGAGAAACCGCGACGCGCTGGGGCGCGCTCGTCCCGCGTTGCCAGGTTTAATTGATCAAAGGCACGGTCTCGCACTGTGTTCCGCCTCCGAGAGCACGCTTCAGGAACGACAACCGCATCCCAAAGTTGAGTATTGATCCGTGTAATTGTGTTACATGTACGAGGTATTCATTCTGTATTACATAGCTAAGTACGCGCAATAATAATTCCGTCCTGTTTCCTCTCCTGTCCTCCTCTCTGGCAACATGAAATTCACAAAACCAAGCACAGTAAATCTACAATACGGGTGGCACGGAGCACAAGTACGATGAAGACTAGCCGAATCAGGGCAAGTGCAACGGGAGCTGCGGGCGGCGGGGCAAAGCATGGCATTGCTGTTGATCTTCTCCCTTTCCAAGTCCCCAATCCAGGCTGAATAACGCAAGCCAACGGGCTCAGCCGAAGGGGACAGCTTCGAGAAAACCTCCGGACTCAACTCCACCACGCGGCCTTGATTTTCTTCTGGCCAGCTTGCGCCAATGAGTTGACCCAAGCGGGAGCGGCATCCAATTCTCCCAGCAGTGTATTCTCCTGCAACTGCTTCAAGATGGCCGGCCTCATCTTTCTCATCGCGACCTCTGTGAGTGTGGCCGTCGCAAATTCATGGAGGGCTGGTGTTATGCGATCCTGGCTGGGCAGTGGGCTAACTGCTTGATTGTTTGCTGGCTACCATAGGTCGTTATGGCGATAGCGTACGTCCATTTGAAAGTCCAACAACTCAGTCCCCTGACTCCCACAACTGAGCCTCCCAACTCCCGGCCTGTGCACGCACGCTGACTCTCTCCCTGCGCAAACAGCTCGTTCCTCGCCGGCGCACTCCCACTATCGTTCTCCCTATCCCACACCCAACTCCGGCTGATTGCCTCGCTCGGCGCCGGCCTACTGGTCGGCAGCTGCTTGATCGTCATTCTCCCCGAAGGGATTGAGGCGCTAGCTGCGGCGTCGCAGCACTCCCATCTCGACGACACCTTGCCCGCCGACGACCCGGACCGATTTCGACGACGGACCACCCACTGGCTTTCAGGTCGCGCGGACGACGGCCAGGCAGCCCTCAATAACGAACTGCCCACCTTCAGCATCGGCTTCACCCTCGTCGTGGGCTTCGCGCTGATGTTCCTAGTCGACCGGCTCCCCCGCCACGCATCCGAGCGATTCCAGGGCGCGCCTACGAGCAGACATGTCAGTCTAGAGAACCTGGCCGGGTCAAGCGTTTCTGGGGACGAAGAATCTGAGGGGTTCCTGGGCTCTCTCGCCCCGTCGCCCAAGCAGAGCCGCAGTCTAGCGACTACGATGGGTTTGGTCATTCACGCAGCAGCAGATGGCATTGCGATGGGGGCGTCGGCCACCACGGCCAACTTGAACGTGGGACTGATCATCTTCTTTGCGATCCTGGTGCACAAAGCGCCGGCCGCGTTTGGGCTCACTTCCATCTTGCTGAAGCAGGGCCTTTCTAAGCGGGCTACGCGGGTGCATTTGATGGTGTTCAGCCTCGCTGCTCCCGCGGGGGCTTTGGCCACTTATTTCCTCGTTTCGCTGGTCGGGGGTGAGAGTATGGAAGGTGAATCCGCCCAGTGGTGGACTGGCATGTTGCTTCTATTTAGTGCTGGAACATTTTTGTACGTTGCCCCCTTAGTTTACCGCTTCCTTACCACTGGGGAGCTGTACTCGACTAATGCTGCTTTAGGTACGTTGCGATGCATGCGATGCAGGAGGAAAACCAGTCTGCCAGCCACGACCACCATCCGACCGCGAATGGCTATGCGGAACCTGGCGGGAAGCGGCAAGCGAAACTGCAGATGCGAGACACTCTCGCAACGGTGGTTGGCTTCTTGCTGCCATTGCTCACACGATTCGGTCACCACCACCACTGATGTGTGATATAATAGTGCACAATTTCTGCCCCTTTTCTTTACACGTGGGGGATCTGGCGTTTCGGGCACTTGGGATAGACTTGTGGACTTGTCACGGGCACGCCCGTACTGTATTGTGTGTGTAATACCGAGGCATAAAAAAGCTGGCGTGGCTTAGAGAAAGCGGGCGTTTTGGATTTTTTGACGTTTGTTTCACCATCGGCTATGGCGCTTCATCTTGATTTCATAACAATTGATGAGTTAGTTGTGTGTGCTCCATCCAACGTACGTTTACAAAACGGTTTTGACTGCGGCCTGCTCACGAGAAGGGCGAACAACCAGCCGGAAAACTTCGGCATCAGCGGGAGGGAGTCTCTCGTTTCGTCACCTGTGCAGCTTTTGGTTACATTTCTGTGCTAGCTTTGCAGACGGCAGGAGCGTCGTGCGACTGCCACTCTTTGGTGGTGGAGTTGCCTTTTCCCGGGTTGGGGGTCTGAATGACGCAAGCCTGGAATCCAAGGAACGGGGAAACGGTGTTGGCCAACTTCATGCCCGGCGCCAATGGAGGTGTGCATTTCGGGCCGAGGGCCGGATTAGTGGACATAATAGGTAGTGTAAGTTGAGATGAAGGGAGGCTTGGAAAAAAACTGACCGCCCGTGTATGGATCCGTACGGAGCACGAAGACTTGAACAAGATACTGGACTAGACCTTGGGAGGAAAGGTACGGTGTATTACAAACGCTCCAATGAAGGCGGGCTAATAAAATTTCTGGAACGGCCGGAGGGGCAGGCGGGGGCGGCGTTTCAGGGCACAGCACGAAGCCCATGCCCCCCCGGTTGTTTCAACCACCGGGCTGTTGGACGAGAGGCGTCTGACATTGATTGCTTTCCTCAGCAACAGCAGGGCGGCACTCGCGGGGCACTAGGAAAAGCGGTGGCTTTGGGGCCCAACTACACTAACGTTAATTAGTGATCCCATGTCTGGGTTGTGATGTGATAGGGTGCGGCGAGGTTGTTGCGTTGGTGCGGACGATATCTTGAGGAGGTTGGCTTCGACGGGCAGTCTGGGCTGTTGGCTAGAAATTTGGTGAGAAGGTATTGGAGTGTAAGCGACGTTATTTCCGCCGTCGAGCGGCGCCGAGACGAACGGGAGTCGGGAGTCGGGTGGGCTGAGCAGCGGACTGGACGGAAGCTCCGTGAGTGGTACGACAAGAAGCACATCCTTCCCAATCCAGTATTTGTCCGATACTCGTCTTCTTGCGAATCGTCGAGCCTTGGAGTTTAGGCGCGACAACGCAACGGAACGACAAAGCATAAAAAGATTCAGGTTCGATCGAGGATGCAAAAATTGGTCTCGAGTCCTCCGAAGCGCTCTCCTTAGCCTCGATTTCAACCCCCATGCAGGGCTTGTTGTCTCACAAACGGCTGCTCTGTCTGTTTCCATGCCATGCCTCGCTCAGGTCCGGCCGTCCCATGCAGGCTGATGCAATCGCTTTGTGGTTTGGCTGCGTGCCTCATGCGCGCGTCGGCACCGCCTGACTTGGTCGCAACAAAAATAAGCACATTGGGGCCCGAAAGATGAAGTGACTTTGGCCGCCGGTCTCTGTCCCTTTTCGGTGGCTTCAATCCACGTTGCGAGCCGAGAGGTTGATGGGATTGTTGGGGACCATGGATCGGCTGGTCACCCGCTGTATTGCAGGAGACAGGTGCCAGCAAGGAAGCGGGCCTCGCTGTAACCCGCCGGTACCTTGACCCCAGTCGACGCTTGCGAACCCTGCTGGCTTTTGAAAGGTTGTCGGGCTCGTCATCGGGGGTTTCGCCAGGAACAAGGTTTTTGGGCGATTCCGGATCTCAAGGGAGGCTTCGCCTCTTTAAAAAAAGAAAAATGGACCTTCGCGAACACAAACGCTATCAGGCACCGGTATTTTGTTCTACACTAGCACTGACTAGTCAGGTATGTACATGTACACAGTAACTCCGGGGGGAGGAAGAGATGCCCATGGGTGATGAGAATGATCTCTCGAGCCCCTTTCTGCTTCTCGAGCATGGAAACGGACCAAGCGAGGACAAGCAGCGGCCCAATGTTGCCAACGCAGTGTTCTCAACAACCAACCTAGAAGATCAGGTGCGGCCCGCTTGGTACATGTACTCTGATCTCCACAGCCCTGAGTAAAAGAGCGCGCTCTCCGCCGCGCGGAACCAGAGTTTTGTGACCACCAGCTGTTTGCGTGGCTCCATTTGATCAAAGGGTTGAAGGATGAGAGGGGCCGCAACAGGTGGCGGTCGAGCATGAGCCAGGCGGTCGAAGCCAGGTGGTGCTGCCCACTGGCCGTGGGCCCGCCGGCGTTGTTGTGCAGCGGGGCCCGTGCCATCTGGGCTGCGGTCCATGCTGTGGAGCACAGCGCCAGGTTGCGCGCCGCGGAATCTCACACGCTGAGAGCAGAAAGAGCGAAAGCGGCAGAGCGGGTACATTTGCGCCAAGTACCACCACCCCCTGGCCAGGTCATCCAGCCTGCTCCCCATTCGGCGCATGGGGAACTGAGAGAACCCCAAGAGACCGCCCCTTCCCGCCTCGTATTTCTTCCCCATCTTCAGCCCTCACGCCCGGTCCCGAAAAGCAGTTGGCCTTCTCGACGACCGACTCTCCCCCCCCTCGATCCCCGCAATCGCCGACGATCTGGAAGTACACACTGATGGACTAGCACGACTGTTTGCAACAACGTGTTTTGCCCATCGCTTCGTTCGAACTGCGAGTCCGGCGCCACCCCTTTTCCTCGCCAAACGGGCCGCCTACTCTGGGCTGTTTCCCTCGTTCTTAATATCCGAAACGTTCTGTCGTTTGTCGGGCCACGACCGAATTCCTGAATTTGGAGCCACCGACTGTGGCATATTCATTCCTTGTTTGGTGCTCGGAGGGCGTTGTGCACGCACACTGGGTTTTGTGACGTGCGAACCTGCGAGTCCAGACTCCGGCTGTCACGATCCGAGGCCCGGCATTCCGACGTCATCTGCACGAGCCCCGAGCGACGTGGAGACCGACCAAGCTGGGACTGCATGATCGTGCATTGGGATCCTTTTGTTTAGTGCTGCCGGTAGACACTTAGGATCTGGTCACCTACATCCGACCACGATCGCGTGGAGAAGGGCTTCTTGTTGGTTATTGATAATTACCGGTTTCCCCGTTTCGTCCCGACGACCATTGCCGAAATGCCGCCACCGCCATACACCAACCGACCGCTGAGTTTTTCGGAGCGACGAGGGGCCGCCTTCAACGAGGAGTTGTCATTGAAGACGCATAATGCAAAGCTCTCGCAGGGGCAGCAACGTCCGCGCGGCCCGCCCACGCCGAGCATGAGCACACCAGCGGCGGACTTCGAGCAAGTTACGGGCTCGCCCCCTCCACCGCCGACGCCAGCTGCTTCGCCTGGGCCATCGCACTCGAGATTGGATTGGGGCGCTGCTGGAGAGGACGAGGAAGCCCATCTCTCGGGGTTGCGCAAGTACTTTCTGCAGTGTAGTGGTGGACAGAGGACTCGATTGCTCGCGGATCTACTCAATCTTTGCACTAGCGGGCAATTGAGTTTCGTGCACCAATTCGTCAGCCCTCTGTTGAAGAAGGATCCTTTTACCACACTACCGGACGAGTTGTGTCTTCGAGTGCGTCTTCCGTCCCACCTTCAGTTCGTGCAGTTGGGGCGCTGTAGCTGACTAATAGTTTCCAGATCCTGTCCTTCATTGATGACCCGAAAGTCCTCGCGCGCGCATCACAAGTTTCACGCCGGTGGCGGGATTTGCTAAGTGACGATATGACATGGAAGAATCTCTGCGTGAAGCACGATTACCAGCGGAGGCTATCTGAAGTCCAACATTCCGTCCGTTTGGCTGCGGCAGCGAGGGCCGAGCCCTACACCTTCGGCCAAAACAACGACGAGTCACCGAACCACACCTTTTCCGGCGCGATCACCTCGAGTTCACTCCCGGCCACGTTTGATGGCAGTGCCAGTTCGCGACCCATGCTCAGGTCCTACAAGTCACACTTCAAACAGAGGTATCTGGTGGATGCCGCTTGGCGGGCCGGCGGCCACAATGTGTCGCGGAATATCACGCAGGACGGTGGCGTTGTCACCAGCTTGCATCTCACCTCCAAGTACATCGTGGTCGCGCTGGATAACGCCAAGATCCATGTGTTCGACACGGAAGGGAATGCACTGCGCACACTGCAGGGCCATGTTATGGGCGTCTGGGCTATGGTGCCTTGGGACGACATTCTGGTTAGCGGTGGATGTGATCGTGACGTTCGCGTCTGGGATTTGTCTACTGGGTAGGTTTGATTTCGGCGGTGGAAATTTGGTTGGGGGGTTTAGCATCGCTAACATGACTGATCTTAGTGCCTGTCTACATACTCTCCGGGGTCACACTTCCACTGTCCGCTGCCTCAAAATGTCGGACGCCAACACCGCAATTTCTGGGTCCCGAGATACCACCCTTAGGATATGGGATATCAGGACCGGGGTGTGCAAGAAGGTGCTCGTGGGCCATCAAGCCAGCGTCCGGTGCCTGGAAATCAAGGGCGACATTGTCGTTTCTGGTAGCTACGATGCCACAGCCAAGGTTTGGAGTATCTCAGAGGGGCGTTGCCTGCACACCCTTCAAGGGCACTACAGCCACATCTACGCTATCGCCTTCGACGGACAACGCGTGGCAACTGGCAGTTTGGATACAAGCGTGAGGATTTGGAATGCCCAGACTGGGTAAGTGTTCTTTTTTTGTGACTGCACATTCGAACGTCACGCTAATTATGGTTGGTTCTAGCGAATGCCAAGCCATCCTCCAAGGACATACCTCCCTCGTTGGACAGCTACAAATGCGCGGTGGTACACTTGTCACAGGCGGTAGCGACGGATCTGTGAGGGTATGGTCCCTGGAGAGGTTCTGTGCCATCCACCGGCTCGCCGCCCATGACAACAGTGTGACCAGCCTGCAATTCGACGATACCCGGGTGGTTAGCGGTGGTAGCGACGGGCGGGTCAAGGTTTGGGACCTGAAGACAGGTAACCTTGTCCGCGAGTTGGTCACCCAAGGCGAGGCTGTCTGGCGCGTTGCTTTTGAGGAGGAAAAATGCGTTGCTATGGCGCTTAAAAACAGCCGGACTGTGATGGAGGTAAGGATGCGAAGCACTCGAGTTTTCACGGCGTTCCTCTGGGCACATCAATTATTAACACGGATTCTTAGGTTTGGTCCTTCTCTCCCCCAGAAGAGATGCTCAACGACGAGCGCTCCATGTTGCCTGGGAAACGAAGGGTTGACGGGCCTACCTCAGATCGTCCGTTGAGCGCGTTCTCGCTCGACTACCGCGGTTCCGGTTCCAGCAGCGGAATCCAGGATGTGGAGATGACAGATATCGGTCCCTCAACCGCACCTCTTCAACAGAGCGGTCCGACTTTTTTCGATGACGATGAATGAAGCGGCACCATCATCCACACTAAACAACATTGGGAGTTTTGGGCGAAGCCCAACCTTTCACTTCTCTTTTTTTTACTCGCAGATACCCCACCCATTTTTTACCTCGGCTCGCACACATACACAAACAATACAAACTGGCGTTTCTAGTTGAACCCTGTGAGGCAATAATAGCGCCAGATCAGGGGGTTTGGGACTAGTTCAACCAGCATACGCACACACACACAGAGCGAGACGGAGGAACAATAAGACCACAAGAAGAGAAGGCAGATATGGGCATGGCTACGGCGTTTTACACACAATCAGCATGGCTTCGGTGAAGATATCGGGCGCAATCAAAGCGGATTAGCATTGGGAGGAAATAGGATTTGGGGTTGGGCGATTGGGCGGCTTCCGGCGATGGTTTTATTTCAATTTTCAGCTGTGAGTTCCGACATTTTGTGTTTATTCTACCTTACAAACACTCGCGTTGTATTAAGAGTACGGAAGCGGTTTGAAGTACATCCGGTTCTTCGTGGTTATGTTATGTGACTAAGTTGTGGGTTGTGGGTTAGTTGATCCCTTGAATCCCGATCTGCTTGGCTGTCTTCGGGGACTTTCAACAATGTCGGTTTAGATGTGTAACGTGGATCATAACTACATAATCCATGTGGACTATGTCCGGACTGCTCATGGTTTTCCGTGATGGTGTCTATTGAGTGGATAGGGGACATGTTCGAGATAAACAATTCATTAAACAGCATAAAACCTTTACCCATTTTGAGTGTTCAATGTTGTAATTTCAGCAATCGGATGCAACATGTAATCGCAATCGTGGCTTGTGTCCTCGGTGGGTTATGAGATAATGAACAAACGAGGTCTGCTGGAGCTACGTATTCCAAGCACCTAGCTCGCCTTTCCGACAACGAAAAACGACCGGATGCAGGGCCACGTCCATCGCGCGGCAAGGCCTGTTGTCTCGACTTTGACAGGCCCACTCAGGCGCTTGGCGCCTTTTTTGTCGGGCCTTTCCGAGCTGTCAAGACAAAAAGCGCGCGGTCGGCGGAGGTCCGATGGGCCCGGACCACCCAGCCCCAACCCATGCTAGCTGTCCCAAAGTGGCTTAGTGTCTGTTCAACAAGCATCATTCCGTTGCCCCAACGCCAAAAAATGGGTCGCCCTTTTTCTCAAACCGCTACAGGGCCCAGCTTTCGCAGCAAAAAAAGCGCCCGAGAGCAGAACTTTGCGATCTCGCATTCACTGCCCGCCTTCCATTCCTCCCCCCCTTCCCTTCTCTTTTTCCTGGTTTGGAATTACCGATTTCTCTTCCCTCCCCACCTTTTCTCACCTCCACATCACCACACATCCATCCCACATAATGTTCTCGCGAGCCGTCCGGATATCGCGGGCAGCGCCCCTCCGCACTGTCCAGCGTGCCCAGGCTGCTCCCATCGCCGCCCGGAGGACTGTCACTACGAATGCGGCTTCGGCGCAGGTTGATAAGGGCTCGGTTCCGCAGGTAGGCTAACTGTCCTATGTCCAATGCTCCCCGGGGACTTTTTTTCTGCCTATCCGGCCGCTTTACAAGTAGCTGGGTTGGGTTGAATTCGATAATTGGACCTCCCCGCAGTCAATTGGCCTTCTTTGCTGATGGTTTTTGTCCCTCCCCGAAACAGTCCGAAGATGAGCCCTTCAACGTCCGGCTCAGCGACGAGAGCTTCGAGACCTACGAGCTCGACCCGCCCCCTTACACCCTCGCGGTGACGAAGAAGCAGCTGAAGCAGATGTACCGCGACATGGTGACCGTGAGGTATGCGATTGGTGGCTCCGAATGATAAGGATGTTTGGCGTTTGGCTTCTCGAGAAAGGACCTCCCCCGCTGACGGTTGTGTGTTGTTGCGTTTGATAAAGGCAAATGGAGATGGCCGCCGACAGGCTATACAAGGAGAAGAAGATCCGGGGTTTCTGCCATCTTTCGACCGGTCAGGAGGCCGTTGCCGTCGGTATCGAGCATGCGATCAACAAGGACGACGACGTGATCACCTCGTACCGTTGCCACGGCTTCGCCTACATGCGTGGCGGTACCATCCGCTCCATCATTGGCGAGCTGCTCGGCCGTCGTGAGGGTATTGCCTACGGCAAGGGTGGCTCCATGCACATGTTCGCTAAGGGCTTCTACGGCGGCAACGGTATCGTCGGCGCCCAGGTCCCTGTTGGGGCTGGTCTTGCTTTCGCCCAGAAGTACACGGACAGCAAGAAGGCTACTGTTATTCTCTACGGTATGGGACTCCAGACTCTTGGGAAAATACCGGGGCTGTAGATCGCTGACATGCTTTTGTCTTAGGTGACGGTGCCAGCAACCAGGGTCAGGTGTTTGAGGCTTTCAACATGGCCAAGCTCTGGAAGCTCCCCGCGCTGTTCGGCTGCGAGAGTGAGTTGCACATTGTGTGTCCATCCCTCAGCTTACCCTGACTAACCACCATTTAGACAACAAGTATGGTATGGGTACGTCGGCGGCTCGCTCCTCCGCCCTGACCGATTACTACAAGCGCGGACAGTACATCCCGGGTCTCAAGATCAACGGCATGGACATCCTTGCCGTCAAGGCCGCCGTCCAGTACGGCAAGCAGTGGACTGAGGACGGCCACGGCCCCCTTGTCCTCGAGTACGTCACCTACCGGTACGGTGGTCACTCCATGTCCGACCCCGGCACCACCTACCGCACTCGCGAGGAAATCCAGCGCATGCGGTCGACCAACGACCCCATTGCCGGCATCAAGCAGCACATTCTCGACTGGGGCGTCGCCGAGGAGGATGAGCTCAAGACCATCGACAAGGAGGCTCGCAGCCACGTCAACGAGGAGGTTGCTGCCGCCGAGGCCATGGCCCACCCCGAGGCGACTCCCAAGATCCTCTTCGAGGACATCTACGTCCGCGGCACCGAGCCGCAGTTCATCCGCGGCCGGACGCCGGATGAGGCTTTCTACTTCAACAACTAAGCGAGGTGTATCGCTGGGTGGAGAGGCGGTGGTTTGCTTGTGGCGTCCGAGTCTTGCGTTGAGGGATTACACCAGGGAGAAACGGATACATGCCGGAACTGTGAGGTTCTGAGCGTTTTGGGAGTTTTTCTTGTACATTATCCTAATCTGTTATAGAGCCTGGGACGGTCCTGAAATTAAGGTTCGGAACGGGGAAGCCTTGGGTGGGGTTTTTAACGATCGCGTTGGTGGTTCTTTTTTTCTCATCGCCAGAATATCGCAAGATCGTGTTGGAGCTTGAAAAAGAGCCATGAATTGTTTTGACCATTTCCTGTTATCAATGCTGCATCTGCTTCCCCTATCAAAGGCAGGGCGGGAACCTCGAAGATGCTCCAGGTAATTACTGTGCGGCGTACATACGCTACAGATGCAGATAACTAGGTATGTACACTACAATGTCTGGACCTCGTACTCCATTCCCGATTTAGTGTAGTTCTGCGAGAACAGGTCATGTGACCGGGTCACTTTACGCGACAACCCCTGCCTGCTGCTGCCTCACCAAAAGTCGCGTTCTAACGCGTCATGCTCAATCCATTTTCAGCTCCGACATCACATGGATGGAAAGCCAATGCCTGCATGCCAATGCGCCGTCTCTGCCTTCCCTGCCTAATCGATTGATCAGAGGTTGGCCTTGCACCGCCATCTTCCCAATTGATTCGTTGTCAATTCTTTCAGCCATATAACCCCTCCCTGCGAAAACACATTTCATCCCACCATTCCTCTTTTTCTTTTTTTTTCTTCCATCCAAACTTATTTTCACTTCCTCTTACTTACAACCACACAAGGTGGCTCCGCAACTTCTTCCCCGGATCACTTGCTTTTCCGCGACCACCACCACCCCTGCTTGGGTCCGCTGTTGTTGGGGCAGCAGGGTTCAGAGTACCACGACAAGAACGGCCCTCGGCCGTCACTGTGAGAGGCCGTGGCCGTTGTTCGGGTCGGAACGCAATTTCAGCGGGTCGGGGCGAGTTGAGAACGAGCGACGACGGCGAGAGGGACATTGTTTGGGATCTGTGAGGATCATCATGGCGCCGAAACAGGCTACGCTGGGGTATGTTAAGAGTGGACAGTTGACTTTGGGGTGGGTAATGGATGGTTTGGAGGTGATATTGCCTGCCGAAAAAGTTGTACTTGCCGGTCTTCTTATTTCCTTTTCGTTTTTCATGGCGGTTGAGGTGACAGGGGAGGGAGCTTGAAAACTGACCAGAATCGCAGCAAATTCTTTAGCCAGGCCAACGGGACCAAGGCGAAGCCAGCTCCTTCTCAGCAGACGACACTCAGCTTTTCGACAAAGGCGACGACTAAAAAGAAGCAAGATGACGAAACGGCTGCTGTCGATGGGGAAGAGGGTGTAGAGAAGGCGACGGCAGAAATCAAGAAGTCTGAGTCTGAGTCGGATGAAGGTACGTTGGTCGAGGGTCTTGGATGTTTGCGCCGGTAGTAGGCTGACACTGGATTGTAACAACAGAAACCGGCAAGAAGAGAGGGCGGCCCGCCAAGTCTGCCTCGCCGAAGAAGCAAGTCAAGCAAGAAGCGGAAGACGATGCTGAAGTGGCAGCACCCGCGAGTAAACGGCCCAGGAGAGGGAGGAAAGTGATTGAAGAGGAGGACGAGGAGGACGCAGCGGAGGATGAACCTATGGAAGACGCGCCGGAGCCAGAGCCAAAGCGGAAGACGGCCAAGAAGACCGCATCGCCAAAGCCGAAATCACCCCGGAAAAAGGAGCCGACGCCAATTGTGAAGACCGAAGCCGAGGAAGACACCCCGGAATCTGCGTCTGAAGTTTCCGAAGAGGAGGACGAGAAGCCCAAGGCTGCGGCCAAAGCCCGCCAGACGGCCCAGGCTACCCTCAAGTCGGACGCCAAGCACCCCTACCCAGACTGGAAGGCGGGCGAGCCGGTACCATATGCCGCACTCTGCACGACATTCTCGCTGATCGAACTTACCACCAAGCGGCTGGAGATCATGGCCCACTGCTCTCTATTTCTCCGACAAGTTTTGCGGCTCACCCCCGACGATCTGTTGTCGACGGTCCTGCTCATGGTCAACAAACTTGCGCCGGATTATGCTGGCGTCGAGCTGGGCATCGGCGAGTCTTTGATCATGAAGGCGATTGGCGAGTCCACGGGTCGTAGCCTGGCGGTGATCAAGCAAGACCAAAAGGAGATTGGTGATCTCGGTCTGGTTGCCGTCAAGTCGAGGTCGAATCAGCCAACCATGTTCAAGCCCAAGCCCCTGACGGTGCAAGGGGTCCATAAGGGCCTCCTGGGGATTGCCACGACGAGCGGCAACGGCGCGCAGACCAGGAAAGTAGACGCGATCAAGAAGCTTCTTTCAGCTGCGGATTCCACAGGGACCGGTAAGGTGGATATCACAAAGGACAAGGGCGGGCCAAGTGAGGCCAAGTACCTCATCCGTTTTCTTGAGGGCAAGCTGAGACTTGGGTTGGCCGAGAAGACGGTCATTGTTTCGCTCGCTCAGGCGATAGTCGCTCACGAGGCGGCTCAGAAGGGCAAGACGGCGAAAACGGAAGACATTGCCCAAGGCGAATCGATTCTCAAGACGGCTTACAGGTTGGTGTTCCTTTGCTTGATCGGGTCATCTGAGATGCTAACGTGTTCATAAGCGAGCTCCCAAGCTACGACATTATCATCCCTGCGATGATTGAGCATGGCATCAACAATCTGGCGGATCACTGCCAGCTGCGCCCCGGCGTGCCTCTGAAGCCCATGTTAGCGAAGCCTACCAAGGCCATCACGGAAGTCCTGGACCGCTTTGAGAACCAAACATTCACTTGCGAATACAAGTATGATGGTGAGCGGGCACAGATTCATTACGTCGCCAAGGACACGGACGAAGAGTTCAGCCAGTCGGCCATTGGCGCCACCAAGGAGGTCGGCAAGGGTGTGGCCGCAATCTTTTCCAGGAACTCGGAGGATCTCTCCGGCAAGTATCCCGACGTTCTCGCCAGGCTTCCGAGCTGGGTCAAGGAGGACACGAAAAGCTTTGTGCTGGACTGCGAGTCCGTGGCGTGGGACATTGAGGAGAAGAAAGTGATGCCTTTCCAACAGCTGATGACCCGAAAGAAGAAGGGGGTGAAAGCAGAAGACGTCAAGATCAAGGTTTGCGTGTTTGCCTTTGACCTGCTTTACCTCAACGGCCAAGCTGTCGTGCACAAGCCGTTGAGGGAGCGTCGAGAACTGCTCCACAAGGCCCTTCAACCTATCGAGGGCGAGCTTGCGTTCGCCACGGCCATCGACGGCCGCGAGATGGACGAGATCCAGGCGTTCCTCGACGAGTCGGTCAAGGCCTCTTGCGAGGGGCTGATGGTTAAGATGTTGGATGGTGAGGAAAGCGGGTATGAACCGAGCAAACGCAGTCGCAACTGGCTCAAGGTATGTTTATTTTCTTGTTCTTTTTTTTTTTTTGGCTTCCTTCTCATATTACAAGAGATTAGAGCACTGACATTGCACAGATCAAAAAAGACTACCTCGCCGGCATCGGCGACTCCCTCGACCTCGTCGTCCTCGGCGCCTACTACGGCAAAGGCAAGCGCACATCCGTCTACGGCGCCTTCCTCCTCGCCTGCTACAACCCCAACACCGACACCTACGAAACTGTCTGCAACATCGGCACCGGCTTTAGCGAGGCCGTGCTCGAGGAACTGCACACCTCCCTCTCCGAAATCGTCATCGACCGGCCCAAGCCCTTCTACTCCCACAGCTCCGGCGGCCAGCACCAGCCCGACGTCTGGTTCGAGCCCAAGTATGTCTGGGAAGTGAAGACGGCTGATCTGACGCTTAGCCCGCGGTACAAAGCGGGGATGAAGGAGGGTGTGGATCCGAGTGGGGAGAAGGGGATTAGTTTGCGGTTTCCAAGGTTTATTAAGATTCGGGATGATAAGAAGCCGGATGAGGCGACTAGTAGCAGGCAGGTGGCGGAGATGTATCGGAAGCAGGAGAGTGTGACGAGTAGTAAGGGGCCGGCGGTGGATGATGATTTTGAGTATTAGCTGTGGGGGAGTTATGGGTGGGTTTTGTAAAGAGTTGCTAGGCTATGTGCTTGTGTCCTAACGCCCAGATGCAACGACCCTCTCCTCTTTGACACATTCTCCTTGCCTTTGTCTTGGTCTGTCTAGATCCGTGTTATATGGTGTTCGTTGACGAGTGAGGTAGGCCCGACAACTATTCAACCAATCCATGCCCGGCGGCAAAGATTTGTTGATGAAAAACAGGGCCGGCCGAGTATGGCTTGCTTCGTCGGTCATTTCGATATGAATGCTGCCGCTCAGCGGTTGCTGTGTTTATAATATGGTAAACATGGAATAACACCGATTGAACAGTACCAGTTACAGCCATTGCCAAGTATGCCTAGGGCTTCTAGTGAAGTGGGTAGGATATTGATGTTGATATCAACTTGTCCTGGAGAGCACATAAAGTTTGTAAGTTATTGGGATATGGTCGGATCTGTGCTGTATTCTTGCTGTTTTTTAAACATGTCGAGGGGTTTACACTCTGGAATGAATCATACTATACCAACGAACCACACGATCGCGAAAATTTCAACAACTCAAATCTCAATATCCACGATCTGTTTGTCGAATAGGCATACCGACTTCTATAATGGCAATGCTCTAATATGTCCCGGGCATATTCCTGATATGCCAGTGTATTCTACCCCCACTCTCGCAATAACCCACGCTAGTTGTCTGTCACAAACCAAGGGAACCGGGCTAAAGAAAGTCCCCAAAGAACCACCCACCGTAACTCAATATCTAACCCAACAACCCCAAATCCACACCCACCCACCGCCTGCCCATCACCGCCTTCGCCCTCTCCCCCCCACACTCCAGCATCCGGCCCCGTAGATCCTCACACCACATCAGCTCCAGCCGGCCTTCGTGTGTGACGGGTCCTTTGCCCTTACCACTACCACCACTTCCACCACCACTGTGGCTGTGGCTGTGTCCAGGTATCGTATCGGAAGTTATTCCCGTAGCTGTGGTGGGCGTGGTAGGCGAGGCAAGGATATTCGCATTCATATCCATGCGAACAGGCACGCCTTCCAGCTCGCTGTAGAAACGAGTCGCGACGAAGAGAGGGTGCCAGAGGAGGTCAGAGAGGTCAGATGATCGTGGCGGTATTTCGGCTGTTGTTATTGTTGCTGATGGCCCGGCCATTGGCTCAATTGGTGATGATGATAATGATGGTGATGATGAAGAGGACGACGATGAGGAGGACAAGGACGGGAAATTCCATTCGGAACCCCAGGCAAAGTCGCCCTGGGGGTGGAACTCGGCTGCCGGCTGGGCAACGGTAGTGACGGCTGTGGCAAGAGGTCGATTCACAAGGAGATAGTCGAGGGTACGACAGATGTGGTTGGCGGCTTCACGGACGCGGGGTAGGGCGAAGCGCATGGGGTCGACGCTGTCGAGGCAGGGCGGGACGGGGACGGGGAGGTCATGAGCGTCGGGTGGGTGGGATGTCGGGGGTTGTAGTTGCTGTTGTTTTTGTTGTTGTTGTTGGTGGTGTTGATGAAGATAAGGGAAGCTCCGGGGTAGGTCCCCTGGCACTGAAAGCCCCGGTGTCGTCGCAGTCTCGGGCGTGTATACCGTGACCGGGTCGACCGCCGCTGCAAAGTATAGCCGCCAGATGGTCGGGTAGAAAACCACCACAGAGCTCCAGTAATACAATATGGCCACCGTCATATGGGCTGAGCGGTAGGGTAGTCCCGACCCTGTACTCCCAGGTTTCCGGCCCCCTGTTGAATTCTCACCCCCCTCATCCTGCTGCTGCTGCATTGACTCATACCACCGACTCAGTCCCAGCTCAAAATCCAGACAGTTCCAGAGCAGGTCCTGAGCGAGGAGTCGACGGGAGAGGGTCGACTCTTGTGCAAAGAGGTGGTCGGCGCGGGTGAGCAAGGCCGGGAGCAGGACGACTTGGTCGAGGAGTCGGTCGAGGGGCGCTTTAGGATGGTGTTCGTAAGGAGTGACAAGCCAGTGGTTCTCGAAAAGAAATGTGGGGGTACGGTTTAGAATGGCGGTCATGATCTTGTGGTGTTTGCGTTAGTCTCGTCCTAAAAAAGGGGGGTGGCAAGGAAGAAAGACTTACAACATTGGGTCGGTAAACCCGCGCAAAGAAGTGGTGCGCCGGGAACGACCTAAAATGGCCCGGCCCAAGCCGCCGTACCGCATCGTGTGTGGGTGTGTCCTTCCAATGTGGTTGGTTGCTGAAAACCGTCGAGTTGTTGTGCTGTTGTTTGCCTGTTAGCCAAGCAAGCCAAGCCAAAATCAGGGGTAGTTCACGAAACAGAACAGAACAAAACAAAAGAATCCAAAACTGAACCCTAACCCTGGCCCACCCCCTGAGAAACAAAACCGAAGATACTGAATAAACAGAGGACACCGAGTGTTCCAGCAGGCTGGCGACCCCAAGTGACCCTGTGGCCCATTCAAAACAAAACACATCACCGACCCTCACTCACCTCATACAAAAATAAACAAACACCACTCCCCGACCCCTGATGGCTCGTACCTGTTTGATCAAAACACATCCAGCACTGTACCCCCAGCCGGAAATCCGCCCCATCCATCGCCGGCCGCACGTCCGGCGCGCGGTACTCTGGTAGCGACAACGTCACCCTGTTGGTCGTCCCGCTCCCATCGAAGTCCATGCTGCTGGATCCCCCCCTCCGCCCGACTTTCTCCAACTCCGTCCGGCATCCCGCCATCCCGAGTTGATATCCCACGCCTTGCCAGGACACATCCACTGTATCCTCCCACGCCGGCCGCGGCACGCCCTGTACTACCGCTGACGGCGACATGGTGGGGTCGGTTTTGGTGTTTAGTCCCATTTCGCTCTGCCATTTCTCTTCACACCCAAAGGCTGCCCACGCCTCGAAGGGGTCAACTGTACCACCGCTGGTGTATCCATCTGCAGCGTAATCCAGCCCTGCTGTTGCTCCTGCTGTTGTTGTTGTTTCAAAACCCGTCGCTCTCGCAGCCGGAGTCGGAGTCGCGAGAAAAACCGAGGTCGAACCAGCAGATGTAGACGCATCAGGAGTCACAGCGGCCGCATAAAGTGCCGCATCCGCCGCCGCCAGTCCAGCAGGGCTCACTCTTCTCGAGCCTGCTCTGGATCCAGCCCTCGATGCCGCCCTTGATGTGGTCGTAGCAGTAGCACCAGTGGTACCGGACGACGACGCCTTGGACTTGGGCTTGACGATGCGTGGCGGGTGGGAGGAGCAGCGGCCTTGGTCTTCGAGTGTGCCGATGATGAAGACAGCTTCGCGCTCGTAACCGGCGCAGGGGCGGTTGTTGTCCTGTGGTTGGGTGTGTTAGGTGTTTTCTTGTTTCATTTAGGTTTTGTTTTCCGTCGCGTCTCTTGTTTCGTTCTCTTCTTTCTCACTTCCTGTCTCTAAAAATGGGGGAAGGGGGCGTAGGGAGTTGACAGTTGCATAAAAGGGAGTTAAGGGGCAAACGCACAAGACATTTCTGGCAAAACGGCCGCTTGTTGTCGCACTGAACCATACAAGTTAGCACTGTGGGGAGGCTTGCTGATGTCTTGTAAATGGGACAAGGTGTGTTATGCATCAGTACAAACGCACCTTGACTCGCTTCAGGCGGCAGGCTAACGCAAAAACGGTTGTTAGTTTAACTTCCAAGGACTCGATAGCTTTTGATGCGGTGATAAAAAGCCGAAGAACTTACTCTCGCAGCCTTTGTATTTTCCCGGAACGCCAACTGTTGCGATGCAGGTTTTGGTTAGCGACTTGGCAGGCCGAAAGATATACCCCAAACGGGTCGATGTGTCTCAGGCTGGGAAAATTGCTGTCGACAGACTCACCCATGATGTTGGTGGTGATGAAGTTGATATAGGAGTTAAAGTCGACGATGTTATGAACTCGGTGCGAAGACAGAGGAACTCGGTGCCGCTATTGCCATCGAAACTGGAAGCTCTTGTGGATGTGCTCGTCACATATGTACCCACGATCCGTACCAACCCCGTTCTGTCGTCTCAATCCTGTTGGTAGCCTAGGATGTAGGAGGCTTGTGAAGTGAAAAGGGACGTTGAGAAAATAATAATATCAAAAACGGTAACAAAATAAATTAACAGCCACCGAAAAAGCCCCAGGAAGGAATCAAAACGGTCGAATAAGCCCCTTCAACCCCCCTAGTCGCATCACAGTTCCTAGCGGCCGCCGACAAAGGTCACCGGCAAATCCCCAGGCGAGCTGAAGATCCTGCGGTGTTCCCCTCCCTTGTGGGATACAACGATGGCCCTAGGGTAATGGGATGGGCTGTTGATGAAGAGAGGCCTCTTTGTGATCTGCATCTGCGTAGTGTGTACGCGTCCGCATGCGAAGGGTGGGGAAAGGAGGGGTCCTTTTAGGTGTTTAGTTTGGTCTGCCCGGTTATGCTCTGAGCGTGGTGATTGATAGGGTTGGGAAGCGAGGGCAAAGGGCCGGCCAGCCAACTGGATCACCAACCCCTATATGCCCGCAGGAGCGCGTGGTAGCGATAGAGGTAGAAGATGTTATCCATGCAGCGATGCAGTGATGCAGCGATGCATCCATGAATCCACAGGTTGGTCATGGGTTGGTCGGTTCAGACGGCCTCGCAGTTCCCCGGACACCGGCCGGATGTCTGCCGATCTAGGGGTACCTTGGTGCTGCGGAGAGGCAATCCATGGGGGTCCCTTGGCAACGGCCGGAGGAACCGGATGTGGGGGCCGAAGAGACGGGGCTGCGTCCGCCCTCAGGGGAATAACAAATTCCCAAAAAAAGATGAAAGGAAAAAAAGGCTGTAGTAGATGACGAGCGAATCATAGGCCAGCCACCCGCGCTGTCGGTTCCCTCCCGTGCAATTGGCTCACTGCGGTTCGGCCTGGTCTCGCCGTCTTTCACATCGGTCCTGAGGACGGGTACCGGATCAGAGTCCGGCTGGCTAGGAACCGTTCCACTCCCTCGCTGCTGCGTCGACGCGCACTATGGGAAGAACAACTAAGAGTCACAGCGGTTTGAAGTGGTGGCGATAGTCGAGCCGGCGGACTAGGCGGTCCAGTCGGTCTAGGCGGTCCTGGCGGTCCTGGCGGTTGAGATGATCGAGATGCATGCCGCAATACTCAACACGTCATGGCCGAAAATCCACAGAACCTATCAGTTACTCCGTAGCTGGCAACGCGTGATAATCATTCGCAAGCCGCAAGCCCCCGTGGGTTGTTGAACCCGCCAGCGGCCGCTCGTTGGTAACACCTACCCTTTCTGCTCCACTTCCTTCCTCTCCCCTCTTACTTCGTCCACCCTATCTCGGTGTCATTACTCGGCCCGCTGCGGGCTGCGAGGCCCTCGCTCCATGCAGGTGCGCAATGCCAATCTACCCGCCCCGAGCGGTTGGATCTGTCCGGTTGTAAATCAAGCGTAAGAGTGGGTTGCAAAGCCGTCGATGTTACCCCGACTTGCCCGATCAACCCCTTGCTCGTTCGTTTATCTGCTCTTCTTGCTGGGGTGGAGGGTTTCCGATGCCGATCTGGACTATTTGTGCCGCACGACGGCTGCATGAGACTTTCGTGGAGAGCCGCAGGGGTGGGCGCAGATGAGAGAAGGAGAGGAAAGTGGATGAGATGGGGTATCTCCAAGACCGAGACCGAATGTGTAGACCCCCCCCTCCCCCTGGCCCCTGGTTGAACTGTGGGCAGTGTTGCACCAGAACAGCCCTTTCCTCCAAGCTTTCTTCTGCAACCAAGCTTTGCGCCCAGATTGCTAAGCAGTCCAAGTGAACTGCATCCTTAATCCCGCCAATCCTTCGCCTGTTAGTTTGTCAGCGAGAAGAAGTGACGGGAGTGAAAAATAATACCAAAAGAAGCACACTGACACCAACCTTGCAACGAACAAGCTTTGTGATCCATGTTTAGGGCTGAAGAAGGATTCCGCAAAGCCTCCACGAACTGTCTGGGTTGCCCCTCTCTTCCGCCCATGAGGGATCCGAACATCCGCTCGGTACCACCTCCTGCGAAGCTAAAAAGACCTTTGCATCCTCCCGGCTGCAGAATCAGAACCTCACTGCACGGCGGTGTTCAACAGAGCGTGGGGATTGGTTCTTGATGTTGGGGATTTGGGGGCCGTTTTCTGGAATGGAACAGCAGGGTAGAAATGGCCCGAATAGGACATGTGACTCGGGTTTTGGCCAATTGGGCGCGCGCTGGGCTGAGCGCACCGGGCTGAGGCAGGTGTCGGGTCGGGTTCGGGTCGGGTTCGTGGAGCAGCGCGCTGGGTTCTGGTTCGCTCAGAACGCCGGAATTAAACAAAAAAGAGGGGCAAAAAAGGAGAGCTGTTGGTTGGCAGCTGTGATTCCAAATAATGTTAGGAAAGCTGGCCCAAGTCGTCATTGAAAGTCCCAAAGAACCATTTTGCCATTCCACGAGCTCTCTTGAATTTCTTCTTGTCGTACTGCGCAGATTCGATGATGGGTAGAGGATGGATTCGATGACGGCAAAGGGAGGGACTCACAGCCATCGTGGTTTCCGGGCCAACCATACCAAATATTTACTTCCCTTGGGATCAACCGCTACAGCGAACACCAATTTTGAAATGCCTTCGAATGTTCCGCAGCCGCAACAGCCCCAGAATTATGTACCTGCCGTGACAGCTCTAGTATCGCCTATCCGAATATCGGTTTCAACATCCTGATGATGAATGGCAGTGTCAGTCTACACGACGAGAACAAGCATGTTCGCTACCGCCTTACATATCTCCTTCACTCCCGTCGGGTTTACCTCCCGATGTCGCTTGGGTTAACCACTTCAGCCATACCGAAGAACCGGGTCCGCGATTAGCTCCAAGGCAAAGTTGAGTCTTTTAGCCCCAGCTATCTCGCGGGTATCTGTGGTATCTACTGTAGACGGCCTCTACATCGGTAGGAAAGGCGCCGCAATGGGGGAGTAGGACAAGCTTGATGAGTATGCGGGCGCGATATGGCTGGTCACGGTGGGCTGTGAACTCCCAGGTTCCAGGTCGCCTTGTGCCGGTCGAGTACTTGGCACTGCTTTACGGGAACGATGAGATCGACGAGGGTGTCTAGTTCGGCAAGCGTGGCCGTGCGCGGACTAGGCTGACGGTGTTATCGTCGCTCTGGGTACGACGGTCTGGGAGAATGTAGTCATCGTAGCAGTCGTGGTGGTTGATGGTTGTAATGTTCTGAGAGGCGCCGCGGCTTTAGGGAGGGTTGCGTTCCTTGGGCATTCCCTCATCATGGTGAAGCCACATCGTCCGGTGGGGGCAACTCGCGGCACTATCGACGTCTGCTTTTATATAAAAAAGTCCATGTCCTTGTGGTTGACGATAATGTTTCGATGGGCTTTGCAGAAGGCTCGTACACCGGCTGATAATTGACTGGCCGCACTTTCCATGGAGGAAAGCGGCTAGGTGGGCCGATGTGTATCGGTAGGAGCGACGTGAGTTGGTGGGACCTATGGTTAAAAAGGGGAGGAACGCCTATCAACTATAGCCAAAAGAAGAAGGAACACTAGTGATAGTTGTGTCTACTAGCCACAACGCCACATATGTCGGCCGATTATGTGAGATTATGCTAGTCGACTGTGGCATCTAATCGCTCCTCTGAGAACTTCGTAGGATTACTCTCATAAATGAAACCAAGCATTCCTTCTTCGCTTCTTCAATGTATAATTTATTGCATGTACACCTCAGAAACTCACCAGGGAAGCTTCGTTGACTTTGCTCCTCGTACCACAACAATGCGTGAGGCCGCTCACCAGCGAACCCCAGAGCGGGATCGCTGCTAGCCCTGTTCTAACCAAGATTGAGACCTTACTCCTAACCGAAATCATAAAACTTCTATAAATGAGGTAAAGGCTATCCAAACTGTGTTCAGGGAACAGCCAACGCCCCCCACAAAATGGACTTTAAAGTATCCGTAGGAAACGGGCAAACACAAGATCCGGGATGTAAGTACTCAATGAGCAATTCAGCATGAAACAAGTCCTACCTAGTGTTTCCAGGTTGCTCCGGCGTTAGGATTCACGGACTGCGCGCTGTCGTTGAAATAAGCACATACTTACGCGCCGTCACGTGGCCTCATGCTGCCTTACCACACCCATTACGGTCATTCCTCCGACCAGGTTTCCTTCCTTCCGCTAGAATAGTGAGAGGCCGAGACTTTGCATGGCCTTACGTACCAATTGTCCCCGGGAATAACGAGATAAGATGAAGGATGAGGAATCAAGTTTGCAAGTGGAAGAAGGCAAGAACAAATGCTTCAAGATCCCAGATTTTGAGAAACCAGCAAGATAGGCTATGTACAAGAAATTCGGAGTCTTTAACTTTCCTAGCCGTTGAAGGCCAGGCTGGAGGGAAATGGTATCAAAGTAGGTGAGACTGAGAAAGCGTTTTTTTAGCAACTCTAAAGATACTTGTAGGGGTTCAAGATGCCGTTCTGCAAGCCGTTAGCTTCAACCTTAAGGAGGAGGGACAGTTATGAGGAACCTACCGGATCAAACGTGGTCTTGATGTTCTTCATCAACCCCACCATGGTCGGGTTCCGGCTGTACCCAATATACTTTTTCTTCATCACCCCCAACCCGTGTTCCGCGCTGATGCTGCCCTGGCGCTTGGCGATCCACTCATACACAAACGGCTCGAGCACCTTCTCAACCCGCTCGTCAAACCGCCTCGTCGAGACGTTCAGGTGCAAGTTGGCGTCGCCCATGTGCCCGTACCCGACCACCGCGCGCACCGGGAACTCGTCCTCGTCGCCGAGCAACCCCGCCTCGTCAACCCGCGCCCGCGTGTCCTCGACCAACTGGTACAGCTCCTTGAGCGGGATCGAGACGTCATACTTGTACGTGCCACCCAGATGGCTGAGCGCCTCAGTGATGCCCTCGCGCCACGCCCACAGCGATTTGATCTGCGTCTCGTCCTGCGCCAGCGTGCCGTCCGCCACGATGCCTTTTTCCATGACGTCTTCGAGGAAGGCCTGCAGCTTCTCACTGTCATGGTCTGCATTGGACCCGCTTGTCTCAATCAAGCAGTAAAACGGGTAGGTGTCCTCCAGCGGCCGTTTGTTGCCGGTCACTTGCCGCACCAGCGCCTGGCTGCCATCGTCCATCAGCTCGAACGCCGAGAGGATCTCAGAGAGCTGGCCCTTGGCCTCACGGAACGCCTGCTGAGCCTGCTCAAACGACGACAGACCGAAAAGGGCCACGTTTTGCGCCGGTGATCGCTGGGGGCATTGGATTGACACCTTGGTGATGATGCCGATGGTGCCTTCGGCACCGATAAACAACTGCTTTAGATCGTACCCCGTGTTGTTCTTGCGGAGTTTACAGAGATCGTCCACGACGGTGCCGTCGGCAAGAACCGCCTCAATACCCAACACCGTCCCGTGAAGGCTGCCGTACCGCAGCAGTCGCAGACCGCCGGCGTTGGTTGAAACATTGCCGCCAATATGGCACGATCCCTTAGCCCCCAAGTCCAGCGGGAAGATGTACCCCGCCGTAGCCAAGAATTGGTCCACCACCTCAAGAATACACCCGGCTTCAGCCACCAATGTCCCGCTCACCTCGTCAAACTCGATAATGTTGTCCATACGAGCCATGTTGATGACAATCTCATCAAACACCGGCACGGACCCGCCAACTAACCCAGTGTTGCCGCCCTGCGGGACAACCGCAAGCATGTTGTCATTGCAGTACTTGAGGATCCGGCTGACCTCCTCCGTCGTCCGGGGCCGTAGCACCAGCCGGCACTGCCCGCGATACTTGCGCATCCAGTCGGTGTTGAACGGTTCGATGTCGTCGGCGGTGTCACTGCGCGTGACGCCATCGAGGACCGCTGAGTACGTGCCGAGCAGTTGCTGGAAGTGGGCAACATGGGCCTCGGTAAGTTGCGCGAACCGGGGATCGCGCTTGATGTCCGGGTAGGTCTCGCTGGTGAGCTTGCTCTGTGCTGCTGCCGGCGCCGGGCCGGTCGGCTGGAAATGCCGCGGTACAGTGCTGCTGAGGTAGCGGGCGGCTGGGGGCGTGAGTGTTCGTTGTAGCCCGGTGTGGCGAGCGGTGTGGGGTGATATTTTTAGTAGCCTCAACCGTCGTAAGACGGGGGTGAGTTGTTGGCGGGCGGCCATTGTGAAAGACGAGGGGGGGCAACGGAGGAAACCCAGAGGAAAATAGACAATAGCGTTAGGCGAAAAAAAGGAAACACAGACGCAATTGGAAGGCCCCGATCAATTGAAGAGGGCAGCTCCAAGATCGTTACAAGCCTTGAGAAATAAAAAGAGGGAACATGAAAAAAGTCCAAGTGAGGCTTGAGTGAGCCTCTCATGAACGGTGCGACACCGGCGACAAGGGTTGTTTGACAGCCCTCTAACATTGCCAGCTGGCGCAAGGTGCAACAGCCGACCGCCACCTGGTGCAGGATAACGCTTTTTCTGTATTACCCTTAACCCTGAACTTGCCGCCAAGCAATGTTAAACCCTAACCCTCATATACGTGATACTTCCCCTTTCTGGCCGCACCCCTTCATTAGCCTATTAAAAACAAAAGAAAAGGAAAACTCTCCCTGGAGATCCTGGAGGCTTGCTATATGGATATCAGTTGACTCTCCTTTGTTTGGGTGTAATCTCGAGAGAGGGAGAAACTCAGAAAATGGCTGTCAAGTCTGCGCTCACCTCGGCACTTCGTTCTCGTGGGTGTCGATTTGACATGTACTTGCCATCATGTGTAAAATCCTCCATTGTGGTTACCATTTCAAAGTAGAGGAGTGTTGGGGCGAGCAGGACACGACTGAAGTGTCATAAAGAAGGAAGCTGCTGTGCTTGGCAGCATGAAGTATCTATACCGGCTCGCTGTCTGCTTCTCCCATTCCTTTTCTCTTCTTGTTGCAACGGCCAGAGCACCTTTCCATCACCCTCGACTATCAGACGGTTGCCTCAGAAATATTTTCGGCCAGTATCAAGAGACTGGCTTTCGCCAAATCCTGCGAAGCGGCAGAGGTTATCATCATTGGCAATGCTTATCGAAGGATCTCTGATACCCCCCCGGGACCAATTTCCCGGATCCCGCCTCGACGACGAAGGACGATGTGGGCTAGCTCGACCTCAGTGGTAGCATGGTCGGGGAACATCATTCAAGGCGAGTTACCCCCTTCCCAGCGTATCATCCTTGGCTGCTAGTTGCTAACCTCGCCCCTAGAGTGAGTCTCGCGCCCTGTGATGATAACTCTAACACCATGGCTGGGATTCTTAATCGATGACGACCTGCTGTACAAAGGACATCTGAGGGACGGGCTTAGGAGATTGGAACGCAAGAGCGCGGGAATGGATTTATAATTTATAAAAAATGGCCTAGGGGCTGTGCGTACCCAAGAAGCATAGCCGTGAGGTAGTTCAGAGATAACGGGCATGTCATAGGGGAGCATCATAGCGGGAGCATCCTCATCAAGAACTTGAGACGGTGCTTGGTACACTATCTCGCTGTGGCCACAAAAGCGGCAAACCAAGTCCCTGGATAACTGGCTTTTCTACAAAAGTGAAAAAAACTAGGAAGAATAAATCAAAAAAAAAATGAAAGAAGACAAGAAGAATAATCAGAAAAGTAAGAAAGGGTGAAAAAGAGTAAATCAATCGGAATCTCCTAAGATTTGATCGATTGTTGATGGATTGGACTTAAGCTAATTATCTGTTTTACGGATAAGGTAGAATTATTGACTTGGCCAGCGTATTAGATGATTGGTCGGAGCTTATGGTGGGTCTGGTGGGATGCGGGCGGCTTGGCAGCCTTCCGCTCGTCGTCACAGCTGTGGCAGCCTGCACTCGCTCTCCAAATGCAACAACCCCCCAACCTCAAGCACAACGCCAATCCAACAGCGACTAGCTGCACCACCGTCCCTCGGCCATTTCGATTTTTTCCCGCCGAATAATTGAATTCGACAATACAGCGCACATACTCCTAGTCCACCGCCGCAAACCATGGCTTCGGGATACGACAGAGCTCTTTCGGGTGAGTTACATGCCTTGGGCGCCGCCGTGCGCAGCGAGCTCCACACTCGAGCTCTCTTGCCGACCCGTTGCTAACACAGCTTCGGCTGCTCTCAGTGTTTAGGTCCGCCGCCCACTACCACACCCGACATCTCGACGAAACGCTAACTTCTCTGTTCCTAGTCCCGATGGACACGTTTTCCAGGTCGAATATGCCGGCGAAGCTGTCAAGCGAGGTACGCCATCGGCTGCCCCTCACACCCCCCCTCCCCCGCCATTACTATCACCATCACCCTCACCAAAGCCGATCGGTCCCCCCGAACCCCCGCCTCTTTTTCTGACGGATAAAATAAAACAGGTACCTGCGCGGTGGGCGTAAAGGGCACAGATGTGGTGGTCCTCGGATGCGAGAAGCGGTCGGCCATGAAGTTGCAGGATACACGCATCACACCCTCCAAGATCGGCCTGCTCGACAGCCACGTTTGTCTGGCGTTTGCCGGACTCAACGCCGACGCCCGCATTTTGGTCGACAAGGCGCGGTTAGAGGCCCAGTCGCACCGCCTCAACCTCGAAGATCCCGTTACGATCGAGTACATTACCAAATATGTCGCTGGCGTGCAGCAGCGGTACACACAGAGCGGTGGTGTCCGGCCGTTTGGTATTAGCACGCTTATTGTTGGGTTTGATAAGGGCAGTGAGCAGCCGAGGCTGTATCAGACTGAGCCCTCGGGCATTTACTCTGCGTGGTAAGTAGGGGGTGAGGGGATGCGGATGATTTGGAGGTGTGGTGGGTGGGGCTGACAACCTGTTGCAGGAAAGCCAACGCCATCGGGCGGTCGAGCAAGACGGTGCGCGAGTTCCTTGAGCGTAACTACAAGGAGGACATGGACCGGGAGGCAACGGTGCGGTTGGCGATCAAGTCGCTGCTGGAGGTGGTGCAGACTGGTGCCAAGAACATTGAGATCGCCGTCATGGCGCCCGGCAAGTCGATCGAGATGCTACCGGTCGAGGACATTGAGAACTACGTCAAGACTATCGAGCAGGAGAAGCAGGAGGAGGCTGCGAAGAAGAAGACTGGCAGGACCCCCGGGACGGGCAGCGCCGCGATATTGACACGGAGCGGGCAGGGCGAATCCAGTGAGCAGTGAGACGGAGTTAGGTGATGACCCATGGGGAGTATTGAAGCCTTAAGCGCGGAATAGACGGCAAAGCGCCGGGAAAACTGATTGAGCCCATCTCTGTCCCAGTACACCTTATTGAAACGTCGAGCAAAGCCATGCTCGCTTGTAAATTTGTAGTTTTGTACGCCCACGCACCGGGTATCATATTATTACTGTACGATCTAAATTCCAACGCTCCCCCCCTTACACACCGGCCTCAACCCAACTTATCCGCCTCAGCATCCGGATCAAAAATCGTAATCTTCTGCCCCTCCGCCCCAGCCTTGGTCCGCTCGTCCTTGATCATACGGTTATCCACGCGCACGTCGGCGCCCTCCACCGTCAGCGCCGCCTTGGGCGTGACGGCGTCCAGCACAAAGTGGTTGTCGCAGTGCGGGCAGTACTCGTCGGCCTCTTCGAACTCGGATGCGTCCTTGCGGAAGCACTTGCGGCACTTTTTGCAGGCGAAGATCATTTCGAAGCGTTGGAGGAGGGGGTGGGTTTCTTGCTCGGCGTGGCATTCGGGGCAGTCGAACCATTTTTTGCCTGGAGGGGGGGGGGGGGGGTTAGTTGGGTTGGGACTTGTTGGTGGAATGGGGGAGGTGATGTGACGGAGGTTTGGCGGAGGTGGGATATCATGGAGGAAGGGATGGGGATGATAGGGGATGATGGGACTGGGACTTACAGCATGGCGAGCGGACTGCGACCTGGGCGTTGAGGATGTGTTTACTGCAATGAGATGGTTAGCTTGGGAGAAGAGTACTGGGAGAGAGAAAGGGTGAGGAAACATACCACATTGTGCAGGTGATTTTGTTACACCGGATTTGTACTTCTGAGAAGAGAACAGCTGTGATTTGATGTATGTGCACCCAAATCTTCCAAGTTTTGGCGACTGTTTTGTCGTTCAGAGTCTGGCCTGGAGTCGGTGAACCCTCTATGCATCCCGGCCAGAGATATCGCGGGGTCCCGAAGGTTTTTAGTGGGCCTGTTTTCAGAAACGCCCCACTATTAGTAATTCGGAAAGGCAACCAGGGACTTCGACTTATACATTTCGACATGCAAGTACGAAGCTTCACCCCCTACCAACTTTTATCACAGTGGTGTTTGTAAAACGTAGATTGTCATCTATGATGCTCTAGTGGTGAAAAAAACCCGAATAACAGGTTCCAAAAACCAAACAAAAGAAAACGACAGGTATCAGGAAACAAGACATCACAAACTCTCCAAACCACATTGGCCTCAGATGAGTCCCTTCTTTACTAGCATTTTACGAGGGAGCTGCGAGTACTTTCAAACAATCATAAGCCTCAATATGGTACCACTTAGCAGTCCATCTCGCTATCCCAAGTCGAAGGATATCACATCCTGGGGAAAAACGGTTAGCCACCCTTAACAATCTCGATCATAACAGCACAGTAAACGGCACAAAAAAACAACCAAAAGCATATCTTACCTCTCAACAGGATCCAACCCCAGCAACCGCATCCCCCTCTCCAGCACCAGCCTCGCCCCCTCATACAGCGCCGCCCGCGCAACCATCACGTCCCTGCCACCCTCGGCGCCTACAACCTGCAGGACATCATAACACGACGAGAGCTGATGCGCCAAACGGAACAAGTACGTCAGAATAGTCGACGGCTCCAGCGTCTTGAGCGCCATGGCCGTCACGTCCGGGTACTGCGCCATCAGCCGAAGCAGGTCAGTCGCGTGGGACTTGTCCCCGAGCACATTCGCGTCGAGCCCGTCGGGACGGTTCTCGAGATGGTCGACGAGGTCTTGTTTGGTGAGGCCTGCCTTGCGCAGAATCGAGTTGAGGCGCGCGTGGCAGTACTGGAGGTACGGGCCCGTGTCGCCTTCAAAAGATGTCATGCGGTTGATGTCAAAGGGGTAGTTGTTGATGCGCTTGCCGGACATGTCTTGGACCATGACCGCCGAGATGCCAACTTTCTCCGCCACGGCGTCTGGGTCGTCCACTTGGGCGTACTTGACCTCATTGCGGCGCATGACGTCGTGCATTGCCTCGCGCGACTGGTCCAGGATATCGCTTAGTAGTTGGACGTTTCCGAGACGCGAGGACATGCCTATGACCTTGCCGAAATTCACGTGTTGCAGGCGTGCGGCGAGGTCGGGGCGACCCAGGAGCTCGACGGTGCGGAACACGCGGCGGAAGTAGAGGTCTTGTTCGGTTGAGACGACGTAGATCATCTTGTCGAAGGCATACTTCTCTTCACGGTCGAGGATAGCGGCAACATCGCGGAGGAGGTAGGTCGTAGCACCAGTACGGCCGCGGACGACGGCTATACCGAGGCCTTTGGAGCCGAGCTTTTCGAAGTCGATAACCCAGGAGCCCTTGTCTTGTTCATAGATGCCTTTCTCTCGGAGAATGGACTCGACCCGCTCAATAGTGGCCTTGTTGACTTGGGATTCGCCAGAGTACTCGTCAAAGTCGATGTTAAGCCGGGCGTAGGTTGCAATGTAGCGGTCGATGCTGATGTCGCGGAAGCGGCGCCATAGTGCCATGGCCTCCTGGTCGCCGGCCTCCATACGACTGAAGAAGGCATTGCGTTCCGCGAACAAGCCTCGAGATTCGATCTCGGCCGTGTCACGGCCCTCGTCTCGGGCCTTCTTACTTTCTTCTTGTTCTGGGCTGAAGGCTTTATTGATCCTCGCGTAGACGTCGAGGAGGTGCTTGAGCGGTTCGCGGGCCAGCTCCTCCTCGGATCCAAAACGCTGCCATCCGACCGCCAACAGGCCGAACTGCTTTCCCCAGTCGCCTAAGTAATTCACTTTGACCACGTCCCAGCCCATCGTCTCGTAGAGCCTGGCAATGAAGGCGCCGATGATAGTACTTCGGAGGTGTCCGGCATGGAATTCCTTAGCGATGTTGGGGGAACTGAACTCCAGTATGACCTTCTTGCGGCCCTGGTCCGGGGCCGCATGGTTACGTAATCCGACGTCTGGATCATTGCCATAGGATTGCTGACGCAGAAAGATGTAGGGAAGGACGAGCCGCGGGAGGGACAACGGAGCGAAGAAGAAAGGGAGGTGGATGCCAGCGGCCACGGGTTTCTGGAAGAGCGGGTGGTTGTCTGGAAACGCAGCCGCAAACTCGGCACATTGTTCGGCGGGCTTCTTGACCTTGATACGCAGACGAGGTACTGGCAATACCAAGTCCCCGTTCACTGGGTTACTAGGAATCTGGAGTGACTCGTATACCACAGGTGTCTCACACCCCGCGACTCGGGCTAGGATATCCGCAACGAAGGCCCGGTAAATGTCGATAGGTCGATGGAGAGGGTGTGCTACTGGAGGTTCTCCGGCGATGGAAGGAATTGGGCCAGCCCCGATCTGAGAGAGCAAGGATACCAGGCCGTCCGGCGTCGGCGTTGGCATTTTGGAGGGTCTTTTGTTGTTCTTGCGAAAAGCCGGTAGCAATTGAGAAGAATATCCCGTACTTTTCTCTGGGCTCGGGTGTGAGTGTTGGCGCAGGGTTGGGGCAGTGCTTGTGACTCAGAGACCAACCCTTCTTTCAACCAACATTCTATACCGGGTCTCGGAATTTGGTCTTGGCGGTTAACTGCATAAAAGATCGCCATGTTGGACGCTGTGTTTTCCTCCTGGTCGCCGTACGTTGTGGGCAGCTAATGAGGAAATGTTTGCCAACATTGCATCTGCCCCCAGATATCGTGGATGCCAGGACTAGTACTCCTGTGTAGTCACGATAACATTCGGTTGCCTGTAGAGCCAGCGTGGACGATGAACCTGTACCAACCCAGCACGACGTGGTGAAATCTTTAGCAATAACGGGTCTACCGACGACAGCCATCACGACAGTCTCGAACCGTCGTTCCACCCACCGTAGAGCCGTCTACGGGGGGTTCTTATCGACAGGGGGGTCGAGTGGCCTATTTACCTGTTTCATTTCCGTAGAATACATGCGATGTTGACTTTGGCCTTGCCGGTATAGTCGGCCGTCAGGAACTAACGTAAATGTCCTTGCGCTTGAACAGCTTGTATGGAGCTGCATGGTGTTCAGCCGTGGGTTGCTGGCCGTTTGGCAGTCTGCCTCACGGCTTCTTGTTGCATGAAGCGCGCTGCAAGACCCGCATTGTAATGCCGGTCCTTTATTCGACGACCTGCCGGCATGGCGATGGCTGACAAGTTCTCCGTCGAAGAAAACAGTTCCCTCGAGAGCTTGGCTTCAAGGTGCGGCTTCCTCGAAACCAACTGCCAAGATCCCAGGCGCTCATTGGAGGGTGGGGCAAAGGTGGGTCGTGGAATATGCAGCATGAGCTGCGTGATTGGAAGGGAGTGGAACCCCTGCGATCTGCGACCTGCTTACTCCGTCTGTTCATCACCTTGCCCATTCTCTGAACCACTTTACTAAGTATCGAGTCCCGCATATTTAAAGCTTCCGGAACCTCGCCTTGTTTGGAAGGCACCTCGCCATTAACATCCCTTTGTCACCCACCCCCTCATCCTCACCTACTGCGATTAAAATCGGTATCGCCGGTTCGATAACATACCGCGAACCTTAAAAGCACAGAAACACGCAATTGAGAGCGACTGTTGGCGTGCCTCGAAATCCGTCACTCCAGGGCTCCAAGGACCGAAAGACGGAAAGCAACGCGCCGTGACCATGCCCCCAAAGCGCAAGGCGCCATCCGGGCAGGCCGGCGCGGCCAAGGCAGGGCGCGCTTCCGCCATGTCGACTCCGGGTCCGGCTACCCCGCGCAGCATCGACAGCTCGATAATGTCCGACGCTGACGAAGATTTCGACGAGGACGTGACGGAAGCTCAGAGGCAGCGCGAGGCGCTGCTGTCAAAAGAGGCGGATGAGTTTGTTAATAAATTCACATTTGGAGGAAAGCGCCTTCAAGGGCAAGGCGACGAGATCGTTCCGCGAGATGCGCGACGGTACGATTCTGCGACCTCGCTGTTCAAGAAACGGGATTTCTCCCATCTGCCGCTGAAACCCGACCATCTGAACCGGCCGCTGTGGATCGACCCAGACAACTGCACCGTTGTACTGGAGCGCTTCAATCCTTTGGCCGAGCAGGCTACCGACTTCCTCATCACCATCGCAGAGCCCAAATCGCGTCCCACCTTCCTGCACGAGTATTCCCTGACACCACACAGCCTGTACGCAGCCGTCTCGGTGGGTCTGCGGCCAAAGGACATTATCAATACGCTAGAGCGGTTCTTGAAGACAGCGCTACCCGACATGGTGCGCCGGAAGATTGAACACCACACCAAGAGCTTTGGCAAGGTCAAGTTAGTTTTGAAGCACAACAGATATTTCGTAGAGAGCGTGGACGCAGATGTGCTGCAGATCCTGCTTAAGGACGATGTGATAGGGTCGTTGCGCGTCCACGGGTCCGATGATATCACGACGAGCTATGCGCCCACCATGGGTGGCCTTGTCATCCCGGGCACGCAGAACGCGGCGGGCGTCCGCCAGGCCGACCTGAAGCAAGCTGAGAAGAAGCCCGGCGAAGGGGAGGGTGCCTCCAACGAGGCCGACCTCTTTGCGGCCCTGAATGAAGAAGATGACGACGACGATAAGGAAGCCGTCCATGCGTTCGAGATCTCGGATGCCAACGTTGAGACAGTCCAGAAACGGTGTCTTGACATTGGGTATCCGATCTTGGAAGAATATGACTTCCGGAATGACGACGTAAACCCGAACCTCGAAATTGACCTGCGGCCCAACACGCAGATCCGGCCGTACCAAGAGAAGAGCCTGAGCAAGATGTTCGGCAACGGCCGCGCCAAGAGCGGCATCATCGTGCTCCCCTGCGGCGCTGGTAAGACACTGGTCGGCATCACGGCGGCCTGCACTATCAAGAAGGGCGTCATCGTGCTGTGTACCAGTTCCATGTCGGTGGTGCAATGGCGCCAGGAATTCCTCAAGTGGTCCAACATCAACCCGGACGACGTCGCCATCTTCACGGCCGAGAGCAAGAACAAGTTCTCGGGCAGCACGGGTATCATCGTGACGACGTATTCTATGGTCACTAACAGCCGCGAGCGCTCGCACGATTCCAAGAAGATGATGGATTTCCTACGCGGCCGCGAATGGGGTCTGATGTTGTTGGATGAGGTCCACGTGGTCCCCGCCGAGATGTTTAGACGGGTTATCTCGTCCATCAAATCACACTCCAAGCTCGGGCTCACAGCGACGTTGCTGCGAGAGGACGACAAGATCTCTCATCTCAACTTCCTCATCGGCCCGAAGCTGTACGAAGCCAACTGGATGGAGCTGTCGCAGCAGGGGCACATCGCCAAAGTGCAGTGTGCCGAGGTGTGGTGTCCGATGCCAACCGAGTTCTACGACGAATACCTCCGCGCGAGCGCTCGCATGAAACGCACCCTCTACGCCATGAACCCGCGCAAGTTCCAAGCCTGCCAGTACCTCATCAATTACCACGAAGCCCGCGGCGACAAGATCATCGTCTTCTCCGACGAGCTCTACTCCCTCAAACAGTACGCCCTCAAACTCAAAAAGGTCTTCATCTACGGCGGCACCTCCCAAGCCGAGCGCATGCAAGTCCTCGAGAACTTCCAGCACAACCCAGAAGTCAACACCCTCTTCCTCTCCAAAATCGGCGACACCTCCCTCGACTTGCCTGAGGCTACCTGCCTCATCCAAATCTCCTCCCACTTCGGCTCCCGTCGTCAAGAAGCCCAGCGCCTCGGCCGTATCCTCCGAGCCAAGCGCCGTAACGACGAAGGCTTCAACGCCTTCTTCTACTCCCTCGTCTCCAAAGACACCCAGGAGATGTACTACTCCTCCAAACGCCAGGCCTTCCTCGTCGACCAGGGCTACGCCTTCAAAGTCATCACCCAACTCGCCAACATCGAAAAGACTCCCGACCTAGCCTTCGCCACACCCCTAGAATGCCGCGAGCTGCTGCAGCGCACGCTGGTAGACAACGAGCGCGGCGCTGAAGACGAAGTCGAGACGGATGATCTCTTTGGGAAACCGGGCCGTGGTGGTGGTCGGGGCGTTGGTGGCCGCAAGGGCAACGGTGTGCGCAGGACGGCGGGCACGTTGGGGGAGCTGGCGGGCGCGCAGGATATGGCGTATATTGAGCAGAACAGGGCGGCGAATAAGGCGTTGAAGGGCAAAGGCGGGAAGAAAGGTGGCGGTGGCGCGGATGGGCAGAGTAAATTCTTTAAGGGGATTCAGAGGGAGAAGGAGAAGAGTCGGGCGAGGAATTGAGATGGAGATGGGAGTGAGATGATACCAAAGTGATTGGATGAGGATGGATTGGGCAGATTGATGGATGGATGGACAAATACGGCTAGAGATGGATGAATCATCGCAGTGACAACTAACCTGCGAGGTTAAACAGGCGGGAATGGGAAATGGGAAATGGGAGCCGGGAAAGGAGGTTCACTGTCGATAAATAAACACACTAAAAATGTGTGTCTTTGTAAAGTACAATCATGGGACGTACAATGGCATAACACGTCAGATAACGCTGCGCTTTGGGTTGAGTTTACCCTGGCTTGGCGTTAGTTAATTTACACCGACTGGCGTTTACCTGAAAATAGAAATTTCATGGTGAACATTGGGTGTTGTTTGGAGTGCTTGTTCTGAGTCTCGGTTGTTGATATTGTGAGGTTGACGACCCATTAATAGGTAAAGATGAGTTGTGCAGACAGTACCACCCTATGTTCACCAAACGGCTTCCGAACTGTCGTCGAAGCTCGCTATCACTTTGTGTTCAACACCCGTGTAGTAGGAAGTGATGCAGGGAATAGGATATAAACATGAGTATTCATCAAGTTCCATGTGCATGTCTGTCCTCCATCCTTGCACACAAGACAACGCCAGGCACACCACCAGTACATACCATCACGTACCAAACCGCTCGTGGAGTATACACCCTTGAAAACCGAAAACCAAGACCCGGTATCAGGCTAGTAGGCACTAACTAACACTCGGCGGCATCAAATATGATCCAAGAAGTAACCAAGTCAAAAATGGATCTAAAAAAGTAAATAATATTCTCTCAAAACCTGAGACTAACAGCAAAAAGCCAACCCCAGCTTCCCCCTTTTCTCTACAATCGCCAACCAGCTCCCAAGCAAGCGAGCGTAATGCACCCCCCTTTATCCATGACCGATGCATGCACGCCTCTACTTTCGTCTCATTCCCCATCTCCTTTATTCCAAGAAACCGACAAATAAACAAGCGAACAAACAGGAGGCCACCCAAATGAACTCAAGCCGTGTTGCCACAGCCTGAGGAACAGAAAAAAAGAATGCTCGCAAGAAAATAGCCAACTAGAAGAAGAAAAAGAATACTTCCAGAAAATAGATTTAAACTCCCGCCCAAACCTTGCTATTCCCAGTCCAGCTCCCTGGCTGTCTTGCCCTGCCTACCCATGAAAATAACGCCATGCTCAAAATCACAAAAGCCGCCTCGCCCTGTCCTACTAAAATATGTATAAAAAAGGTCAGGATTTCTAACCCGTCCCGACCCGTTCTTTTTCGCAACAACATCATGCACCCCAACACACCCAGCAAAAAAGCCAACAGTCCCATCCCACAGCCTCATCATCATATCACAGATCATACTCAATCCCCCCCATCCCCCGACGTCCTCGGCCGCTGCTGCTGCTGAATATTCAACCCCGACTCAAACCGTCTCACAACCCCACCACCACCAGGCTCCGTCCGCCTCGAACTAACTCTCGTCGCATACGGTTCGGGCTCCTCCACACCGCCACCACCGCCGTATGCACCCGGTATCACCTCAGGCGACTTAGTCCGCTGCATCTCTAGCACGGGCAATGTCGGTTCCACAGGTATCGCCGGGCCCGGGTGTAGTAGGGACGTGAGGATGTTGCCCCGGTCCATGCTCCTGCGACGGCCGACACCGCCGTTGATGCTGCTGCCGGCTGCAGCCGGGCTACCGCCGAAGACGATGGATCCGCGGTGGCCGGGACCAGCACCGGCGGGACCGCCGCCAGTGGCGAAGGAAGCGTGGGATTGGATGCGGGCCATGCGGGCGTCGGCGTCGGCGGCTTCGCGGGCGTTGAGAGATTCGCTGGGGAGGAGGATAGCGCGGTCGAGGCCGTAGGGCAGGCCACGGTGGCGGCCACGGATGACCATGGCTATGATGACGAGTTTGCCGACGACGGTGAATTGGGAGGAGAGGGAGGCGTTGGCGGTGGGGACGCCGAGGGACATGCCGACGGTGCCGTAGGCGCTGACGACTTCGAAGAGGACGGAGAAGGCGGAGAACTCGTTGGCCATGATTTTGGAGCCTTCGGCGATGTTGACGATGAAGAAGCCTAGGACGATGTACCAGAGGTCGAAGGAGAGTTGGCGGCGGAGGTGGGAGCCGACGTAGGCGAGGTCGTTTTGGTTGGCGCTTTCGTCGATGTCGTGGCTGCTGTAGACGCCGAGGGATTTTTCTTCGTAGACGTTGGTGCGGCGCACGGAGATGGCGATGGGGAAGACGGAGATGTACATCATCACCATGTAGGAGAACTGCACGGCCGGGTGGAGGGCGGCTAGGTTGACGCAGGAGAACCCGGCGGTTCGGGTGGAGATGGCCTCGAAGACGCCGTTTAGGACTTTGAGTCCGGCGGGCAAGTCGACGACCGGTCCACTGCCGAGCTGTTGAAATAGTTAGAGGATGAGCTTCTTCTTCTTCTGCATTTTGAGGTTGATACTTACGTCGAGTACAATGAAAAACAAGACATCGAGACCGTTCATAATGACAAGTAGCCAGAACAACCACCAGGTCGCGCCAGACGGAAACAGCAGCGTAAAGCACCGGCGAGGGTGGTCGAGAAGAAACCTCAGCTCTTCGTACAGACCGGTGCCGGCCGGGGTGATGAGAGAGAGGACCCAGATGATAAACCGGAGCATGACCGGGAACCCAGTGTTGCCGATGACGATCAAAAAGCCCAGCAGCAGCAGCGGCCAGGTGGCCGTGCTGAATGAGATCATGCTGTCCGGGGTGAGGGTAAAGCCCAGATCCATAAATGCCGAGCTCGACGTGAAGAAGGCCCACCAGGTCCTGCTCATGCCGGCCTCGTCGACGACCTGGCCGTACTGGTCCATTTGTAAGATCCACGGCAGAAGCCCGATGACGCCGATGGCTGAGTAGATCCAGAAGTAGCCCGTCAGGATTAGGGCCAGCGTCTTGAGCGACCGGTATTCGATCCCTCCGAGTTCCTCTCGCTGCTCCTCGGTCAAGTCGGGAAACGCGGAATTGCGGCCAATGGTCGGCTCCCAGCTCAAGTATGGCGTGGCGTCGGCTTGGTCTCTCGACGAGAAGGCAGTCCGCAGCGTCGAGAACGATGGTCGACGGCCGGCGGTCTTGGTTCGAGAGGCCGCTCCGGGACCTGGCTCGTCTTCCGTGTTGGGCTGTGTCTTGTCTCCCTGGCTAATCCATCGGGGCTTTTTCAGCTTGAGGAACGAAAAAGCGTGGGCCGCAGCCCTGGCATCGTCGATAAGGTCCTCCGAGTCGGACTGCTGCAACTTGTTCCTGTCGGGTTCCTCAATTGTAATAGCCTGCTGGCGGTTCTCGGAGAACGTTTGGGGGACTGGATGCCCGTTCGTCTCAGACGCCCCAGCAGCAGGTGGGACAGCCTCGGTCTCCTCGTCGTCCCCGGCCTCCCTGGCATCTCCAGCCTCGACACGCTTCGGGCGTATGCCGCGCTCGGCGTCCCGCGGGTTCGGGATCCGCAGCACTTCGTCGTCTCCTTTTCGTTGGCGTTCGAGAAAGGCGATGTGCTCATGATCGGGCCGCGCGGGAGGGAGTTTGACGGCCTCTTCGCCGAGGCCATCGCTCTTAGTGACAGTGCGTGCGAACTTGATCTCTGGCCTCCGAGGCTCTGGGCTGCCTCTAGGATCGTCTCGGCTGGCTCGGTTCGGGAGAGTGGACGTAGCTTTGAGTGGTTGCTGTTGGGGCTGTTGCTGCGGCTGTTGTGCATCAGGGGATGGCTGGTTGGCGTCGAGCAGCATACCGTCGTTGGTGATGCGGGACCTGGCTCCGTTGAGCATAACAGTAATCTTCCGCCCGTTTACCCCCTTTTCCACATCGACGTTGTCCATCCGTTGCCTAGCCTTGGATTTGGACAGCGTGCCCCGTTTTAGGCGGGCTTCTCGGGCGATATGCTGGAAACGCTTCTCAAACCAGTAGAGACGGAGGAAAACAACAAAGGAGTTGATGGTGATGGGGTTTGACAGCATGGGCCACAGGTAGAGGATAACTTGCTGGAAGGTATTGAGCAAATTAAGGTCCACGGTGTTGAGTCCAGCTTGCGTGCTCGCGCAACCGGTGAGAAACAGCGCGTCGATGTAAGCTATGTTCCCCCTTCCTGGGGCGTAGACCAGGATCGAACCGATGATAGCGAGGCTCAATATATAAAAATCTGCAGAGGCATTCAGTAAAGCTGGTCCCACTGTTCCCACGTTGTTTAGGCAACTTACAATGAGCCGAGATGAAGTTGAAGTGCGGCGTCTTGGACAAAAAGGACGGCCGCAAGGCCCTGAACTGGCCAACGACCACCTCCTTAGCCTTGTCCATGGCGAAGCACTAGATCTAGAAAGCAAGAGAAAATTGAACTTTCCAACAGAAAGCAAAAAGAAGCAAGTGGCGAAGAGATAGCCAAGAGAAAGTCAAAGCAAAGAGACGTGAGGGGAGTAGCGAATTGGTCGTGTCCGATGAAATGTAAGTGAGGCAGACGGGAGGTGTCCTCGGGATATCGCTGTCAATCAACCGGCCGACGATACCCTGGAATTAGGCGCAAAACACCCTGCAGAGCAGGAATCAATCGAGTTTGCGGCACGGCGCAGACATGACGGCGAACAAGAAGGCGGGTTCGGGTGTTGGATGTGTTGGTGATATGATATAGTGCGGTGGAAGAGGAGAGAGTTTGGCCGAGGAAGAGGGAGGGCCAAAAAATAAGGGAGTGTGGGAGGCGGCGGAATGGCGGACGATGGGCAACAATTAGGAGCACACAACGACCATCGCCAACAACCTAACGCACAAACGCAAATTGAGAGGTCCGATGGCGGCCGATGCAGCTTGTGTGGGGGCCGCGATGTTGTGTAATCGAATTGAGTGGTGTTTCTGACACTTGCAGGAACGCCGAGAAAGTGAATTTCGAATTGATGCCGAGAAAAGCAGGTTTAAAAAAGAAGCAGCCTGAGGTGTGCCCCGGTTCGGGGATATGACAGATGTCGACCCGGAGTTCCATGTCGCGGCTCGAGGCGGTGCAAGGGTCAGCAGCGTGCAGGCATGGGGCAACAGGCATGTGCTTCAGCGGGTCTCGGCTCTGCAGTGCGCGAGTGCGTTCCTTGGATCCATTTCCGTGCTGGGAAGCGAGCAACCTGGAAGGAAGAGGCCTGTCAAGACACCTGAACATGATGCGAGTCTGTGGCTAATGGGACTGTGGAGTATTTCCTGTTTCGGCTGCGGAGTCTCTGGGAACAACCCAATGGAAGCCCAAGAAGGTTCTCATTATCTCCATGACAGAATCCGGGCACCTCGTTATTGCTCGTTACATTTTTGAAGAAAACAGGAACTGGGCCGAAACCGATTCTTCCCCTCCGTTTCCCGAAGTTTTGCTTTCATGTTTGCCTGACACTAGATGAGCTATGAACACCATATTTCGCCAATTCCCCGTCGTTGACCACGACGAGTCCGGCTGTGACAGGCCAGAGCCCAATAAAACGGCCACAATGTCGGCGTCTCTTTCTCATACTGCGACCACATAAGTACAACGCTGCTCCGCGGCCCGTCTCACCTACCACTAATACTTTGCCCCTCCTCAAGCGTGGAGATCCCCCACGGCTTGGTGGTTACAAAGGAGGCCTCCCGCGCTGGCTATTTTGGGTAGCCTTCCAGCTGCGAACTAGAGTTCGTCGACCTGCGGCCTGCTGTGTGATGTGAGATATCGAATTGCGGCATATAGAACAGAAAACACCGCATGAAAGACTACGGACTCTGTTGTTGCTGTGTAAACGACTCCATCACGGCGGTGGGGGATCCACACGGAAAGGTCCGCTGCAGTTATAACCCAATCTGGAACCTGAAGAGGGGTTACCAAGACTTCAGGCGGCAGAATTAGCTAATGTAAGTCGAGCCAAGATTCAGCGTGGCCTACACATTCGAAGTTCCAGCAATGCATTTGTCAGTCTTGGCTCTTTCCAAGTTCGAGTTGACTTTGTTTTGGGGGGGGGGCTGCCGATCGTCTTAAAGCGTTGTTAAAACGGTCTTTAGCATGGCATATCTTAAAGTTAAGCTCTCGGGCGTTGAAACATAAGGCATAACAAACATACACGGTCCATATGAGGAAACCACAAAATATAGTGTGCTTGATGAAAATTTACCAACTGCGTTGTTTGTGACTTGGTCTCACAAAAAAAAAGCAGAAACAAACGTCAAAATATCAACATCCAACCCAACGCAACTGGTAGCCCACACGAGCATCCCAGTATGCACAGGCAGTCACACAGTCCTGATAGTCGTCCGGCCTGATGGATCCGAGCGCGGGCAGGGGCGGTGCAGCCCTCGAGCATGCCAAGCATCCTTGGCCGCAAATTGGCGAGAAACAGGAAAAGTGGGCCACGGGACAGCCGCACTCTGTTTCTCCTTTCCCCAACCCCCCTGTCAACTTTTTCCAGTTGGACCAAGGATTTTTCCTTCCAAACGTTCCTCGAGAACCACCACACGTGGGAGACACGGACCAGGTACGCACAGGGGAACAGAGACATGGAAACCAAAAACACAACGTGGAAATAGAAACACGGGACGGGATGAGATGTTTCACTTTCCCTTTTCTGTTCCCAGCATTATCACTCGACCGCTCTTCTGCGCAGAGTATGCGCGTGATTCCATCTGGAAGAAACTCCCGCAATATCAATGCCCTTCGTTTGCTCACTTCTCACCGTATATCTCTTCCATATCACTTTCCCGCACCTACACTAGGTACCTTACATAGTACTTCACCATCACCTTTTGCTCTCTACCTTGTACTGTACAACCACCATCTCCTTCGGCTTAACCCAGTACTATCACGTCTGACCGTCTGACCCGGTGAGCCCCTGGCACCCTGCCCCCTCCCCAGCAAAGAGAAATTCCCGCGCGTTGTTGAAGATCTCGGCGCGGCCGCCAATCGAAGAAGTCCTTAGCTTTGGCGCCTGTCTTGAACACACCGGATGCGGAATCTTCAACTCACGCCACTTCTCTCGCTGGAGGTGCCGAGCCATGGGGGTGAGGACGATCAATGTTTCGGGTTGTGTGATTCAGGACGTGTCCGGATGACGGAATACGTACCTTTTTTTGGGCTGCGGGCTCACGACATTGAGCTTATCAGTGTGCAGCTTACACTACACACCTTTTCAGTCCATATATCGGAGGCGAGCGAGTATTGAAGACCATGCACAACCGAAACACTGCACATGCATACGCAGATAAGTCATGCACGCAGACAGAAAGATTGCACCATCCTTCCCTTCGATGGGAATAGCTGATGAGGGGCGATATGCACCAACAACACGCCAGTCACTCACTTGCCCGTCAATCGCAGAGGAATCTTCAACAACGTGGTGTTTTTTTCTCCGCTTTCTTCTCCCGCCATCTGTGTCACGTCTCGCCTTTTGTTGGTTTCAATTTTTTCCCAAGAAAAAAAGTACGCACCCAACCAACATGCTGTGCCCCCCGAAATAACTACACAGTAGCCAAACTTAAAAAATCCCACCCCGCGCGGATACCACAGAAGCCGAGCGAATGTGAGCGGGGCCTGCGGTTGTACGGGACCTTGAAGGGACATAACAGGAGCAAGAAGACGGCACAGCTGCATCCAGATCTCCCAACGCAACGTTGGGGACAGCCGCGGAAATGCCGGTGCATAAGCGGCTGCTGACTCATCACAACCGAGATATCGCTCCCCTACACTTTTTATCGCGTTGCGAGGTTGCGAATCCGGCCGTATCTTATACCCACCAAATCCTGAAGAGCATGTCATACTGGTTTACGATGGCTAGATACCGTGCTGTCAACTTTGTACTGTAGATTGCCGCAAGCTCGTAGTACGCATACGCCCAAAGTGGCCTTTCCTCCCGTCCCTCAAAGTTGTCTAGAGGTATTCGTGATTCCGAAGGTGCCCGGCTTTTAATCGCCGAGACAGACGGTAATCGATAAACGTCAGCTTGGATCTTCACCTCTCACTAATTATGAACCACCCAAATCGACAAATCTCAACCTCCACTTCACGACTTCGGATAGCACTCGGATACAATGGACCGCTTCGAACGAGCTTGCTCAAGACTTCCTCCCAAACTAAGGCGTAAACTCCTAAGGTTTCGCAGCCGTCTACGCCAACCCTTCACACCCTTCAGGCTCCGGCAGTCGCTGCGCGTGCTCCGCGTCGTCCACGCAGATGGTTACCACGAGTCCTTCCCCACGGCGCGTGCTTTCCTCCACCTCCTGCGTCTCCTCTTCCAGCTTCCATGGCATCACCCATGCCACCTCCCACCCCCACCCAGCACCGTCATGGCCTACCCACACCGCGAGTACTTCCCAACCCACCATACCGCCCTCCTCGCCGAACGCCTGCTACCCCTCTGGCGATGGCGCGACACGGCGCCGCGCTCCTTCTTCCGTCTCTACGAAGCTCTTTGCGCGAGCCACCACGAGTACATCGGCTACGAGACTGAGTACTTCTGGTACCGCAACGACCCCGCCTGGACACCCGAGATGCTGCCCGACCCGCGCCAGTTTGGAGAGCTAGCCCCCGGCGAGGAAGGCGAGCGGCAACTCGCCGTGCTCGCCTCGGCGGCAGAAGCCCTGGCAGACGCCTTCAACTGGCGTTATATGTATGGCTTCCGGCGCGACCGGAACCATGTTGAACCATCCGTTGCTATCCGGCCCGTTTACAAGGCGGTCTTCAAAGGGCCCGCTTGGGCCGCGTCGGTTCCGCGCTTGCCTACGTTCTTGGAACTGCTCCCAGTCGACCCTAAGTGGAAGGCCATCGGTAAAGATAAAGTGGTCACGTATTCCGGAGAATTGTGTCCCTTCTGGAAGCGTAACATTTTTGCCGAGACCGCGGCACTAAGGACTGTGTAGTTCTGTGGTGGGGAAAACAAATACGGCAAAGCTCGAGGTGGCTGAGACGCAAGAACAGGACTGTCCAAGCTTTGACCTTGATACGCGGCTTTGGATAATCATTCTTAGCTCGTCTCCTAGAATTAGGAAACAGATTGGTGATTCCCTATCGCCATAGTTACTAGGGCGATAGAGTAAATAAACCAATATCAACATCGGGTCGAGTAATGTAGCCTAGCCTACCTCAATATCGATCACACATTTAAAAAGCTCTAGAAGACGTTCTTAAAATACTTTTCGCTGATTGTCTCTGAAAGCTGAAGAAGAAAAAAACTAAATTTTTGCTCCTGAGAAGATGGATTTGACGTGGGTTTAGACGGCCGCTTCTCGGACTTCCCTACTTACGAGGGTAGGCTATTGATTATTGATTCGTAGTAACGAGATCTATTCTTGCTTCCATTTACGTTGGCCATCTCGTCATCGTCATTCCCCCGGCCAATCCCGCTGTCAAACCAGTTGCCAATCCAGTTTTTCAGTCCTACTTTCAATTCCTTTTCAATGATATTTATCAACCTATTGTTTGTGCACGGGTCGTCGTTAAAATGCGGAGACTTAGTAGAGCCATAAGTGCTAAGCGTAAGCGCGCTCGAGTCGAAATGAGGAGGCGAGAGAAGGCCACTCAAGCGTTGTTCATGGGGCAACTACACTATCTACACTGATAAATTTGACCGGCGCGCTCCTCAACGCTCAAGCCCCATACAACTAGCGGCAGTGAAATATGTCGGTCTTGAAGGATAGCTTCAGCAGGGCGGAGATGGAGACAGGTTTGTCTTCCAGCAGCCTCCCAGCAAGGCCTGTTCCTGCCTAATTAACTAACTTGGTGTTATCAGCTCTGCATTGGTTGGATCGAGCTATCGGGCAGTCAGAAATCCTCGCCGACTTGATTCCTATCCATATGGTCTCATACGGTGGTTTCCTTTCTGTCTGCCTCTTTGACAACCGGACATCGACCAAGGACATTGACGTGTTGCTCCCTTCCAACGTCCGAGATTCAGATGTCCACCGAAACGAGTTGGCCCGCTTGGTGGAGGGAGTCGTTGGGGAACTTGACTACATGCCGGACTGGATCAACGACGACTTGAAGCTCTTCGTTCCCATAGAGCAGCGGCAGAAACTTTTAGAGGACAGCATTGAGCAGGGAACGGTTGCCTTTAAGGGCGATAACCTGGTGATTTGAGCGGGATTGTGGGAGTTCGGTCTTGAGACCAAGCTTTACCGGCTTCACACCAACGAAAGCTAAACTCCGTTGGCACAGACGAGATACAACAACGACTTATCGGACGCGGTCAATCTGGTGCATCGCCTCAAGGGAAGCTCAGCTCATCCTCTGGACAAATCTTGGGTGAAAGGGCTTGCGCGGTTTGGCCCCAACCCTTCCTTTAAGAATGAAGAAGTCGAAAAGGTCTCTCAGGAGTACATGGCGAGGTACGGCACACAAGGCATAGCCGAGCTGGTGTGGGATGGAACGGAAGAAAAGCATAAGTATCTGAATTCGGCAGTGAGGTGGTGCCTACCTCGGTATAGCACTATAGCCAAAAAGAAAACAGCAATAGACCAAGTCCCTGGACAGCTTAGTTTGCTACAAAAATGAAAAGCGACCAAAATGAATAAACCAAGAATGAAAGAAGATAAAAAAGAATAAATCTAGAAAGTAAAAAAGTATAGAAAGGAGTGAACCAAAAGAGTGGAAGAACACAAAAAAGACTAAATCTAGAAAGTGAAAAAAGACAGAAAAGAGTAAATCAATTAAAATTTATCAAGATTTGATCGAATGTTAATGGAAGGTATGATCGATGTTGAGGTGGGCTGGGCTGCATTACTCGACCCGAAGTTGATATCAGTTTGTTTGCTCTGTCGCCCCGGTAACTGCGGCGACATGGAATCACCAACCCGTTTCCTACTCTGAAGTTCTGGAAGACGAGCTAAAAATGATCACCCAAAGCCGCGCATCAAGGTCAAAGCTGGGACAGTCCTGTTCTTGCGTCTCGGCCACCTCGAGCTATGGAACAGCTGTCTATTTTAGGGGTGTGTTCAGGTATTTTGGATCCAAAGGGAGTATGGGTTTGACAGAGAGAAAAAAGTAAGTGAATAATTAAGTAAACGAGGAAAACACGGAAGTGAGGCAAACATGCCGATTGTACCACAGGAGTTTCACCGACGTTGGGATATATCAGGGATATCGGAATCCTGTTGTAAAGCAGCCCATTCAAGTGCTTTTATTGAAAAGCAACATTTGCTGCGGTGGTTCGGACATGGTAGGCTAAACGGGCCTCTCGCAAATAACGATAACGTTGGAGAGATATCATAGACTCCGAGCGACGTTGGATCTAGATCGATTGCCAAATATAGCACCCGAGACACCAGGTGCAGAGTTACAATTCCTCCCGAGCTTTATTTTCCCGACCAACACTACCGCTGAGCCCGTGCCATTACGACCCTCCAGAACTAATCCAACCAATCTTTCCCCGGGACCGTCTTCCACCCGCTCGGGGCAATAGATTGAGTGACGTTGAGCAACGTGCTACACCCGTGAGTCTCGGGTATTTGTTTCAGATCCTGGATCTAAAAGGGCCGAGTCCATATCTTCGCTCGTTTATAGTTGCCAGATATTTACCGGTCTCGCTTGGGGTTTGGGATTGATAACGCTGGTGCGGCCGGTCGTATGACAGGAGCTTGGATTGGAGGTTCATTTGGAACATCGCGTCTAGATGCCGATGTCGAAGCCGTCAGCGGAAAAGAACCAAGTTGTGAACCCTTTTACATTTCTGTGAAAATCGAAAGATTGAAAATAAATCAAAAACCTCACCACGCACAGGGTGGGTGGTTACCTTGCTAATTACGAAAGCCCACGGGAAGGTTTAATTCCGTGATGCTTTGGAGTCCAAAACACCGAAGCCCAACATTTGCGATGTACCAATGGGCCATTCGACCGTTGCCAATTTGGGGGCGGTTGAAATAAACAGTGTACGGGCACATCGGATTGTGCGGGAGTTGGTGCCTGAGGAGGGAAGCACACGATGGCCATGGCATGGGCTTCACAACCCGGTGTTTGAAAAATAACCAAGGGGAGGGTATATATACAAGGTCCACGTGTTTTGTTTGCAACAGAGGACCACCAAGGCGGTCATGGCCTAACGGTCACCAGCGGCGGTCCTCTGGGAGGGCTCCCCACTACTAAGGGTCGGACCAAGCGTTCGATCCCGAACACTGACGGTTGCTTCTGGTTAATTAGGAGGAATTCATGACCCTGCTATTAGCCCGACGACGTGGCCCCTTCCATCCGGGAAGGCACTAACTACCGGGTGGAATGGGTCTCGTCGTTAGACTCCCTTTTTTTTCTCTTTTTTTTTTTTGGTTTTTGGTGTTCCCAACATCATCGCTAGTGTTGATTCCACCGCACGGTTGGCACCCACTCTCTTCTCAACAAGTAGTGCTAGGTCTCACGTCTTCTACACTTACTTCGTTCGAGCCTGCGTTTTCTTTGTATAGCCACTTACCCCTTGCCCATCGTCTTCACAGATTTCCAAACATGGAATGCACTTTTCTAAAAACAAGCTGTACTCACGCACACCGGAGAAGATCTCATGTCTGACATCGCAGTAAATTCTATACATGATATACACATGGAGACGACGCCCCCCCAACATCTCCCAGCTGCCCAAGCCTCATCACCAATTCCACCCCCCAACCCATCATCAACACATTTATTTCTTCTTCCCCCCACCCCCCCCCCCAACCTTCCCCCCCTTCGCTCCACCCTTCCCACCAGCCTTCCCCCCCGCAGCAGCCTTCCCCGCCTTCCCCGAAGTAAACACCTTCCGATTCCTCTTCCACTCATACACCAACTCCTCCACACTCCCCATATCATGTTTCGGCTTCCTCATATACGTCAACCTCGCCCTCCTAGCCCTCTTCGCAGCCCTCTTCACCACCTCAATCCCCGCCACATTCTTATTATACACCTTAAACCACAACTCCACACCAACCTTACTCAAATGATTCCTTAGCAAAATCGCCGTATCAATCCCCCTCCGGCGAATTGACAGCAACACCCCCGCAAAAGGTTCGCCGCCGCGTCGGTGCGTGACCATCAGCACGTCGCCGACTTTGGCGGCGTCGCGGGTTTTGGCGAAGAGGGCGGTGCGGACACCGGTCGGGTCCATCTTTTGGATTTGGGCTTGGTGGAGTGCGTCGAGAGGGTTGACGGGGGGAGGGGCGAGGGTTTGGGTGCCGGCGAGAGTGGTTTTGGGGTAGACGGCGAAGGCGCTGCGGATGGTGTTGGGGTTGCGGCCGGATATGCGGACTGGGGTGGGTTGTTAGTTGGAGATCTTAGAAAAAATCGAAAGAGAGTTGAGGGGATTGGTACAACGTACAAAACCCATGATTTAATGGCGGCCGCGTCGCAGCTGTTACCGCCGTTTCTACCGCTGCCACTGTTTCTACTCCTGCTGTTGCTTCTGGTGCAGTCGTCGTCGTCGTCTGAGCCTCGGTGGCCATACCCCTCCGAGAAAACACCATCTTCTGCTGTCTTGCCAGTCGTAGGCTAGTTTTGAGGCAGCCTAACGGCCGCCTCGCCAGCGCAGAGTTCATTGTGTGCGTATGTTGTCGGAAGGAAGCCGCGGGTTCCTCGTCGTCGGCGGTTGTCGTGGACGGTCGAGATAGCGAGGGAGTAATTCGAGGTTTGGAGTTTGTGATGTTCAAAAGAACGTTCACTCGCCCGTGGGCTCGGCCAATGAGCGGCAGAGATTGGGAAAATGTGGGGTATGGTTTTGGCACGGGCCCGCTTTTTTAACCTCTCGCGTGAGGTCCCGGCACTTTGGATTTCCCCCAAGCAACAAATTGCGACCTCTATAATACAACTTTTCTTCGAAGAGCAGGAGTAATAACATGAAGTTTTTCGTTCCTTTTTCTATCGCGGACAACCTTGGTTTGATTATTCTAGGTTCATTTTTCAATTTTATGTTTTACCCAACAAAATCATCCAGTTCATTAATTCCCCCCTTCGGCTTCTTTTGTTTGATTGACTTTGAACATTCCTCGCTCAGGTAACTAACTAGATTGGCATTGAATAAATCTTGAAAGATCGATTGACCCCAATATGGATACGTATGAGGCTCCTAGGTTAACTAATCTCGAGAAGATCGGAACCCAACGCTACAAATGCTACTAAGTCACCTCGGCCAAATCAAACGAGGAACTCCCGATTGACCTTGGCGATTAACTCTCAGTGACCCTTGAACGCGCCTCCGTCCCGCCGGACGGTCACTTCGTTTCAGTTTCCGGCTTCTCTATTCCCGGCGTGTCCGGTGCGGCAGCTTTCTTGGCAGTCTCTGGTGCGGCAGCCTTCTTGGCAGCATCCGGTTCCTTTCCCTTCTTTGTCTCCCGCCTCTGGGGGATGATTATTGTCTCTCCCCCCATATAAACAATTGTTCTGCTCCCCCGGCCCCGGCTCCGACTCCGACTCCGACTCCTATTCCTATTCCTTCTCCTGTGGATTTCGCTGGGCAGGTAATACATCCCGCTCTCGTCTACCGTATTGTGGTGCCAAACGTCTAGCTCTTCACGTTCACGCCCGTAGTCGCGGTCGATTTCTCTTAGTCGCTCGCTCATACTTGCCGGTCGCTCTCGCTCTCGGGTTATGTTCCTAGGTTCCACCAGGATGTCTTCATAGTCATCATACGCATGTCTCGGGGCCCCCCTATTCCGTCGACCATCGAACCTTTCCTCCAAGTGCCGGTTCACCCGGTGACGATATGGCTCTTCACGATGGAGGCCCTCAATGATGTAGTCAGATGCTTCGCTCCGATACCGCCGTTCTCGTGATCTAGGCTTCGATCTGGACCTGGAACTGGACCGCGATCGTGACCGTAGTCGCCTGCGTCCCAAGTCTAGCTCTAGGGCACGCTCCGCTCTTGGGCGGCCAGTGATCGTCCCGAGCGAGTATGGATCGTCTACCGGCGACATCGGGGGTTGCATATACAGAGGAGGGGGAGAAGGGTATGGGGGCATTGATTGATAAGGGAGAGGAGGAGGGTACGGGGGCATGAGTTGATAGGAAGGGTGGCCCGGTATAAATGGAGGAGGATAGGGATGTAGGGGAGGAGGAGGAGGAAGAGGAGGCGGGAAGATGGCGGGTTCCGATATCGTGCCTGCACCCACTGTGTTTCTTCGCTCTCTTTCACGGTCTCGCTCGAGACTGCTGATAATCTCTTCCAGTTCTCGTTCCCTCTCCCGCGCCCGCGCCCGCTCCCGCTCTCGGTCTATTTCCCGCCCTGGCCCTCTTGTATTGTCAATATCCCTTTCAAGATGCTCCCTTTCAAGGCGCGCCATTTCAAGACGCCCCCTTTCGATAAGGATCTCCTTTTCGAGACGTTCCCTTTCCATAAAGTCCGGAAGCGACTGTGCACCACCCCCAGTCACATCCACGATATAGGGCCGGGGCAAGCTTGGACTAGTTTGGGGGCTCTTGTTGAGGTAGTTACTGGCGCTCCAGCGCAGGCTGCGCCGGTGGTTGCTGTGTGAAGAGGGACGTGAGTGGCGGGGTTGAGTGACGATCTCGACGGGACCCCCGCTGCCGTGGGTGACGATGATGGGCTCACGGCGGCGGGTGGGTTTAGGAGCGAGAGCTGCTTGCCGCTGCTGCTCCAGCCGTTCTTCGGGTGAGACAGGGGCCGACGTGGCAAGAGGAGGACCGTCGACGGGGCCGTCTGCGCGCTTCTCAAAGCTGTGACCAGGCGGAGTGTGGGTTGTTTCGTGGTGCCAATAGCACTTGAAGCACAGATCGAAATTCACGTGCTGGACACACTTGAAGCGGGCGCCGTACATGGGCTAATGAGGTGTCAGTTTTCGCCCCTGTCTCTCTCTCTGTTTCTCTTCTCTCCCTCGCTCTCTCTCTTTCTCATCAAAAGGGCCACAAGAAGTGAGGAAGGAGAACAGTTCAACTCACAACATAATGGCAATCATCGCACCCGATGCTTTGTCTCAACGTTCCGGGAACGACAACCTTCCCATCTGACCGCAGGCCGCTTCCAAACCTCGCCGACCATTCCACCCGAATGCGAGCCCGGCCCGGAACCTTTAGCACATCAGGGCTGATCTCATCACCACCACCGCCGTCTCGGGCCACAAACGCCTCTTCCGCTGATGTGGGTGGATCAGGGAGCTTCTCAGGAGGGGGCTGCTTTTCCCGACCGCTCCATTCAGGATCCATGGCCCACACGTGATGCTGGATGAACTTGATAGCGTCGAGGTTCCGGTGGAAGACGGCCACGGCTATGGCTGACCAGCCGTGGTGCGCTTCACCGCTGCGGCCTTGGTAGCGCAGCGCCCGTAGGGGGTAACGATATTGCGACAGCAACAGCTTGACTACCCCTGTCTGGCTGCCTCGGCAGGCCCAATGAAGTGGCGTCCAGCCGTCTGCGTCCGGCACGTTGACGCCGGTGCCGTCGACGCCCAGACTAGGGCGCAGATTCACGTCCCCAAAGGCGTCCCGCAGCTCGTCCTTTCCCAGCGTTCGAACGGCATGATGCAGCGCCGTCCGGCCCTGGCGATCTCTCGCCTCAACCACCGCGTTGCCGAACGCTGCAAACCACTTGATCAGCAGGCCGTTACTCCGCCGTGCCGCGGCGTGGGTGGGCGTGAGCCCTTCGTTATTGGTTAGCAAGAGTTGCTCTTTGGTTTGGAGCTGGGGGTGGGCGAGGAGAGCGGGCGTGGCGATGGTATTAACCGGCAAAAGCTTCGGGTGGAAGGCTATCTCGTGCAGAAGAGTGTTTTGGTCGTGGTCGCGGAGGGTGGCGTCGGCGCCGGCGTCGAGAAGGGGCCGCAGTGCCTCGGGACAGGCCCGAGCAGCACGCATCAGGGGGGTTTTGCCTTGTTTGTTCTGGACATTGAGGTTGACAGGGAAGCGCAACTTGGGCTTTTCGGGGTTCTTGGGTTCAGGACCCCTAGCGTGGTCCTGCACATCGATGGCCTCGGCCGTCTCATTGGTCTCGTTCAGCTGCAGGAGCACCTCTACCACATTGTACGTCCCCGAGGCGATGGCGGCCTCGAGCGCGGTATCCCCGTCCCCATCGACGAGGTTTGGGTCTGCCCCGGCCTCGAGCAGCACGCGCACCGTCCACGACCAACCATTCAGCACAGCGCGATGCAGCGGGGTAATACCGAACGTGTTGAAGAGGTTCAGGCTCGCCACGGCGCCGCTGTGCTCGCTCCCTTTTACCAGTCTCTCTGTGATCTGGTGGTGCCCCCTTCGCGCGGCTTCGTGAAGCGGTGTGTCCCCCACCTCGTCCGCCAGATCTGGATTGGCGCCTGCCCGCAGAAGGATGTCGACGACGCCGAGATGGCCCCGGATGACAGCGGCGTGTAGCGCTGTCGCGCCTTGTCGATTTGCCACGTTGACGTTCGCACCACTACTCGCAGCGCCAGGGCTTGGGCTTGGGCTACTCACCCCGAGAGCAGCAACGGCAGCGAGTTCGTCTCCTCGTTTGGCCCCTGCTGCTACCTTGGCTCCCAACCCCAGCAAGAGCAACAGCACCTTTACGTGCCCCCCCTCAGCGGCCAGGTACAACGGTGTGATGCCTGCGTCGTCAGCTACTGCGGCCAGGGGATTACCGCTGTTGCTATTCCCACTTTTAACACTACCAGTAGCGATACCAGCAGCGGTAACAGAAGCAGTAGTAGTCGCAGCGGTACTACCATGCCTTAGCAAAAGAGCGGTGGCGACAACACTCCCAGCTTGCGCGGCGTAGTGTAGCGGCGTGCGGCCAGTGGTAGAGTCGCGCGCACCGGGGTCCGCGCCGGCCGCGAGCAAAGTGGTGATTATCCCGGTGAGCGATTTGGTGCGGGCCATGCGGCTAAGGGGCAAGGAAGGAGTCGTGGGCGCTGGTAGTACTGCTTCTGTTCTTGTCGTTTTCGTTGCTGTCGTTGCCATGACCGAAGACTTACGTACAGAGGACCCGGCTGCTGCGGCGGCAAAATGTAGCGGCGTCTTGCCCTTGCCATCAGCGGCTCTGGGGGAAGCACCACGGTCGAGGAGGAGCTTGACGAGCTCGGCAGATTCGCCGCGGCCGGCGGCGATATGGAGAGCTGTGCGGCCCCGGTTAGTCGGGGTATCGACATCTACCACGAGGGCTTGGGGTTGCTGTTCTGCTACTACTGTTGTTGGTATCGTCGCAAGTGCTATGGCGGTTGCTCTGGCTGTCGTTGAGGAAGAGCTGCTGACTCGGCTGTTAAAGCTGTCTTCTCTTCGTGGGGGGCGGAAGGCATCATCTGTCATGTCGGATGGAATAGGGAGAGGGAGAGGGAGAGCTGGCGGGGAGAGTAGGATCTGGACCACATCCACCTCCTCGCGGTGCACGGCCAGATGTAGCGGCGTGTGTCCGCATGCCGTTTTGGCGTTGACGACGTCCGGTCCTAGCTCGACCAGCAGCCGCATGATGTCGGCGCTCCCGTAGTAAGCGGCAAAGTGTGCGGCCGCCCACCCGCGGCCACTGTTTTCACCCAGGATCCTGCGAGCCTCGCCTTCTTCATCTTCCTCCTCGTCGTCCTGGCCGTCGTGGTCGTCGTCGTCGCTGTCGTCATCGTTGCTGCGATCCGGGTCCTGGTGATGATCCACGCGATGCTGGATGTCCGCATCATCGTAAATCAGCGCCCGGAAGATGTCGAACTGGTTGTGTCGCGCCGCGTCCGTCAAGGCCGAGCACGGCGCTGCGGCTGTCGTCTCGGATGGAGACGATTTGCTCCCCCTCCAGCTGCGCCTGTCGCTCGTTTTCAAGATAGCCATCGTGACGGGCACGTTACCATGAATGATGGCCTGGCGCAGGGCGCTCGTTGCGTAGTCTTCGTCGGTTGTCACTGCCGCACCGTGGCGCAGGAGCGCATCAACGACGGCCGTGTGATTTTGCGCTAGGGCCAGGTACAGCGCCGTCTTGCCATCGGCGTTGGGTGCATCAATCGATGCGTGGCTGTGCTCGACTAAGAACTCGACCGCCGCGACGTGGCCATGTTCCGCCGCTTCGTGCAGAGGCTGCGAAACGAGGGGCTTATCCGGCCCTTCATCCCACTCACCGCCATCCACATCGGCTCCAAGCCCCGGACCGTCTCTCTCCAGATCGATGACCTGTCTGAGCAGGTCGACATCACCCACCCGGGCGGCCAGATGGGCGCTCGTGAGACCATCCTCGTTCGCGTTGTCCAGGACTCCGTTCTCTGCCAGGAGCCGACTCGCAATATACCGATACCCCCTCCGGATACTGCACTGTAAAGGCGTCCACCCGCGGTCCGCCGTTCTATTCACCTGCGCACCGTTTTCGAGAAGCAAGCTGACCACATCCAGATGGCCTTGCATGATGGCAGCATGTAGGGGCGACACCTCGCTGTCGCTATCCGCGTTGATGTAAGCACCGGCCTCGATCAGACGCTGCGCGAGCGAGGCGTGGCCGATGCGGCAGGCCTGTATGAGCAACGCGGACGGGATGGTGTATGGATCTTGGTTGGCCGCGGCCCTAACCTCGCGCAGTGGGTCAAGAAGAGCTAGAACGACGTGCTCGTCTCCGCGCTCACAGGCTTCCGTTATGAGGCTTTCGAGAGTGGCCGAGTTGGCCGTCATCGCGCTGTCTTGGATGAGATATTGGACGATGGGCAGGTGGCCGCTTTGGCAGGCTACGCGGAGGGCGTCGAGCCGGTCGGGGTGGTCGGGCTCCGAGGTCGCATTGAAGAGCTGCTTGAAGATGGAGAAGAGGCCAAGGCGGGCAGCGAGAAGCACGGGGCGTACAAGACTCTCGCTGCCTCCAATCTCGGCGGCCTGGGCTGGCGACTCCGGCTCGGGGTTGAGGTATTTTCGGGATGCCAGCCAGCGCATGTTCCTGGGGTTCTCGAAAAGGGCGCGGGCGAGCTGTTGGAGCTCATTGTGCGCGTCGTTTCTAACACTACCTTCGCTGTCGTCATTGTTGTCATTATCGTCCATGACCTGGCAGTAGTGCACATGCCAATGCTCCAGAGCATACTCCAACAGCCCAAACACTTTCTCTTCCGACACCTCCTGGGCAGCGCCGATCCTCTCCAGACAGAAATGCAGATACTCGAGTAATGTCTGCGTCTGACCGACCAGCCGTTGCGCCGGTGTGGCCTGGACCATCGCCGACGTAATCCACTCTTGCAACACCTCGGCGACGTACGAGTGGGCGATGCGGATCTCCTCACGGTCTGTGTCGATCTCGACTAGCGGACCGAGGGCCCGGCACAGGTCGGTGCCGATGTCGAGGGGGATGAGGCTCTCGTTCAGGGATAGGCCCCTCTTAGCAACAGGTGAATGAGAAGAAACGGAGTCGATGGTACTGGCTTTGTTAGTCCCAGCCTCTCCAGTCGCGGTCTCGGTTTCCATCTCTGCCTCAATCTTCCCGTCGCTCTCCGCCAACGCCACGGCAACGGCCAGCTCGTCCAGCCCTAACGGCCGTCGCACAAACAACATCCAAACCAACGCACCCACCACCCAGCCAGGCGCGCCCTGCACCATCGCCGTGATGGTCTCCTCCCAGCCTTTCTTGATCTCCTCAAGCCCGGCACTGACGCACTGAGGCCGGGACAGCTGGTCGATGCCGCGGATCCGATGTGCGAGTAAGTTTGCGTGCGTAAAGTTTTCCGCTGCGTCGAGGCACGCACGTAACTCCGGCTGGGTTGCGCGAAATTTGGGGCTGAGGGATGTAATCTGGGCCGCGAGTGTGGCTTGAAAGTCGCTTCGGCAGGCTTCGAAATCCGGCATGCGTTCTATGTCGAGGTGCCAGGTTTCGCCGGTGCCGGTGCCCATACTCCTTCTTTTCCCCGTCTGACTGCCCTCGACTGGCATGATCTCCAACCTAGCAACAGACGTGAACCAAATGGTGAGCGTGCCGGCCGCCGCGAAACGCAGATCGAGGAGATCTCGGAGAAAGTCGTGTAGCAACGGCGTGTCACAAGTGTCGACAGCATCAAGGACGAGGTGGGTATGGGAGGCAGAAGGGAGATGGCGGAGGGTGGAGCGCATCTGGATCCAGAGATTGCCTTCTGTCCAGCGCGTGCGGTCAAGGTGTGGGGAAAGGCCATGGGTATCTGGGGAGTCTTGTTTGCGTGTTGTGGCCATTGTTGGCGTTGGTGTTGTCGGCCCGGTCGGCGACGTGGGGGCTGTCTTCATCTCTGCCTCTGTCTCTTCGCCCGATTCTTCCCCTTCCTTCTCCTCCTTCTCCTTTTTTTCCTGCTCATCCACCCGCCCTGGTTCTTCCTCTTGCTTCCACCATTTCTTCCCCCTTTCCCGCTCCATAAAACGATTTGCCAGGCCGGGTTCGCTCGCCAGCAGCTGCCGGATCACCTTGACTAGCATTGCCCGCACCGACCGCCGTCTGTGGTCGTGCGTGTCGAACGCAAAGTAGGCAATATACTCTTTCTTGGGAGCCGATCCTATCTTGGGGTCTGATACAACCCCTAAACCTGGCCTCATTCCTGGCCCTGACCCTAACCCCAACTCCGGGGTTGGCCCTGAGTTTACCCGGACAGCGCGACCTCGCAAGAGTTGCTCGTGCAGGGCGTACGACAATGTTGTTTTGCCGATGCCACGGGCGCCGTAAAGGTTGATGGCGACAGTGTTAGCCGGGATCTCGGGGAGGGTGGCCGTGATAGCGTCGAGGAGGGGGTGGACTGTGGCTTGCACGAGCGGTGAGTTCGATAATGAGTGGGCAGTATAGGGGGTGCGGGAGATATAAGATGTGTGAGAGGGGGCGTGGGTATGTGGGCTGAGGCGGGCCAGAGTTTTGAGGTAGGTTAGCGCCGGAGAGGAAGCTGTGGATGTTAGTCATACCCGTGAAGACGGGGTGTGAAAGATCCAGGTTCAAGGGGGGTAGACCGTGAGGAAGACGGGAGAGGAGGCCTACCTGACGCTGCAGCCTTGACGATAGAGAATACCCCGTCAACCGCCCCGCGTTGGCTTGGGTTGAACCTCCCGATCTGGCTAAACCGAACGGCGGAATCGCGGAGGACGACGTGCTCGTGCGAGACACCAAGTACCCCGCACGAAGTGTCGACGGCCTTGAGCGTCCATCAGCAAACGAAATAGCTCAAACGAGGTGGGCATGTCAGACTTACCGCAGACGCCCCGTCCTGGCAGATACTAACGATGGCAATGCTAAACGCAACCGGGATAAACTCGGATGAGACACGTTTAAGATACGCTGGCAGATCCGCGGTCGTCTGCCAAAAGCCGTCCGGGAGAGCGGTCCAAAACGGGAGCACAATGGATGTGAGTGTTTGCCGCCAGGCTTCGAGGGACGGGGCTTTGTGCGGGACGCCGAGGAGGATCTGCGGCTGTTAGAAATAGTACTGTACCCTGACGTCAAGGGCTTAAATAAAAGCCAGTAGTGTTGAACGGAGGACGTACGCAGGCACAAGTGTGCTGGGCTATGGTGGTGTCAGTCCCGGCGAGAGTGAGAGCCTAGAATGTATTAGCTCCTTTTGGTGTTGCGAGATGGGTATGAATGGGACGACTAACCCGTTTGACAATGATACCGCCCAGGTTCTCGCCGCAGAAGACGAGTCTTTGATGCGAGTGGGCCTGGCGTTGTTAGCTTCTCCTCGCTTCTGCCCCCAAGGGCCCCTGAATTCGAACTTCTCCCAACTACGCTCTCTAATTCATACTCTAAGAGCTCATCCTAATATTTAGATTCTCAAATTCACCGTACCAGTGGCCCCATGCGAATTCAAGCTCCCCACTCAGGTTTTTAAGGCAAGGGAAGATAGAAGGGGATAAAACAAAGGATAAAACTCACCTCATCCCCTTCCAACATCCGCTTTACGAATGCAAGTAACTCTTCTGCCTTCCGATTAAACCACCCTGGCGCTAGGAAACCTGGCTGTGTCTCCGGGTTGCCGTTGTTTTCCCCCACCCCCTCACCATCACTCCCCCATAAATGTCTATCCTGTTCTTCAAATCCCACATCAAACTGCACAACTCTCACGCACTGTTCGCACTTTCCTTCCACTTGCCTTTGCTCTATTTTCAAGCTGTCCGCCTCCCTCTCCCCCTCTTCCTTTCCGGCATCATCTCCAAAACCACCATTCCCATCCCCTCCTCTCCCATTTCCCTTCCTCCTCGTTTCTGTTCCCGCCTTCCCGCGAACTGGCTCTGGCACAGTTGAGAGTGTACGTACCCAGTACGGGTCCCAGAGCAAGTGGCCGGCACTGACACTTGCACTCGTACTTCCGCTCAACCCCCCGGGGGGACTCGATGCGGGGTGATTCTGCCATGAACTCCTGACCCCAGGAGCGTTGGCTGGGTCGTGCAATCCCGGTACCACGACGAATCTGTCATTGATATCAGTGGGGGCAATTTTGACCCGAAACAAGGTAGGAGGGACATACGTGATGTGATCCATCGTTTGGATCGCACAGGAAATTGATTTGCTGAGGTAGTTTCAACTGGGAGCAGTCAAAGTTCACATGGTACCTTTTGTCACCAAGAAAAACATATTCATGCTGTTGCGTTGCTTTCCACCGTTCGCTTTCACCGAAGGAGGATCGCTCCTTTCCCTTCTGGGGCTGAGCTCAAAAGGCAGCAACATCCTACTGCATCTGTCATCAAAAGAGGGGAAGGTGCAGTGCAGTGCAACCTCAGGAACCAATCCTTTTCCGCACTTGCCTCGATCAAGAACTGCAAGTCAGCATGGCAGGCGCAAGGCTGCGAAACGGAGCTGCGTTTACATCGGCCAAGGCGCAAACGGTGGGAAGGCACGAGAGAGTAGCGTGGTAGCTTGGTGGCGTGCAGCGAACCCCGCCTGATCGGTCTGGCTCGGTCGCCACCAAGCTTTGTCTGGCATTTCCTCATCGCCGGTCGCCGCTATTAACGGGAAGGAAGGGAGTGGTTCCCCGGGGATGAGGCCAAGGGCGAGGAAAAAAGAAAAAGACTGCGAGACTGACCACATTTCGAGGGTTAGGGTTATGATGGGGGAAACAATGCAAAAACAATGCAAAAACAACGCCCGGCGGGGGGCTCGAACCCCCGACCTTGAGGTCTCCTTTCATAAAAGCCTCACGCTCTTCCAACTAAGCTAGCCGGGCGGGCCATCTTAGGTTGTGTTCGGCTGGCGGATTTTCGCACCATAAGCGGATGCCATCGGAACACCGTAACGGCGCCGTGAACTCCTTATTGTAATCGTGAGAACTCGACATCGATCGCCGCATTGAATGGCCTGTATATCATAGTGCGTTTTGGAATCGTCCATTCGAAGGGGAAATGCCCGGAAGGGCCCTGGCCATCGAGCGTGGTCGTCGCTAACTACAGGCTAGCGCGAGCCCTGAATTCGGAGAAATAGCAACAGCGTCGCACTCATACCCATACTCCATCAGATAATCAACCATGTATAAACCGACATACTTCGTACTCCGACCCCCTTGATGAAGTTGAGCCCTATTTGACGGAATTGAAGATCCCCAAGACGGAGACCCAAGATATTCATTACAACGCCCGCTCGGCTGGTGCACATTCACCGTTTGCTCCTTCCATAATTAGGTAAACCGGACCGCGACTAGCTGCTGCCAGAGCCACAGGCCAGCGACTCCCGCGAGGACGAAGAACACCCACGACGGCACCTGCACTTGCAGGCCGGAACCTCCCGTTCCTCCTTTGGCTTCTTTTTTTTCTATGTTTTCCTTTTCCGCATTTTTTCCCTTCTCCTTTTCCTCCCGCTTCTTCGCCGCCCTCTCGTCTCTCTCCTTGCGCACCTCCTCAAAGCTCTCATGCAAACTCATAAACATGACATCGTGCTGCAAGTCCACCGCCTTGAGATTCTTACTGTCAATATCAAAATTCCCGCTTCTCCGATCTGTCCCCGGCTGAAACACTACGGCCTCGTCCCGCTCGGCGCTCTTCCACACCCGCTTCGCCCGCGACGCCACCTTCGACCACCCGCTCTTGTCTGCAACGACGTCCAACTCGCCGCGGAACGTCGGCGCCGGAGCTGGGGACCCCGGCCGTGCCGGCGTCTTCCCCGCCACCACCGTCCGCCTAAGCAACACGCCGACCTGCAGCATGCGACAGATCCCGCTGCGCGAGGCATCGTTCTCCACGAGCGTCCATCGCACACCGTCATACCCTCCGTGCGCGCGGTTCATCATCCGCGGCGCGCCACTCACTTTGGTGTGAAAATCCAGCTCAGTCGTCTTCTTCAGCCCATACTCGCCGCTTAGGTTGACCGAAGCCGGCCCCCCTTTAGGGCCAGCGCTGGCTTTGCCCGTGGCGGTTACCTCGCGGGCCTGCTGGACGGGAGCGAAGGACCAGGTGCCACGTGGGGCGATCTCGTCGACGGCGATCTCGACGGCCGGGTCGTCGCTGGTGAAGGTCCAGGTGATGATGGCGCCGACAAAGCGCTTGTCGCGCGAGGGCAGGAAGTAGAAGTTGGCGATGAGCAGGGTGGCGTCCTCGTCGACGGTCTTGACGGTCCCATCGGGATTGGTGACGGTAGTCGGTGCTTTCCCGTGGACGGCATCGACCAGCTCGGCGACGACGAGGAACTGGTCGCCGCGGTTGATCATGGCCCGGCGGTTGAGCTCGCCGGATTGGTTGGCCATGGTCACGCGGTAGAAGCCACCCTGGTCATCATCCGTGAGGTCGAAGACGAGGGACTGGCCAGGTTCCCCGGAGAAGCTCATGCCGACCTGTGCGTGACGGAACTAGCGATGCTTGAAAAGATAGGTATGTGTATGTATGTCCCTGCGTGTGCGTATGAAAGGGATGATGGGCTGTGAGCCAAGTTGGGCAGCCCAGGCTGAACATATCTGGGGATGGTACATTGGTTTTGTACGCCTTCGCTCACTGTTCCGTTTCGTCCGTTTCGGATCTGTCAATTCGGCTGTCATGCAGGTGCTTTCGCTACGACGCTGGCGGTCGCGGCGTAGGAGTGAGGCTGCAGCTCTTATTGGTACGAACGCTGCGCCACTACTAAGTAGGTCGACGATCGTGGCAGTCCAGCTCCTTGCGCCGTTTCAAAGCCCCGCAAGCTAGGATCGGAGATAGTGGAAGGAGAGAAGAGAAAGCCTGGAGCTCATTATTAGTAAATTGGAACTACCTCAGTTTGAGAGAGGTAGAAAGAAAGAGAGAAAGAGAGATCAGGTTTGTGTCGTTCATTTACCGTTATTGACTAACCTGCAGCCAGCAATCTCACTCATATCTTGCATTTCCATATCACGTCTCATTCTGTCATTACGGACAATATTACAATAGTCCCATAATTCCTGCATGTCAACATGGTGGCCAACTTTATCTCAGAAGACGGGCCCGAGATATGGGACAACGGGGAAGACGGTGATAAATACCTACACCCAAACGACGGTAGAAATCACTCTGAGGGGAATTACGGCGGTCATGACGACGACGAATATGACGAAGAAGAGGACGAGGACGAGTATGATGGCCACGGTGACGGCGACAGCGTTATGGAGCCTTCGCTCGAAGAACTCCAAGACTTCTACGCCCGGGTCATACACGATCTCCATCACGACGCCAACTTTCTACGCACCTTCACAGAAGCCCTGGCCGCCGACGAAGCGGGCGTAGCTGTCCCAATAACGACAACAACAACTACAACAACTTCGCCACGACCACCACCAGGCTACCACCAATTCTCCCCCTCATCCTCTTCCGCCTCCCCTTTCGCGCGTTCCTCTTCCTCCTCCTCCTCCTCCTCCTCATCAACCACCACCAGACCCCCACCCATCTACCCCGCATCCTACATCTACTGCACTCTCCCAGACCAAAGCAACATCCTGCACGCCCTCATCGATGCCGTCCACCGGCAGCTCGTGCCCGTGCGCTCTGCGGCCCTGTTGACCGCCCAGCTAGTTAACGTCGAATTCGACTTGGTCAGCGATAGGGCCGTGGCCCCAAAACAGCACGAACAATGGACCCCGCGCGGCGGCAAGACCCCGCTAGAGTATGCGGCGCTATATGCGGATTGTCTGGATCTGGTGCAGGTCATGTGCGAGGTAGGATTGGTCGCGAGGGTGAGTCGGGAGGAGAAGGAGAGGATATTGCAAGGGGAACGTGGTGATGGAGTTGGGCATGATGGGGGGGATAGCGCGGTTGGGTTGGGGGATGGTGTACATGGACATGGTGATGTCGAAGCAGCCGAGGCAGCAAGAGGTTGGGGGTTGAAGGGTGTGCGGAGTCGACTTCTGGAGGGGTTGTCGCCTTTTATTGGGGGGACGACGGGGAGGGCAGAGGGCCCCGATGGAGGTGTGGACGCGGATGTGGATAATGGTGTGAGTTCTGAGGAGAAGACCCTGGAGGAGGGGATGGAAGGAGATCCGGAACTGGCCGCGGGGCCAAACCCTTTCTTCGAGTATGCCCTTATTGCCTCTTGTATGTTTTCTTTTCAGAACTCCATCTAACGTACGCCACGCAGACTCCCCGACGGGACCTTTCTCTGGCAGCGAATCTTCTGGACAGACCTCATCAAGAACAATGAAGACTCGTGCCTACAGTAAGTGGTTTTATTTTTATTCTATCTTTTCTTTTTAATTACCCCCTTGCTCTCACTACTCCTCTCGACTAACCTCCCCAGCATCGCCATCCGTGAGGGCAACAACGCCTGCGCCGACTACCTCCTCTCACGCATTCAACTCACGAACGACACCGACTCGGTCCTCGGCCTGTACGATCACAACGGCCTCACGGCGCTGCACCTCGCCCTCGACTTCGACAAATGCCACGACCAGTCCCAGGTCGAATTCGTGCGCCGCCTGATCGCCCACTACCCGCCCGCCCTGGCCATGAACTCGGGCGAGATGTCGTACGACGGCATGGCGCAGGCGCCGCCGTTGTCGTCCCCTGCGGTCGGTAGCACCGCCAGTGGTGGTTTCGGTACTTTCGTGTCTTCCGTCCCGGGGCTCGATCAGAACCATACACCGCAAAGCCGGAATAGGGGTTTTGGAGGTGGGAGGCTGTCACGGGATAGATCCCAGCTCCTGGAAGCCAGTTCTCCTGCGGCGGCTGCTGCTGCTGCTGCTACTGTTGCTGTTCCACTAAGTGGGGGTGTCCGACGGGGGCCGAAAGTGAGTGCCGCGCCGTACAGGTACTTTCTCGAGTCCCGGGAGAGGGCCTTGTTTACCCAGCGAGCGGAAGCCCGGCCGCAGGCACGCAAACCGAGAGGGCAAGGAGGAGGCAGTATGAATTCTGGTAGGAGTGGTATGAGTGGGAGCGGCGGTGTAGGAGGAGGAGGTGTCCAGCGAGCAAGCCTCTCGATGGCGGCTGGGCGGGGCTTCGCGTTTGTTCAGACGTCGATGGTGACGAAGAATAAGCTGCCCAAGGCGTCAATGAAGGTGGCCACACAGATGGCAAACCTGCTCAAACTGTCATGTATGCGGCATTGCGGGCGGGACCGGGCGAAGCTGAAGGAATTGTTGGATTTCAAGGTGCGTGAGCGGATGAATTAGTGTGCCTTTCGGTGTTGCGTGATGGTTTGAGTTGGCTAACCAGGTTGGCATGATTTTCTAGAAGCAAATACACCTCGACTTGAACCCCCGCACGAGAGTCACTGCCCGGTTCCTGGAGTACATGGCTGCCAAGGGACTCGAGCCATACCTACAGTATGTGTACATCCCAAACCTACGGGTTGTTGATGTGCGGAATGCCGAGCTGGAGAAGCAGAGTTGGTGGGAGTCTTCAGGCCGAAAGGACTATGCATAGTACGTTGATCCCTGACCCCCTGAATCATTGCCCGTTTCCTGAGCAAAAGGGAAAAAATAAAACAAAACAAAAAGGTGTTAACTCATTCATGACAGCATCTTCAACTGGCTCAAAAAGACGGTGGGCGTGACCAAAATCATCCGTCTTGTGGTTGAGGACGACCCGGCCGACTTCCACAGTGACGAGGTGATTGAACACTCACTCCGGGAGTTCGACATTGAGGAGTGGAAATGGTTTCGCTGGGACATGTGCATCGACACCATCCGCGAGGCGGCGCCCAACGTCCGCGAGTTGCACCTCTACTGGAGCGGTAGCAGGGCCGTGCTGAAGAGCTGGGCGTCCCGGGTGGACGGGTTGCCTGCATTAGGGCAGGTAAGCCGGGCTTTTCTTTGGGGTTGTGCTGTTATGTTGGAGTGGCGAAACAATAACTAATTTGTTCTGTCCAGCTCGAGAAAATCTGTATCCTGCGGTCACAGGTAAGAAGAGCCCCCCAGGGAGGGAATCTATGGCTCGTACTCGTACGCTGGTCTAACAACAATAGAGCAAGGAATCCCGCGTCCGGACCAACCAAATATTGGCTGACTTCGAATCCAATGTGCGCCGAGCCTGGATCGAGAACTGGGGCCTGCGGCTTCCTGCTCGGCTGCCGCCCAAGATCTCGGTCGAGGCATTTACCGGCCGGGAAGACCTATCCCGCGGGTTGTCAGAGAAGGAGTTGGAAGAGAAGGGCAAAAAGTAAGTCACCTCTGAACCAGTTACGCCTTGCCCAAGTCCCGAGAGGACATTTCTGAGACATATCTGACACAAACACACTCACGGATAGGGACCGCTGGCTCAAATGCACAGAAAGCTTCGGGAAGCTCCTCCGGAAATGGCTCAACCACCACCTCTTGGAAGCCGATGGGGACGGCAAACAGGTGCGCCTGGCCGAGGACAAAGAGATCCGCGTGGCGGTCATCGACGACGGCGTCAACATTGATTGTGACGACATTGCCGAAAACGTCGAGGAGGGCGAGACCTTTTGCGACAACGGGGGGCATTGGCCCGGCTACTACCAGTCGTCGTACGGCCACGGCCACCTGATGGCGTGTCTGATCCGGGACCTATGCCCGCGGGTGAAGCTGTACATCGCGAAGCTGAATGAGATGTGGGTCGATGGCCGGCCGCGGATTACCCCCGAGTCGGCCGCCAAGGTGAGTTCTCTAAAGCTTTCTCCGTTATCTTCCTTTCTGCCTCATCATAGCATCCCTAACAAACCAGGCCATCGAATGGGCGCGCTCCAAGGACGTCGACATCATCTCGATGAGCTGGACGATCGAACATGTCGACGAGCCGGCCAAAAGCGAACTCGAGGGCGCCGTCAATCGCGCCCATGCCGACGGCATCCTGCTCGTCAGCGCCTGCGACGACCAGGGCAACATCTCAGACCACCCTTACCCGGCCAAGAACAACGAAGCCAAGGTGCTCAAGATCGGATCGGCGACCACGCTTGGCACCCGCCACAAAGCAACCAACGAGAACCTGTTCGACTACATCGTGCCTGGGTCCCAAGATGTCGCCCGGCCGGCCGCTTCTCCTTCTCATACCACGCATCAAACTACTAGCCCACTGAGTGCTGCTGCCCCAACCGTCGCCGTAGAACGGCCGCTCTTTGGCTCGTCCATCGCGACGGCCCGGTGCGCCGGCCTAGCGGCCATGATCTTGCAGTGCATCGCGCTGGTGCATCACCCAGACGACTGCCACAAGCGCACGGTGCGCACGCTGGAGAACATGAAGAAGATGCTGGACCGTATGGTCGAGCCTGGTGACAGCCATGCGTACATTAAGGTGTGGACAGTGTTTGAGCAGGCCATGAATAAGCCCGGCATGGGCGAGGATCTCGAGGGGAGCATCATCAGGAAGGTTGCGGGGGAGTTTGTCAAGAGGCTGGCGTGGGAACAGCCCAAGATGATGGAGCCGCGGGTTACGGTGTAGATATGGGGCAATTTATGTACTCTGTACTGAGGTGTATGTACCGACTAGTGTAGGAGGGAGGGAGTGACGTTCTAAAGGAACAAGCGTCGTACACAGTGCGGGCTAGCCTCTTCTTTGGTGTGGGGTCATCCCCTGGCCAATACGCAACTTCCTATTGGATACAATTCATGGATCACGTGCCCTGGGCAGAATCTCGAAAACGGCAAATGCGCGACTCCGGCATAGGAAACTTTTGGTTCACGATTGTGGGAGATTGGAACCCGTCGTCCCATTTCCACCGGTCACCCACCCCACGACCGCCATGTTTTCTACAACAACAAGATCGCCTGGCCTGGTCCGGGCGGCTGGCAGCCAGGCATGGTTGCCAATACGCAATGGCGCCGTCAGCCGGTGCTTTTCCACAACCCCCGCGCAACGAGGTATGTTCCCCGCTGTCCCTCCATGGCTCCTTGGACTTTCGTTTTCTTGCTGGGGTGGGTGCGCTTTGAGCCGTACGAAAAGGCTAACAACTAGAAAGCTCCTCACATTATCACCTTCCAGGAAAGCTCGACGCCCGAACTCGCCGAACTCCTCGACAAATACCGCCAAATGATCATCCTCCCGACATACCTGTCCCCCGAGCAGCGCCGGAAGATCTACAAGCCCAAGATCAGGAAGTACCTCGAGCACGACCCGGTGCTGATGGAAATTGACGGCGTGGAGCATAAGTTCCGCTACCGCAGCCAAGTCGCCGACCTCCCGTCCACGAAGCATACCTTTGGCCAGGTTCTCCACCTCACCGAGACGCCAGCCGACTTCCAAAACATCCCGCCCTTGCTCGAGGGCTTCGTGCGCGCCGGGCGCAAGCTAGACGGCTCCTACTACCACCGGCTCATCCGCAAAGCGGCCAAGCACGGGCACATGCAGATGATCCTCGACTTCATACAGGCGGCCAAGCGGTACGGGCTCAAGCTCAACCGGTCCGAGCGCATCAACGAGGTGTTGGTGTACCTCCAATGGCCAGCCATCCTGAGCGGCTGGGAGGTTGAGGCCACCGAGAAGGCACTCCGGCAGGTGAAGCTGGTCATCAACATCCTCGAAACCGACCTGGCGCACGAGCCTAAGAACCCCATCGACGAAGGCGCTTACCCTTACTTCCGCGATCCCCAGGTGCTTGCGGCACGCCTGCACATGGAGGCTGCGCGCGCAGTGCACCTGCGCGGGGGTAAAGACGAGCACGGCCAGGTGGCCAAGTACGCGCAGCAGCTGGTGACGCTGTGGCCGGAGGGGTATGGTTTGTTGGACCTGCAGCCGCTAGAGGCGTACCAGGGCAAGTCAGCCAACATGCGCTACCTGCTAGACCGCAATGCGTTCCTGTTTTATGCGTCGCCCGTGTTAAATGGGTTGGGCTTGGCGGCGCAGGTGGTCGATCCGGGGCTGGCGATGCAGCTGCAGAACCGGGCGGATAAGGTGGAAGGGGAGATCCGGATTGCGCTGGCGGATGAGAAGCGAAATAAGGAAGGAAGGGGTGCGCGGATGTATGATTCGATTTTTAACCCGCAGCCACCACGGGCTGAGGAGGAAGCTAGTGCTGGGGAGGAATAAAAAAGGAGGTCTCTGAAAAATAAGGGGCTTTGATCGAAATCCCCGCCGGGGAACCAGGGAACGGTTCCATGATAACCAACGAAGAGTGATGAACGGCAATGGGAAGTACATAGAGTCTAGAACGGGTGAGCCTGGGCTACCGGTCATGTTATGTACATGTATTGATATCTACTGTTGTATTTGTAACGATCAATTCTTCCTGTCGCGCACGCTGTTTATTGAAAGGGGACGGACGGCCGGCAAAGTCCAACCCGGCTCAGGGTAGAACAAAAGAGAAGCAAGCCCGCTATGGCAGAACAATGTACTTCTGCAAATGCTCCGGAATCGCCCCCAGCAACTTCTTCGTCTCCAGCCACTTCCTCGAAAACAACCGGTCCGCATACCGATACGCTCCATCCGCCAGCACCGTCACCACAGTATGCCCCTCGCCCAACTTCTCCGCAACCTCCTTCGCCGCCACCACATTCAGCGCCGAGCTCGCCCCCAAATACAACCCTTCCTCATCCAAACACCGATACACCATCTCAATACTCTTCTCATCACTAATATGCAACGACCCATCCACTAGCTCCAAATCCGGCGCCAAATTATCCGTAATCCTTCCCTGCCCAATCCCCTCCGTAATACTCGACCCCGTCCTCTCAATCAACTTCCCCCCCGAGCTAATATACGAATGCAGCACACTCCCCGGCGGATCCGCCAAAAAGCTCTTCACCCTCCCCCCCGACACATCCTTCAAATACCGCGTAATCCCCGCCAACGTCCCCGCCGTCCCCGTCGAACAAGTAAACGCATCCACCTTCCCCTCCGTCTGATACCAAATCTCCGGCCCCGTCGTCTCAATATGCGCTCGCCGATTAGCCGTATTATCAAACTGGTTCGTCCACACCGCATTCTCCAGCTTCTCCGCATGCCGCCGCGCTTGATGATTGTAATTCTCCGGGTTATCAAACGCCACCGCCGGCACGGGGTACACCTCGGCGCCCAACAAACGCAGCAGGTCAATCTTCCCCTGGGACTGGGTGTCAGGCATGTAGATGACTAGTTTGTAGCCCTTGCTGCGGCAGACGTGGGCGAGGCCGATACCCGTGTTGCCGGCTGTTCCCTCGACGACGGTACCGCCGGGGCGGAGGAGACCGCGCTCTTCGGCGTCGCGGACGACGTAGAGCGCTGCGCGGTCTTTGACGGAGCCGCCGGGGTTCATGAATTCGGCTTTGCCGAGGACTTCGCAGCCGGTTTGTTGCGAGAGGTGGTTGAGGCGGATTAGGGGGGTGTTGCCGATGGCTTTACGGTGTTAGTCAACATGTTGGAATTATAGATCTAGGGGGGGGATCGTACCTCCTGTCAAACCCTTTGCGACTCCTTGCGCCTTGGACACGCCGATGAGGTAGGGCGTCGGTTCGGCGGCTGCGGCCACGGAGGCCAGGCGCTGGGCGCTTGTCGCGAAGCTGCGGGCGCCGTGGCGGAACATGGTGAAGACTGCCTGTATGAGGGCGAGAAGAGGCGGGGGAGAGGAGACGGGGAGAGGAAGAAGGTGGAATTAAAAATCCACGGCCGGTTCGGGAAGAATTCAATGCTCCCGTCCACCGAGAGCCGATGCCGCTGTCCCACAGTCCACGGGGAAGTGGGGTGGAATTGATAATGGCGCAATTCAGCGCCCGCCCGCCTGAAAGCGTGGGCTGAGGGGTCGATTACAGGGGTCTGGTTCCAGCTCCGTGGATGCCGCCGGCAAATTTTGGAGACACCCCTGTACGACGACGACCTTGTTGGGTTGTCCCACTCTATTTTCAAGTTTCCCGCGTTTCGTGGTGCAAAGGTGCGCGTTCCACCGTCACGCATTGAATGGCACGACCGGCCATCACGACGACGTGTATCTGTATTTTTATCTCGACCATCTAATGTTCCAAGGCGATTGAAAGGGCCCGTTTTCAACATGGCCGGCGACGACCTGGACGAGAGGAAATCGTCCTCGCTCGACGACTTGTCCGACATCGACAGCATCAACGACGACAGCGATGATGACGGCGACGGCACCGGCGATAAAATGCCTCAGGAGCCGGTGGAATGGTTAGCCACATCCCGCTCGAAGCGGTCTACCGCCGGGAACCGGATGAAATCGATGCTGGCGAACGAAGAACCAGCCGCCGACGACTCCGACCTCGAACTGCTCTTCGCCGAAGATGAAGATGACGCCGGGTTCAGCGACCAAGCGGCGGACGACGCGTCGGACGTGCACATGGACTCCTCGTCAGACGAAGAAGACAAGCAGGACAACGCAGACGAGATGGAAGGCGAGAAAGAGCTGGAGCGCCAGGCCCGCGAGAAACGAACCGCCGACCGCAAGCGCAAGGCGCAGGAGGCGATCCCGGCCAAGTTCCGCAAAAAGGTGCGCATCGAGCAACCCGCCGCGCGCCCGCCCCGGCCCAAGAAGAAATCCGAGCGAACGAGCTGGCTGCCCTCGCCCGCCGACATGCCGACGCGTGCCTCGGAACGCCGCACGACCAAGCTCAGCAAGGAACAGCTGCACCAGAAGATGGTGTCGGATGAGATCCGGCGCAAGAAGCTGGTCGAGCGGATGGAGAAGAAGGCTAAGCAGCTCGAGGCGCTGAAGAAACCGCCCAAGACGCAGGCCGAGCGTCTGGCTGAGGCGGCTATTATTGAGAAGCGCAACTCCAAGAGCTTGAACCGGTGGGAGGAGGCTGAGAAACAGAGGGAGGAGGAGCGGTTGAGGAAGATTGCGGCGCTGAATAACCGCAAACTGGACGGGCCGGTTGTCACGTTTTGGAGTGGGATTCTGGAGTTGCAGGAGGGCCAGGACAAGCATGTTGGGAATTTGGTCTCGATGGAGGAGCGGCCGAAGAAGAAGCGGCAGTCTGCTGCGGCAGCTCTCGCGGCGAAGGAAGCCGAGGCTGCGACGCCAACTACGCCGGTGGATAATCTGGAGGGCAAGCTGGGGAAGCCGGACGACAAGGCGGGGGAGAATACCCCGCCCGCAGGTCCCGAAACACCGACTGTCAAGACCGAGCAGCCGGACACGCCGAATCTCCCGAATCCGCCTGTCACGCCTTCGCAACCGTCTGCTGAGACAGCGGAGACGTTGACGACAGCCACAGCGCCAACAGCACCAGAGCCAGCAGCACCAGGGCCAACAACGGTGCAAACGCCAGCGTCAGCGCCTGCACCTGTACCCATACCAGGAGCTGTGTCAGCTCAAGAACCCGTTTCAACGCCAGCAACTGCGCCTGTATCAGCATCTGTATCGACACCGCAACCTGTATCAACTCCACAACTTGTATCAACATCAGCTCCCACTTCGACGCCTGCTCCTGTTCCAACACCTGCTCATGTATCAACACCTGCTTCTGTAACGACTCCACAGCCTGTATCAACACCAACACCTGTATCCATATCAGAGCCGGTATTTGTTCTGAATCCGGAATCCGCTCCAATCTCTACTCCAACCCCAGCTTCAAATTCTGCTCCAAACCCGGCTTCAATCTCCGCTCCAGCACCTGTATCAACATCAGCATCAACATCAACATCAACGGCAACGCCAACCGCAATGCCCCCACCGCCACCACCGTTACCTGAGACCAGACCGAGCAGCTCAGCCGTACTTGCAGCCCCTATTCTCGCCCCGCCCGCCGGCATATCGCACTCTTCCGGGGGACAGATGCCCATGCTAGGTTTCCCAGCTGGGCCCAAACCCTTCCTGGCCGCTCCAAATACCTCGCATCGGCCATCTCCTCTTGCTAACCCCCCATCCACACCAACGGCCCCTATACCCCAGCAAATCGGCGCACTGCCCATCTCTACCCCGAAACCCAAGGTTACCATCCCACAGACACCACTACCCTTCACGCCCGCGACACCGTTACAAACGCCCCAAACGGCATCACAACTGGCGTCTGCAAGACCCCCTACCGAAACGCCACAAGAACCCCCCACGGCAACCACCTCAGACCCCCCACGCGAAGGCAAAGTCACCAAGAGCTGCATCATTCTCCAAAACTTCAACGACCACGCCATCCGAGACAAACAAGTCCAAAACCAGATCCTCTTCGGCCGGAAAATGAACAAACTAGCCAGTACGTCCTCCCCCAAGACCCCCAGCCAGTCCCTCAAACTAATCCCCAACTAACTAACCATCCACAGAACCCGCCCACCCCCCCCTCTGCGTAATCACCAACCACCCAGCCAAGTACCGCGACCCAAAAACCGGTCTGCCCTACTACAACGCCTATGCCTACCGTGAGATCCAACGTGTTTACCGCGGCGACTACAAGTGGAGTCGGCTGGTGGGCGCGTGGGTTGGGAGAGGGGATTATGCGGCGCAGGGGGTGCCGGAGTGGTTTTTACATCCTGAAAAGGCGAGGCCTGTGCCTAGGAAGGGGGGAGAGAACACTATGGAGAATGGGGATGGGGAAAAGGAGGATGGGGAGAAGGAAGATGGGGAGAAGGAGGATGGGGAGAAGGAGGAGAATGGGAATGGGAATGCCGGGAAGGATGGAGATGGGGAGAAAGGGGAAGTGGAAGGGGACGGGGGAAAACAAGGGGATAAAGCACCGGAAGAGCCGAGATTGGCGGTCGTCGAAAGGGGTGAGGAAGCAGCACCAGAGGGCAGTGAGCCACTTGCTGCCTCATCTGCTGAGACCCCCCAAGTTACTGCTGGTAATGCCTAGTGCTACGAGGACACCAGAGGTTTATAAAATGCTACCTGGGCAGTCGTTTAGACTCGCTCCCAACACAATAAATGTAATCAATGCCCATTGCCAGTTTCCCATTGAATCACTTTAATAACGACACAGCCCCCCGGAGTATGCGCGCTAGTGGCCGTGGTCTGCGAGGAGTAGTTAGTACTCCAGTGCTATCTCACAAACCAGACCTACCATCGTAAATCGAAATAGTCCCGGGTTTGATTCCCGGGACTAGCGAAGAAAAAGCCCCCTTTGGGGGGGTTTTCGTAGCTACTGACCGGTATCCTTGCGGATGGGGATAGGGTTTGGTGGTGAGCTTTTTTGTGTTTGATTTGTCTTGTTAATTAGTTAAGGGGGGCGATCAGCTCTGGGTTAACAGATTGATGTAGTGTGATGGGTTGGTGTGTTCGAGGTTGTCAATTTGTTGGTGAATAGGGTAAATAAAGATCAGTGCGTCACAGTATAATTATCGATATAAGTGTGGGATTTTGTAAGCGGAGAGTATGCTCCCCAAGAACACACTATTGTATACTGAGTAGGTATTGCGTTTTTTAAATTACTACAATCCCGAAGAGAAGAAATCGGTTGCTGTCTCTTATGAGATTCAGTCCTACACAATACGACGTCGGTGACCAATGTCCAATATCCATTGTCCAATATAGCTTAGTCTTCCTAAATCTCTCGTTAATTCTAGGAACTCCTCCGATGGGAATATCTCACATATCTTGAACATAAGCATCACATATGACCATAACAAGTCTCAATTTCCACACCCATTGAAACTAAACTGAATCCTGTGCAACACTGTATACACCCGTGCCCAGATGGTATCATGAAACAATCCAAACGCCTTATCCCACCCCCCCTCCATATCCCCAAACCCCAGACTCACGACTCATCCATCCTATCCCCATCTTCCACTCCCACACCACCGCCACTTCCACTTCCACCGCTTCCACTCCCCCCCAACAACGCAACCACCCTCTCCAAACTCTCCACCTCCCCCCTCTCCAACCCCCTTCCTCCCCCTTCCCACTCACCCCCATCCCGAACCTCCCCATCCTTCCCCAGCTCCAAACCCCGTACCTGCTCTAAATGCTTCCTCGTCGCCGTCTCGACATATTCCAGTCGTTCACGACGCCAACTCTTTTTCTTTTTGCCATCTTTCCCTTGCCCATCCCCATTTTCTGCTCCTCCTTCTTCTTCTTCCTCCATGGTATCGTCGGATCCGTGGGTGGGTTCGGCCAGCGCTGTCATGACATCGCGTAAGGCAGCGGATAGATCGCGTAGCGCAGAGAGTTGGGAGAGGGAGAAGGCCGTGGTGGTGGTGAGGGGGCGTGAGGCGTCGCCTTCGGTGAGGTCGCCTTTGTTGTGGAGGAAGGCGAATGGGGGGTTGGCTTTTGCGTCTTGTTGTTTTTGTGGTTGTTGTGAACCTGCGGGAGCCGTCGAGCCGGTAGTACCAGCACCGACATCTACCGGTTCAGCCTTAACACTCTGCCCCGGCAACACCCCAACCAACCGACGCATCTCCCCCAACAACGCCGCATTCCTTGCCCGTTCCGCAACCAGCATACAATTCAACCTCTGACTCGCCTGCAGCCGCCGCCGAAGCCTGTTAATCCCCTCCACACTCAACTTCCCCCCTTCCTCCTCCCCGGTTTCCCCTTGCCCCTCTCCTACCCCTGCTCCCCCTTCTGCCCCAGTAGGTTGACCTTCAGCCCCCGAAAAATCCAACCCCTCATAATGCCCCAACCTCAACCAATCCATCTCCACCTTCCTCAAACACAAAATATTCCGCATCACATAAATCTCAAACCGATCAAAATTCTTATCAATACTCGCCCACAGCAGCGTCTCCAACTGGTGCGTGCCCGATTCGACTTCGGCACGGTGTCGGCGCGCGGCGAAGTCTGAGTCTGTTTCCCCTGGTGCGGGGCCGTCTTCTTCTTCTTCTTCCTCCTCTCCTACGTCCTGATCCTGGTCCTCCCCCTCCTCGTCGTCGTAGTCATCGTGGGCGCCATTATGGCGGGTGCCGTTGGCGCGGGATCTGGGTTTGGATTTGGATTTGGATTGTTTTGGTTTGGGTTTGGGTTTTGATTTTGAGGAGCTGGGGCGGAAGCCGAGGGAAGCGGGGGGCGCGTTGAGGAGACCTTGTTCGATGGAGTTGAGGGCGCGTTCGGCGAGGAAGTTGATGGAGTTGATGATTTCGTCGAGGAGACTCTAGATTGGGGATTAGGTTAGCTATACCATCTATGAATGCCCTTCTTTGAAGGTTTAGGAGGGAACTGGGAAAGAGAGACAGAAACAATAAAGCAGAAATGGGCTAATTGGTTAAAACTCTAAAAATACGTACAACAGGAGGATAGCCAAAATGCTCCGTCAGGAGCTCTGTGTCCGATCGCGAAGCCATTTTCGGATTGTGTTGTGTCGTGTGTGTAGTTAGTTGAAGCTGCGGGTCGCGACGACGCGACAACTGCGAATGTCAATGCCAATTCGCGAATGCGCGGCCAATAAGGTGGGGCGGTGGTATTATTGAGGGTTAGGGTTGTGTTAGCGAATGTTATGTGCGACTTCAGATTCAGGGGCACAATATCCAAACAAACCCGACGCCGGGAAAATGAAGAAATAGAAAGCTGGGAGCATAGTAAGCAACACAGCACGGCGACAAAATCAATAAACAACACGCAGTATAGCAAGAGACGATTCCTTCCCTAACTGCCTATAAACCAGTTCCACCATCCTTAACGATCAAACTGGTTGTTCCATGATATACTGCCTATGCTCCTCCCGTGCCCGTTTTCAATGATCCATGCCAATGCTTCCCACATCCTCCTCTCTGTGCGTAACCACCCACTTCTCGATGCTGTCCATGCACAACCTACACTCTTGACCCTCCCCCATGCTGCCATGTTCGACAACGGCTTCTTCTCTACCATCTCCCCGTACCGTCTGAATTACCCGACGTTTCCCCGACCACCACCGGCCAACCACCCAACGACGACCATCAGGATAAAACGAAGATCAAAAGACGAAAACTGATAACACAACAAAAACAGAAGCTGAAGAGCAAATCCCCAAATGGGAAGGAAAACATGATACAAGCGAAAGCGAAAAAAGAGCTATTACAAGGGAGTGAAACGCGTTGGTTCACACCAACACAGAAATAAATAAAAAAAATTAAAAAAAAAAAAAATTGAACAAAAACACCAGCAGTAATAAAAGGATTTATATCAAGTTTGGTGATTTGAAAAAAAAGGTGGTTTCAAGCCAAGAAATTTGGGTTGTTGAAGCGCGCCAAAAGCAAAATTCCAAAAAAACATCAACGACAAATACCAAAAAGAATTACAACAAAATACTCAAGAGATTAGATTCCCCATCGTCCTCGGCCCGTCGTCTCCCTCTCTCCCTGCCCTCTCTCTTTCTTCATCTCTCACATCCACCATCCACCCCACTGAGCAACTCCCTCTTAGTTGACAACCTCCTCCTCAACCCATCCATTAAGCCCCCCCTGAATCGCCAACCCAAACCCAGCCCCCATCCCCCCAAAGCTCGCCTGATACTGATGGCCCCGACGCTGCTGCTGATGCTGCTGCGATTGTTGGTGGTGATCCCCATTCGGGACGACACCATTCACATCGCTGCCGTGCAGACTGTTGTTGGGGCTATTCCCGCCGCCATTCTCGAACGGCGCAAACACGGGCAAACTGACGGCACGGCTGTGCGAGGCGCGCGGGTTGCCGGGCGCGAGGAGCCCGCCGATTGTGGTGGCGCCGTTGGTGTTGCCGTTCGCAGCGGAGGAGGAGGGGTAGCCGTTGGAGATGCTGGCGGATTGTTGGTGGTGGTGGTGGCCGGTGGGTGCGCCTTGAGGCACTTCGAGGGTGAGGCCGGCTTCGTTGGGAGATGAGGCGGCTGTGCCGAAAAGGGCAGCTTGTTGGGCAGCGAGGACGTGGTGCTGTTGTTGTTGTTGCTGCTGGGCCTGCTGCGAGACGTGGTTGAGGTACATGGTCAGGGGGTTGCTGGTGGTGTTGAAGAGCGCGGCGGATGGTGCGGATCCACTACCCGTGGGCGAGTTACCGTTCGGGGTAGAGCCGTTGGTAGGCGGGGATGGGACCTGGTCGCCGCGAGGGGACGGCTGCTGCTGCTGTTGCTGCTGAGGCTGTTGCTGCTGCATCTGGCGCGGCGGGTTGCCGCAGCGGTCCTTGCCAAAGTTCACCTTGAACTTGCGGTACTCCTCCTTACCCCGAACCGCCTCGATGGCCTTGATCGCGTTCGCGATGTTAGTGAAGTTGACGAACGCACAGCTCTTCTCGCGCAGGGTGTTAACCAGCTCGATCTCGCCGTATTCGGAAAAGTCCTGGCGCAGCCGCTCCTCGGTCCAGGTCTCATCCAGGTTGCCGATGTACACGTTACGCGACGCGCCACCGCTAACAGCCAGCGCGATCGCCGGCGGGAGAGCGCCCGAGTGCTTACCCCAGCCGATCTTCAAGCGACGGTTGTGGATCATCAGACCCTGCAGGTTGCTGAGCGCGTAGAACGACGCAGCCGCTGTGGGGTCGATAAAGGTCACAAAGCAGATGTGCTTGTCGGGAATGTACCGGATGTGGTGCAGCAGGCCACCGCGGACCACGTTGCAAATCTCCTCAATCGTGGTTTCGGGGTGGATGTTGCCGAGGTAGATGGTCCGGTTGCCCAGGTTGCCGATACCACCAGCCGTCGTAGCCACAGCCGCAGCCGCAACGGACTGCTGCGCCAGGGCGTTCGAGATCAGATCACGATCCGCACCAGTAAGCATGTGGGCGTAGCCGGGGGCGATACCCAAGTACTGCGCAGCGTTCTGCTGCTGGGTCTTGGACACGTAGGCACACCGGTCCTTGCCGTAGTAAACACGGCGAGGGGCCTGCCACTTGGCTTCCTGGGGAAGCTGGGACACGGCCTTGATGGCGTTGGCAATGGAGAGGAAGTGCACAAAGGCAATGTTCTTCTCCCGCACGATCTTCACCGTGTCGATGGCGCCAAACTTGCCCAGGTCCTCCCGCAACTCCTCATCCGAAATGTCCTCAGGCAAGTTGCCGAGGTACACGTTCCGGGATGCACCCGACTGCTGCACGGCCAGGGCAACCGAGGTCGGGACCTGCGACGGCTTGCCCCAGCCAATTTTGATGTCCTGCCCCTTGATGCAGAGCTTTTTCAAGATGGCATCGGAGTGGAAATGCGTGGCGGAGCTGGCGTCCAGGAACGAGATGAAAGCGCAGTTCTTGTCAGGCAGCAGGCGGACCGACTCGATCTGACCGCTGCGCACGTGGCCCAGGATCTCCTCGGCCGTCGTGTCAGGGGGGATGTTGCCCAGGTAGACGGTCCGGCTCGTGCCAGTGACCATCCCAGGCCCCATCGACACGGGAGACGCAGGCTGCATTGGCACCTGCATCTGGGCCCCGACGTTGTTGAACGACCCCGTGGGGGACTGCGGCGCGTAAAACTGCGGCGCGCCGTAGGCCGACGGGGAAACAATCGACTGGTACATCTGGGGGGACATGTTCTGCTGGACCGGGCTGGACGGGCCGTTCGCCTGCTGGAGGCTCTGCTGCTGGGCCTGCTGGAACCCATTGACATTTTGGAAGTGCGGGCTCGCGAAGGCCGCCGGGGTGCCGGGCTGGAACGGGCTGCCGAGGAGCAGCTGAGACGGCAGCAGGGGGGTGAACTGCATGTCAAAAGCCGTACCCGGGGTAGTCATGTCGGCGCCATTGGTCGGGGCCTGGTGGTGGTGCTGCTGCTGGAGCGGCTGGGTGTTAATAGTCGGGATGTTCCCGCGGCGAGGGTGCCTGTCCGCAAACCCAGACACGTTCGAGGTGAACGCGCCGTGGGAGAAGCCGGTGTCGCTGTTGGACGGCTTCGAGGCGTGGCCGAAACGGCCAGCTGTGCTGCCGCTAGCCTGGTGGCCCGACATGTCCTGCATCCCGAGAAGATGCGGAGGGACAAGGCTGTCCCGCGATTGGTGAGAGAGGACTGCCGTTTTGACGGATTCAACGTGCCCAGTCAAAGGCACGGAACGGATACTGCGAGATACGGGGAATTGCAGCGGCGAATGTAAGGGTTTGTCCTGACTCGAAGCAACAACGAAATCACTCGGAAAGCGGTACGGCGTCGTGTTTTCCTCCGTGTAAAACAGTAGCACTCTGTATCAATCGAAATTGGCTCTCACGGTAAGCCTCGTCGGGCAAGTTCGGGACAATGAAGGGCTGTCGAGTATTAAAATGCTATCGGGGATTCGAGCGAGCGGTTCTCGAGCAAGGGCCGAGACGCAAGAGTACGGTAGGTTCGAGTATCGGCGTTAGGTACACGATATTCGGGAATTGGTGCTCCAGGGCTGAGAATCGATATTGTTCGTTCAAAGAACCAGGAGATGCTACCTCGGGGTATCAAAGGAGTACCCAGCCGGCGGATCGCGTGAAACGGGCGAGAGCGCGTTGGTTCCCCCTCCCAACGGCCGGGAAGCAGCAAAAAGAATTAATAGCTATAATGAATGATGGGGATGGGAAGAAAGAAGAAGATCCAAAAGTTGGGATAGGTCGAAAGGTCGAAGGGACAAGCAAGACAAGGAAGCAGGTCCAACGAGTGAGGGTGGGAAAGGGCCAGAGAAAAAGAGCGGAGGGAGAAAAAGGAGGTGAATGAAAGATGGGGACTTCGGCAGGCCAGCCGAATTGGGGTGAATGGAGCTAAAAGTGGTTTTAATTGCAGCGGCCAGGGAACCCCGTGGACGCCCGTTCTTACGCGGTACCTGACAGCAAGGTCCCTTTTTTGTCCCCTGCAGGGGGCAGCCGCGCCCAGAACGTCGGCCATGCGACCTTGCAGCGGGTATCTCTGGGTCGCCTCCAGCCAATCAGCGGCCGTCGTGCGCTTCCAACTTCCCCGTCGCGCCCATCACTTCGACGACACTCTTCGCCAATTTTGTGCTTTGTGCAGCGCTCTCCGCATTTTACGCTGAGCCGTTGGCTCGCTGATGCTGTGCTTGTTCCTGTTCCTGAGCAGTGTGGCAACGCCAAAGGGGGTAAGCCAGCCCTGCGACATGGAAGTTCCAAGATGCGGCCAAGGTCGATTCAACCTCGCTACGAAGTACATCCTTCTCGTCTCCCATAACGTTAGTTTCCGCTGATGAATTCATCAATTTCTCTTTTGACTCGCTGCGCCCAGCCGGCCACCAGGCGGGGCTCAAATGCCCAGGCCGATCGCAAACCCCCCTGCGACAAAATCTCCCGTCAGAAGTGCGTGCATCTTCCCAGCACCCACGCACTGTCCCAGGGACTGTCGTCTTGGATTGTGCAACACACCTCTCCACCAAACACGGCGGCTCTGGGCCCAGGGGCCACACACACACAAACATAGGGGCACAGGGCTGTCATCCTCGTCGTCCCGAGTAACTACAATACAGGAAAATGCATCCAATAATTGATTGGGCCTTGCGTAGAATTGGAGATTGTGTCCCCTCACCTTGTTTCCCTTTGTCACTCGCTCGCTTCTCTTCGTTACTCTCCCATTTCCTCCGGCTGTGTAGCAGACCGCTGCTCACTGTTACCCCCAGGGGCCGGCCATGTTGTTCGCGTCACTCTCCTGTTTAACCGTGTCAATTTCCGATTGGGTGTGGGTTGCAGTGCACATCGCAGATGAGAGAGCGCCACGGATTGCGGTGAGAAGCCAAGCAAGCAGGCAGGTGGGTTTTGTGGGTGATGAGTTTGTGGTGGGTGTGTGCAACAAAGCCCGGGAATTCGGACGGACAATATCAAAGAAATCATCGAGGCACGCGGTACAACAACGGAACATGGTGGACAGGTAACTATCTGTGCCGTTGGAGCGATTGACTATACTCGATGAAGACAAAGCACAGTACAGATTCTCGATCCTGTCCATTACCGTCCGGCATACACTAGTTACCTCGACATCTGGGGAAAGGAAGATATGCTCCAGGGATTGACGGCCCCCTTGACAGCCTCGCCCGAGTTCCAGACCGCTCTCCAGTGTCAACACCTGGCCAATTCCTCCTTCTCGCATCGTTTCCAGATCCTAGCATCAATCAGATTTAGGCGTGGAAATCTCCCTGCTTGTGAATGCCAACTTCGGCAAGACATTCCCAAACCGCGCTACGAGAGTTTCAACGTAAAAATAGGATGGAATTCATTCCTCTCGCCCTTGGCTGTATGAAACCAAGGCTGGTGAGCAACTCCCTGCACTAATCCGCACTGTGCTCCCGGCTCGGTGTCCAACATCCCAGAGCCGAGATCCTCGTCTCAGATCAGGCGACTACACCGTAATAACCACCATAACTAGTTAATTCACAGGCGGTTAACTTGGGCTCGTGGGACGACTGTAATTCTTTTTTTTTCCTTTCCCTCCCTTCCTCGTGAACAAAGGAAAATGATTGCAACCGCGAAGCGCCTGTCCCACCAATTCCGTTCCTCTCCATTCCACCTCCGGTTGTCAACGGTTGGCATTCCACACAGTGTGCATTCCAAACATTATCTTTCCTCAACCCCTTAGCTCCATCGCGGTCAGGCCCCAACCACACAACTGCCGCAGCCTAAGGCCTGGCCTGATGGCTCAGAACGCAGGGGGGAAGAGACAGCGCCAAGAAAGGCGTGATAGCTTCGCCTTGATCACTGTGGAGGAGTGCTGTCTCAATACCCTTGAGATTACCCCAAGCCTCGATGGGGGCGAAGGAAGAGACCCAGCTGGTCTGTGTGGATATTAACAAGAACAGATGAAACCAAAACAGACTCTCGACATTCAAATTTCTGAGTCGAACATAGCCCAGGCCAGGACAAAACGATCCTATCTTATCACAATACAGTCATAACCCAATACGGTGAACGAATAATCTTTACCCGCCCTCTAGTCTTTACCGTCGGACGCAACCAGCGCAATGCTGAGATTGCCAAGATCTCAGATATGTCCCAGCTGCTTTGGTCCAATGCTTGTCAAAACACCACGGACGAAGCCGGCCAGTCCTCACCTCACCCTTCCTTCCATGCTCCTTCCCGTCCTTCGGTAATCATCCCGGACCAACCTAAAACCCATCTCCTCCAAAGAACCCACCGAGAATGGACGATAAATCATAAACAACAGGGCTGAATCGGGAATACCGGTGCATATGTGGGGATAACGTTAAAGTTAGCTAGTGCCCGCCTGCAACCCCTCGTCTCACCAAAACACGAAGGAAGCAAAAGAAGGAACACCAAAAACCCGACAACCCGGCTCAACCGTCCCTAAAACAGAGTAAACAAACGGGTGGGATCGCACACAAAAATGGCTCACACGGTGAGAAATTCGACGAACAAATCAAAGTTCCTGGACTGCAGACCGCCAGACATTCAGACTGCAAGGCCGCAAGTCGCAGCCGCAACCCGCCGCCCGCAAATCTCCCACTATTCCACAACCACGCCGCACACTTGGCGAAGCTGGGTTCGCTGCTGCGTCTCGTTTTCCTCTTTTTGCGCAGAATCAACAACTAGTTATCATCAAGCAAGTATCAATTTGAGCTAGGGACTGAGGAGCCTACTTTCGGGACCTCGAAACTCCACCATCTGCTTACCGATTTGAGGAAAAGGTGGTGGATTTCTCATCCTTTCGAACAATGTCCCCGTAAACAAACTACGAGTAGTAAGACTCCAAGGGAAAAAACATCGTCTCTGCCGCACGTGTCGAAACAAAACAATGCGCCCCCTCGTGGGGACAGGACTCAGCCTCATCGTAACTCGGGGAAAGCGATAATAACAACAGAGTAAACAACTGCAAGAGCAACAACAACCGGCATCCCCATCCGGTCATGTCAATATTCTCGGTTTATTTAGCATTTCCATCCCCACTACCTACTCCCGTGCCATTTAAAAGAGGCAACAGCGTTTTCGAGGGACAACAAAAACGACCTGCTCAAACATCTCAAACAGAGCAGCTCAAAATGCACACAAGCATACGCTTCGGAAGCAGCAAGCAAGCAGGAAGCAAAGATCTTGTCTATAAGCTTGATATCTTTCTCCCCTATTCTCCCAACACCATACAGAGACTTTCCCCCTCGCCTTAGAAGCCCTCCTGCCTCTCCTTAAGGCTTGCATCGCCCCATAAAACGCGAATACAAACTGCATGTCCGGACGGTGTGCTGGTTAGCCAGCCAGGCTAGGAACCGTTCTAGACCGAGACCGTAGCCGCCGTGCGGCGATGAGCCATACCTGAGAAACGGGGTGTGTCAGTTGCTTTACTCTTGGGTGAAATATATAGGGCAGCGTCTTTGTGGACGGGTTATGCGAGAGGAGAGACAATGGAGAACGTACTTCCGCTGGTCAGTGTACCAGTAGTACGGCTCGTGCGGGATGCCGTTCTTCTTATACGCCTCGATGAGCTCGTCGTAGTTATCCATTCTCATGGAACCACCGACGATCTCGCCGACTCCGGGCACTGCAGAGAGAAGTAAAAGGTTAGCAGTCTGCTTTCTGTCCTACTAAACCAAATCGATCTGATCGGACAAAAGAGCTGGGGAAATGGACATACTCAGCACATCAACCGACTCGGTCACCCGCAAATCCTGCGGGTCCTTCTTCATGTAAAACGCCTTGATCTCCACTGGGAAGTGCGTCAGGAGAATAGGCCGGTTGATGATGTCGGTCATGCGGCGCTCCGCGGCCTCGGCGATATCATCACCAAACACGTGCGGGTTGCCCTCCTCGTTGGGGATGGGCGGGTCCTGCTTGTTCAGCCACTCGATGGCGTCCTCGTACTTCATGCGCATGAAGGGCCGCGTCGGCTTTTGGAAATCCGGGTTGAGCGCCTTCACGTAACGGCTCATTGTCTCGTCTGCTAGCACCTTGTCGACGACGCGCGAGACCATCTCTTCGATATGGTCGAGCAGGTCGTTGAAGTCGATGAAGTCTAACTCGGCCTCGACGTGGGTGTACTGATACCATTGTTAATAATCCCCCTCAACTAGCTCAACCATAACCGCCCAATCAGTACCGAGATAGAGAGAAAATAAACCTACCTCGGAAAGATGACGCCTCGTCAAGCTCTTCTCTGCGCGGAACGACTTCTCAATGCAGTACACGTTGCCCAGCGACTGCATGACCGTCTCAAGATACAGCTGGCTGGACTGCGTTAGGTAGGCCTCCTCGCCGTAGTAATCATACTTGAAGAGCGTCGAACCACCCTCAACCTGAGTCTGCACCATAGCCGGCGGCGAAACCTTCCGGAAATCAAGCTCGCGGAAGCTATCGATAAACGCCAACTCAACAAACTCCCGCAGCTTCATAACCGACGACGCGTTCTCGCCACGCAGCACCAGGTGGCGGTTATCCAGCATCTGAGCATCCCACGGGTCCTGCTGCATCGACACGCGGTTGGTGATCGCATCCAAATCACTCGGCGCGGCGCCCAGCACCTGGTAGTAGTCGACGTGCAGCTCACGGTTGTCGGGAGCTTTGAAACCCTCAGGGACCGCGCGTATCTCGCCGTACAGCACCAGCGCCGTCTCCAGCGCAAACATCAGCGCGTCATAGTTCTTGGTCAAGTCACCCGCCGGCAGGATGCAGGACAGGTACCCGTACCCATCCTTGAGCGTAATAAACGTCGTGGTCTTCTGCACGCGCAGCTCATGGATACGCCCATACACCTTCACACGGGTTCCCTTCTTCTCCTTCCCATCGCCCAACTCAACCTTCTTGTTGTTAATCTTGATCCGCACCGCAGCCGGCAGCGAGTCATCCTCCTTCAACACGATCTTCTTCGCATCCTCCAGGTTCTTCAGCCGCTGCTTGCGCTCGTCCTCCTCCTGCTTAGCCGACGCCTGCTCCTTGGCCAGCTTCTTCTTGTACGCGTCGACGCGGCCGACAGCCTTCTTCATGGCGCTCTTGGCCGGCTCTTCCCACTCGGCGGCTGGTGGTGCTGTGGCGGGGGCGCCATCCTTGTCCTTCGCGGCGGCGGCGGCAGGGCGGGTGAGGTAGGTGACGTCCTTGTTGTCGAGGTTCTGCACGAGGGCGTGGTAGAGGGATTGGTAGGGCTTGGCCTCGGAACCGTCCGCGGAGGCGTCGTCTTTGCCGGCGGTTGGGTCAATGTAGCATTTTGACTTGGTGCGGTCGGCGAGGTCGGCCATGTTTTGTTGTGGGGGAACACCGGGTGGGTGCTGGCGCGGTCAATCGCAGGTTTGGGGTTGACTGGCTTTACTTTTTGTTTTTGTTGTCCTCTTTTTTTTTTCTCCTTTACCTTTTTTCACTGGCTGCGAGAAACGAGGGTGAGGGGTCGAGGTTGGTCTTGTGTGTGAGTCGTCGAGAAGGATGGTGGGGTTGAAGGGTCCGGGGTTGAAGAAAAGTTGGCGGGGCAAATTCGGGGCAAGCAGTTCCCTTTCTACAGCGGGCTTTTGATGCCCGAAACACCAACCACAATGACTCACCTCTAGTGCTCCAGTGCCATTTCCCCTTTTTTTTCTCAAACTGTACCTTGAACGATAAGGATGTAATGTACCCCTTGTCCCGGTACAACGGGTCTGCAGGCCCGCATGATCTGGACTGGCCACCTGGAACAAACCAATGGCGATCAGGGGCGATCTCGAAATGTTGTTCCCGGAGAAGCTTCCGCCGTGTTCCTGTGCTGAGTTGAAGAGGATAGGAAAATACTTGGAAATATGCGAAGGCCGACCCTTCCTGCGCATACCGGAGGTTTTAGACACCAATACACAGTTTTCATCACCTCGAACTTCAAATAATTCATGTACCCATCCCAAGTCATTCTCCTCGGTCCATGTATGGCAAGTGACAATTGTAGCCTTGTCGATCATGGACCCGACTATGCGCCTTGTTGCTCCTCTTATCAGCCACCACCTTAGTGCCGTCTCAGATAACATCAGATACGTTACAAAGTTTCGCAGACACAGTGACTCCTTCTCCCGGGCATTACCTAACGCGACCCTCAATTGATATTTTTAGGCCTCTGCTAAGTAAACCCCTTGCGTTGGTTGATATGAGATTTGAACTCAATTGGTGTCCTTTGTTTTGTTTCATAGTACGAAGGTAGAGAGAAGCTTATCTATGACAATGTTGTCTTATCTTGGAGAGCGACTATGGGCTGTAAAACAACAGAGGCCAATTGATGTTGCCCGAGGTCCACGCTAACGTGAACTATTTGCTTGCCTCCAAACAGCTGGGTCTGTTCTAGTATGCTGTTCACCTAGCCACCGATTTGCCAATATCTCACCTATCTCTCACCGAGCAATCAACTCAAATGACAACCCAAACATGCAAGACAACCAGTAAACGAAATCTCAAGTTCAATTGCCTAAGCTCCGGTCGCCGTACCGTACTGTCTGTCCTATTCAAACGGAAAAAATCTGATAACCCCCCCCCCCCCCCCCCCCCACCCAACCCAAGCCAAACCAGTAATTATCCCGCTTTTGTTTATCTTAAATCTTGCCCATCCGCTACCCGGCCGACGGGAAAGGGGGGAGAAAGAACCGTTAGGAGAGGGAGTAAGAGGAGGTTGAGGTGAGGAATCCCGGAAATCAACCTCCCAAGAGAATGCAGGGGTGGCTTTGAACTTGAGCTGAGCCCTTCCCCTTCCCCTCCTTTTCCTTCTCCCGCTGCATGTTGACGAGAAACGTCGTTTGGCAAATCCCAGATTGCAGCACCGTATCCCCCCATTTTCGAAAATAAGCATGCGCCGAAGCCCTGCTGTCAGGCCCGGGTATAATGCTGCTCATAGGTTTCTAACCTGTGACGCAGACGGTGGAGATGACAGCGATTAAAAACGGGCATGGGCAAGCAGATGCGCCTTTAAGGGTCTTTCCCTCCAAACTCCCCTTGTCCCCTCCCCCCTAGGCTGCGCATCATTGGTTGTCCCAGTCTATGGGGGCGACGGTTGTGTGTGGGATGGGCTAGATAGATCAAACTTGAGTGGGTTCATAGGTAGTTGTCCAGATTCCTTCTTGTTATCTGATCATGAGCCGGTCTCCCCACGCTAATTGGGGCCCGATCTCGACAACTACAAATGGCATATCCCGAAATGCCCGATTAAAGAATCTTGCATTTATGTTTGTTGCCCTTGCTGTTCTTCGGCGGGGGTGGTTCAAGTGCCGCAACAATAGCCTGGGAGGGGTCAGTCTCGTGCGAGTGGAAAACAGCAAAAGCTTGGCCCGGGACAATCTAGCATCGGTTGCCCTGGGGGATTGCGCAAGCAGAAAACTCACCTCATCAAACACATCCTTGAGCTTGTACTGCGTCAGAGCACTGCACTCGACGTATTTGACCGCGCCCAATTCCTTCGCCATTCTCTCACCGTCCTCCCTCTTTACCGGTACCATCCTCTGGCCAGCCAGCTTCTTTACCACCTGTTGATCCTCCCGCAAATCTACCTGCGTGCCTACGATCAGGCACGGCACGCCGGGGCAGTGGTGATGCACCTCGGGGAACCACTTTTCACGGACGTTTTCGAACGAGGCAGGCGATGTGACGCTGAAGCAGACGAGGAAGACGTCGGTCTGGGGGTACGAGAGTGGCCGCAGGCGGTCGTAATCTTCTTGTCCTGCGGTATCGAAAAGTCCCAGCGTGTAGGGTTCGTCACCGATCCTAGAAGAAGCATTCCGTTTAGCTGTGCTACCGGGGAGTGGAAGTTGCGATGGAGGGCAACGCAGCGCGCGCTGGCAGGGCAGGGCAGGGAGCCGGAAGAGCATACATAACCGTGACGGCATAGTTGTCGAAGACGGTCGGAACGTATTCCGATGGGAACTTGTTTGTCGTGTAGCTGATGAGGAGACATGTCTTGCCGACCGCACCGTCGCCGACGACCACGCACCTAGATAACAGCCAATTAGTAAGTGCCAAAGCTCGGCATGGAAAAAGTAAGACGCTAAATGGGGTACGGCAGCCGGCGCGACGAGCCTGCGAGCGCGTCTAATTGAGGCGGCATCTCCCGAGTAACGCGATAACCGCGAGGAAGAAGGTAGCTGCTGCCATATGCGTGCAAACGACCGCCATGCAACGTCATGAGCAGGAGCAGGATAGGCGGAGATATACATACTTGATAGTTCCAAGTACCATTTTTGGAGAACGGGGAGTGCGCTCCGGGGTTGGGGAGCACGTTGTGTGTGTGGTTGGTTGCCGATGACTACCCGAGTAGCCTAGGGTTGATCGCTCGTCAAACCGCCTTTAACAAAGGACGTCTTGCAATTCAACGGCTTCGTCCCCTTATCGCGCTCTGCAGACCACCGGCAAGGAATCCGAGAGTGCGCAAGATGGCGTGTGGAGTCGAGAAGCGAGGGAGAGGGATGGAGAAGGTGGGAGAGAGAGAAGAGGATGGGACGGTCTTTTTGTTTCGGCGGTGGGAGAGGCGATGACGAATGAAGTGGTCGATGTTTCGAGGCAAGCCTCTTCGCTGGAAATGATGGGGGGCTAGGACCGGCCGTTTTTGCACGGGCAAAGGAGTGCGCCGTGGGGTGGGGGAGGGAAAGTTGACGTCGATTCGGATGAAGCAGTAAAGAAGTGGTCCAGCGCGGGGGGAGGTAGCGGGTGCAGTTGAGAGCAGGGCAGCAATTGAATGGGGAAAAAGGAGATGAGCTCGGGTCGCGAATGAAAGGGGACCGGAGCTGGAGGTTTTGATGCGAAGTATGCAAGCAGCAGCCTCGTAAGATTACGGGGGCAGCTTGCAGAAACCAGGCAGGGCCTGGCGTGCTGGGGAGAATTGGGGGTGGATGGGCCAGGCGAGCGGTCAGTGGTGGCTCTGGCCGGGGGGGGTCCTGTGCACTGGGGCCAAGCAAAGCCAGATTCGGTTGGGCCTTCCGCGCAACCTGTGATAACGAGCACAACTTCCAATCGCTTCAGGTGGCAGACAGCCGGGGAAGCCCGCCAGCTGCGCTAACCCACTTCAGTACGTAAACCCGTTTTTTCCGCTTTGTGGAAACAAGCTCGAGATCGGGAGAAAAAACAGTTTGGACGGAGCAAAGAGCACAATCGGCCCTCATCTCATGATCATGGAATTGACCGTATGCAGGGTCGGTCCTGAATAGAGAAAATTAACCCGCCCCCATTATATCATTCGGTTCCAACCCATCACTATCAACGTTGCGATCATGTGTTTTCTCCCGCCCGCGGGTTCTCTCTGTTGGCGCATGTTGCGCGGCGGCTGAGGTTGACTGGCAGGCACATGGCTGGCTGGCGGGCAGGTGGGCCACCGTCCATTGTGCTGCAGAAAGGCAGACGGCTGCATTGGTTGGCTTCTGGAAAACGCAAAGCTGGCAAATGCTGTGCAACAGAAGCGCCGGCCGTCCTCCGTCACTCCAATCCCAAAGCTTGCCCGCGGCCGGCCATGGCCCTTTTGGTCTGGAGAACACGTCGACAGCATGAACGCCCGCCGCAATTGTCTAACTATTGCTCCTTTGCCGAGACATCGCAAACTACCCACCACCTTCCCCCCCGCGGCAAAGCCCATTCAGATAACGCTAATACGACAAATCGACCCAACGACGACAAAGTCCACTAAGCCGCCCCGCATCGCGTCTGAGGTCGAGCCGTAACCGGTCTCAAATCGACCTCACGTCAGGCGGTGGATGATGGCTTCGCGAGGAGCCCGGTTCGGCGACATCGCAGCGGCAGGCAAGGGCTCGCATAACAGAACGCGGGGCCTTCCGGTCTTCATGACCAAAAGCCATATGCCGGACTGGGAAAAGATGAGCCTGCGGGGCCGACTCGCTGCGGCATTGGGCCCACGATATCCTGGCGACACCCTGCGAAAGCACGGCCTGGGTCCTTTGACATGCACTGGTGTCCGACTTCTGCGTCAAACTGATCCGACTTGGGCCGAATAATAGGCACCTCGGTTTGTCGAGGACCTAGTGTACTGCATACCTACCCACTACGCAGGAGGTAATAATTTGAGCTTCCCCGGGCGCGGGCAACCTGCAGCGCGTTATTACTGGAAAACAAGGTTTGGTCTTGGCAAGGGACCTTTGTGCAATGGCCCGCGACCGAAGATAGGTGGGGCCTAGTGTGTGAGAGTCCAGTTGGGGGTTTGTTTGGTGTTTGCTACCACAGGACTTCAATTCCTGCTGCTCTTGCCCGGCGGTCAACGACACATGGCCCCGGGGTAATATGCGGGTGATTTTCGATCCACGGATGGCGGAATAAGTCTTGCGCGATGCAAATCCGCGGGCCAGAGAGATGTCACCGCTTGGACTTGCCCACCCATGTTCGAGTGCTGGGCGGTAACGTTAACGTCAATTGGAGGCGCAGCCCAAACGGGCAAGTGGAAATTTTCGGGCAACTGGCCCGTCAAATCGCGGAAGACGGAGTCCAAGCGATCCTGGAATTTGGGGGTACGAATTTACTCGTACTGTAACTAATGACCTCGGTTTGTGTCGTACTCTGCTCGCTCATTGGCCTCATTAGCACAATTGACGAGATAATCGCTCTCAGCGCATTTTAGAAGAGAGAATATACTACCTAATTATGTAGTCAACGTTAACCCGTCTCTGCAGGAAGAAGGAAGCTCCTCTGCAGACGGAGTGGGGCTTGCACAGATAACAGACCAACCAACATCGAATCCTCACGCACCCATTTCGCTCCCGTCAGCCTCGACTCACTTGATTCAACGTCACTCTATCAAGTTACATCAAGAGCTCATATTCCCTTACACTAACTATCATCACTTCACGCCATAAACACCAGTCCCCTGTACTCAACCCATCTGTATCAAGCTCGACCATGTCTCTCAACCCTAACCCCCACTCACCACCCACCACCAACTCCCCCCCAACAACATCAACATCAACACCCCCAAAACAACAAGACCCCCCACCCCCCTCCCAAATCGACACCCTCCTCCAGCACTACCTCACCCTCCTAGACGCCTACACCACCCAGCGCGCGGCGCTCCACACCCAGCAAACAGCTCTCTTCCAGAACCTAGCGCGGGCTAACTCGCTTGAGGCAGGCCGCGGCGTGGGACGGTATGGGCAGGATTGGTATGACGGGCGGATGCAGGCTGGGAGGCGGGTGAGGATAGGATTGGGAGGGGAGGGTGAGAGTGGGGAAGGGGAAGGGGAAGAGAGAGGTGATGAGAAGCAGGGAGGTGGGAGTAGTAGAGAGGCAGCGGTGTTTACTGTGGAGGTGTACCCCAAACAGCCAAGTGAGGAGGAAAAGCCAGTAAAGGACCAGGAAGAAGAACCTGACGCCTTGACTACAACGGAAAACCAGGAAAGCAACGGCAGCGACGCCAATAGCACCCCCTCTCAACCTCCCCAAGACCCCCAACAACCCAACCCCCAACAACCGAACCCCAAAACCGCAGCCCACCAAACCCCCCAAACCAACCAAACCCCCAAAGCCGAAGCAGAAAATGCGCCCAAAGACCCCCTCAAATGGTTCGGCATCCTAACCCCCCTCCCGCTCCGCCAAGCCCAATCCCATGCCATCACCGCAGTCGAGGATATCATCCCCCGTCTATCCACACTCAGCGCCGAGATGGCGGCTGTTGAGCTGGAAGTGCGAAGGGCGCGGAAGAGGAGGGTGAAGGCTGAGAAGGTTGCAGGAGTAGAGAAGGCGACTGCGAACGCGGAAAGGGGGAAGGCGGAGGAGGGGGTGAGAACGAGAGAGGGACGAGATGGGGGTTTGGCTGAAGGGGAGGTTGGGGAAAAGGAAACGGCGGTAATTGAGTTGAGGGAGAAGTTGGAGAAGGTGGATGTGACGGCTTAGACACCCATAGTTACTGCATCTTGGGGAGTGGTGGCCTCTATCTCTGCGCACATGTACATATCACATCGCAAATAAAAAAGACCGTGTCTCGAACCATTCTATTCACCACGAGTCCCCAGACTCCCATTACCCCCCACCTCATGAAATTTAACGTTTCCCCTTCACCCCATTCATTATCCGCCCCCAATTTTCGTCTTCGTGTCCCGTTCTAACCCGCTGTCCAAGCCGTACAGTTCTAGAACAGGCTATTTAAAGAAAAAACAAAGCCGGAAAAAAAGGAGAGGAGAAAAAGAAAAAAAGAGAGGAGAGATCGATCGTCAAGGCTCGCCTGCCCGCCTCGCCTGCTTTTGTTCGTAACGTAAAACCCCATCCGAATCATCCGTAACGTCATTACCCCCCGTCCCGAATCTCCCAGCTAACTCTTCCAGCCCAACTCAACTCAGTAAAGGGCTTGAAAAACGTAGGGAAACGCAAAGATCTATGTATCCCGGAAAATGACCTCCTTCCTCCCTCGATGTGATCCTTGGAATCAGTGACCCGCCCACTCCGGCTCGCCGGTCGGCAGGGCAGGTTGGTCGCGGTTCATACGGCACTGCTGCTTCCAGTTGGTCGGCGTGAACTTGTCAACGACGGCTTTGAACGCGGCCTAAAAAAACGCAAACATATGGTCAGTCATACCGAATCTCTACTACATCATTTCCGGCCTGGCAAACTCACCAAAGTGCAAAACGACTCGTCACCCTCAAGATGATTCCCTGGCAACCGGCAAGCAGGCACCGTGACGGGCTCATCATTGTAACGGATCCGCACATAGTACCCATCCAGCTTGCTCTTCTCGTCGGCAGTCAACTCCGCAGTCGGGCGCCGTCTGATCCCGGCCGGCGCAGCACTAGACCCAAACACCGAGCTGAAGAAGCCGCCGCCGCCGCTCTTGCGCGCGGGGTCTTGTTGCGGCAGAGGCTCGGGAAGCTTGGCATCGCGGAACATCTCGATCGCGACATGGCTGGTGAAAGGCGGCCACTTGTTCGTTTCGTACGCTCCCAGGCTCGCCAGCACGCCGGCAAGCGTGGTATCGTGGCACCCGCTCAGGCCGAAACGGATGCGCCCGCTGTGGTCTTCCTGTCCGGAGCGCTTGAGCAGGGTGTTGGCTCCATCTTGTGTGGTCGGCTGCTCGATGCTGCCTACCATGCGGCCGACGATGTCCCCCATCAGGGCTCCTATGCCCAGCGTGCGGTACTCCTTCGACTCCTTGAAACCGTCAAACCACTCCTCGACGCTGATGTTCTCCATGATGGCGCGTGCCTTGGCGTCGTAGAACTCCTTGGGCAACTTTGTGGCCGGCCCGTGGGCGTCGGTCGCGTTGACGGTGTCCATGATACCCGATAGGCGAGGATGCGAGTCTACGGCGACCTTGGAGCCGGCGGCCATCCACTTGCCGTAGACCTTCTGGAGGTACTCCATGTCAGGCGTGTTGTTCCAGCGGTCGGCGGCCCGGTCGGCGAAAGCCCGCGACAGAGCGGCAAACCGACGGCAGTTGCCCTCGTTGGGGTAGAGGGTTTCGTCGTTGGGCACGCGGGCCAGGATCGTAGGGGCCGGAAATTTCCCGTCCGGGCCGGGGGCGCGGGCCGAGGGTGGGTACAGGGCCGAGAATGTTTGGTGCAGAGACTCGAGGGCGCGCGGCACCGGGGTAGAGCGCAAGTACATGAAATCGGCCGAGGTGATGGTGGCCGGGAGGAACCCCAGACGGTCGACATAGTGCTGGCGCAGGCGCAGGCCTAGCTTGTAAGTGCTCTGGCGGCCGAGATCGGTCAGACTGCCCATGTCACAGACATCGTCGAGTTCGCCCTTGGGACCACCGGCAACCACGGGCTCGTCGTTGGGACCGAACGTCTCCAGACGGCGGCGCCACTCCAGGACATCGAATGCGCCGTCGGTTGTGCTATTTGTCGACGCCAGGACGGCCGAACGCATCTGACGCACGCTCGCACAGTAGGGCCACCATTGGCGCAGACCGGCGTTCTGGAAGCGAGCTGACACGGGGGTGCGCTCGCCATGACGCATCAACACCTGTACCAGGTGCAGCTGCAGGTTCTTGGGGTAGAGCTTCCGCAGCTCGTCGTCCGTGTAGGGGGTGCGGGGGACGAGGGTCGTCATGGTGTGTGAGAGAGAGAAGTCGGGGAATATGCGAGTGAGCCGGAATAATATCTACTGTGGTAATTACCCACACAATGGATGCTGCAGGTTGGGCGGCCCGTGAAGGAGATGGAGGGTCGCGTCCCGACGGCGGGGCTAGTATGGATGGTGGATGGGTGGCCGGAGGATGAAATTGGTATGAATTGGGCCTCAGTTCATTTTGGAAAGTCGAGAATCGAAGCACATCGGCCGGTCGGTCTAAATACCCACGAATTGGGGAGGGGCAGCCTAGACAGCGTCATGAGATCGGATGGACCCAGTGTGAGTGGGCAAGGTCCCCCTACCGCTCCTTCCATCTTGCTCTCTCAAACCGGGCGGATATCGGCGGTGTAACGATGAGTCTTCCGGAGTCGGGCAACCTGAGAGGGTTCGAAGGAGCATGGATTGGATCGTGAAAGAGAAAACAAAGGTCCAAGCAAGCCAAGGCAATCGGAGCTCCCCAGTCCAGAGGGTCCGACAGGGCACTTGGTGGGGCAGCCACAGGGGTGAGAGGGGCCAGTGTGCAAAGGTCCAGGGCCCCACGCGCTCCCAGCTCGATTGGTGACTGGGCTCCAATTGAGATTTCTGGACGGGAACATTTCTACACCACCGAGAACCCCACGCAACACCACGCAATACCGGGCAACACGGCACCACGCAGTGCGACACTCGAGTTGCCGCGAGTAGCTAGACCTGAGCCGAACCCACGGGGCGACGTGTCCGCGGATTGTCGGGTGTTGATGGCAGGATGCTGTCCTGGAATGCCTTGATCCACGAGCCCGACTCTTCGACGACGACGACGACGACGACAACAACGATCAAAATTTAGGACGAGAGGCACGGCCCACGCAACCGCAACAAACATGGCCGATCTTGGGAGGTTCGGGGCCGCCGGCCGCATGTGCTTGCGGTGTCAACTCCAGGCTTTCGTCGCAACTCATGCTCGATCTCGTCGTGGTATCTCCAGCTCGAGCAACGCTGCTACCGTTGAGGCCCAGGGTAAAGCCGAGATGGGACAAACGGTGCCACAAGACGAGATCCCAGTTGCGCCTTTACATTCGACCCCGACATTCGACCGATACCGTCCCCCCCAACGCTCCGTTTCAGGCAACCGGAAGGCCTCTGTCGCCATGTTCCAGAGCATCGTCCAGAAACAAGCCGGGACATCCACCGGCCCCGGGGACTCGATAAAGGGATCTACTAGTATAGAGATTGTGAAGGACGTTGCTCGGCTTCAGGCCATGCTGGAGAAGGAGGGTGCTACTCTGGCCGAAGCATACGCATTCTTTACGGAGACCGTCTACCCGCAGATGACCAAGGACCTTACCGGGATCCCGCAAATCGTCAGGAACCAGATTGGTGTCGTTCTCCTGGACCCCCTGGCCGAGGAGAAGGCGAGGGATTTCGACTCGGACCAGCTGCCGAGCGTCGCCCGCATCACAGAGATCATGATCGAGCTGGATGTCCTTCGGCCGTCCCAGTGGGCCACGCTCGTGATCTCGCTGGTCCAGCATATCTACGGGCAGAAGACGGTCCCCGAGGCCACCGGGTCTCTCGTGGAGTACGAGAATGCAATGGCGCGGCGGGATTCGCTTGTCTATGATTTGCTTGGGGCCTGGCGGGCGTTCTGCGCACAGAGTCCCTCCTTGGACAACCCAATGCCTGAGACCGCGGCCCCGAACCTGGACCAAGCCAGACCTAGGCCATCCTACGCAGGGGGGAAGTACCCACGACAACAACAATACCAGCAGCAACACCAGCAACAACAACAGCAAAAGCCCTCGCTTGAAACAGTGTTCGGGGCCATGTTCCCCCAGTACATGATCCCGTCCTTGTCACGGCCCACCTTTGCCGCCTTCGCAACCTTCCGGCTGCTGACGGATACGTTCAACCGCTCTCGCGCGGTCCGGAACGACGCTGCGCCTTTCCTTCAGCTGATGCAAGGGCTCCTTTTGAAATCCGACCGGATCCGTCAGAAAGACTTTCGGCCCATCTTCGACACGTTCCCAGACCTCCCCAAGTTTATATGGCCCCAACAAGACCGTGCGGCTACCGCCTTCCTCGACCCGGCGTCTGGGCCGGCAGGGGATGCACCGGGCCTGATAGACCGGGACATCCATCGGCAGCTTGGTGAGGCCGTCAAGAGCATGAACCTGAACATGGTGAAGCGAGCTTGGCTAGGCTTCTGGGGCGAGGCGGCGACCCCGAGTGACGATCGGATTCGCGAACTGACCCAGCAGCCTAACATGTTCAACTACTTCATCCTGGCCTACAGCATGATGCGGCAGCCGCAGTTAGCGATCGATGTGTGGAACAACATGGAGCAGATCGGCATAGCGCCCACGGTCAAGACCTGGACCGCCATGCTGCAAGGTTTCGCCAAGGCCAAGAACCCGCGCGGCATCGAAACCATCTGGGAGAAGCTGCTGGCCTCGCGCACCCAGCTGGACACGGCGGTCTGGACGGCCCGCATCAGCGGCCTCTTCATGTGCAACGAGCCCGATGCCGGCATTCGGGCCCTTAGCCAGATGGCCGACTACTGGCAAGCCCGTGCCGACCCCCAGTACGCGCCCGCGGCCGTCCAGCTCTCTGCCGAGCCCGTGAACGCCGCGCTCGCCGGCCTCCTCCGCGCCAAACGCAAACGGGACGCTCCCAAGCTCCTCGCCTGGGCCGCCGCGCAAGGCGTCAACCCAGACGTCTACACCTTCAACACCCTCCTCCGCCCCCTCGTCCTGCGCGGCGACATCGCCGGCATCGACGAAATCTTCTCCATCATGCGCAGCATCGACCTCCAGGCCGACACCGCCACCTTCACCGTCCTCCTCGACGCGGCCCTCAGCCGCATCGGCGACCTCCCCCCCGCCCAGCAAATCGCCATCGTCGAGCGCGTCTTCGCCGCCATGACCGCCTCCAACATCGACATCAACATGCAAGTCTACGCCCGCGTCGTCCACCTCCTCCTCGTCGAAGGCGACCGCGCCGAAGAGCCCGTCAAGGCGGTCCTCGCCCACATCTGGAACCGCGGCCTCGAACTCACCTCCCACATCTACACCATGCTCGCCGAGCACTACTTCGCCCGCGACCCCCCCAACACCGACGCCGTCGCCGCCCTCATCGAAAACCGCCGCCTGCACCGCAACAAGGGCGTCGACCGCATCTTTTGGGAACGTGTCATCTGCGGCTACAGCGAGGCCGGCGAACTCCCCCGCGCCCTGGAGATATTCGACCGCGCCTTTGCCAGCGGCACCCCGATGTCGCTACCTACGCTGCATGTGCTGTTGGCGGCGGTGCTGGCGGCCGGGGACGGGCCGACGGCGGAGCGCGTGGTCGAGGCTGCGCGCAAGCTTGGGAGTGTGGGCGGGACGGATCATCAGAGTGGGCCGTCGGGGGATAGGATTTGGAAGCATCGGTTTTGGCATCTGGCGAATCAGTATGGGCTGTTGAGCCCGCTTTTGGTGCGCCGGTTCCGCGCGGCGAATGATTTGGGGGATGAGAGGAGGTGAAATAGAGGCAGGGTTGGATATATCTTCTTGTCAGTTCGTATGCTGCGGGGGATGTCGCCAGGGAGATGTTTCCATCGTGGTGCTAAGCACGTTGCAGCGGTATTCTCGGTTCCGTACAATTCCATCGCGGCAGTACTAGATCTAGAAAATCACAAAACCAATGATAGAAAAAGGTGGGACAACGTCACGATACAGTCTCGAAATGTACTCAGATGAAACAAAAGAAAATCAATTGCAGGTTGTAACTCTAATGGTATAGACAAGGATGCTTTCCCTGAAGTATGTTTTGCATTTCACATGGTGTATCCCGCCGAATCCCAATCCAAAGGTCGCCCCGCAACACCCTCCTGGCCTGCGAACCCCTTGCCAAGAAAAAGGGGGCAAAGTAAACAAACCGATCCTGCTCTCCGCCTCACATCGCGCAAGGCCGCGCTACGACCTGCTGGAGTGTCTACCGATAGGACGATTCTTAGACATCTTTTGTGGTCAAAGATTCGTGGCAATACACTGAATAGGAAGAAGAAGGCGAGTTGCTCAAAACGGCGATAGAAAGAGGTGTGGTTAACGTGGCCCGTTACTACTATCACGAGACTGTCTCTGTCCGCGACGAGGCCGACGATGTTTCGAGTAACATTCGAGGGAACCTTAACATCCGGGAAACGGGCAATTATCGAGTAGGTCAGTTGATTCAATTGGAAAGCTCGAGTGTAGATATTCCTCGGAAAAGTTGAAGCAGTGTTGCTGCTGGACGTTCATTGATGAGGCTGTGACCACACCGTGCGAGTGAACCCATCGTTACCCAGTCACAGGGGTACGTACTAATCGCGAGCCTAGATTGGCACCCAACATTTATACCCATCCATCACCCTGGACATCAATATCAATCAACATGTCCTCCATTAACTTGCCTCCGCCGCATCTCAACGAATCGATACGAGAAGTCGATAACATCTCCTGGCTTTATCGCAAACACCCTCCTTCTCACTCGTTCACCATCACCACTCCCCACCAAGATTCCAACCGACCAAGCATGCTGGAGCGACAGCCATGGTGGGCATTTCGCCCTCTTCCCAGCACCCGAGCCACTTCCCGATTCCAAGCCCCTCAGAGAAGAAGACTCGTCTCCCATCTCTCGAGTCCACGCAGTCGACAACCAGGCGGCGGTTTGGCGCCCAGGCGAAGCCTTCATCAAAGCCCATCACATGGACTACCCCGATGTGACCAGAGAGTATGTTACGCTACAGTTTCTCAAGGACCGGCAGCCCCCATGTGGCTTTGACTTTCCGGATGTATTGTATCATTTTGAGACTGGCTCACGGTACTTCCTCGTCGTCTCGCGAGTTCCCGGCCAAATCCTTGAAGAGGCTTGGCGCAATATGGACGAGACCCTTCGCCAGCATTATGTTGCCAAGGTGCCAGATGTTTGCGATTGCTTGGCAACGTGGAGGGGCGATATCATCGGTGGTGTGGATGGACACCAGCTGTTGGAGCGTTATCTCGTCAAAGGCAGCAACAGCAAGATGGTGGATGATGATGCCCTTTCTCTACAGCAGCTCCTGAAGAATTGTACCGAGATGGCTATGGATGTTTCTACACTTGTTTTTTATCATTGCGATCTTGGTCCTACTAACCTTCTTGTTAATGTCTCGACTGGCTCGCTGGGCATCATTGATTGGGAGCTTGTTGGCTATGTTCCTGTCGACTGGGTCAGAACGAAGTTTCGACTCTCGGTGGGAATGGATTTCAATCATGGGATGGGGGATTCGAAAAGGGACTGGCGCCGTAGAGTCGCCTAGCAGCTGGAAAAGATGGGCTATGGCGATGTCGTGGATGCATGGTGGAAGTTTCAGGACGGCAAGTAGACAATATTGTTTTCAGGTGCTCTTCTCTTCGGTGCATTGGATTGAATGATCTTTTGCATTTCCCCTGCTTTCGTCCCCATTCTTCCCTCAATAAGATCTAAAACTCCAGACAAAGAGAGGAGACGAGCGGGCTTCTTTAGGCATACCCACTCACGGGGTCTAGACACGGTGTCCCGCCTCCGCAACTTTCCCATGGCCGGATGATGTATTTTTAAATAGGGGGTTGATGGATTATAAAAAGGATAGAATAAGGCAGTTATTTCCCAGCGTTGTATTAGAGTAGCGAGAGGAATAACCCCATGCACCCCATTTCCACAATCACAACCTTCAACCCCCCGCAGTTATTCTAACACGGATAGTCTCCCTTAGTGGGCCTCATCAAAAGACCGCAGTTACCAACATCGGAAGACGAAAACTGAAAATTGAAAACGGTGGCATACGTGTCTGTGTCTGTGGCTGTGCACAGTGTAAGTGAGCAGCAAAATACAAGACGACATGCTCGGACAGATATCTCCTGATTACGGATAGTTAACATTGGTAACCACGAAGGAACGAGAGCAGGAATCAATCCCCTGTCTAGCCTTGCTCAGCCCTGCCACACCCGTGCCGTGCCACGTGTAGTGTAAAGTCCCCGGACCAGGGGCTCGTAAAGCGGATTTGTTCCCTGTTCCCATGTGATGGTCATGGAACGAAGGTTGACACGGTGACGAATGGGTGTCAAGGTTCTGATAAGTCTTCTCTTTGGAAACACTGTACCATTATGTCGAGAGGGAGGTGATCCTTTTATTTTTTCAGATTTTCGAAGGTAGTGAGTGAGTGGTGAAAGCAGGAAATGATGCATGCTCCTGTACAGACATGTTTTGATCAATCACATATTTCGAAAGCAGGCACAATGAGAAAAGTAGGCAAATTGAATGAATATGACCGCCAACAAGGCATCAAACTTCAATTTCTGTTCCCCCCTCTGTTCTTCAAACAGAAAGTGACCATCCCATTGTACGAGAGTAGACTGACCACCACGCCATACCAGCAGGCAAATTATTACATATCCTCGTCATCTCCGATTTCATCTTTTTCGTATCCCATATCTCCATATCTCAGTTCCACACACCCATATCCCCTTGTCACATCATTCTCTTCCGTCCCAGCCAACCCCCTTTTCTTTCGACTCCGTAAACCAGCAGAGAGGAAATGGAATACAAAGGAAAATAAGAAAAAGAAAAAAAAGAAAAAAAAGAGGTATCTATCCCAACCCAACCGACCCATCCGCTCGCTTTATATGCAATAACCCAATCCCCATTCTCCCAAGTAAATAAAACTCTATTTTACGCCCGCCCCATCCCGCTTCCGTTGACCAGACCAAACCAAACCAAGCCAAACCGAAAACGACTCAAGGGAGCAAAAGAACAAAAGAGAAAACAGAAAAAAAGACTAAGGGAGGAACAGCTCAAAACCTCACCCCCTGCCCAACAACCCACCCCAATTCACTGACCAACTCCCCTAGCCCCGCATCCGGAATCGGACTCGTCAACATCAACGGCCCAGGTACCGCAGACCGTTCCTGACGGGTGGTTGCGGTCGTCTCCTTCCCCTCCGCAGCGCGCAGTTTGTTAGCGTCCGCCTCCGTTCCACCCGCCGCGGTGCGCGGGAGGGAGTAAGTAGATAATGACGCGGAGATGTGACGGACTAGCCCGGCAGGCCTTTTTTGGGTCCGCTGCTGCTGCTGCTGCTGTTCAAAGGCGTCGACGGTGTCGATATCGACGTCGTCGTCATCCAGATCGTCATCGACATCAGCGTCGGAGAGGTCAAACCCCGGTGGGGAGTTGGTTTCGTCGTCGGCTGGGGACTCCGGTTCGGGGGGGTAGGGGTTGAAGGCGGAGAGGGGGAATGCGGCGCGGTTGGTCGGCACGGCTACTGGGCGGAGGGGAGCTGGGCGGGTTGGTGCGGCTGGGTAGGTGTTGAAGGAGAGGGTCTGGTTCTCTTCGGTGTCGGAATTGACTGAGACCACGGTCCGCGCGGGGGAGAGAGAGCGAGTAGGAGGTGGAGAGAGACCGGTGAAGTGCATAGTCTCCGACACGGCCGACGTAGCGAAATTATCGTCATCGTCGTCGTCGTCTTCGAGCTCCTCGGCGATGTCATCCGGGATATCGATGGTGACAGACGGGGCAGCGGCGTCGAGTTGAGTAGGAGCGGTGTCGGGGCGTGACGGCAGCGGGGTCTCGTCGACGAGGAACCGACGGAGGGACTCTGGTGAGATGTCTCTCGACCGGCTGCCTTCTGAGCGCAGGCTGCGAGCGTCTTCGGCAGATTGCTGTGGGGGGGTTTGCATCTCCCGCAGGGAGGAGGAGCTGGACTTGCGGCTGAAGAGCTTCCGCGCGGAGAAGTGCCAGCGGGAGCTGGGAGAGGGAGATCGAGAGGGCCGCATTTGCTGTTGTTGATGGGGGTTTTGGAGGCGGAAAGGGGCGGTCCCGAGCCGGCGGGCGGTGGATGAGGAGGCCTCGGCTGGCGGTGCGGGTGCCGGCCGCGGCGAGATGAACTTGCTTGCGGGGTCCATGGTCTTGAAGTCGGTGTCGCGCAGGGAAGTCAGGGACGCGCTGCGTTTGCGGAGGGACTGCTCGACGGGGATGAAGAGGGTGTTGACGGTTTGGCCCGGAAGATATGGGCAGGTGGTGGTGGAGGGCTGGGAAGGATCGTGCGTCTCGGAAGCGCCGTCGACCTCATACTGTGGTTTCATCGAGTCAGCGGCACAGTCTTTGCTTTTCATGTCCCCCGGTATTTTGGGGTAGATGGGTGTGTGGGTGGGTTTCTTGCGGGAGGCATATGCTGCCCAGCGGCACGGCACGTACGTAGTAGTAGTATGTGTGGCCCATTCTGAGACCGCCGTCCCTCTTGGGCACACTCCCGGCGTCGCCTTCGCAGGTAATGTCCTTGAAGGTGTAGCAGCCCTTCCATTGGCCGCGATCCCGTCGGCTATCCCGCTCCATGGTGTAAGGCCGGGTAAAGCTGTCCCAAGACCCGATGAGCTGGACAGATTTGACAGACGGGGATGTTCGTCTGGCGTTCCGTGTTAGTGTGTTGGTCTCGTGTGGCACATTCGTAAGATTAAGAGACACGAGAGAGTTGGTGACAGCTGAGTGAGACTGTTCTCGTGTCTGAGAGACAGTGCTGCGTCACAGGCAAGACGTACAAATCAAAAGACAACCAGTGTAAGAAAGAATGGGTGTGCGTGTGTATGTGTACGTGTATGTGTGTTGGTGGCTGTGTGTGTGTGTGTGTGTGTGTGTGTGTGTACCCTCCAAAAAGAGTGGCTGAAAAAAGAGTGTGTAATAAAAAAGAATGACACAGATCCGACAGGCACAGGACCAGACTGAGCGGCGAATTGGAGGGTTGAGGTGGAAGGATTGTAATAAATAAGAACCGAGACGGGAAAAGAGAGTGAAACGGCGTTCAAAAAGAACTCACAGCATGAATGTAAAGAGAGTGGTGGTGGGATCCATGGTGTTGGGACGTGGATGGCCTTGCGCCTCAACGGAGGTTGCAGTTCCTGGACGGCGCAGCAGGGCCGTCTTATAAAGTGGAACGAGCAAACGTGTAGCTGCCTGCGGGTGAGGAGTAGTGAGTCTGGAACACGACCACGCACTGCGACTCTCCTTCTCGATCCCTGTCTTGGTGGAGGACAGTCAGGGCACGGAGGACGGGATAAACGGGATATAGATTAGACGCGAGGCGATCTGGCGCTGGGTGAACGTGGCAGTCGATGCCGTGAATGAAGGGGCCCTGCGTCTGGCCAATGGGATCGCCAAGACGGACCCGGAAGCGCCGTGGTGGTGTGCAGAGAATCTGCGGGAGACTCGGCGGCGCGTGCGATGGAGACTCAGTGAGTGGACGGCGCTTAGCCACGCAAGCGGCGAGCGAGTTGGGGATTTGGGGATACGGATATCGGGGACAAACTCCCGGACAAGCAAGCCACTTGTTTCGGAGGCTTGTTGCTGGGGGTTCTCGTGGTTTCTGGCGGTTCTCCTCCTCGTTGCGACTCAACTCGTGACGAAAGCAGAAATAGCACTGGGGCGCGCGCGCCTGTTCCTGAACCGTGCCGCAAATGTTGGGTCTCCCGACGAAACGCTGTGACGTGACGCGACACTGGGCTGCCCGGGATCTTAAGGGGAATTATTGCGTGAGCCGGAGCTGTGTCGAAAAAAGGTTGCCGGAAAGGAGGCTGCTGGTGTCGCTCGCTTTTGAACGGAAATCACTGGGAGATCTGGAAACGAATCGTCGTGGAGCAACGTGGAGGGCGATGACGAGCGTTATTTCTCTCGTGCGAGAAGCCCTCCTCTTCATGTCCGAAAGCCCCGAGCCTTTCGTCCCCTCATCCCTTCCGATGGTGTCTCCAAAACCCTGGCGCCCCCAACATTTTGCACCATTCAAGGTTGCGCTCCACGGCCTTTCGGGCTGCCAAGGGAAAGCACTGGGCTGAGAATCTGCGATGATTGCCGGGGGCGCTTGGGCCGTCGGGTTGCAAAATCGAACGGGACGACAGATTGCCAGCGGCTGACTGGAGGATCGGGGCTGGGGGATTGGGTCGTCGTCATGCACCGCCAATCTCCTTCAGGGTCGTCGTCAGGGGAATCCCGGACAGCCCAGCGGCGCCCCCCACTCGACCGCCCCCATGTGGCCAGGTGAGGCCCGGGATGCAGCCGATCAAGCGGGTGGTTGCATCCATCTCTGCGTGCAGCAAGCTGTGTGTGTGTGCTGCATGCGTCGAGTCGAGTCAAAAAGTGCAGGTTGTCGGTCTGTCGGCCGGCGGCTCGGTTGGTTCCAGGTTTGTTCAACCAGACAAAAGACAATGAATGGGCCGCCCGAGTATACTGTGTAGACATTTTGCCAGATGAAGCCCATTGATTGTGCTGTTTCTCCTAGACAACGCACACAAAGAAGCCTTTCCCGGAGCACAGGCCCGCTGGGACAAGACAGATGCGGAGATTGGTCTGTCTGGGAAATGTCGAAACAAACGGAGATTGATAATACCCATCGAGAGACACCTTCCCTGTGGTTAACGAACACATTCATCGCCAAGTTCACACGCCTGTGTTTTTCTCCGACGGCACTGCCGGGTAAGGCGAGGGAGTGAGCTGTCCACACTAAGGTCCCTGTGTCGTGTAAGGTGGGCTGGCTGCAGGTGAGGTCACCGCCCGACCGACTGGGATGAATGTTGAATCGTTGATATTTTGCTGCGCGGGCGTGTTCGCTGTCGAGAGGCCGATTGGACCAGGGCCGGACTTCCAGAAGGGACGGTGAGCATGGCCAACCTCACCAGCCTCGCTGACCTCCAAACCCAACTCTCATCAGTCGTTGCAGCCACTGAGAACCCTCTGTGCTCGCTGCTCACTGCCTGCTGTCTCGGGGTCGATGCCGGCTGCACCACCCGAAGCATGTCTCAGCTGGGGAAGGAAGCCAAGAAGGCGGGCAGGAAGTGAGAATTGCCAGCTGTCAACCCTCAACTGGCTCTGTCTACCCAGCAACGTGAGCCTCACTCGACACCGCATCGTCGGGCTGCAAAATGGTCCATCGCATCCTGACCAGTCGTGAAGCGAGTTTCGACCCTGAGATGGAATGCTCCATTTCGCAGTTTACAGGGGGGCATTGCATTGGTTCCTGGGGGGAGATGAGACGAGCAAGCGGTGCCCGTCGAAGCCCTCCAGCCACCAGAAAAAAAGTCGGGCGTGCTGAGGTAACATCAGGCCCCCAAGCACCCCCAGATCAAACTTCCTGTTCCTGAGACAGGACCCACCCTGCGGCCCGCTTCACACATGGTCAAAATGATTGGTCAATCGCTTTCGTCCCAGCTTTCGCAATTCATTGTCTGCGGTTTCCTGGAGCCAATCGAGTCACTTTTTCGAAACTCCAAACACCGCAGCCGGGAGAAACCCCGATGGCTGTTTCGTCGCGCAGGGCATCTTCGAATCGCGGCTCAAACAAAATATTGACAACAGTTTCCGCCAATTCAGCATCCTTGATCGCGTTGTTGTGTTTTGTCCTTGTTTATTTACATGCCTCGCCCTATCCGGCCAACACACTTCGACCTGCATGAGCTTGCTGTCGTGCAACCGACAAACGCGGCCCACCGCATGGAATCGGCCTTTCCAGATGCGGCCGCGAGCAGGTGGGAACACCACGAGCTTCGGCCCTGGCTGCTGCAAGCAAGCTGAATCCTGTGTTGTTCCTGAATGAGCAACCCTAAGCGGGAAGGCCAAGCTGACCTCATCTCATCAACTCATTAAACCCACGGCTCACGGATTTCATCAGCATATTAACCCGCCGGAGAAACATGTTAACTAATCATGAGCTGCGCTCCCATTGGGACGGGGAACGATGAAGCTGATACATGACCGACCCAGCACCTAGGATGTTTAATTCATGGTTTCTCTCCAAATATTTGTCAGCCCGGACGACGGAAGACACGAAATGATGACTTGACGGTGTTCACAACCAAGCGTAAACAAACTACTGCGTACGAAGGACTCTCACCGGTAATCTCCTGCCGTGCGACGGCTCGCGCGGCCGAGGTTTCGCACTTTGATGGATATGTCTGTCAAACGGTGTTGCACGAAAGCCCTTGGTCCGCATTGGCAATCTCAATTCTTGAAGCACTCGGCCGCTGTGGTGGAACTCCAACTGACGGGACGAGGAACCAGAAGGGCATTCTGAAATTACTCGCCCAAAGCCACACAAGCGATAGATTGAAAGCCTCAAAGTCTCATCTGCGAGTACAAATGAGTCCATACTGTGTCCATATTAGATCCATATGAGACGCTCTGCAGCTGCGGTCCTACAGAGATACTCTACCGAGAATAGATGAAACTCTCCAATCCTTCCCGCGCAGCTACACCACACTAATAACTATCACATACCAACCGGTATTCCCTCCATCGTGAATACCACCACACCGTCCCACCTCACTACGAACGTCCTCGCCGGGGCCCCCTTTCCTTACCATCGGCATCACCATCACACAGCCTCGCGCCAACAGACCATACTATACCACCCTCCAGCCCAAAATTGTCCCTCAAACGCGCCAAAACGCAAGGCCGCGGCAAAGCAACCAACCCATCGATTCACACATACCCGCCCACACCCCCCCAAAAAAATAAAAATAAAACACTGTGTAAAATACTGTGCATCAAGCAACTTCATACATATCCACAGCATAACGCTAGTTAGAGCCATAGTATCCACCGACTTTAACCGCCGACCGACCCGGCGCCTCCAAACTGCAGTGCGCAGGAATGAAATAGAGAAGAATCACGGCCGGGATGGCGTAGGCGCCACTGTGGGGGAGGCGTATGCATGCATGTTGGGGATGGAACGGAACTAAGGATGGAAGTCAGGATGGAACCAACAACGAAGGGACGGACGAGCTGCTTGCCAGCTTGAAGCGGCTTTCAATCTACCAACCGGTTCAATGAAACAACAAGGCTCGGGACGAGAGCAAACATCCAAACACCAAAGTTCAACCTCAACCATCCCATCCCGTCTCTTGTCCTGCCCTACCTATCTAGATCTTTGCAATACGGATAGTTAAGTGTACAAACCTCAACCGCCGGACTGACCGATTTGACCGGCCGGCCTCGCCGCAGGGTTGACCCGACCGCCCGGTCGGTCGGTTCGGCCGATGTGGCGCGACGGCAAGCAAACAAGTATTAGTTATGCAAATGCGGGTTGGGTTGGATTGACGCCGTGCTTTGCGCTTGCTGTGGTTTGCTTGGATTGCTTGGTTTGCTGTGCCGGTTGCGCCGGGACCTTGCATAGGGATGGATGCGGCATCTCTTTCATCTGATCCATCGATTCATCCATCGGGGCCCAAATCCTGTGCTAAATTCTCAAATCATGTGCTGAAGTTCTCAAGTGATCAAGTGATCGGGTTATTCCATTTCGTCCCATCTTGTTCCTATTTTCATCCCTTCTTGCGCTTCGTCTTATCACATTAGTTTGTTATGCCTTTCGTCTCGTCCCATCTTTCCAGTGTTAGTTCCTCCTTAGTTATGGTCTTGTTTTCCTTTCCGGCGTGAACTTCAAAAAGAAAGCCCGGCGCATAGGAGAACGACTCGTCAAATCAAGGGGTATTATCATTAAGGTATCTGTGCTCTAAAAAAAAAGAGGTATCCGCATGCCCCCGCCTCTCCTTTTCCTGCTATCGCAGGCGGGTGAGAAAGAGGCATGTGAAGAAGTTGTGGATCCAAGTCCAAGACCAAGTCCAGCAAGATGGTGAGAAAAAGGGGTAAAGAAGAAGCAGAAAAGAAGGGGAGAAGAAGAAGAAGCAAGCCAGCGCAAGGACCTCCATCCATCCCTATCCATCCATCCATCCACTAGTCAGTCCAGCCGCCCAGCCCATACCATACGTCCGTCCATCTTCACGTCATCCATCGTCTAGACAACTCGCATTATTCCATCAGGAAGCCCAACCCCCCGGAACCGTAAGTAAACAAATATCGGTAGCGGCCACCCCAGACATACATAATCATCTTTCGTATCCGTCTCTTTCGCGTTCCCTCTCCTAAGATATGACCTTCACCGTTGCAAAAAATCCTGATGCGTTGGGATCCCTTGCACGCAATGTGGACACTGGTTGCTTGTGCCATGACGGAGCAGTGCGCCCAGTAGAATGAACCCAAATAGAGGAGGGATGATGTTGAATGGAACGGAAGGTTGGCCGTGCGAATCCTAGAGAAACCCAAAAAAATAACGCCTTTCCCCAATGCCCCGATGCCGAATGTCGTGTGGTGCTGCTGATGATTTTCTCTTCGTTTCTTCCTCTTCTTATCCCGCTTCCTCTTTAGGTCCCGGAACCGAAATCCAAAACTCAGGTTGCATCTGCCGTCGCCTTTGCTCTAAGACGGTAACCTGGTTTGTTTGGCCGGTTTGTTGGGTGGCTATTAGTCCAGCACCCCCCCTCCGGGAAATGGAACCTAAAACGCCGTTTGGAACGAAAACCCAAAAGCCAAAATCCAAATGTTTCTACAAACGCTGTCTGCTTGCCGCTCGCTCACTTGGTTTTGACTGTCCCATTCGTCCGGGGAACAGCACTCCCATTCGCTACGCTGCTGCTGATGCTGCTGCTTTCTCCCACCGCCTTCTTCTCCGCCTTTTTCGTCGCTGCGGTCCTCGTGCGCTCGTACTTGAGCGAGGTGTCGCCCTTCCACTTCGTACCGAGGACACGGTCCCAGACGGTGAAGAAGGGCTGGGAGAAGTTGGTCTTGATGCCCCAGCTCTGGTGGTGGATGTCGTGGTAGGCCGCGTTGTTGCTCGTGATGTGCTGCATGGGGTCCCATGGAAGGGCGTACCCGCAGTGGTCGTCGACTGTCTTGACAGTGCTGAACACGAAGAACAGCAGGCCCAGCCGGGGGCTCAGCATCGACGCCTTGTAGGCCGCGCCCGCGCCTAGAGTGTCGAGCAGGAAACCCTCAATCGGGTGGTTGTAAAGCGCGCCGTAGGCGTAGGGGACGTACAATCGGTGGTGGCGAGAGTGCCAGTGGGCTGGGGAAAAGAGTACAAAACATTAGCACATGGAAAGGAGAGAACGAAAGCTCGAAAAAGGGGGTCATTGAGCACATACTGTACATCCACTTGTTGATGTGCATCGCCCGGTGCCAAAAGTACTGCCATGTGTCGAGGAACACGGTGGCCAGCCAGAATTGAATACCGGGAATGATGAGCCAGTAAATGGCCTTGGCCACCGCCAGCTCCCAGGCCGCAAACGCGGGAACAGCAGCGCCGGTGACGTCGTCGAGGGTAGTCGTGAGGAACGGGTAGTGCCCGCCTGCCAAGGCGCCGGCGAGCAGGGGGTAGGAAGTGGCCATGTTCTTCGAGATCGCCGCAGCATTGAGGCCGAGCGTTCCGAGCACCGACGGGAGCGCGCGCTGCGCCAGCCGGACCCGCGTGGCCCAAACCGCGACATCGTAGTCCTCCTGGCCTATCGTCGCCACGGGGTCCGTCAGCGACAGGAAGGCCGACATGCCCGTCTGGATAATCTGCTGCAGGACAACATCCCGCGCGACTTCGTAGCGCGACGCAAGGTTCCGCTGGCTGATCTCCTCGGGGGTGTGTAGTCGGTACTGCGGGAACAGGTCGTAGACGTCGATGATGTGGAAGATTAGGGAGACGACCCAGTACGCGATGTGTGTAGCGATGAGCGACAGCCAGAAATCGGAGATGAAGGGCAGGAGGTCGGGCTGTGGCCGGATTTCGTACGCCGGGAGCGGCGGCAGGCCGGACGCGAAAGTCGCGTTCGCCATGACGGATTCGGGGATTGATGTGTCGTTGTCGTTATCAGCGTCGATTTTGGAAGGTATGTTCGGAATTACAGGATTGTCGTCGCGTGCGCAGAAAACAAAAAAATTAAACAAGAAAAACGAGGCTGCCTTGCGACAGCATCAGAGGGTCAATCAATCGGTGCAGAAAAACGGCGGGACGACCGGGAGACGAGGGAGTGGCGCGAGGATGCCGGGTTGAAAAAGATCATCGGCTGTGGAGTAAGCCCACCGGGGCCCCTGGGTTGCGGATGGCGAACGTCGGTTCTGCACGGTCCAGGTCTCAATTTCCTGTTCTCACTTCTCATGGAAATGCCCGACGGAGAACCCGCGTGTCGTGCCACTTTTCACGCCATTTGGGAAGTCGCGGGCGCTGAGCGCCGTGAATGGCCTCATACTGCGTGATTTCTTGCGCTTTCATACATGACCGAACCACTATCTGTCTGCATCCCGGGGCGTGGCCAGGAACCGTATCACAATGCGATGTGTTGAGGCATGAAAAGGAAAAAAATAATCGAGGCCGCGCCGGTCTTGGCAGGAACTGATCAACGGTCGGCTGCAAGGAGTCGCGCATCGATTTGCCCCACAAATACGGCACTCGGCCCCGTCGGCTTTCCGGATGTTGATCGGGGTTAGGGTTAGAAGCGAAGTGCCGGCTTCTGTTGGGTTAGGGTTAGATCTGATAAGTGTCAGCTCAGCCCAATTGGAAGACCTAAACAGACTGTGTCCTACCATTAGAGAGGCGTCCATTTGCAAAAGAAATAACAACAGGTTCAGGCTGAAACGTAGTAAAAATCGAGGAATCAGATCTGGCAGAGGAGGGCAGAGCCTCCAAGAGTGCATTATTTCTTCAATATGCCAATTGTTCCCAAGTTGCTATCTTGAGTCGCTCTCTCCACCTGTACATCTCGTTGGAGATTGGAGACCGTTTTTAGCAGGCGGAAGGTGAACCCACAGTCCTTCTAGCGTTCAGCCCATTGCGCTGAACAGCGCTGCCCCGCCTACCCCTCCTCCATCTTTTGCCCCCGCTCAATTTTTTCCCACTCCTTTACCTAACCCACCTTTTTTTCTTGCGGCCGCCATTTCGAGATCATCTTCGCCCTTCCTTCCTTAGACCACGCAGACCCGTATTCAAAATGATTATCTACACGGTAAGTCCTATGATGAGCTTCAAACGTCAAGAAAAGATTCCTTACTGTGCCCGAATGTCTCGTTGCTAATACGGAATGCCCCTTGTCTATTAGGACATCATCACCGGCGACGAGATCATCTCCGACTCGTACGACCTCAAGGAGGTCGACGGTGTCGTGTACGAGGTCGACTGCGCTATGATCACCGAGAACGCCGTCCAGGTTGGTATGTGTTAATCGATTGTTACCTGATGCTGTGAGAAGGAGAGAAGACAGGGAAGGGATAGGGAGAGGTAGAGAGAGAAGGAGGAGAACAACCTGATTTGGGGAAGAAGGAATTATCGGAGCTAATGTGACGGGCTTTTCTAGACACTGGCGCCAACGCTTCCGCTGAGGAGGCTGAGGAGGCCCTTGAGGACACCGCGGTCAAGGTCAACAACGTGATCAACTCGTTCCGCCTCCAGTCAACCTCGTTCGACAAGAAGACCTACCTGACCTACCTGAAGGGTAAACACCATTCTAGCTTCGTTCCCCAATAAGCCCCGTGTGATTCGGTTCGCAAACACGGGCATCGCGCATTCGTCACGAAAAAAGCGCTAACCGTAGCTGTTTCCGCGTTGCAGGTTACATGAAGTCGGTCAAGAAGGCGCTTCAGGACGCCGGCAAGTCAGAGGATGAGGTCAAGGACTTCGAGACCAAGGCCGGTGCCTTCGCCAAGAAGATTGTTGGCAACTTCAAGAACTGGGAGTTCTACACCGGCGAGTCCCAGAACCCCGATGGCATGTCAGTATTTGTCCTCGTGGCCTTTTCCCCTTCCATCAACCAATGGGGCCGCGCGAAACTAACACGACTTCGGCAGGGTGGTTCTCCTCGACTACCGCGAGGATGGGACTACTCCTTATATCGTTGCCTGGAAGCACGGTCTCAAGGAGACGAAGGTGTAAGGTGGTTGTGGAACTCGTTTCTTCTGTCTATACCACGCCGGAAAAAAAAAGAAAGGTTCCCGACGCTCCCAATTTTTTCACCCCTGGGTACCTCGGTGATTCGCGCCTATCCAGAACGGCGTGGAGGGTTGCCAAGCTGTGACACCGTTAATTACCGGACCATTCCCGCCCTCAGAACTGTGGCCGCGTAGCCATAGGAATAGGCGGAGGCTCATCATGCTCTTGTCCACCATCCCCACGACTACCACCACCCAAACCGGGCTTCTTCTTCGGCGGTGGAGGCGGAGGCGGCTTCTTCTTCCCTGCCACAGCCGCAAGATTCCCAATACCCCCCGCAATACCACTTCCACTCCCATGCCCACTCCCAACACTAGTCCCATTCCCATCACCCCCTCCGCCAAACCGCCCCTGCAACTCCCCTAAAGCCTTCACCCCTGCCCCAACCTGCTCTCCATGCTTCCGCCGAAACCCATCTGCCGCATTCACCGCGTCAGCCGCGGCCCTCACATCCTCCAGCGCCGGTGCCGTACCGGCCCCGCGGCCTCCATCACTCGTAGTAGTAGTAGTATTCCCGCGCCCGATACCTAACCCGGGAACGGACACACCAGCTGCGCTGAGACGGGAGATGGCTGATTGGTTGAGGTGAGGAGAAGACGACCCAGACGTAGCCGGTGATAGTGGTCCCGAGGTAGGAGATGGCTGTGGTTTATGCCGTGTCGGAAGGGCTGGGCCTGCAGTAGGGGACGAGTACGGTGGTGGTGGCGATGGCGTGCCTGTAGCTGGCGAAGACGGGTTTGAAGATCGAGGTGGCAAACGGGGTGGGAGACTTGGCGGGCCGGGACGGTGCGTGGTGTTGTTCGGTGGGACAGGAGGCGGTGAGCGGGTGTTGGCGCCGTCCTTACGGCCTGGGGGAGGGGGTAAGTGGGAAGTAGACAGACCGGTGGTGTCGAGACGCCAGGGTTTGGGGGGTGCTGTGGGTTCTTGTTCTTCGAGGGCCGATTGTTCGGCGAAGGTTCCGGGGCGTGAGGGGATGGGCGGGCCGGCGGTACCAGTACTGGTGGTTGGACTGGGGACACCGATGACTGCGTTGGGGTTACGTTTTGGTGGGGGGGCGAAGCTGGCTGGGTCGCGGAGTGAGGCGAGGGGGGTGGAGGTGTGGTTTTCGTAGCGGGTGGTGTTCTGGGAGTTGGCTTGTTAACACCGGATGTTCATTCACCGGGAGGTTGTGGATATCGTCGGCCGGGCTTGCCGGGGCATGGGAATGAGGGCTTACATCTTCGCCGCGGCCAATTTTGCTTTTCTGGGGAGATGTTAGCAGAGTGTCGGATATTGTAAGGAGGAATAAGCTTCGAGTCTTGACGGAAACGTACCACCTGGCCTTTGAGGGCAGATCCCCTTTCGCCGGCACTTTTTAAGACGCCTTTGTAGTCCGGCATGATGTATTTCTGTTTTTGAGGTTAGGCGATACTGCGCAATATAATAATGAATTTCGAGTTTGAAAGGAAAGGGCTGCAATCGTAGCAGGCAAAATAAAGGTCGTCGAGGTCGAGGTTGAGTGTGTGAAACTGAAAGTTAATAGGTGAGGTGAATTATGTGACGGGTGAGGCGATGTTGGGTGCCAAGAAATTGGTCTTCTGACGCAATCTCGTATCTAACCCTAACCCTGGTATTGACAATATGTTGACCTCGCCCCCTTTTTACGGGTAAAAGGAGTGGTTTCCCCTGGATTTTGTGAACAAAAACAACATTCGATATGGAGAAACGTGCATTGGTTTGTTATCCTTATACATAACATAGTGAGGACTTGTCGCCCTGATTCATGCTTTGCGTACGGACAAATCAATCATCACAATGAACATTAGTAATAAAACAACAATGATTTATCTGTTGTATTTCTGACCGCTATATTCCACCATAAATACTCATCCACCTTTCTCACACTCAAGCTATTGAGTCATATATTTAGGTGGGAAGGGGTTAAATTCCAGTTTCCGGCCAACTACATCAAATGGTCAGCTTTACTTCTTCAAGCCTTGTTCGGCATCTTGGTCTGGGAAACTGAAGGGTCATTGGGCCCTCCCAGTTCCATCTACTCACCTTCAGCCTCCATAGATTGCTAGAAGCAAGCCCAGCTTAGCAAGCCTGTCCACTGGGCGACCACGAGCACCATCCAGAGCTGGCACAGGTGTACTGGTAGCACTCTCCGCTCATGCACGAATAGCCCGCGGGGCAGCCGCGTCTCTCAAGCGTGCTCTCGTCGGCGGCAGCAGGAGCCGGAGCAGCTGCGGCGAGAGTGGCGAGGAGGAGGGTGATGATGGTGGTGGTCTTCATGGTGCTGGTGATGAGAAGTTGAGGGTTGGTGTTTGTAGCGTCGGTGAGATTGCGTGGTGAGATGGTTTGAGTGATGGTTTGAGTGATGCTGAGAACAGAGTGGAGTAGAAGTGAAGGAGATTCAAGATTCTTTATAGAATTTCCGTCTCTTATCTTCCGGGTCACCTGAACTGTGATGTCCTGTCCACGCGGTCAACCATCACACAACTCAGATCCCATTCCCGGATCGGAGCTCTCCATTGTTGCCCTCAAAGAGAAGTCTCGCGGCTCTCATTCCGCCGGCCGTTTTCGAATGTCTCCGGCTTCTCGTGCTCGATCCCTTGTGTACTGCTCCAACACATTCTCGGAGGAGCTTACCACAGAGCAAAGGGCAGCCAACATGGGAATACTAGGCGAGCTTTCCCGGCTTTCCGGATCTCACAGCAGAACGGAAACACGAGATACTGCACCCGGTTCCGATTCCCGAACTGCTAGGTAGTCTCGTGGTGTTTCTCTGTTCCAAGAACAGGCTGCAATCACAACATACCTTTTCGACTCAAGGTTACGTCTGACCCCTGCTTATACGTTGTGTGGTCAGACTGGGTGCATCTCTAGATACACACATGAGGGACCCATTTTTAGGCTAAACTGGTTTATGTGCGTCTCTTACTCATGCCCAGAGCCTTGTGTTGCAACTTTGAGAAATGAGAACGGCAAGAGAAAAAAGTGTAAAAATGCATGTAACAAGACCAGATTCAACTAATTGCAATGCGATGATTTTTTAGGAAGGCTACTACAAAAGCGGAATACAATCCAACATTCTCAACTGTTAAAACCAGGTAGTAAACAATACCGCCTAGAAAAAATAAACCGAGGTCCTAACACATATATATACTTCTGCATTCTACTTCTACATTCCCGAATCACCAACTACCTCCCGTTAACCCATATCAACCCCCCAACAACTCACCTATCCCACGCCCGCCCCGCCACAAGTATGTACGCGTACAATGGCGGTAGCAACAACCACAAACATCAACGTACATACACCCCTTGCCCACCCCCGCCTCGCGATTGGCCCACTCGTATAACAAAGTCAATACTACTACCTCTCAGCTGAACCACTTCACCTCCTCGCCTACCTCGGCCCTCCGTCTTCGGAGCGTACGGCTTGACCTCTGTTGACTAAACCTTTCCCACGCGAGACGAGACAAGACCAACCCGAGGCGGACACGAGACGGGACATTATCAACATTTTCCCAGACGAGGCGAGATGGTTTGTGAAGCCAAAGCCGAGTCAGTATTGGAAATCCCCCGGCCACATAAGTTAGCCAGCAAGCCCATGAGTCAAGCTGGCCAGGTGGTGTTCTACGCCTCGGCTGAGTGCTTTAAATTCACCACTCAGAGTGGACACGGATATCGTCTCCGAGGCCCGGCCAGTATATTCACCATCTATGGTGGTCCGTCACAACACAACCCACACGTCTAACACTCGCCTTGCGAAAAAGCCAACACCGAAAAGGCCAAAAAGGGGGCCAAAAAAGATAAAAAGCAGAAAAAAAAATGGAAACCTCATAAACAAACAATCCATTCCCAACTCTCTAACAATCCTCTATAAAATACTACTCCCCCGATCCCCCTCCAACACCTCCAACACCACCCACAAACCCCCCCGCACCCCCTCCCTCACTCCGTCTCGTCTCCTCCGCCCCATTCAACACATACCAAACATCCTTCTTCGTCAACAACCCCTGCAACACCCCCCTATCGACGAACAACACATACCGCACCCCCAGCCGCTGGAAGTAACTCACTGCCAGGTGCAAGCGAGCGGCAGACGGTAAGGTGAGCGGGGTTTGATCCATCCAGGGTCGGAGGTCGAGAGTTGTTGCTGTACCCCCTACGCCGATGCCAGCAGCGGCCGTGGCACCGACGCCGGGGGTAGTGACAGTGGTGGTGGTGAGTGGGTCGGTGAAGACGGCTTCTGTTGTTTCTGGTGGTAACGATCGTGGAGGTTGGGTGGCGGCGTGGAGGGTATACGCCAGTTCGGCGCGGGAGATGTACCCGAGCAAGATCGCATCGCGGGGGTCAGAGACAACAGGGAACCCGCGGTGGGGGTGTGCATCGAGGACAGCGCGGAGGGAAGCGATGGTGTGGCCCGTGGCAGTGAGCACGACGAGGTCTTCGATGCGGGTCATGATTTGCCCCGCGGGGATGTCCGGGATCGGGGTGGTTTCCTCGGAGAGGTCGAGGAAGGGGTACTCATTGAAGTGGATCCAGGACTCGTAGATGCCGCGGCGGGAGAAGGCGTCGCCGACCCATTTGGAGATCATGACGGCGACCATGATGGGGAGGACGTAGGTCAGGGCGCCGGTGAGTTCGAACATGATGACGACGATGGAGACGGTCATGCGGGTGACGCCGGCGAGGGCGGCGGCCGCGCCGATGATGGCATAGGTGCCTGGGATGATGCAGGGGATGTCGGGCTCGCAGGTGTGGAAGGCGAGGAAGCGCGGGTGGTTGGTTTGCCAGATCTCGACGATGATGCCGATGGCGCGGCCGGTGAGGGCGCCGATGGCCATGGAGGGGAGGATGATGCCCGCGGGGATTTGGAGGCCGAAGGTGATGGCGGCGAGGCCGAAGCTGAGCAGAGCGGCGAGGAGTAATAGCAAAATGTTGGCGGCTGAGGCAGCGCCGGTGGTGCAGAGGCCGAACTGGTCGTCTAGTAGCTGCGAGCATTCGGAGAAGAGGTTGGTTACGAGGTCCGAGTTTTGCGAGCGCATGTAGCGATTCGGGTAGTTGACGAGTGCTGTTAAAGCGGCCACCAGCACGACCTGCACCACGGGGCCGGGCAGCCAGGGGGTTGATTTGCGCCAGCGGGCCACGGCCATGTTGGCCTTGATGAACAGGCCGCCGTAGATGCCGCCGAGCACGCCGAGGATGGCAAAGGGGATGAGCTCGAAGCCGTGCCAGCTCGACGTGTATGTGACCTGGTACATGACAAGTTTTCCGGAGCGGAAGGGGTCGAAGGCTTGGAGCACCATGGCGGCCGTCATGGCGCACACGAAGCTCTGCCACATGGTCTTGTCGGGGAAGTAGTACGAGAGTTGCTAAAGGTTCACGTGTCAGGCTATCAAAAGTACTAGAGCTACTTGGTTCCTTGGTTAGTAACTTACCTCGAGAGAGAACAACACACCCCCGATGGGCGAGCCAAAAGCAACCGAGATGCCGGATGCCGCAGCAGCGGACAACACCTCTCGTTTGCGTGCTGGCCAAGTCAGCCATGTCCAACCAATACTCCAAAAAAGAGGAAAAAAAGACATACCCTCATTCGTGTTAATACTCGGAAACAGCTTCGTAAACAGATTCGCACAGCAACAAGCCACATGCACCAACGGGCCCTCCTTTCCCAGCCACAGCCCGGAGGCCACAGCTAAAATCAAACCCAGGGACTTGGTGATGAGCGTCCACAGGCCGAGGAACCGGCGGATCACAAACCCGCCCAGCACCGTCTTGATCTCGGGGATCCCGCTGTGTCGCGCGTAGACGCCGTATTCCTTGACCAGCACGGCGGATGAGAGGGCGAAGAGGATCTGTTTGTTGTGTTAGTACTGGAACATCACCCTGTGCAACCCCCCAAATAACCAAAAA